GGAGGGGGGGGGGCAATACGAAGCGGCAGGATTATCCTGTCAAAGGTATTTCCGCGGCCTGTTCTCTTGCTTTTGCCCGGCCGTGTTGTTGCTGAATCCGCCAGCTTTGCCCCTGCATGCATCCAGCGCATAGCAGAGCGCTGGCCTCCAACAACCCGTCCTTACCTTCGTCCTGTCTGTCATCGCTGCTGCCTGGCGCTGTCACAGCCTTGCTGTAATTCATGCGGCAGCCCCCCTTGTGCGCTGGCAGAAACAGAGCTGGCAGATGCAAGCACGGCGGCGCACGAGGGGAACCATGGCGAGGGCCAGACGCACTCCTCGATGCAATCATCCGTGCGGAACATGTTCCCTTTGTAGAACGGTTTACCGTACCGGGTTTACACTGCAGGTTTTTTTTATCGTATATAGTGCCTTGTCCCTGCCAGTGCTGGGGCCTAGACCGCTGCGCTGGCCTCTGCAGGTGATGCAAATGCAGGTATGATGTGACATGCTGTCTGTCGCCCTGGATGCATGACGGGGGCAATTGGGCACCTTCAGCCCGCCGCCGTCCCCCCCCCCCGGCGGAATCGAACTGTAAAAACTCGTCCACTTCAAAAGTCCAAGGCATACCCTGACTGCCTAATGGGATGAGCTGCCTGAGGATGCGGCTGTCTCGTCGGACCAAGGCTGGTGTAGGCGGCATATATTGTCAAGATACGTTTTCAGCCGCTTCGGCGGAACAAATTAGGCCATTCATTTCAATCCAACTAGTGAAAGCTAAAAGCTAGTGTACTTGTGTGGTCTTACATTGTAATACATTCCGTCACGCGCGAGATCCTCTGGCATCACGTCGCCGGTGTCGCGACTCGTCCAAGCTGCGCGCATTGTACTTTGGCTCTCCGTGGCGCCGATCCCTGTCCGAGTCCTTGCCATCTCGTCTACCATCGTACCGTTTCGAGCTCCGTCTCGGGCTCTCCCCTCTGTCCCCTCTGTGCGGCTTGCTGTACCGCGACGACCGGCCCTCGCGGTCCTCGGCGGTGATGCGCCCGTGCGGCAGCACCACCACCTGCGTCGGTTCCGTTTCGTAGTCCCGCCCGGAGCTGTGGAGATGCTGCTCCTGCCGGTTGCGCGAGTTGGAGTGGATCAGCGCCGGTCTGTCCGGGCTGCGATGCCACTCCAAAAAGGCGCGCGTGGTGAGCTGCAACTCGCCCACGTTGGGCTCCGCGGGGAAGAGGTGCCGCGAGATCTGCCGCGGCAGCCGCCGGGAGCGCTGGTCGTCGCACGCGCGCGACGGCACCTCCGGCACGGCTTCCAGCGCCATTTCCTCAAAGACGCGAGAGAGCCGCGCAAACTCTTGCTCGGGGTAGGCGCGGATCAGCATGACGGTCCACTGTACGAACCCCTCGGGGGTGAGGGCCGGGATGTAGGGCCGGTGCCGGGTGCCGGGTGAGTCGCCTTGGACTAGATGGAAATCGCACTGCAAACCGAGGTAGAGCTTCTCCAAGTTTTTCAAGGCTTCGGGGGTTGTCAAATTGAAGATTCCTAGACAGACAAAGTTAGCACGTCGTTGCCGTCTTTAAATTGACGATTCGAGACTCACGAGTAAATTCTACAGCTTCTCTGTCCAAGCGATAGTCAAAGTAGAATCTTAGCAGCTTGCCTGGTGTCACGACCATGGAGTAGATTGGCTTATACACTTCAATCTGGTATGTCTGTTAGCACTGCTCTGTCGTACGTAGCACGCCGTCCCGTCCAAGTCGTGCAACTCACCAAGTGGGTGGCCAGGCCACGCAGCGCGTTTCTCATGCCGACTGTCGCCTTGCCCTGTGGCGTGAACAAGGGTCCCCATCGCTCGTCCTGCAGCGAAAGGGCCCTCTCACGTGTTGGGTGCGACTTTGTGTGCTGCGATGTGCTACCGGGGTACGACAGGTGACGGGCGGATGCACTCCGCTGTAGTACAACTGGAGGACGGTCCGAGAACCGCACCTCCTTGGTTTTTGGGACGGTAGTGTATGATGCCGTCTCTGTAGTGGAGGCATGGTTTGAGTACGGGGAAGTAGGAGCCGACGCGGCGAATGTGTGGTTCCGTCCAGGCCTGTCATGGTCTGGTTTGCCGTCTTTTTCAGCGGCAGGGGAACCGGGAGCCGAGGTGGGCGTCAGTATGTCCTCATCGCCGTCAGACTCTGTGCAGTCTTCCACTGTAGCTTGATATCGAGCATCGTTCTTGGGCACCGCCCGTCCCGGGGGTGTATCCCGGCCGGTACTCGCTGTCGTCGGCGGCGGGAGCGAGCCCTCCGAGTAGGCTCTGGTGAGTCGTGGGCTTGCGCTTACTTGAGGGAGGGAGTTAGCACATGTATGCAAAGCGGAAGAGCCAGTCGCCCAGCCATGGTCATTTACCTTGCAGTTGGTCCTTGACCTCGTCCAGCTGGCGCTGCTGCTCGGTCTGTGTCTTCTGGAGCTCAGCAACCTGTTGCTTGAACTGGCTGATGCTAAGAACGCTGTCTTTGATCGCTTGGTCATCGGGGACTGGCAAAGCGCCGCTCATAAAGGGGCCGCCCAGCTGGAGAGCGTGGAATGTGGGAGACGCCTGACGAGACGACGATGTCGAGCTCGATGCGGCGGGCCGTTCGTCACGGGCCACATCCCGGAGGAGGCCCTGTGGTTCCTCCGAGGACAGGGTAGTGATGAGACCGGGGGCCATGGTAGTTCATGTAAGAGGCTGGGGGTTTAAAGCGGTGGAGGGCTTGGGCACTGGTTGTGGTCAAGGAGAAGCTGGGGTATGGAGCGTCTTGGCTACTCTGATCATTCACTGCTTTGGGTGTTGGGTTTGTAGGAGTAAGAATCCGGACCTTGATCAGTCTGGGTGCAGGCCGGTATTTCAACTCGAGGCAAGAGCAGCCAGCAAACACACCCGGCCCAGGCCGTCGGTCGACACAGCCAGCTATGTTTCGGCTTAAACACCGCCCTGGGCGTACATATCTCAGCCCGACCAGCAACACCCTCATCGGCCACGACGTCTGTTTCTGCGACGACGGGGTGGTGGGCCACGTGTGCACGTCTGGTCGCCTTGCCACGATGCACGACATGTTCAACGGGCAAAAGAGAAGGGACAGAAAAGGCGGCGCTGACCAGCAAGGATGCGCCCGTCGCCCAGCGCCTCGGTATCGAAACGCCGGGTCTGCCCTGGGCTTCGGTGGACCGTGACAAACTGGCCGTACGGCAGTGCATGTCCGCTGGCCACTGGATCATGGGGAACCATATCCGTACCTAATCAGTAATAGCTATTATTCATGTGCCAATGGAACAAGTGAGGCGGGAAGCTGGCGCAGCCACAACGCCCCTAGCTCGCCGATGTGGTTGGTGGCTTCCGCTTTTGTACACATTGGCTAGAACTGTCCATATCGTGCCCCTCACATTTGTGCATGTTGGTGTCTTTGTTTGCTGCATAAATTCATGAATTGTGCCTCCCGGCTGCGACTGTCGGTGAGCGATATGCCTTCGATTACATGCATCATCGCATAACTCGACCGCAGCGTCGCATCGGTGCCTTAAGTCGCGCAGGGCAATCAGGCAGAGTCATGTGGCAAATCGATGTGTCTATCCTGTTGCCTTTTCCCTTTTTGATACCAGGATCTGCGTGAGCGCCCACCCTGGAGGTCCTCGACGAATGAGACGGTCGCTCGGAGCAGCCTCCAGCCATCCACCGTGGCCAAAAGGCGGCCATGTCAAGTAACTACGTACAAAGTACAAGTATCAAAGTATAAAAGTATACGTACAATGGCAAGGTAAAGATTGTCATGTCACTGCTTCGTCTCTTGGTTGGGGAACTAACTAGTTATATTCGTTGGCCCAATATGCTTTTTGTAGCGCACATGATCTGCGGTCTGGAACGGCCCGGTCCGATCCATCTGTCCTTTCACTTTTACCTACTACTAGTGAAATTGTTGAGTCATTGAAGTTTTTTTGGAATAGAGCTAGCAAAACAGCATAACACTACCGAACCCGCCTCTTCGCCACGTTTGGCATTTTCTAAGTTGCAACAAATCAAACCATGAACTCTTCTAGCCGATGATGGATTCAAGGGCACGCCTGCCCGCGACTTCTGAGGCGAAACATTGTTTCAATTTAGCCATCAATTTAGCCAGTGATGAATCGACTCGGCAAGGTCCAGTCCTTTGGAGGCCAGCGTCGAATGATGCAGAATAAAAACCATGAACTCGGCTAGTGATGATACGACCGGGGAAGCCCTGTCTTCTCCGGGGTACTGAAGCCTTTTTTGTTTCTTTGCTTTTTTAAACAATGGCTTTGCAGAGTATGATGAACTCACAGGAACATCTCAGGATAATGCACGGATAAATCGGGAAAATGGGCACGACCAATCCCCCTGACTGTCGTACGAAAAAGGAGTATTTGTAACTGTCAGGTGTAGAAATTCTTGCTGCCACTTTCGTCTCAGCTATTGCCAACCCGGGCGCGTACAAAGTACGGAGTACTTTGGAGTACTGGCAGGACATCATCCCTTGCCTCCCCCCCCCTCCCCATGTCTCACACCACCTCTTGGCAGGCTTTTTTTTCATAATATCCAATATCCGGTGTCGTCACACAAGGCTCGCACCCCTTGAATTGGACTGGCAGCAAATAACCAATCATCGCCAGTGTGGTTTCACCGACCCTTCCGCCATCTACGTCCTTTTGCATCTGCTGCTTTGACGTGTCAGTCAAGTGGCTGCTGTCCCAGCCTGCACCCGACCACAAAAAAGGTACGGGAGTGGAAGATCGACAGCTCATATATAAGACCTGCTATAGTGAGGCTGTGACTCAAAAAAAAAAAAAAATCTTAAATGTGACAAAGGATAGGGTGGCCACACCATCCGTTACTTCAAAGAGATTATATGCAGTTGATAGGCTGCTACTTCCCCAGTTCCAAGCCCCCCCCAGGAATTGATGTGCCTCGATGCCGAATCTGGGGCTGCCCAATAGTTAGATAGACCTTGCCGGGAAAATTCAGACTGTGATAACTAGACATCCGAAGCCTGATGACGTCCTGAGCATCGCCACCATCCCAGCCCGACCATACTGGTAGCATAGACGGGGTTGACATGTGCTTCGCCTTGGACTGGAAACGAGTCATTGCCACTTTTGCGTCGAAAACGGGCGCTGGTGCCTAGTTGGCTGCAGCCAAGGATCATGCGGCGGCAGCTGCCAGATGCTCGGGGGCTTGCGGCTGTGACTCTAGAACAGGCGGGATAGAAAATTTGAATTAAATGGTATATTTTTATGACTGATTCATGCAACCTCTCTTCCTTTTCATACGTTTATACTATACCTAAATTATAACTAGGTATCTGGACAGTTCTTTCGTCCGCTGCTTGTGAATCTGCCCAGTTCCTTCTTGAAAGAAAGTAGCATTTATCCATGAATTTATGCTTCCTCTGATACAACGTTCCTTTTAACGGCGGGCTTTCAGGACGCCTAGGAGGCTCCAGGTCTCGCATGCTCATGCAAGCCATTGTCTCGGGAATGGAAGAGCTAGCACAGACCCGAGGGCGCCTGACCTCTTCTAAAAGATACGAGATTGCTGCTCCTCATCAGCCTCTTGTTGACAAAAGTGTACTATTCAAAAGCAGAAGCCCGCAACATGCATCGAGTTGCCTCTTCTCACCCCAGCGCCACTGGCCCAGGCAGTGCAGGCGTGAGCGTCGCGGAGTGTGGTTGCCGTGAGGCACATAAGGGGCCACTTGTAGCCCTAATAAGCTCATCGCAGGTTGTTTACGCTTCTACGGAAGGCGAGACTATCGGTACTGGAGCTGGTGTGTGACTTGAGTTGGCACCCTGACACCGGAGCACGATTCTGGATATGCCACGCGCTGTCCCGTGAAACACGTCCAGAAGCTGGGGCGGAGTGAGCACCAACAATACTATCCTTAGGAATGAATGCCTCTTAATCGACTCTCTACAGAGAAATAACTGCGACTACAGCCTTGTCCAGGCAGCAACGAGCCGATCCACGAAGCGGGCCCCCCGGATTGCCCCGACGAACCTTCCCCACGAAAGACAGAGAAGACCATGGTTCTAGTCTATAACATGACATTTCTGCTGGAGGATGTCGGATCTATACGTTGAGCTTCCCAACTCGCCTCGCCGCAACATTTTGAGGGAGAGATGTTGCATCGCCAGGGCAGAACGTGCCAAGCGCGGTGCAGTGCAGCGGCAGAAAGGCTGGAGGTGCAAGAAATGATGATTTGCATGGCTCTGAGAATGAATAAGATGATGAGAATATTGAACGGATATTTCTTGACAGTATTCAGAAAAAAGCCGCTTGCATTCTACTGCGCATTTTCCCGTACGGAGAAGATGTGGTCAGCCAAGGTGTCGCGAGTGGTGATGGAGACATGATTGCTTCGCTACCAAAATGTGACAGCCGAGGACACACAGGCAAACCACAAGGTCATCCATCAAGGCGAATTCGTGGCATTTCGCGTCGTCAGGTCACATCCAAGGTCTAGATGAATCGATCTAGTGTTGGGTGACCTGCCTGCCCAAACGGGATGCTCCGTCCGGCATACTCCACCGGAAACCCGTATCCGGACTGCGGGAAACAAAAGGAATGGCGCGGTTGTAATCTAACCGCGCTCCGCTTTTGCGAATGATGCGGCTCATCTATAAAAGGACATGCCATACGAACCATGCTGGGGGGTGCCCTTTTTTCTTTTTTTTCTTCATCTCTTGCCCGTTGGACAACAGTGCTCTGGGAGCGCATGTGATTGGTGCGTGGTAGTGGGGTCCACGGCATGGCGGCGCTGCCAAACGACTTTATTGGGTGACGTTTAGGGGAGACACGACGACTAAATATCCGGGGAGCACTAACAACTTCATTATGTACATACACACAGCATACTATCGAAAGCTCCTAGGCTTGAATAGGCCAAGCAAAAATGGCTAACCCCTGCTGCCAGCCAGCGCAGGTCACTGGGTGCAAACGTGCAACGTGGGACCGGAGTGCCGCCGCCCGAGTCGGCCGGCCCCGCAATAAAAATGTCCAAGTAGAGGCTGTCGCCCGCCTCCCGTCTGGCCAGCCTGCTCGGCCGACTCTCGCTTTTTTACAGCGCCTCACAGCGCCTCGATGCTGGACTGTAGGCACTTTAGTAGCCCTAGCGCGCTGGAACTCCCCGCCGACGGTTTGGGCCACCCTGCCGAGGTACTCTATCTTGGACTGACTTTATAGTGGGTGTAACTAGCTCTGGCCGTTACTTCGACGTCACCATATATTTTTTAAATCTCCCCCCCCCTCCCTTCTTTTGCCTCCTCCTTCTAATCCTATATCAATTATACCCATCCAAGACCTTGCTTTGCTTTTCATACTCTCGACGATTGGCTCTCGATACCCGCATTGGCCGCCCATCGATAACGCTCTCCCTCCCGAATACCCCATATAACCGAGACCGAACCCGCCCCCTCCGTGCCTACACGCGCGCTGCGCCGCCGCCGACATCACAGCAATGCCCGGCTCGTCGCGCATGCCCATCAGCCTTCGCGGCTCCGGCGCCCTCAAGCCCGGTAGCTCGGCCGCCCTGTCCCTGAGCCTTGTGAACCTAGACCTGTAAGGCCCCTTCCCCCAAAGACTTGCTGTGCGCCTGACCCCGTCGCTAACCTCGGAACCTTGCCTTTGTCCGTCCCAAGGCTCCGCAACATCGTCTTCTTCTACTTTGTCAGCCGCTGGACCCGACGGCTGTACTGGAAGCTCAAAGGCCGGGGCCTCATCGGCGCCGTGCTCGAGCTGTACCGCGACATCCGGCGCGTGCTCTACGGCTGGTTCCTGCGCGCGCCGGGTGTGCGCGCCCAGGTCCGCGCCAAGGTCCGCGAGTCGCTCGACAAGATGGAAGCCAAGCTCGTGCCGCCCGCCCAGACGCGCTACCTGACCCTGCCCAAGGAGGGCCTGCCCGAGGAGACGATCCGCGCCGAGCTCGACGCCCTCGCCAACATGGACCACACCCGCTGGGAGGACGGCTACGTGTCCGGCGCCGTCTACCACGGCGAGGCCGACCTGCTCAAGCTCCAGACCGACGCCTACGGCCTCTTCACCGTCGCCAACCCCATCCACCCGGACGTCTTCCCGGGCGTCCGCAAGATGGAGGCCGAGGTCGTCAGCATGGTCCTCAACATGTTCCACTCGCCCCAGGGCGCCGCCGGCGCCTCCACCAGCGGCGGCACCGAGAGCATCCTCCTCGCCTGCCTGGCCGCGCGCCAAAAGGCCTACGTCGAGCGCGGCGTGACGGAGCCGGAAATGTAAGCCTCCATCTCCATCTCCCCTCACTCTCCTCTTGCCCTTGCCCCTTTCACGACTAACGCAGACCGACCCAGGATCCTCCCCATCACCGCCCACACGGCCTTTCGCAAGGCCGGCGACTACTTCAAGATCAAGGTGCACTTTGTCGACTGCCCGGCGCCCAACTACCAGGTGGACCTGCGGGGCGTCTCGCGGCTCATCAACCGCAACACGATCCTGCTCGTGGGGTCGGCGCCCAACTTCCCGCACGGCATCATCGACGACATCAGCGGGCTGTCGCGGCTGGCGGTGCGCAGCAAGCTGTGGCTGCACGTCGACTGCTGCCTGGGCTCGTTTGTGATTGCGTGCCTGGAAAAGGCCGGGTTCGAGGCGGAGCCGTTTGACTTTCGCGTCAAGGGCGTGTCGAGCATCAGCGTGGACACGCACAAGTACGGCTTCGCGCCCAAGGGCAACTCGACGGTGCTGTACCGCTCGGCCGCGCTGCGCACGTACCAGTACTACGTGTGCCCGGACTGGTCCGGCGGCGTGTACGCCTCGCCCGGCTTGGCGGGATCGCGCCCCGGCGCGCTCATCGCCGGCTGCTGGGCCAGCCTCATGGCCATGGGCGAGGCCGGCTACGTCGACTCGTGCGCCCGCATCGTCGGCGCCGCCAAGAAGATTGCCGACGCCATCCGCGAGAGCCCCTCCCTGGCCGGCGAGCTGGAGATTATCGGGCGCCCGCTCGTGTCCGTCGTCGCCTTTACCGCCCGCGACCTCGACATCTACGACATTGCCGACGCCATGTCCGCCAAGGGCTGGCACCTCAACGCCCTCCAGAACCCGCCCGCCATCCACGTCGCCGTCACCCTCCCCATCACAAAGGTCTGGTCCAAGCTCATCACCGACCTCGAGACGGCCGTCGAGGAGGAGCGCGAAAAGGAGCGCGTGCGCGTCGTCGAGGGCAAGGGTGCCAAGGGCAAGGCTGTGGGCGACTCGGCCGCGCTGTACGGTGTTGCTGGCTCCCTGCCGAACAAGAGCGTCGTCGTTGATCTGGCGACGGGTTTCCTTGATCTGCTGTACAAGGCGTAGATTTGGTCTTTTATCTCACTTGTCTTGTATGTTTTTTGTATGGTTTTTTTTTGTATATTGTGTTGGGTACTGCGCGTTCATCTAGAGGCAAAGTTGAATCTCGAAAAGTATATTCTCGACAAGGTGGACTTGATGCATGGTGTAGCCCGGGCACCTCTTGCTGTATTCGGTGTTAAGGGTCGCAACATTACAAGATGGCCATTCTGGATTATAATTGTTAAGAGAACAAAGGACGGGTGGGTGACCTTGGCAGCCACATTCATTGGCGTTCCTTTGCCACCGCCATCTTTTAGCCGCACTGTAAAAGCAACAGGTGGTACATAGTGTGTGTATACTACTGCGATGATCAGGAAAAATTGTATTTTGCATCCGTTTATCAGAGCTAGTCAACAATCCGACAATCGTCGCATAAGCGACACTACTGTCTCACATTTCATCGGCAGCCTTGGCGATACAGCAAGACTGGGCTTGAATGGGTCCTTTTGGCCGCAAGCCCTCGATTCCTTATTTCCCTGCGCCTCTCCCACAAAAGGCCAAACCAAGAGTCATTTTCCGCTCAACCATACCTCGTCTCTGCTGTCCCGCCAACGATGCGCCGCCTCGCACCGCTTCTCGCGCTCCTCGGCCCGGCGCTCGCCGCGTGCAACGGGCGGGACGAGTACTGCGGCCGGCGCTACTCGGCCATGACGCACATGGGCGCGCACAACAGCGCCTTTGTCGGCACCCTCCCGACGCACAACCAATACGTGTCGGCGGCGGCGCAGCTCGACCTCGGCGTGCGCTTCCTGCAGCTGCAGACGCACGCCGCCCCCGGCGCCGGCGCCGGCGGAGGCTCCATTGAACTCTGTCACACGTACTGCTGGGAGCTCGACGCCGGCCCGCTCGACGCGTACCTGCGGGCGCTGGCCGCCTGGATGGGGATGCACCCGGATGAGGTCGTCACCCTGCTGCTGACCAACGGCGACAGGATTCCCGTCGAGGCCTTTGACGCCGCCTTCCGCCGCGCGGGGCTGGTGCAGTACGTGCTACGGCCGCGCGGCGTCATGGCCAAGGAGGAGTGGCCGACGCTGGGGGAGATGATTGATGCGGGCACGAGGCTCGTCGTGTTTATGGGTGCGTTGACCCGTCGTCGGATTCAAAGGGAGAATATCTGCCTCGCATATGGCTAACGCGTAGAGTGAAAAACAGACTACGGCATGGACCAGACCAAGGTCGACTACATCATCAACGAATTCGACTACTTTTGGGAGACGCCGTACGGCATCACCGACAAGACGTTCCCGACGTGCGCCGTCGACCGCCCGCCCGGCGGCGACCCGGGCCGGCTCATGGGTATCATGAACCACATGCTCAACTACAGGCTTGGCGACGTCGTCTTCCCGAACCAGCCCGACGCGGCGCGCACCAACTCCAAGGCTTCGATCCAGGCGCAGGTTGCTCGGTGCGTCGCGGCGTGGTCGCACCAGCCCAACGTGGTATTGGTGAGTTGAGGAAGCTGTGCTTTTGCTGATGTCAGGAGCTAATACGGTGTGTAGCTTGACTGGGTAAATATAGGCGAGGTCGCTGCCGCGGGCCTTGCTCTCAATGGGCTGGTGAGAGTGGCGGCTTGAGCGTTGTTGTACATGAACCTGCGGCGGTAGAATTGAAACAAAGCATCCCCATATCAGCTTTGTTATACATAAATTATATAAGCTATATACACATTAGTTACCAATAGATACAACGTGAAACCACAGTAAAAGTCTACAATGCTCTGTGTCCGATCACTGGCACGCGAGCGGTGACGTAGTTGCGCTGATCGGGATGCGCCATGGCGGGTATTTCCAGCTACCCGGTTTGAGCTGCCAAGCCACGTTGAGATCTTCCAGAACCCTCCTACTGCCAATCAGGGAAACTACGGAGGGAGATGGAGAGCCAATTCGACCAGTTTTAGCCATAGGTTGGTCCTACCGGATCCAATGTGGAACATTAGGGTTGGCAGCTATTCCGTGGTGACGGAGTCATGATGTAATGCGAGCTAGACCGTGAGTACTTATGGAGCTGCAAGTCAGCTTCGTCGACGCATAGTCGCCATAACGTATAAAAGCTGTGTCTTCTGTCCATCTCATATATCTTATCTCAATCACTCTTTTAAAAAACTCAAACTACTCACTTCAAAATGCCTTCCACCGAGCACAAGGACGAACCCTTTGAGGAGGGCAAGGAAAACTCCCACAGCCAAACTGATCCCAGTGCGTCTCCCCGGGAAATCAAAAATCGTAAATAGCAATACTGACCCGTCTTTCAGAGGACCAGCGCTCCCTTGCCAACCGCGTCGCCGCCGAAAAGGTACGCATACCCGTTATTGAGCAACCGGGAACAGACCGACTAACACACGCCTAGCAAGCGAACGAGGACGAGGACAGCCCCGAAGTTGCGAGAATGAAGGAGGACCCTACCGCTCCGGTAAGTGCCATCGGCGCGTGGCAGGGAAACGAGACTGACATTTTGACCGCAGGCGAGAGAGCACGGCAACGAGCCCTCCAGAGGCGCCAAGATTGACGCCAAGATCCTACAGGAGGAACAGGCTGAGCTGGAGCGCAAGGGCAAGGCGTAAAGGCGGTTTTGGATCGATTTATACTCAATACATAATGTGATGAATATATTGAAAATAATTTCCCCATCTTACAAGCGAATGGCATCTGTGACGAGCGCACTCGTGTTAGCAGGCAATCGATGTAGATTCATGTGACGGAGCCACGGACCGCAGAAGGGGTCAACCTTCGTACAACGAGAGAAGAATAACTAAGATTTAGGCAATCAGAATGAAATTTGCATTTTCTAGCCCGTTGTTCCGTTTGCGACCAAATCGAGATCAACGGCCGATAGGCTGCCAGAGTCATTCAGCACGTCGCAGTCGGAGAGCACGCCATTTCGCTTCCTCTCATCAACTGATGCAGAATTCGACAGACACCCTCATTATTGAAAATATCACTTTTTATGCCATCATCTCGTCTCCGTTGCTGCCTGAACAAGTTGCAAACTGTCACGTGTAGTTCGCGTCGGTTGCAGGCAGCTAGCGCGTCACGACACGCCCACTTAACGCGGTTCTGCCTAGAACCAAAGTTAGCTGCCCGCCTCGAAATGCTGCGACACAGTCGCCGCGTCACATCAACGATAGCCAGTGAAAAAAGTCCCAGCTGCTACTATTTAACTGCGGACCATTCCCAATCCGCCAGCAACGCGGCTGGTACTTTGAGGTCCCATTTCAGCCGTCCATTGCTGCAAATTTCCTCCGGAACCGCCACCATCTCTCGCCATCACCAAGCCTGCCGCTTCTTCACGGTGGCTTCAACCAGAGCTTTGGGACGATTGGTGCTGCGCCAGACTTCTTCCGCCACCTCGGTGCTCCGACGTGCTCACGCACTGCATTTTAGCACCATGGCGCCCAAGCAGTCCACTTTGGGGTATGTTAAGCCTTCTCAGACGTCGATTGGGTGCGTTTGTCCCTCTCCATCGTCCGTGTCCGTCGTGCCGTGGTCGCAGACAGCTAACACTGTCCTGCTGTAGCAAGTTTTTCGGTGCCAAGTCGGACGGGCCAGCTCGACAGTCCAAGCTTGCTTTCTCAACAAAGCCGAAGAAAGAGGCTGAAGCTGCCGACGATGGCTCAAGTACCAAAGAGAATACTGATCCAGATACCGGTATGTTACTTTTGCCTACCTTCAGAATTTCTCCGGCCATACAACTAATGTGTTCCCAAGATTCAAAAAAGCGAATTCGCTCGGATGCAAAGAACGAGTCGAAAGCACCGATCAAAAAAGAAGAAGACGACGAAGATGCTCCAGTCGCGAAGCGCCCCCGAAGACGCCGCCCCAAGGTCGAGGATGATGATGAGGACGTGGTGCCAACCACGGAACCAATCAAAAAGCAGGAACAGATGGACTCACCGGTCAAGGTCGAATCCTCTGTCGAGCCCAGCCCCGAGCCGCCCGTAAAGAAGGAGAAGCGCGCCGACAAGGAGTTCAAGGAAGCAGCCGCCTCTGAATCCGGCTCCGACGTCGAAGGCGATATAGAAGGGGAGGAAAAGCCCGAAGTTGTTGCAAAGGCGCGTAAACTGGCTCAGACGAAACTCAGCTCAAAGGCCAAGGACCCATACCCCGATTGGAAGGCTGGCACTCCCGTCCCCTATGCTGCCTTGTGTACAACCTTTTCCCTCGTCGAAATGACGACCAAACGCTTGATCATCATGGAGCATTGTGCGCTTTTCTTGCGTCAAGTCATGCGCCTGACCCCCAATGACCTTCTTCCCACCGTCCTGCTCATGATCAACAAACTGGCCCCGGACTATGCTGGTATCGAACTCGGTATCGGCGAGTCGCTAATTATGAAGGCCATTGGCGAGTCGACTGGGAGAAGCTTGCAAGTCATCAAGACCGATCAGAAAGACATTGGCGATCTCGGCCTGGTCGCTTTGAAGAGCAGATCCACGCAACCAACCATGTTCAAGCCAAAACCGCTGACGGTTCGTGGCGTCCACCAGGGCCTGATGGGTATCGCTACTATCTCGGGCAATGGCGCCCAAGGCCGCAAAGTTGACGGTATCAAGAAGCTTCTCTCTGCTTCTGATGCCCACAACACCGGCAAGGTTGACATAACAAAGGACAAGGGTGGCCCCAGCGAAGCCAAGTACATTATTCGGTTCCTGGAGGGGAAACTTCGACTAGGCCTCGCAGAAAAGACGGTCCTAGTTTCTCTTGCTCAGGCTATTGTCTGCCACGAGGCAGACCAGCGCGGCAAGCTGCCCAGCACATCAGATATGGAAAAGGGCGAGAGCATCCTCAAGACGGTCTACAGGTAAGTGTCGCGTTGCGTCGAATTTATCTCGCCTGCAGAATCTAACAGCATTCCAGCGAGCTTCCCAGTTACGACGTCATTATCCCTGCTATGCTCTCTCACGGTATCCTCAACCTGCACGAGCACTGCAAGTTGCAACCCGGTGTGCCGCTGAAGCCCATGTTGGCCAAGCCCACCAAGGCCATCACAGAAGTCCTGGATCGCTTCGAGGGCCAGACATTTACATGCGAATACAAGTACGACGGCGAGCGTGCACAAATTCACTACGTTGCCAAGGACGCTCCCCAAGAACTCAGCCAGGCCGCGCCGGGCGCCAACAAGGATGCCGCCAAGGGCGTCGCCAGCATTTTCTCCCGCAACTCGGAAGACCTGTCCAAGAAGTATCCCGACATCCTCGCCAAGCTGCACAGCTGGGTCAAGGACGACACAAAAAGCTTCGTGCTCGACTGTGAGACGGTCGCGTGGGACACGGAAGAAAAGACGGTGCTGCCTTTTCAGCAGCTCATGACGAGAAAGAAAAAGGACGTCAAGGTGGAAGACGTCAAGGTCAAGGTCTGCGTCTTCGCCTTTGATCTGCTCTACCTAAACGGCCAGCCCGTTGTTGAAAAGTCGCTGCGAGAGCGGAGGGAACTCTTGCAACAGGCATTTACGCCCGTAGAAGGCGAGTTTTCGTTTGCCACTTCGATGGACGGCCAAGAGCTCGATGAAATTCAAGTGTTCCTCGACGAGAGCGTCAAGGCTTCCTGCGAGGGCCTCATGGTGAAGATGTTGGACGGCACGGAGAGTGGATACGAGCCCAGCAAGAGAAGTCGGAACTGGCTCAAGGTATGTCCCACACCGTTCTCCGTCGTTGTCCCGTTACTGACAAAAAGTCGCAGATCAAGAAGGACTACCTCGCCGGCGTCGGCGACTCGCTGGATCTCGTCGTTCTGGGCGCCTACTACGGCCGCGGCAAGCGCACGTCCGTCTACGGCGCGTTCCTGCTCGCCTGCTACAACCCGGGCTCGGACACGTACGAGACGGTGTGCAACATTGGCACGGGCTTCTCGGAGCAGGTGCTCGAGGAGCTGCACGCGGCCCTGTCCGCCATCGTCATTGACCGCCCCAAGCCCTTTTACGCCCACTCGACCGGCAACCAGCACCAGCCCGACGTCTGGTTCGAGCCCCAGTACGTCTGGGAGGTCAAGACGGCCGACCTCACCCTCAGCCCCCGCTACAAGGCCGGCTGCAAGGAGGGCGTCGACCCCGCCGGCGGCAAGGGCATCAGCCTCCGCTTCCCCCGCTTCATCAAGATTCGCGACGACAAGAAGCCCGACGAGGCCACGTCCAGCCGCCAGGTCGCCGAGATGTACCGCAAGCAGGAGAGCGTCACCAAGAACAAGGGGCCGGCTGTGGATGATGACTTTGAGTATTGAAGTTACAATGGATGTAGTAGCTGTTGATGTGGCACATGTTGGATTATGGCGTCTGGATTGGCTTGGGATTTTTGTCATTATTTAGTAATGGTTGTTGAATGTCTGTCTACACCAGTATTGCACACAAGGAATTGTTGATCAGTGCAAAATAAATTCCGTGTCATGTCGTGGGCATTAGTACAAGAAATGAAATATGTATATACACCCCGCCAGCAATATCCAATGACTCTTTTTTGCCGTCTTGTTTCGATATCAACGGTTCTATAGCATGGGGCTACGGGGACCAGCAACGCCGTCGTCATCCGCTTCATCATCCGATACCAACAGCGGCTCTTCCGGCGCCACCCCTCGACCAGCAGGACCAGTCTGTGCTGCTGCGGCGGCGGCGACACCGCCCGCCGTCGTGCGGCGCGTCTCGTCTGCGCCGTTGAGCACGTACCAGACGTCCTTTTTGGTGAGCAGGCCCTGGAGGACGCCGCGGTCGCTAAAGAGCACGTAGCGCAGGCCGAGCTTCTGAAAGTACGCGACGACGAGCTGGAGGCTGGTGCGGGCGGGCAGGGTGAGGGGCGTCTGGTCCATCCAGGGCCGGAGGTCGAGGGTGGTGCGGGGGTCGGCGAGGGGCTGGTGGGCGAAGAAGGCCTCTGTGAGCGGGGGCAGGGCGCGGGGCGGTGCGGCGGCGGCGCGGACATTGTAGCTGAGCTCGGCGCGGGAGATGTAGCCGAGGAGGACGGCGTCACGGGGGTCGGAGATGACGGGGAAGCCGCGGCAGGGGTGGGCGGCGAGGACGTCGTGGAGGGAGGCAATGGTGTGGCCGGTGGCGGTGAGGACGACGAGGTCCTCGATGCGCGTCATGACGTGGGCGGCGGGCGCGTCGGGGACGGCGGCGACCTCGTCGCTGTTGTCGAGGAAGGGGTACTCGTTGAAGTGGATCCAGGACTCGTAGATGCCGCGACGGGAAAAGGCGTCGCCGACCCATTTGGCGACCATGACGGCGACCATGATGGGCAGCACGTACGTGAGCGCGCCGGTGAGCTCAAACATGATGACGACGATGGAGACGGTCATGCGGGTGACGCCGGTGAGCGCGGCGGCGGCGCCGATGATGGCGTACGTGCCGGGCGTGATGCACGGCGTGTCGGGCGCGCACGCCTGGAAGGCGAGGAAGCCGCGGTGGCTGTCCACCCACATCTCCATGAGGATGCCGACGGCGCGGCCGACGAGCGCGCCAATGGCCATGGACGGGAGAATGATGCCCGCCGGGATCTGCAGGCCAAACGTGACGGCGGCGAGCGCGAAGCCGAGCAGCGCCGCAAAGAGGAGCAGCACCACGGTGCGCGCCGACGCCGCGCCCGTCGTGCACAGCCCGACCGGGTCGTCGAGCACCTGCGAGCACTCCTGGAACAGGCTCGACACGAGCTCCGTCGACTGCACCTTCATGTAGTGGTTGGGGAAGTTGATGAGCGCCGTCAGGAGGGCCACGGCCAGCACTTGGACAATGGGCCCGGGCAGCCAGGAGGCGTTGGCCTTTTTCCAGCGCGCGACAAACATGTTGGCCTTGATGAAGAGGCCGCCGTAGACGCCCTGCGATTGTTAGCACGAGAGGGTTCCAAGAGACCCGGAGTACAGCTGTTACAGTAGGTAGGTCATGGGACAGGGAGGGGGGGCAACGCACTCCGATAATACCAAGAAGGGCGTAGGGAAGGATTTCGAAGCCGTGCCAGTCTCGGCTGTATTTCGTCTGGTACAGGACCAGCTTGCCAGACCGCAGGGGATCAAACGCCTGGAGCGACACGGCGGCCGTCATGGCGCAGACGAAGCTCTGCCACATGGTCTTGTCGGGGAAGTAGTACGATAGCTGCTCGAGACTGAACAAGACGCCGCCAATCGGGGAGCCAAAAGCGACGGAGATGCCGGCCGCCGCCGCCGCAGAGAGCAGCTCGCGCTTCCGCGCCTCGTTGCTGTGAATTGTACGGCGGAACAGCTTGGTGAAGAGGTTGGCGCAGCAGCAGGCGACGTGGACGAGGGGTCCTTCCTTGCCGAGCCACATGCCCGAGGCGACAGCGAGGACGAGGCCGAGCGACTTGGTGACAAGGGTCCAGGCGCCGAGCAGGCGGCGGATGACGAAGCCGCCGAGGATGGTCTTGATTTCCGGGATGCCGCTGTGTTTGGCGTAGAGCGAGTACTCTTGCACCATGACTGCGGCGCAGAGTGCGAACAAGATCTAGCAAGAAAAAACAATCCTCCCCCATTAGCAAAAAGGCGCACGCGAAAAAGGAACAAAGGGGTTGGGAGACGGCAGTACCGATAGGAACAAGTAAAAGATGTACTCGACGATCCAGCGGGCGGCGACGGCGTGCAGGCCGAGGGCCTCGCCCCAGGAGCGCCAGCCGACGCACTTGCTGCCCTGGTCGTAGCCGTAGCAGCAAAAGGACTTGTTGAGGTAGAAGTGGCCGCCCTCGGGCCCGCTCGCGCAGTAGCCGAGCTTGAGGTCGCCGAGCCAGTCGGTGGTGATGTTGATGAGGGCGGCGACGGCGCCGACGGCCAGCCCCGTCAGCACCATGACGACCCAGACCTGGCTGGCGTCGAGCAGGCGGCGGGCGTGGCCGGCGAGGCCGCGCGCGTCGGCTGTCAGCACGCGCAGCCGCTGCCGCTCCTTGGTGTACTCGAAGATCCAGTCAATGGCCGTGAGGTCGTCGTAGGCGACGCGCCGCCCGGGGCCCTCGACGTGCCAGTCGAGCGCTGCGGCCGAGGTGCTGGTGCTGGCTCCATCCTTTGTAAACGCGGCGCTGCTGGTGCCGCGCCGCCGCCGCCGCCGCGGTGAGGATGTCGCTGCTGGAGGGGCGACGAGGGGTTCCCGAGACGCCGTCGTGGTGCCGTCGCCGTCGCCGCCGCCGCCCGTCAGCGCCGAGAGCGGCAGTCGCCCGGGGTTGGCAAGCAGCGAGGGCTTTGATTTGCGCTTGAAGGAGATGGGTGTGGTGAATTCGTCGTGGTGGATTGGGTCGTCGTCGAGCACGTGGCCATCATCGTCGTCGTCGTCGCCGTCGTCATGGCCGCCGAGAAAGTCGAGCTCGTCTCGGTCGTCGGACGGGGGGTTGCGCTTCGGCAAGGTAGTCGTGGGCGACGGCGATGAGGAGGATTCGGGGGCAAACGGGTCGTGCCGGTCTGCTGCAGGCATCCTGCGAGCTAAAGGGAGGGCGTGGTTTTCGCGTCGTCGTATTCTTATGTCATCGTCCAGCCCGGCGGCGGTGGTTGCAAAGTTCAAATTCAAAGGTTCAAAGGTTCAAAACTGCGCCACCTCGTTAACTTGGTGCTTGGCGATGCGCGATTGCATTGGGTGGGTCCGGCCTGCCACGGCGATCTCATTAACTTTATTATTATCATCCGCCAACCAACATTTATTTTAGGCTTTGATAAAAGTTTTGACCACCTATGTTTTTTTTGGTGCAACTTGGTTTGGTTTACTAACTAATTCACGTACTTATATTCCTATGCTGTCTGCGCGCTTGGTACCCATGGCTGCTCATACTCTGGCGCAAAAGCCCAACGCTCAACTCCACCACGTACGGGATACCACCACTGTGAATCATTCTGCTCTTCGAATGGGTTCTTCCCATTTTCGTACAGGAACTTATTCGCTTCGTCGTCTACCCAGACTTCTCGGCCATCTACCCAAACTTCTCCGCCGTCTGTCCTCCGCTCTAGGCCATTATTCCGCACCCGGGACATCGTTAGGCTGATGCTTACTGTGATGCGCTCCGCGCCCACCTTGTTCTTCCACTCCAACGAATCGCGTAGGCCATACAGAAGATTGCGGTAGCCGTTTCTCCATGGCTTGAAGACTAGGTCACTAAGCTCTATGCTTTCAAGTGTCGACGGTAGTTCTCGGATGAAACCCAGTAGATCATCCAGCGCGACCGCAGCCCGGGTCAACCCAAAATGGCGCAGCCGTGGCCAGTTCTTGACCGGAAGAATCCCAGCAAGTTGAGTGTATCCGTCGCATCTGAGGTATGATGTCAATCTATATGGAGTCATTACGAAATGGAGATGCTCCAGATCAACCATGTCTGCCATTGCCTTGTATAGACGCTTGTTCCCAGGGGCTTTTTCGTCGGCGAGGTTCCCAATGTCGAAAGCCAAATCAAGGCGACGGAAACCAGGTTTCCTAACGACTTTGCCAAAAGTCTCATAGTCTAGGGAGTTGTCGTCGAAGGAGATGCCATTCTTCCCGTCGCTGGTTAACCCAATCACGTCCCCAACCAGCTCTGTCACGGAATGGTCCTGAGCTGCCAAGCTCCCCAATGCCCCTCGAAGCGCTCGGGTCATTCCCTCTTCTTCCTCATCTTGCCACCGTTGACTTGATCTAGTAATGCCTCCACACCTATGCCAAGGTTTTGGAATCGGGTACGCGAAGCCGTAGGAAAAGGCGCGAATCATGGGTGTCTTGTAGAGCGGTAGAAATTGCAGCCCATGTGCGGCAGGTGTCATGGTCACGCGCGACAAATTCGGCAATCTTTCAAGACCATATTCAAATGCCTTGACATCCAGGTTTTTCTCCAAGACAACAGCTTGCTCCTGACACAGTTTGTCGTAGTATATCAAGCTTTCCGCGCTAGAGAGTTTGCTCTTGAGTATCTCTTGTCTTATAGCATGACCTGGCATCTTTGAATCCATGCCATCAATGTCACAATTCTCATGGTATAGTTTTATTCTCTCATCATTCTGGGGCCTATCGTCTCTCTTAGTCCGCAAGAGTGTCTCGTCCCATATGATTTCTTTGACCCGATAGCGATAGACTTCGTGCTCTGCTACGGCGCGGAACACTTCGATATTGCGGGGATTGGCGCTCAGAAACACTCGTTGAAATTTCAGGAAAATGCGAGTTTCCCTTCCCGCTAAGCGAAGATTTTTTATGTCTTTATTCGAGAGGTGCGCCGAGATTGAGTCGAAAAGCTCGTTGGGAAGGCTTGCGAGGTCTGCCATGGTGATGGGTCGTATTGGTTGGTCCACGTTACTTGATGCTTGGTCCTCCAACGCGGCGTCCAAGGAGGGAGATTGAGGAAATCGGAAAGAGTCATGCTAGCAGCGTAGTATCTTGGTTTATTTTTTATATATGGTTTATTGTTTTTTTTTATATTACCCGTCGACGAAGGTGCGATTCTTTGTCGTTTGGTGTTGCAACTGTAACAGTGCAGACAACGGGTCCACAAGGAGCAGTGTATCACTGGCGCCTCACTTTCAACGTTTTCTCTACCCTACAAAATCCGGAGATCGTGAAGTGACCCAGCCATTTCAGCCTCCCGCGTTAACTCTGGGGTCTTTTTCAAGTAGGGGGCATAGAGGCACTCGAATATCGGTCTTGTACAGTTGGTTGCGCGCACGCTCTCATCATGGCCTCGAAAGAGTTCTCAGACAACCCAGTCCGTGAGCCACAAGAAGACAAAGAGATCACAAAGCTGAAAACGCTGCTTAAATCCAAAGATGACACAGAGCGCTTCGTCGGCCTGGCCTTGTTAAAATCGCTCCTCGACAACACACCAGCCATTCGCAACGATGAAGCCGCAGTACGCACTCTATGGTCGCACATCCCGCCGAGATTCCTCGACCGTCTGCTGCGCACCGGCTCCAGCCTGTCCAACGCCAACGCCAAGGACATGCTCGACATTGGCGTCTCCATCCTGTACACCTTTTCCATTTTGCTCCCGGCGGCTGACACGGCGGCACCGTCCTTTACAGCGCGCATACCGAGCCTGGTGGCCGCCGCTCTATACAGCACCGGCGAGACGACGGGACTCCTGCTCCAGACGCTGTACACGCTCGTCAACTCGGGCGAGGGCGCCGACGTGCTGATGCAGGTCGAGGACACGACGCCGCTCTCGGAAATCGCCACGAGCCATGCCATGGTGCTGGACATTTTTGGTCGCGCGTGGCTGCACCGCATGGCGGGCGGCGCGCCAGGCGCAGGTTTTGCGCAAAAGGTAGATGCCGTCATACAGAGCCTGGCCGTCCTCTTTAAAGGGACGGATGGTGTCACATACTTGGCCTTCATGGGCAACTTTCTACATCACTCTACACCAGAGGTAAGTCTTCGCTACTGGACTACTGCAGAGCTTCTTCTGACGAGAGACAGGCCATCCCTAAAGATCCAAAATGGATATCAGCAACGGCTTCATATATACAGCGTCTTGTTGCCAGCAGGCCTACTCCCGAGGCTCGCGCTGCCTACACGAGCGCAGCAGCCGGCCTACTACAAGCATACCCTGAGCAGGCCTCGGAGCTTCTCTTCAAGGACCCCACCAACACCGAGAAGCCCTTTGGCTACCTCTTCATAAACCTCCTCCTCATCGACATCCGTTCCTCCATCCCCATGCTGCTCGCCTCCCTCAACGCCCCCGACTACCACCCGACCGCGAAGCGCCTCGCCGCCGCGTACGACATTGTCTGCCTCTTCATCAGCTTCCTCGTGCGCTCCCTCGAGGACGACTGCCTCGACGCCCTCATCATGCCGCCCGACAGCCTGCTCCGCCTCCGCAAGGGCATCGCCGAGACCATGTCCGTGACGGTCGAGTACGTCCGCGACCGGTGGGACGCAGCGCGCTCCGGCGCCATGGGCTTCGACCCCAGCGCGCGCGCCGCCAAGGCGGAGACGCACACCGGCGCGCACCACACGCTTACGTGGGACACGGCGGACGCCGGGGGCGCCGACGAGGACGCGTTCCTGCTGTCGGCGCTGCGCGCGCTGACGCTCTGGCTACGCGAGGACGAGAACGAGCAGCTACGCGAGGAGGGCACCGGCCTCGTCGACGTGCTCATGGAGCTCTTCATCAACAGCCCGACGGAGAAGCTCGACTTCCGGCCCGCGGTGCTCGTCGGCCTCGAGGGCCTCGTCGCCATCCGCCTCGGGCGCGCCATGTTCCTGCAGCAGAGCGGCTGGGCCATCCTCACCGGGGACCTGGTCAACACCCTCCACAGACACCGCGAGGTCGCGGACGACAGGGAGGCGACCATGTGCGTGGACATTGTCCGCATCCTGCTCGCCGTTGCCGAGGCGGGCAAGAGCACCCAGGAGTCGTGGCTCGATCTCGTCACCGGCGTCGCCGCTTGGGATGTGCCGGCCGGCGACGGCGCGTCCGCCGCTCGCGACGCGCACGTGGCCGTCTTGCAGCTCTGCTGCACCGTGCTCGCGCAGGCCAACCCGGGCCTGCGCAGCCGGTACAGGCACTCCATTGCCGCCATTGCGGGCATCGCGACGCAGATCCACGAGCAAGTCGGGCACTTGAGCGAGTACAGCGAGCAAATGGATGATGTGATTGCGACTTTGGATAAATTACGATAAAAGAAATCCCAGCAGGGAACATAAAAATAAATAAGTAGTATATACATGGACAAACGTGATCAAGAAGCAGGGACTGCCTGCGTCGCCGTGCTGCTCGTAGTAATATCATGCTGCTTTTTGCCCGCAACGCTCGCCTTCGCCATGGGCCTTTCCTCAGGAGCAAGAATTTACTCAAATTACTTACTCGGCTCGTTTCATATCAACAAATTATCGGCTAGACGTTGAAATTACAGGAATGGATCACTACTATAGAGAGTCTCATAGCGCCGGTTATATTCGACCTACATACAGTGCAGAGTGCATATATCCAAGCAAGCTCCGCGTGCGTGTACTTTTTACTTGTTTCGGCCCTATGTGCATCGTATAGAGATTGGAACCTGAAGCGAGACTGAGCTGAAGCCCAGATATCATCGGGACATTGGGCCCATGCCACCATCAGAGTGAGACCGGGTCGGATATTCGCGCGCAGGAAATGCTTCCGACTTCTCAGCTCCGCCTACAGTAGGCGTGAATGCTACTGGCTGCTCTATCTAACGTTTTTTCTACCCGGTCCTAGTTCTGCAGGAAATGAATACGTGGCTCGGCTGCCAAAGACGCTACTGTTGGTGATTGTGTCAATGGTCGTTGTCATAAGAGAGCGCTTTAGGCAGCTGCCAGAGCTATTCGCTTTAGGCAGCTGTCAGAGCTATTCACTCTTAGTAGGCAGCTGCCAGAGCTATTGGAGTCAAGTCATCTGCTGATGAGTTCCACAGCATACATGGGCCTGGGAGGACAAACGTTGCTGACATCCGACCGGTTTCTGTGCGACCCGGCCAGCCCCAAGATTGAACCTGCTCGTGGAACGCAGATTGCTCTCCTCTTCCGACTAAATGTCACGGTTCTTCTCCGTTTGCTGTCTACATTATACTCACTAATCAGCTATTGGAGAATCAATCACGCAGAAGTGGCGCTGCACTGATGAGGCGCAGCATTCAACAAAGCCTATCCCGCCAAGCTGATTGTATCTTTCCCCTCCTACGACGAGAGAAAACATTCACCTGGTACACAAACTGCCAACCCATCCACCGCTTGCCGAAATACCACAATATGCGTCTTGCTCTTGCTCTTGTGCCCATTGTGCTCAGCACCGCCGCCGCCATGCCCAACTCCACGGAGATTGGTACGTACTCTACCAAGATATCGATGTTGGAGTACGGCTATTAACTGGGCGGGGAGTACAATAGCGGTCGTTCATTGCGGGAAGCAGGGAGAGCGTTGCAGCCACAAGGTGGACTGCTGCGGCAGACTCAAGTGCAAAGGTGACATATTCCATGGTGGTCATCTTTGCAATTGAGCGTCCTATCTCGGCTAGCACGCTTCTGGTCTGAGACGCTGCGAGATTGAACTGAGCTTCTGCTACATAGTCTTGCAATGGCAAGTGCGACGCTGCTTGGTAGATGTTTAGTGAAGACAGCACGAGTATGAATCTGTAACTATCCCCAGGACACCAAGAACTGTGATGCTGATAAAAGATGCCATGATTTCAAAAGATCGACGTGGGTCAAATGATGACCTCGTCCGCTGCGAGTACTATTCAAGTCTAAGATATATCGTACAAAGAAAGCATCGTACACACCTGAGCTTAATCAGATACATTATCATTACCCCCCTTGGATTTCCGAAACCGCTCCTTGCCCGTGGCCAGCGCCGCCTCCACCTTCATGCCGCCAAAATTTCGCCCATGCATGAGGTTAATACACGCCATCGCCGACTCCGCGTCCTTGAACCGGACCGTCACGATGCCGTCCTCCTCCTCGTCGTACAGCACGACGCTCGTCACCGTGCCGAGCTTGGAGCACTCGTCCCGAATATCCTCCTTAATCTCGAGTAGCGCCGCGGGGTCCGCCTCGAGCTCCTGCCGCGAGAACATGTGCTGCAGCACCACCATCTTGTCCTTTTTCGAGCTGATCGGCGGGACGTTGGCCGGCGCTTCGTCGTCGCTCCAGTCGGCCAGCTTTGCGTCCATCTTTTGCGTCTTTTTGATAATCTTTTTGCGGTCCTTGGTGGGCGCCCGGCGCTCTCCGTTGCCGTTGCCGTTGCTCTTGGTATCGGGTTTGGCGCTGCCGTCCTCGCCCTTTCCCGGGCCGTCCTTGTCGTATTGCACCTTTTTGTAGCTTGAGTCGGCCTCTTGTACCCGGATGCGCCCCTCGCGCGTGCCGCTTGCTGTTAATCGGAAGTCGGTATCGTCGAGCAGCATTATGGCCATCTCGACGCTCTGGGGCTTGAAGAAGACTATGAGCGCATCACCCTTGAAGTTGCCGTCCGCGTCATTGTACAGTTTGATCCTCGGGGCTCCGCTATCGATTTCTTCGGCAATCACACCGCCCTTGCGCGAGAAAAGCTCGTGCACCTCTTCGATCGTCGCATCGGGGGGGAGCCCGGTGACGTAAATGGCCGTGTTTTGTCTAGGTTGCGAAGGCGCCTTGGCCTTCTTGTTTTTGGGCTTCAGCTTTTTCGAGTCCTGTGACTAGATTTCCATGGTCAGTATCTTTGCGCACTGATTTCATGTCCCGAGTAAAATTGTGACAGCCTCGAGGAAGACCATCATGCGTCGTACCTCTAATCCATTTTCTTCGTCGTCGTGCCGTCTTTTTCCAGCGCCAACCGCGGCCCCTTGGGATTCCTGTAGTAGTTCTTGGGTAGAGATGTTTTCTTCTAGCTCTTGCTCTTCTATTGGTTGCCACGCGCGGCGATCGGCATCAAACTCGAACTCAGCACCGTCGTCCCGAACAGCAATGAACTTGCTGTCGAGCTTCGAGTAGGAGATGCGGTCGTCGCCGTCGAATTCCTGCACGTCGGTAGGAAAAGGCGCATCCATATCTGTGAGGATTCGCCTCGTGATTGCGCGCCCGGGGATGTTGGTGTTTTTGTCACGGTGCTGTTGAGCAGAGCTTCTGGCACAGGCAGTCACCTCTGCCTGGCAGCACTAGAATTGGTACGTGGGGCAATTGAAAGAAAGCATCAACCAGCTACAGTGGTGAATCCAGGTACCTAGTACTAGTACCTAGGTACCTTCCTACCTCCAGATATATCTAGGAGGTAGGTATGCCTTACCCATACGTTTGATTAACTTCAAAATTCATTGCCCATAGTTGCGTACGTCTATTTTAATAAGACAGCTACTATAGCTAAGAAACCTCGGTGTCTACCGAACAAAGAAAGTCGTTCCTAATCCTGCTTCTCCTTGGCTGACTTGATGACACCATCAACAAATGCCTTTATAGCATGGCCGCCGCCTAATGGCATACCACCTTGCTGAATGTAGCCACCGTTTTCAACATTGACCCCAAGGGCGTCAGCGATGGTGGGCAATCCACCATCTCGCAGAGCCATTGTCAGTGTTCCAAGGGCCTGGTGGAACTGAGGGCTACGCAGCACTCTTGTGATCAAATCTCGCTTCTGGGCGGTGGACAACGCTGTCTTGGCCGCCTCAACAGCCGTTTGATCGGGCTCTGCTGTGCTGCTATGAGCTATTGGGGCGTCGGCAGCCATGAGAATAATTGACGGCGGCAGGTAATTGAGAAGAGAGTCCAGGAAGCATTCAGATGCTTCAGTCACCATGGGAATCGTCATCGGAGGTGGCAGAAGATGGTTGAGATAAGGGTATGGTAAATCAGCGTGCTGTCTCTGTACTGAGTTGTTTCTGAGGTTGGTCCCCGAGATGGAGCTCAAGAATCTTTGAACGGCAGCACTCGCATCTGTTGCTTCATTTGAGGCTCTAGAACGACTGTTAGCAAGGATTACATTAACGCGCGAGGGTTTAGACAATTTTTTACGCCGATTGCATTTCATCTTTGCCCCAGAGGAAAAAATAATCTATTATTACGTCCTGGCCAAGCAAAGTATGTCGTTTCCGGCGTGAATGGGCAATGTTAAGAGAATCAAGAATGGACCTACGCTCTCGCACCGTCGGAGCCGCCTTCTCGCGCTTCTTCGCCCTCTTCTCTGACATCTCCTCCTGTGGCGCCAGCACCGGCACCGCCACTGCCGTGACGTTGACGGGATGCTGAGCCCTGACCCTGGACGTCTTCCATAGTTTCGTCGTCGTCGTCCGGGCTGTTCATGTTGCGGAGATATTCGACCTCTCTCCAGGTATTCAGATCTTCGCCCTGCAAGATACGGTTCACAAGATCTCCCACCTCGCGGTCGCGTGTGCTCAAGTAGCCAGCGTCGGTGCCGCTGCCCTGAGGTTTTGACTGTAGCCAGAACAGATAGCGCTGTGAGGAGGACGCAAACTTGAGGACGAAAATGCGGCCATTTGTCTTAGAAGTCGGCTGGGCCGTTGCATCGTACTCGTACGGAACAAAGGTGCCGTCCGTGGGCACCATGACAAGCTCGAGCTCGGCTTCATCGACATGTGTGTCACGCAGTCGCCAGCAGAATTTAATGAGCTCTGCAGCCGGGGTCAGTGGCGTGCATCATCAGTCGCAGTTTTACGCTAGCGTACCATCTTCGTAGTGGAGGGAAATGTATCCAGGCTCTGGTAATGGCTTCACCTTGTACGGACGGCTTGAGCCGGTCGTCTGAAGCGGCAATCGTTAGCAACCAACAAAATAAAGGCTTCTCGGGCGCAGGGACACACGTCGACCTCACAACGGCCCGCCTTGAAGATGACGAGTTCTGTGACCATGATTGCGGATGATTGCCGGAGGGGGGTTCGCAGAGGAAGCTATCGGCACGATGCTTGGGAAAGATGCAGGATGGTGGTTGATGTTTCCACGCGATGAGTCTGGCAGGTGGTGCCCAGAGAAGCGGGTACCTTGTACATAGGTAGGCTACAGCTCCTCTTACGTAGATGGAGCTCTTAGTAAGTTGGTAACAAGGCAAGGTTCTAGAGAGGCCTGAGCGACGGCCACCACTGCAAACGGCAGCGGCCCGATATTTATCCCGACCAACCCAAACTGGTGCACCCTGCACGCTCCACGTTGAGCCACAAGTGGCCCCTCGCCAGATTGTGGTTAAAAAAAAATCCTCAACCCCACCTACCACATCGACCAGACAACCACCTCCTCCTATTTCTTCTCCTCAAACCCTCGTCAGTTTTTCGACTCGACTCTCTCTTCTTCACAATCAAAATGGGTTTCGCTGATCTTCTCACCGATGCTGGAGCTACCAGTATGTCCCTTGATGCAGTGCTCAGCGTTTAATTACACCGCTTCAGCCGCTGACCATGATTGCCAGTGCTCAACAACTGGGTTGCTACCCGCTCCTACATCGTAGGGTAAGTCTTTTGTCGCCTTGCTGGCCTTTTCTTCCGTTCCCGTTTCGCATTACATGATGAGAACAATTGGTCCGTGTTTCGGAGGCGGACTCAAGACCCGCCGACAGACGAAAAAACCAGCAGAAATGCATCTCTGAACAATGTCCAACGCAACCCATTGCATTGCCCAGCAATCGTCTAGAAGCTTGCAGACGAAAAATGCTGACAGAACACTACAGCTACGGCCCTTCGCAGGCTGATGTTGCCGTCTTCAAGGCCTTCAGCACCTCCCCTGCCGCCGACAAGTACCCCAACGCCGCTAGATGGTACAAGCACATTGCCAGCCACGAGAGCGAGTTCGCTACTCTCCCTGGTGACCCCTCCAAGGCGTACTCTACTTACGGCCCTGAGTCTGCGAATCTCACCATCAACCCCGCCAAGGCTGCCGAGGCTGAGGACGATGACGATGTCGACCTGTTCGGCTCCGACGATGAGGAGGAGGATGCCGAGGCCGCCAAAATCCGTGAGGAGCGCCTCGCTGCTTACGCTGAGAAGAAGGCCCTCAAGCCCAAGACCATTGCCAAGTCTGTTGTCACCATGGACGTGAAGCCCTGGGGTATGTTGAACAAGCATTGCTACAAAGGTGTAATCTAAGTGCTAACAATATGATCAGATGACGAGACCGACATGGTTGCTCTCGAGGCTTCTGTCCGTGGTATTGAGAAGGATGGTCTGGTCTGGGGTGCTTCCAAGCTTGTTGCCGTTGGTTTCGGTATCAAGAAGCTCCAGATCAACCTCGTCGTTGAGGACGACAAGGTCTCCCTGGACGAGCTCCAGGAGCAGATCCAGGACTTTGAGGACTACGTCCAGTCTACAGATATTGCTGCTATGCAGAAGCTGTAATTGTTTTTGCTTGCCTGCAGGTACAGATGTAATGATGCATGATGGGTGGGACATGATGACTCGGACGAATTGATGCCTAATGACTTGGGCTAGGGATGCGGGGTCCGGCTACGACAACAAAAATAAAAATCAAAACCATTACATTTTCATAGACTGCACAAAAAAATAAAAATAGACAGCTACCTCTAACGGGTTGTTCGCAGTGGATAAATGTCGCCTGTTGCGTTTTCGACTCGGCGCAGTAGTTCCCAGATGTCGGCGAGTTGAGGCGCTTTTTCAGATTGTGGGTAGTTATTAATACGTGCCGCTCAGGCTGTAAATTATAGCCAGGCGCAGGGTTGCATATGTACACTGGGGAGTTCCCTTATAGCCATTTGACGAGGACCTCATGTATTAGTTGCTTCCCTTTGGTTTATTACCATGAGCCTATTCTTGGAGGATTGCAGACAAACCAGTGTGGCCAAAGTTGCGCATGTCAATGGCGGGGTCATGTCATGGAGAGCTCCGACTTTGGCGGGGTATTTAAGACACTGATTGGCAGACGCGTGCCAGTGGCAGCTCGGCGCGGTTCCGCCCAAAGCTGGAACCTCGTGGCTCCTTCATCACCCTGCCATGCTTTTACATCTGACAATACGCCACGATGTACGGTGAAACCGGGGCTAGATTGGTACGTTTTTGCGCCGTCATCAAAGCAATGCTTCTTTCCGCCGTTTCGAAAGGCTGACCCCCGAGGGCGCGACCACCAGGTGCAACACGCCAAGCGCATGCAGAACCTATCGCACCTGCCGCCGTACCTGCCCGAGATGGTGCGCGACGTGACGCGCGAGGTTCGGGGCCTGGAAAAGGACGTGGAAGAGCTGCTTCAGCCCTTCCATGGCTCGTTTGACCCGGCGGCGAACCAGGCGTTGGCGTGCACGCTGCTGGTGAACCACCTGTCGATGCGGCGCAACAAGCGGTGCCTGCTGGCGTACCACCGCACGCGGACGGACAAGCTGGAGGAGATTGTCTGGAGCGGCGCCGATGTCGCGGACCTGTCGAGCCAGCAGGTGCGCGACCGGGGCGGCGGCGGTGGCGGCGGTGGCGGCGGCGACAGCGACGACGAGAGGCTGCCAGTGACGGTGGGCGAGGGGCGGACAAGCAGCCTGAGCCCGCAGGAAGAGGACTACGTGCGGCAGTACAGTGACCTACTGGCGGCGTACAAGGGGCATTGGACGGATGTCGATCTCACGGGGAGTCTGGAGCCGCCGCGGGAGTTGTTCATTGACGTGCGCGTGCTCAAGGCAGCGGGTGAGATACAGACGGAATACGGGTGGGTTTTTGTCCTTTGCTGGCTGGCTCAGGTGCAGGTTGAGAAACGGCGTTCCCTGATTAACTGTGATGCAGTGCGATAAACTTGACAAGGAATAGTCAATTCTTTGTCCGGCAGGGCGATGTGGAAAGACTGATTGCGCAAGGGTATTTACAAAAGATCGGTTAAGGGACGCGGGAGGGGAGCGAAAGCAAGTATATTATAGTTTATCAATATCCTGGGTCGGAGTTTTCAATCTTGGGAAACCGATATCTTGATTTTGCGATTCAAAGACGTGGCGATTGTAGCCATGAAGTAAAGTCGGCCGTGCTAAAGCTGGTGTCGCCGAGCGGCCCATGGCGCGACAGCGATAGAAATCGGTGCAACACAACATGGTGATGCGATACAAGGGGGAAAATGACGGCATAATGCACAACATGGCTCACGTGAATTAGAAGATGACGATAGCCATGCAGTGCCAGGAAGAGGGCAAACACTTGGCTGACCTGCTTCTTGACGTGGTCAGTTCCACACGTCATTTAACGCTGCGATGACAGCACCCGAATCCTCGAGGGATGCGGGCCGTCATGTCCGACCAAATATATATCCGCGTAGTGAATGACACGCCTGCAGCTGTTGAGTTGGCTACCTACTTGGGGCTGGCTCTATGAGCGTTGCTTCCTTGATGATTGCCGCCGCCAAGCAGCGATTGCGATTACTCCACAAGCTCGCCCCAGGCGACAGATAAAAGCGCACAATCAGCGCATAAGACGCGTGCGTGGCTTAACTTAAATGCCACTATCAATGCCGATTGAGGGGGGTATGTATGTACCGAGGGTATGCTTATCTTACAGGGCAGCCAGGTGTTGTACATAGCCAACAAAGCTCCAATTCCATCAGCCGTGTGGACGAACTCTTGTGATGAATGCGTGGGTGTCCCTGGGTTGCCTTTTTTTTTTTTGCTATAGTTACGGAGTAACTAGGTACTTTGTACACCCACTGTACATGGCGAATCCAATACTTGGACGCAGCGGGGTCTGTCTGGGGCAAAGCTGCATATCACGTACATGTGGGCGCTGCACCGGAAACGATAGCGGCCTTTGCAATGGGCTTTGGTGCAAAATCGCCAATCATTCGGCATCCATTTCCATTTGGCAACGGGCGGACTCACCAGACTCCACTGTTCAATGTACCTGGTAGCATTTAGTTAGTGGCTGCAGCACCTCGACAATCATATTACTACAAATGAGAGACCGGAGGAACTACTCACGTACAGGGGACTGTTTCGTATAAGTTCCAAAAAAAAAACCGATAAAAAAATGCCACTTAGTCCATCTCGACATTATATACCTAGGTATAATATCTTGTTCGCTACGCACTTTCCCGCTACTCTTCTCGTTCATACTCTTGTCCTTATCTTTCAGCCTCCACCAACAGATTCGGCTCCCCCGCCCTAGTTCAGCGCTAAACTCCACCTGGAAATTGGAGTTCATTGAAAGCAAGGTCTTCCGTCCAAGCTCGAAGAAATCCTCCCGTTTGCACATGCAGCATTCGTCGTGAGGGCTTACTCCTTCTTCTCATTGTTGTCGAATCCTCTCTCTTCAATCACATTAGCATCCTCCCTGGACTTCAAGAATGGCAACTACTTCAACGCTGTAGCCCGAGCCTCCGAAACCCCCCCCCCCCCTTCCTCTTACACCCTGTGTCGTCTGCCGCATGCGATCAGCGCCACGACAGGCCCGCCGTCGACACTCCCAGGCTCAGGCTTGAAGCTGCGCCAACGACCCAGCGCTCTTTTGGAAAACATGTCCAATTCCGCCTCGGGTTTCTCCTCTTGGAGGAAGAGGGCATCCAGTGTATCGTCTTCGCAGGCAGATTTGGCGCGCACCATCACCAATGAGTCCCAGGCGAGCTCCCAACCCATGGCCATGCCGCCAGCGCTCTCCTCCTCCCTTTCCAGCCAGGCGCACCGCGAACCTATTCGGTCTTTTATTCACGGCGTATCACACGACCACCTGGGTATGTTGCACACAGTCTCCATTGACAGAAATTTCCTGTGCAACCTCATCGTTGCGTGTCGCGTGTTCCCGGACTAACTCGGCGTAGCTCCAGTAGACAGCCTCCAGAATGCTCGCACAGTTCGTGAAGATACAGCCGAATTGGCCAATTACTTTCTTTCCGACGGCTCCCAGCGCGCCCGGGCCTTGATTCAGCGCTCGCGATCCTCCGTCCACGACGTCTTTCCCGCCGAGGAAGACGCCGCCGATTGTGTACCTGACGTGCGACACAGCTCCCCTGCGATACCGGAGGTCTCAGAGCCCGCCTCGCCGGGTGAGAGCACCGAACGGCCAGCAAACGACGATGCCCCCGGGCCATCCGTCTTGGCCAATCTCCTCAAGCGGGCATCTCCACCAGACACAGACGCTGAGACCACGCCCAAAGCTGAACGTTCCAAATCGATCGCTTCCGAGACACTGCCTGCGGCTAAAAGCAGCGAGGCTGTCAGCGCTCCCAAGTCCGCATTCAAGGTTCCCACGATCGAGGAACCGGTCACGGAACGCACACCTCTACTTTCTGTCTCCTCCGAATCCAGCTATGAAGCAGAGACTACCCTCGAGGGTCAGCAGCATCCAGCAAAGCACAATTGGTTCGGCAAGGTTTGCGAGCAAACCCAGGAGGTGAAATCCGGCTTCATGCACGGCGTCAAAATGGCAACAAATCCAACCCGATGGAACGGCAAAGCCGTAGCGCAGCAAGTTTTCATAGAGCCGCTACAATGTCTGCCTGCTGTCACCGTGGGCCTTCTTCTCAACATTCTTGATGCTTTGTCCTACGGCATGATTCTCTTCCCTCTCGGCACACCTCTGTTCTCTCACTTAGGATCTGCCGGAATCTCCATTTACTACGTGAGCACCATCATTTCGCAGCTAGTCTTTTCGACTGGCAGCATCTTCAAAGGCGCCGTCGGCTCCGAGCTGATCGAGGTCGTCCCATTCTTCCACCACATGGCGCAGAAGATTCTCGACATTGTCGGCGAGGAAAACCCAGATGCTGTGATTGCGACCACAATTGTTGCCTATGCCATCAGTTCCATGGTGACTGGGCTCGTCTTTTACCTCATGGGCAAATTCAAATTTGGCTTCATGGTCGGCTTCATTCCCCGTCATATTTTGATCGGCTGCATCGGTGGTGTCGGCTATTTCCTAATTTCCACTGGACTCGAGGTGTCAGCGCGTCTTGATGGAAACATCAAGTACGATCTCGACACCTTTAAGCAACTTACGCAACCGGAGACGGTACTGCTTTGGATCTTTCCATTGGTCCTCGCCATTATCCTGTTCTGGGGCCAGACAAAAGGAATTTCAAAGTATTTCCTGCCTCTCTTCATTCTCGCCATTCCCATCGTCTTCTACATTTTCGTCACAGCCATTGATGCGCTCGAGACTGACAATCTTCGCGACCAAGGCTGGATCTTCCGGGGGCCACCCCCAGGAGAGCCTTGGTGGTATTTTTACACTCTTTACAGTCAGTTGCCCGCATCTCTCGATATGGAAAGATCGCTAACGTTTGCGCAGAATTTGATCTTGTCCAGTGGAGTGCCATTATCCAGGTAGTTCCTGCCATGCTCGCCCTGACCTTTTTCGGCATCCTCCATGTCCCTATTAATGTGCCTGCTTTGGCCCTCAACACTGGCGAGGACAATGCAGACCTAGATCGAGAATTGAAGCTGCACGGATACTCCAACTTCATTTCCGGCTGCATGGGAAGCATCCAGAACTACCTGGTCTATGCCAATACTGTATTTGTGATCCGATCTGGTGGAAATCGGCGCCTGGCTGGGTATATGCTGGCGGCGCTAACATTTGCTGTTATGCTCATTGGACCAAGCATGATAGGTTACATTCCCGTCATGATGGTTGGTACTCTCATTTTTGACCTGGGCTTTGAGCTGCTGCTGGAAGCCGTTTGGCTCCCTCGCAAGAAGCTCAAGCTTGCAGAGTACCTTACGGTTATTGTGATTGTATTGGTGATGGGCATCTACGACTTTGTCGTCGGTATCGGTGTCGGGATTGTTCTCGCCTTTGCATCGCTCGTCATTCAAACGTCCAGAGTCTCTGCTATCCGTGCGACCTTTGACGGCGACGTCGTCTCTTCGACGGTTCGACGCAACCCTTCGCAGCATCACTATCTGAACCGTGTCGGCCAACAGACCTACATCATCAAGCTGACCGGATACCTGTTTTTTGGCACGATTGTCAGTGTCGAAGAGAAGATCCGAGGTCTTCTCGACGATGCGGCCTTTGCCAGTCGCCCCATCAAGTTTTTGATTCTGGACTTGTGGCACGTGAGCGACCTGGACTATTCCGCTGGCGAAGCATTCAACACCATTACCCGACTTTTGGACAAGAGAGGAGTCCTACTCATCCTCAGTGGCGTCGACGCGTCCTCTCAGCTCGGCCGGAACCTCCGCGCGGTGGGCATTGGCAGCGGCAAGATTGAAGTCATGATGCTGCCCGACCTCAACTCGGCGCTTGAGTTCTGCGAAAACGAATTCCTCAAGACGCTATACGCCAGCCAGGACGCCATCAACTCCCCCGAGCGCGTCCCAACCGCCAATCTCGACGTCCCGACCGCCGGATCCTCGTCCACACCGCAGCTGTCCTCGTTTGACCCGCCCTTCAATTCGCCGCGCCAGACGCACCTGGTGCACGCCGCGCAGCAGGCGCTGCACACGACGGCGACGCAGCGCCCGCCCAAGTGGCAAAGCTTCAACGAGCCGCTGCGCCTCATGCTGCAAATCTTTCAGGGCCTGAGCGACAAGAATGAGGACTTTTGGTTCCCCGCCGCCACGTCTTTCCAGCGCCGTGCGTACGCGGCCGGCACCACGCTCTTTCGCCGCGGCGAGCCTGCCACCGGCTTCTACCTGCTCGAGCGCGGCATCCTGCGCGCCGAGTATGACTTGCCGCAGGGCTGGCTGTGCGAAAACATCGTCGCCGGGACCACGTGTGGCGAGCTACCGTTCTTCTCCGAGACGAACCGCACGGCCACGGTCACGGTGGAAAGGGACTGCGTCGCCTGGCTGATGAGCCGCGATGCGTGGGAGCAGCTGCAAAAGGAGAGGCCGGATATCGCGGGCGAGCTGCTGCGCATCTCGCTCAAGCTGACGACGGAGCGCATGAGTTCGATTACGTCGTACATTTTGACCACGGCTGGGTAATTAATGGAGGGGGGTACAAATACGGTTGTTTGGAAACGGGGGGGTATCTTTGTTTTTTATTATCGCGAAGCAACACCATATTTTGCCAGCCATGTGGCACACAATCATAGCCTTGCATTCCAGCCAAATTGAATACTGTAATTATAGTGGTATTTTTCCAGGTATATTTATTTATCTTTGATATATATGTGAGCAGGTCGTACCACGGATCTGAGCCCCATATTCTCTGATGATGCGCAGACAACGGCTTTCAAACATGCCACACACCCTGTGTCGCATTACATGTGAGCTCTGTCGGCGGGCACCTCGGCCGTCTCAAAATACTCGGCGACAATGTCCAGCACCCACGGCCCCGCGACGCGCGAGACGCCGACAAGCTGGTCCCAGAGCCTTCTGCCCGGTCATCGAGCGAGCGGTGCGTGACGTCGGGCGGCGTATCAGCACATGTGATGCGGCCCAATGGAGGCGCACCATTTTCGCCCGTGTCGTCGATGCCGGTGGCGGTGCCCTCGTTGGCGTGTGTATGGTGAGGACTAGGATCGAAAAAAAAAAATTATGGCTGCTGGCAAGTAAAGAAGCTTGTCGTTGACGAGGGCGAGGGACTGTCGATGTTGGACGTTGGCACGCTAGCGCGACGGAGTGCAGACTTGCAGGGTAGGGAATTATTCATCGAGTGTTGCTTTCAAAGTCTGCTTCGACAACACCAACATTCCGCTGCGCCACGGTGCCTCCGTGACCTTATTCTGCCTCTTTCATCACTTCTTGTATACTTATCGGATGGTGACGTCTTTTCTTCTCACGACAAGTCTAATATCCCGAGGTAGCGTGACCAATTTGCCACTCGGGCTCACCACCGACGACGAGCAGATACAACTTGCTCGGGAGTGATGCTCCCACTTGAGAGTTCAAGCGCCAGACAAAATAGTTTTTCACACATTCACGATGCCAAAGAGCCTACACTCTATACTGGGCGGCGGGAACCGCGTCAGAAAGCCGTCGCGCCCACCCGCCAGCGCGCGGCCGTCCTCTGCGACCAGCACACCATCATCCTCACCGCGCAAGAGGCCTGCTGCCTCCCAACCACGTCAGAAAGCGGACGACGACAACGAACTCTTCCCCGACAGGCTCGAAGACGCTGGTATTGCCGTCCTCCTCGCCACGGAGCTCACCCTGCGTGATGTCGTCCAAGCGATGCGACACATTCGCGCACACCAGTTCACGGCCGTCCCAGAGACCGGCTTTTCATCCACGCGACGCACCGCACTGCTTCGGCACCAGGCCACCATGCCGCCGCTCATCACTACCGGCCACGTACACGCCATGCTCGCGCGCGGCGGCCCGACACGCGTCGAGCGCGAGATCGCAGAGCTGATCGGCCGGGGTGCCCTGCGTCGCGTGCGCGTGGAACGCCGGGGCGCCGCCGGCGAGGCCCTCATTGAGACGCCTCTACTTCTCGGGATGCTGCGCAACAGCAGCAGCGTATCGGCGGCGACGACCGAGGCCTATGTGCGTGTCTTGGCGGCGCGCCCGACGGCGCAGACGCTGGAACGAAGCGCGCTGCGCGACGAGCAGGCAGATGAACTCGTGCGCGCGGGGTTCTTGACGAGTGCCGCAACGAGAGCCGCCGGGCCGGCGACAACGCTGCACCAGCGGCCCGAGGACCGCACAACGCAGATGTCGATTCAGCGAGCGTCCGCCGCCGCGTCGGGCTCGCTGGGGGCGGTCGGCGGGCAGAATGCGCTGCACATGGCTGGCGGCAGTGGCAGCGGCGGTATGGGCGGGGAGAAGGAGGACGACTACTACCGCATCGCGGTGCCCGGACACGGCCGGCATCTCAAGCTCGCCGGGGCGGCAATGGACTGGCTGCGCGAGACACTTGGCCGCACGCGCTGGGGCGAGGGGACGGAAGGCTGGCTGCGGGAGCGCTTCGAGGGCGGCGGGCTGTACGGGCCCAGGTGGAAGGAGCTTCAGGGCGCCGAGTGGGCGTGGGTGCTGGGCGAGGCCGTCGGGCTCGGCGTCGTCGAGGTTTTCCAGACAGGGGCGGTTGGTCGCGGCGTGCGCGCCCTGGGAGGTTGAATTTGAATTTGAGTTTTTGGGACTCGATCATGAATGTTGTGGCTGCATTGTTGGTTTCGTGGTTATTTTGTAAGTTTCGTGGTTCCTGTGCTAGTTTCGTGTGTGATATAATACCCCCTATACCATGAGGTTCCTGGTCCCAATCCATACGGAGAGCTTCGCTGCCGCGCCGATTATTTCGGCATGCAGGAATTACATAGACATCGGAGATGACGAGAAGACGATGTTACATGTTATTAACATCGATGCAACACCAAAGTGCGACGGAGGATGTAAATGACGCAACAACCACCGCAAGGACGGGGAATAAGGACAAGGACTGGCCATGATGGGCAGGGATGGTGTGCGAAGACAGGCGGGCATATTGTGCACGGAAGCTTGGCCATGGCAGCACATCCTGTCATCCGATTGACCCTTCATCCCGGCAAGAATTAGTCCTTAGCAGAATGACTCTGTGACACTATTGATACGTTGCTCACGACAGACAGAAACGTTGACACAACTCCAACGAGCCGCGGTTGGAGTTATTACCAGGCGGACGGTGTGAATCATTCGGGATGATGAGAAGCTACACAGGGCATGCACAGGGCATCAGCCCGTTTGCCGGCTGGCCGGCGCAAGCTGCGCTACTGTGCTTCAGGTGACGCCAGTCAGGCGGGACCGCCACCGATGTCTGCTCCGGAAACTTTTTTGGGGTTTGCTCGTCTTTGCATTCGTGATGGGACGCAATCTGTGCCACTATGTTTCCAAAAACGTGGGGGACGACTCCATCCTGCAAGACATCTTCCTGTTTGATGAGCAACGAGGGGGATGTAAGTGCCGGGACTTGATACGACGTCGGCGCAGAAATGTGCTGTCGACTGTCGATCGCTAATGTAGAACAGCCCAGACTCAAGTCAGCCAGGCAAGGAAAGGGAAAAGCGCGCACGGCCATGAGGATAGTTGGCCGGCCGTACGATGCTGGGATGACAGCGGCATCAACAGGACCGTTGTGCAAAGCGTACAAAGTACGAATACATCACTCTGTACAGACTATATTACAGATGCAATTGTCAGTGTTTTCTGTAGCAGAGCGGGGACGTCAAGTCAGGCTTAATAAAAGTTTTGATGTTGACCTGGCCACATGTCGCCGTCCAAGTGGCAGGTGCCAACAGTTTATGCGCAGGCTTTGTTCTTGTTTTCGTTTAAAAGATTCGGCCTTATCATGAACATTGAGCAAGTTCTGTCCGTAGATGCACTGGCGATGCCGCGCTCGCACTGGAACATCGAATTTATAGTGAGGCTTGGGTAAGCGACTTGATGCTTGTCACAGCGGCGACCAGGGTGAAGACAAGACTGCCGGGGTCACTGAGCACGAGCTGTGGCACACTGGTGCTGTCGATTGAGGACATGGTTGTCGGTGCATGGCTATCCTCCTCCCCTGAGGCTCAGGCACCCGCATCTTGTGCTGCATATCCGAACGGATAGTCGTGCCGCATTAATTAGTGCTATACTAACTAGACCCGAGGTTATAAACGCCGCGACGAAGAGGTGACCATTGCAATAGCGTGCGAGTCAGGACTCAAGCCGCAGGAGTGCAGATGCAATTGCCTAAGAAGATCGGTACCTAGGCATTGCTCCTCAGTGGGGAGACTATCGCGGCCCCAGTGATGGGCAGCTAACACAAGATATGAATGGCAAATTTGGAAAGCAGCGGTGGGAGCCGGGGGTGGCGCATAAGACAGGGCCTGAAGCCTGAGCGGAAGACGGTAAGAGTGGGCAGCCAAGTCGGCATGGAGAAAGGCCTCTCTCTGTCGTACCTAATTATTGAGGATTGCCGACAGGAGACGAGGTAATTGCCTGTTTAAATCGCTGCGGGGAATGGAGACGCGACACCACAATGGCAGCGCTGGAAAATCCCTTGATGAAGACGTGACAGACGACGGATCTGGAGACTGGTGCTGGACGAATAAGCGTGCGTGTGTCTGAGCGCTGGAAAGAAAATTTGGCAGAGTGTGGAGCCCTGGCGTCGTGATCTTGGTGTGCAAGATTGCTCGGATGGGCAAGTTGATTGGCGAGGGATGACGGAGCTAAAACTGCGTGTTGGCGGTCATATGTAGTGCAATGTTGGGACGGAAGTCAGACCGAGGGTGATCTGTGCATCAGAACGGCTGCATGTCTCGGACGGGTTCATGGAGGCGTGTTTGTAGGGATGTGAAATGTTGGATGAAGGGCCGTTCGTTGCCTGTTGGTGGGCAATACCTAGGACGTGCCATGTGTTAGCAGTGCTTAGAGAAATATCTACCTATGTACTGGCGAGATAACTACCTCACTGATAACTGATGCGGATAGTAGACGAAGGCATCGGATATGTTGGATTGTTGGTACACTTTGGAAGAATACGACCTTGTCTAGCTCCGAGTCTGACGGCAGGCTCTCGTGCGGTTGCCGTATTTGACTAGCACCAAGCACCACTGGTTATACATTGTAGTACCAACAGGATGGTTGGAGCGGGAGAAAGCGGGCGTGATGGATCGAGTGCTGGTTAAGAAAAAAGCTGCTTGCTGAAACTTTGAAAGCGACTGTGACGAAAGGCGGTGATGCAGCGAACTACATGTCCTAGCGTCGGGCTAGTACAGGGAGGGGCGGGGCAATTGAAGAGCCTGGAGCCTGACAGCCAATGTTGGCACTCAGTCGTCCGTTAGCGAGAGCGACAATGATAAAGTGGCATTCGGCCCGCTCTCAGGGGCATTCGCTTCGTGTGGCGTCTGCTCAAAAGTCAAATCCATGGTACCTTTTACAGAGTAGTACATAGTAACTACGGATACGAATGAACTAGTTACCTTTTTAACTGGTGAAGCGGGGATCGTAGGCTGCACCACTGCTCAGTTCCGGGGTGCGGCCTGCAGCGACGACGTGCAGCGACGACGGGTCAGGGGTGCGGCAGCTGTGAAAAAGACAGATGCGCGGTGCATTGGGCTCTTCAATTCCGATAGGGCAGACTCGTGTCTTGCACAGCGCTGCAAGGGGCGAATTGGTCGGGAACATGCAACCACCGCCTCTACTGGTAATTACTATCCTGCAGTGTGATTGCGCCACTAGATTGCGGGAAGCTGCTGCTCGGGTTTTATTAGCCCAAATCGAACGGCCCAACCATGTTCGTTCCCCCTCAAAGTCTCGCTCGACTCGAACCCCCAATAGCGCAGGGCAGACCCCGGCACCGGCCCCTGATCTAGCCAAGAGGCGCAACCGGAGCAAGTTGTCGACTGCTGATTGTCCTGCTTCTTGAGTATCCCTGTTCATGGTAATTACGGTAATTAGAGGGTTGGTCCCCGGTAACCCCATCGCCAGTTGACCAGTCACCCAGTTACAACACGCTGCCTTGTGATGAAGGATGCTCCGAGTACTCCGTCTCATGCAGTTTTGTCGGAATTGCTCTCCTTTCTTTTCCATGTATGCATCAGCCGTCTGTCATCTATCGTTGGGTCTCCTGGTGCATTGATCGGAACCCGCTCAGTGTTCGACCCTGGCTCTTTCTCCTGCAGTTCTCATGCTCAAGCAAACAGAGTTTATTACTAAAGAAAATAAAGTGGTAGTCAAGTGGACATGATTGACCAGGGATGGCGGTAGGTCTGGTGCTAGGTGCCAAACAGGTACTTTCAGCTGCTGGCCTTCTGTGGCTTGCCGATTCTCTGCGCTCAGAAAAGACGCTAGCAGCCTCTAGGCCGACACTGTAAGGTGACGGAACAGTGGAGTGAGAGTCTGGAGCAGCCACTGTTGGCGCCTGTCAGGTACCCGCGCCACACCACCTAAACGGATGTCTTTCAGGTACCTTACAGGCACTGTAACTAGAGTCAACAGACAGGGGCTGCTTCACAGTTACTGGTACTGGTTGGTACTTCACCCCAAACACGTAACTCATTCGCCTCATCAAGCCCACTGCCACCCTACTTCTCCGCTGCAGACCTTCTCCTTGCCCTCTTCCGTGTAGGTACCTACCAGCAAGGTATTATCTGCCAAACCGTATCCGTACTCTTCCTCCCCTTCCCTCATCCTTTTCTCCCTTCCCCAGAATCACTACTTTTGCATCACCAATTCTCTTGACCCTTCTTTCCGTCGCATTCGCCTCTCCCGTTTCTTTTGCCGCCTGTTTCTCATCAAGGGTTGTGCTGAGACAACCTGTGCAAGCTCGCTTCTTAGCCACGCGCTCTGTGACAGCTGCTTTACATTCTTGGTAGCACGGCCCAACTAACCTACCTACCTACTACCTACCTCCTACCGACGTTTAACGACTGGAAAAAGAAAACCTCGTTACCACCCACTCCTGTATGTATGCTTCTTTTCTTTTCTCCTTGGTCAGCTTGCTAGTGCCCGAGACGCATGTCATCGATTCGTGCAATACTCTTTTGGTTTTGCTTCTGTGCGCCGCTGTCGTGCACACCAAGTCTTGCTCTGGCTGCATCCTCGCTGCAAGCCCTGTCTGGTCCTGGTAGGCAGAGGAGCAACACTACTTGCTGTTGACTCGGCCTCGACTCGCTGCTCCTCTCGCTTTTATCACCACCACCGGCAAAGGCCCCCTAGGCGACCTTGCGACCTTCATATTTTCCCTCTTGACTACTATTCTTGCTGCCGACATGTTATGCGTCCCGCTGCAGCGCCGGTCTAATACTAACAACCCCGTCTAGTTAGGTAGCGACTAGATCCATCAGCAGGCGACCACTTCACCGCCTCATAAGACATTCGCCTATAGTCCCGCCTAGGGGCTAGTCGATCATTGTTAAACAGGCTAACCAGCTCCTTCGCCTTTTTTTCTTTCTTTCCGGGCGCCAGCAGCTTTTCCCCTTGTGCGACAGACCAGCAGACGACGCTACCGACTCTGTGGCCGACGCTTCCTCCATCGACAGTTATTCATGGACTGCTCGTGCTTTTGAGCGCCAACCTCTCGTCTGCTTTGGGTTTGCAGTTGCATGTCGCTGAACAGCACCAAAGCTCGCCAACGGAGCCGACTCTCACATCATATACATATATAAATACCCACCACCGGAATGGCCACCACTCTGCCCCGCCCATCGCGGCCGTCAAACGGGCCGCCAAACATGGCCCTCCCGGCATTGCCAGTCTCAAAGTCCCGAAAATCCGCAGGAGGTGCCCTCACTGCTCCTCCATCGCCTTCCTCGAGTCCTGCTCCAGGAATTCCTCGGCCGTTTGGCGCAATCACCAACCCCACAACACCTCGTAGCGGCCTTCGTGCGCCGTCTATGAACTTGAATTCACCGACGCCAGCTCCGACGACCACGCTGCCCCAGCTAAAGGGACTTGCCACGCCCGTAAACGGTGCCGGCAAGACTTTGAGGAAGAGTGTTAGCATTCACTCTTTTCCTCACCCTCCCCGCGGAGAACAGCGATCCAGCAGTCTTCCTCCTAGCCCCTTGGCCAACGAAAAGACATCTCGAGGCCCTCGCAAGTCGAAGCTGCCGAAAGACTTGGCATCTCAGAGCCCATACGCACCCACCACACCTAGCCTGCTCAACGGCAGCGGCGAGGGCAAATCGATCCGCATGTCCGACGGCCTCATTAGTATTGGATCGCCGACGCAGAGCCGTAGCTCCTCGGCTCAGGACTCATATTCAACATCTGCCACCACATACGACGATCCAATGGAGACGTCAAATCAAAAGCCAGAGGATGGTGCCTCTACCCTCGAAAGCTCAACGGCCTCTGAGAAGCGATCGTCCAAATCCGAGGGCAAGGGCAACGTTGTTGTCAGCGTTCGCGTCCGTCCTGACGCCTCTGGAAAGGACCAGAATCCCGAGGGGGAATGGATGGTGGATGGACGCAAATCTTTGATATCATATAAAGGAAAAGAAGGAGGAGACCATACTTACGGTATGTTTGGCTGAACACGCGTCAACCAACCCTAACTAACATGGCCACAGACAATGTATTTACCACTCACGATAACAACTCCCGAGTATACGACCACATCGCAAAACGTCTTGTACGACGCGTCATGGAGGGCTACCACGGAACTGTATTTGCCTACGGCATGACCGGAACAGGCAAAACCTTTTCCATGCAGGGCACCGCCACGCATCCCGGTGTGATTCCCCTGGCCATTACCGACATTTTCTCCTATATCCGTGAAACTCCCTCGCGCGAGTTTCTCCTCCGAGTGAGCTACTTGGAGATATACAACGAGAGGATTCACGACTTGTTGAGCATGCCAGCAGGTGGTGGCGAACAAGAGGAAATCAAGCTGCGAGAAGACAGCAAGCGCGGCGTGTATGCTACACCGTTGAAGGAGGAGATTGTGCAGAGCCCTACGCAGTTGCTAAGAGTTATTGCTCGAGGCGACCAGGCCCGCCGAACAGCTAGCACGCAGTTCAACGCCCGCAGTTCGCGAAGTCATGCTGTCGTGCAAATTGTCGTCGAAAGCCGTCAGCGCCTGCCCGGCTCTGCCTCTGAGAGTCATAAGCGCTCTGGGATCCCTCCTGGCGGTGTACGTGTCTCAACGCTGAGCCTCATTGATCTTGCTGGTTCGGAAAAGGCCGCCGAATCCAAGGAGCGGCGGCAGGAAGGTGCGCACATTAACAAGAGCCTTCTCACTTTGGGAACTGTTATTGCCAAGCTCTCGGAGTGGAAGGACAAAGAAGGCAAAGGCAGTGACAAGGACGGCAAGCATCTGCCGTACCGCGACTCGAAGCTGACGAGATTGCTGCAGGGTGCACTTGCTGGTAACTCGTTAGTCAGTATTCTCTGTACCATTCAGATTGGAGCAGCCAATAGTGCAGCAGCCGCCAACAGCCATACAACGGAGACTCTGAACACGCTCAAATTCGCGAGCAGAGCAAAGAACAGCATCGTAAGCCATGCCAAGAAGGCAGAAGAGGCTCTTGGTTCTGGAGGCGAAGGTGGTGCTAGAGTGTTACTGGAGCGTTACCGCATGGAAATTGTGGATCTTCGACAGCAGCTGGAAGCGCAATCCAAGAAGAAGAGGAAGCAGGGCAAGGGCGATGAGGATACCACGGAAAGAGACCGTGATGAGGAGCAAGAGAGAGTATTTGAGATTGAGGCCGCCGAGAGACGTGAGGAGCAGATGCTGGAGATGCAGCTCGCGCGCACAGCCCTCAAAGAACGTATCGACCACCTCAACCGTCTCATTTTGAGCTCGAAATCGATTGGAGTGAACTCGAGTGGCTCGCTGAGTTCGCTTAGCCAGTATGCCAGATTCTCCCAACTGTCTCTGACGGGGTCCGTTCGATCGTCCATGACGACACCAAGCGGCGGACGCGACTCGTTTGGAGGTCGAGAGTCTCTAGGTGGACGCGATTCCTTCGCAGGGCGTGACTCGCTCGGCGGACGTGAATCTTTGCTTGATCGTACGACGTCGGTTACTTCATCATCGACGATAGGAAGACGCTCGAACGGAGTGCAGAGACTGAGCGGCGATGGTGTGACGGAGGAAGATAGTATGGGCGAGTTTGGAGATGGCAATGCGTCGCTTACGGCCCAGAACCATGCACTTCAGGCGGATTTGGCGGACAAGAACCGGTACATTGCGACCCTGGAGAAGCGACTGCTCCAAGCTCGTCGTGCGAGCTCGTCAAGAACGTCGGTGGGTCTGTCAGCACCGAACAAGGGCATCATGGTCGGAGAAGATCACAGCGTGTCGGCGGTGCTCCGAGAGAAGGACTCTGAAATCGCAGATCTTCGAGCCAGGCTTGATGACAAGGACCGCATGCTGGCAGCTCTGCGCAGCGCAGCACGGTCACGCGATACGGCTGATGCATCTGCCGAGGTACGATTCTCAAACCCCGAGGTAGAAAGAGTCGCGACGGAGCAAACGCCGACGAAAAGTCAGGGCCGACGGACGAAGAGCGTGGATGAAATGAATAAGATGCTGGAGGAGATGATCCAAGACCGGGTGGAGAGCGGGCAGATTGTTAGAGGCATGCGAGGCAGCGTGCGACTACCACCCGGGACGAAGTTGGATGTCATGGGAGAGGAGTCTAAGTATCTGGAGCCTCTCCGCCAGACACCGTCTCCGATTGAGGCAGTGCCGAGAGTGCCCACGGGTCCAGGTGTTGGCGAGGCCCTGTGAGAAAGAGGCATCGGAGAAGAGTTATTTTAAATGGAAGACGGCGGCTTGGCAGGCGGATTTGGCGTCGATGTGTATTATGGTGGTTTCATTGCGTTTTATGCGCAGCTTATGCGGATGACGGTCCCTGCAGAGCTTTGTCTCGATTCTATTTGTTTCGTACTTGGAAGCTTCTTTTTTGGGTTTGCTTTAGCGGAAACGGATGACGGTTGCTATTATTTGTTTAATCGTTTGATTACGGGATACCCATATTTTACGTCGAGTTCTTTTTTTCTTGTTGATTGGCTGAATCTTTGATTTATTGGCAATACGGTTAGAAAGGGAGATGGTAATAGTGTAAGAGTAGTCCTGTTGCATAAAGAGATCAAGTACACATTTCCCAGTTATGACGATGATGTGAGTAAGAGTAGAGAAGTTGGGTGACGTTGGATCTACAAGGACGTGGGTTGAAGATGTCGTGATAGTGAGTGGCCGGCGATCAAACAGGGATGTGATGCGAATTGCTGAGTGCCTGCAGGGTCTGGGGTGATGATACAGGGAATGTAAGAAAGATGGAGATGAGGGTATAGCGAGACTGTTAGGTCTTTAAGCTGGGTACAACACGACAACAATGGTTTACGAAGATAATTCGTAGTTCTGAGGCATGTGGGCTGATTTGAGCAGGAAGATGCTGGGGAGATGTGCACGGGTCGGTTTCATGCTTGGCCAACGCCACCGCAAGGTGTGTATCCGTAGGACATACTAATTAATTATTAAATAACAATGTTCTGGGTATGAGATTGTAGCCGATCTGACGAGAGCGTTTTGGGTGGTGGATGCGCGCACGGATATGGAACTCAGTAGAGTATGGCTTGCATATGGCTTGCATGCGGGCGGTTGTGCGTTTGTTTCGGTCTCTCCTTCCGCCTTGTTTGTTCCAGTCTCTCTAGTCTGAACATTATAGTTCGACGTCTGAATGGGACCACTTGTGTTGAGTTGTCGGCATAACAAGTGCTACTTGATTTGATGCCTTTTGCCGCATACGTAAAGGCGATGCATTTCCGATGGATGTCACGACACCATGTCAGCAAGGTTGCATGCAGGCAGGCAAGCAGGCTATGTACTACGGGCGATGGAAAGTTCAGCCAGTGGGGATGCAAGGAAAGAATAACTACAGCATGGTTAACTTGTTTTTTTTTTTTTAAAAAAGGAAAAAAGGAAAAAAAGTCAAATCATGGAACGAGGGCCTTAGCATTGGCTCCACCAATCCAATCGAGGAGGGGCGGGAAAAGGGAGCTGAAGGTGGATGTGTGCGCTGAAGATAGTTTGACGGGAAAAGGACGCTACGGGGGAGCAGATGGGGAAAAAGGAAAGAAAAAAAAAACAGTGGAAAAGAAGAGTGCAAGATGCATGAAAAGACTGGGCGTAGCGCAATGCAGAGGTCCATGGAATGGTAGTCTGGGTTGGGCTGGAGAGCCGTGATTGGTGGCTGGAGGAGGCTTTCGTAACAAGATGAAACAAGGCTAAGTCGGAGACCAGGGGGGGCCAACAAGGACAAGGACGGGCGATGGACTGGACTTGGATGTTTGCACCGCCTCTCCGCCTCTGCTCGCTCTGTTTCTGAATCCTGTGAATCTCTACGTATGTATTCCTCGAGGTTCGTGGACCGTGGACCCGTGGTGCACGAGGTTGGCAAGGGTGCAAGGGAGATGGGACTGTGTGAGGGCCTCGGTGCACAAGGTGGATCGGACGGCTCATATCTACCAGTCTGGTCTGATGAAGAGGGAACCGTGTATACGAGGCGAATAGTTTGTCGAGGCACTGAAGAATAGTTTAAAAATAAAATTTGCTTAAAATAAAACACGATATATGAATACGATATAATAGCGTTGGTACTCCGTACACTAAGAATTCCTGCCAGGTCGGAAAAGAAAAGGGAACCAAGAGGGCTTCGAGTGGCACCGGTTTGGGTGGGGGATTCTGCGACACGGATACGCAAGCCACCTGGGCGGGCGTGTTGAGCATAACGCCTGCAGAATAGATGAAGAGCAGCACGGATCAAGGCTTCGTTCTTCTGCGACGCCCAAGCAGTTGGCAGTTGGCAGTTGGCAGGTCGGGAGGATTTGCAATGTTGTATGTTGTATCCGTAGATGCGCACAAACCAGCCCTGCCCATTGTCTCGCTAGGTTGTTGAATCCAAGACATCAACGTCATGGCCATGGAAAAAGTCATGGCAAAAGACCTTTTGACTGGCTCCGTCGTCGCGCTCGACATGGGGGGGCGTGGTTGACGAGCTAGCCGTCGATCGCTGATCTTGGCCCTCCCGACGACGGACGTCAGGCCTGGCCTTGTAACCATTGCATCTGGTGCTGTGCTGCGCCCAATCCTCGCCATGCGGGATTGCCTTTTCTTTCTAAGCCATCCATCGCCTTTTTTTTTCCATCTTTCCATTCTCCTGTCCCTTTTCCTCCTTTTTTTTTCCATATTGCCATAGAGGGGTTGCCTGGCCTGTATTTTTGCCAATACGACAACTCCGCCTTACCCACTGCGTCGTCTCTTGTTCGGCTCGGCCGTTTTTTTCGTCGTTGGCCGTTTGCCGCCCACAGCGTTGACGGGCCGGCGGCTGGACGCATTCCTTTTCTCCTCCTCTTTCCCAGCCTGACTGCATCTCTTCGCGGCGTTTTCCTCTCTCTCGCTCTCTCTCTCTCTCTTCTTTCCCTCTTCACATCCTCTCCCGGAAAGAAGCAGCCATCACACCACCTCGACGTCGACAGCCAAGGCATCACAACCCCCCCCACCCGCCGCTCCGACATCCCAGCTCGGCCGCTCGACTCAACCCGTTTCATCCCCCGGCTCTCTGCGCACAGGGATACTCGCCAACGTCTGACGAACCCCCAAAAGGGAACAAGTTACCAGTATTATTAACAAGAAAAAGACGAGCGAGTACAAAACGGACAAACATTTAACTAAACAAGGGCCGCCCTTTAAACGCCTCTTTTTTCGGCAACTTTTCTTTTGGTTCTTTGTTGCCTTTTTTTTTTTTTTAATTACACCCACCACCTTGCTTGGTCCAAGGGTCCTGGCGCTGGCCGCATAACCACACGCCTCATATATACTGAATGTTTCATTCCCACGTCTATTAAGCAAGGGCCCTGGCTTATACTCCTCAATCCGCAACAAAGGCATCACGACAGGAGAGATCAAGAAAACGTCCTCGGACATCTTCTCCTTGCTCCGTCCGCAGTTTGCGACTACCTGCCCGCCGGTCGGACTCTGGTCAGCCCATCTGCCACAGCCGCTCTTGTTGCATCTCTTTTTACTCGAACCTTTGCTTTCTGGCTGGCATTTTTTTGGAGCCATCTGTTCGACCTCACAGTATCTGCCTCGAAACTTGTCGCACAATCGTTGATCGAATTTCGTTTCTTTTCGTTTTTTTTTCTTTACATCTGTTTTTCCGGTCCACGTTCACCATGCCACCACAACTCGACCTCTCCGACCCTCGCCTGTTGGTCATTCCCCCGCGAATGAACCTTCGTCGGGCCGCCTCTTACAACCTCCTCGCCCAGGGCCAGGATTCTGCTTCTTCGTCGTCTAGTCAGCTACCTCTGAGCAGTCTTCTCTGGTCTCCGCCGCCCTCGCCCAGCCTGCCATCCCTCGTTCCTCGACGCAAACGAGCCTCTTCAAATCCGTTTTCCCGACGTCCCAGTCGAATCGTTCGCTTTCTCTTCTATCTATGCGCACTATCAAGTCTGGCATACTTGCTTGTGCGCTTGTTCGGCCGCAATGTCAGCTCACTCTCCCTTCTCGAGGACGAGTACAACATGGTCGCCCAGGACGACCTGCCCGACTTTCCTACACCCATTGTCATCGACGACAACCGGGGCCGCTCAAAATGGACCGTCTCTATTCCCAGAAACTACCGCTTCCCCCTTTCCATGGAGACCTATTCGGAAATGATGGGACACTGTCGCGAGGCTGCCATTCGTCAAACCTCCGAGTCTGCCTCTCCCAGCCAAGCAACGTTGAAAAAACATGGCTTCAATCGCTTTATTGATGTTGCCGAGGCGGAAAAGACCCATTTGCTCCCTTCGTCTGATATTTTGCCTTCTAAGCGCTCGCGGAGTGGCAACTTCGTCGGCCTGGGCGGAGATGTTGACCATCTCCCTGTCTGCCAGAGCTCCATGACGTACGTTCTCGAAAGCACAAACGCTGGAATCGGCCACGCTCTCATGTCCATGTGGACATCATATGGCATTGCCAAGGAACTTGGAAAAGCCTTCTTTATCGACGACTCCCGCTGGGCTTATGGCTCATATACTGACATTTTCCAACCGCCTCCCGTGCCCAAGTGCCAGCCACCTCTACGACATCACATTTTGCCTTGCCCAGCCGAAGCCAGACACCTGGTTGTCTCCAACACAAATGCCCATGAAGTTCTACCTGCATTGGTGGCTACCATTGAGTCCAATGACAAGATCACCGAAACTCAGCGGCTTTTCAACCTGGCTCGGGCAGGCTATTTGGCCATGTTTAAGCTGAACACAGGCGACGGGACTTATACCGACAAGCGTATTCACGAAATCTTGACCAAGGCTCAGACTAGTGCCACATCATCTGGCAATGCCCCTGTCATTGGCTTGCACATTCGTCATGGTGACAGACACCCCATCGAGTTCCAGTACAAAGATACCTATATTCCCGCCGAGGTCTATTTGAGCAAGGTGCGCAGCCTCATTGAACAGCACTACAACCAGACTGCCGACACTGACAACAACGGTGCCCATGACTCTATCACCATGCTTGCGTCTGATGACCCCAACACGTATCAGGAGGATCAACTGTCCGGCCTTTTACCTGCACAGGATCGAATTCAGCTGGCTTCCAAGGATAATATCGAGGACGCGAATAACGATCCCCGTGTGCTACATCATTTTGTCGAAGACACTTTCGGCTGGGAAGGTGGCTTCTTTGCTCCCATCTTCTGGCACTTGGGCTCCGAGGCCAAGGACAATTCCGCCAACGCACCGGCCGCGACTCCCTACCTGTCGGAATACCGAGCCGTCTCCAGGCTGCGCCCGTCTCAGCAGACGCTCAAACTCCGCAGCCTTCTCGGGCGCGCCTACATGATGGACCTTGCCGTGCTATCCGGCGCTAGTGACAAGGTTGTCTGCGCTGTAAGTGCTATGGGATGTAGAATTCTTGGTCTCATGATGGGTTGGGACGGTATCCAGGCTGGCACGTGGATCAATGTGGACGGCGACTACGGCTGGCGAGGCCTTGACCTCTAACTTGATTACAGCATTCATTTATCTTTTCCTTTCTGTTGAGCATTATACGGCGTTTTAGCATTGGCATACTTACATAGCTGCATTGCATAGTTTCCAGGGTCAAAAGAATAATTGTTACTACATACGCTGAGATTAATATAACCAGCCTCGGATTATTTAATACCAGCTATATTATAATACATACCATGTATTCAGCCGTTTTCTATAGCTTATGAAGAAGCAAATTCTTTATTTTAGGAAGTCAACACTTAATTTCTTCAAAGACTCTTTAGTTGTTACAGGTGGTTGAGTGTAAGTGGTCCGTCCAGGTTGCATAGAGTGGTACAGGACTTGAACCGTCTTGGACAAGATCAAGAGTCGACGAGGGTAGCGCGAGCCTCGGCGATCTGGCAGTTTGACCGTCTTCATGTGGCGGATTTAAACTAAACTATCTCTAATAATAATTTATCTTGTTCTCTTCTAATTGTATTAGACATCTGTGATGCCTTTGGTTCTGACGTTTCTTGCTCACTGACTGCAAACACGATCGCTGGGTTACGTCACTATGCAAGTTTACTCATAGAAGCAACGAATGAATTTGATGCTTCTTCAAAATGCTAGCCACTGTCTCGCTATTTTATACTCTTCTACTTTTTTGCTACGAAATGATCCTTCCTGTCGTAAACATGACCCTTTTCTTGCAATTTTCAATTCCATTCTATAGTATGCAAGCTTGATCATTGCTGGGAGCTAACCAATGACGCTACCATGTCTCATTGAAACACCTGCCACTACTCCCCTTGCACACCTCCATTCCCCCTTTTCCATAAACGCATATCCCAAATAAAACAGAATGGCGCAGAACCTCGGTCCCCTGGTGCACCTCTGGGGCATCGACCCGTCCCAGCTGCCCGCGGAGACGGCGTCCGGCACAGCTCTCACGCCTCTCCTCACCGACCTGCTGTCCGAGGCGCTGCCCTTTATCGACGACTTGCCCGCCGGCGGGCAGGACGCTTCCTCGTCCTGGAAATTCCGCAAGACGCACAGCTACCCCTCGTCCGCCGCGTCCGTCGACGTATACGAGAAGAAGCTCCCCGCCGACGCCATGCGCCGCGTCGCCGCCGCGCACAAGAAGCAGCTGCCGCCCCACGTCCAAGCCAGCAAGACGGCCGCCGCCGAGACGTGGTTCCTGCGGCGGAGCGTGCACGAGGACGCGGCCCGTTCTGCGACGGCAAGCTGGGACGAGTTTGCCGCCAGCTTCAAGACACACCACGCCGAGTCGGAGATGGCCTTTACAGCGTCCGTCGTGGGCACGACGCCGCGCCGGCAGTGGGACTGCAGCGGCGTCGCGATCCAGCTTGGCGGGGAGACGTGGACCGACTGGACGCTCAAGCTCGAGGAGTCGGTGCACAAGCTGCCGTTTCCGCTGCAGAAGCGCGTGTTTCCGGTGCTGCAGGCAACGGCGGCCGTCGAGGGCCGCAGGGAGTTTGTCGTGGTGCAGGTGTTTTACGCAGGCGGGCCTGCGCCGGCCAACGCCCAGGGCACCGTGACGGGCGCGTACACGAGTATTGAACGAGTTCGCGAGATTCCGGGCGAGGCGGGTGGTCAGAGCCAGATTGAATGGGTCATGGGCACGGCGTCGGATGCCATGGGTGTCTTGCCCGAGTTTGTCCAGGCCCTTGCGACGCCGGACATGGTGTCCAAGGACGTCGACTTTTTCCTATCGTGGGTGGCCAGGCAGCGAGAGTAAACGGTCGTAGAGCTAGAATTAATACCCATGTTACACACAGGTACCCATAGTACCGTCAAGCTGGAGTGTGTTGAGAGAAGCAAAGCCTGAGCAGTGGCAAAGCCGCCGTTTTGTTCTGTCAGCTGGCGGACGATTGTCCAGGAAGGAACTGGCAAATGGCAAACGGCCTTTTTTTACCAGTCACCTCATTCAACTAGAAACAATATATTTTCTCTCCAATCCATCTCCTTCTCGGTTTCCAAGGTCACCTATTCAATCCAACCAACATGTCTAGTAAAAGACATCGATCCGTACCACCAGCTCCCACCCGCATCACGCGGAGCCACGCCAACAGCTCACCATCCAAAAGCATCATTGCCGTGCACCACAGCACCCGCCGCAGCCATCCCAATACCGCTACTACTACCACCACCCCCCATGCCTCCTCCTCCTCCTCGGGACGCTCCGCGGCCGCCGTCTCGCACCTCGCCGCGCAGGCCGACGCACTCGCCAAGATGACGCTCGAGATGAACCTGCGCTCCGTCAGCAAGCAGGCCGACCGGCTGGAGCGAGATCTGCGGGCGCTCGTGCAGGGCACCTCCAACGATGCCGCGTTTCGCGCGCAGCACGAGATCCGCCTGCAGGACATGTGGAAGGAGATTCTGGCCGTCAAGGCGCACGCGGCGCAGGACCGCGACACGCGGCACCTCGCTGATCAAGAGTGTCAACAGGCGACGCGCCGCATCATGGACGAGATGCGTGCGGATATTGCGGGCGTTAGGGATGCGGTCGGCGGGCTCGCGGCGACGCTCGCCGAGATGCCATCGCCAGAGCAGATGCAGGCCGCGCTGAGCCAGAGCAGCGAGGGCGACGACGCCAGGCAAAACGGTGCGTCCATCCTCTCTGTAATCTCTACAGCCGTCTCCGTCTAATGCCACTGCAGATTCAGATTCGCAGCAGCCTCGCTCCTCGTCGACCCACGCACGCATCCAGGACGCCCTCCGCTCAACGCGGCGTTGGAACCGCGACCGCAAGACGTCGTCCCTCGCCGAGGCTGCCTTTTGCGCCGGCTACCTCCGGCAGCAGTCGCGGCGCGACGCCCGCATGGCCGTGTTTTTGCAGCGCGCCGTCCAGCGGCGAGTGCAGGCGCGCTTTCCCGGCCGCACGCTGCGGCCGCGCAGCCTCGACGAGCTGTGCGCGCTGGTGCGCTGGGCCGACATCCGGGCTGTCGTGGAAGACGTCCTCTTGCGGGACACGACGGACGTTATGGCGGCGTTGGGGGTGTGAATGTGGTTGATAAATGGAGGCGAATGTAGAGAGAAGACTGGTTGATAAATGGAGGTGAATGTAGAGAGAAGACTGTTTTAATGATGGGAGTAGATGGGAGTAGATGGGAAACAATCGTGGTGAGATTTTGACTTCGAGATTGATATATTTTTTTCGTTCGAGACACTTTGCAGGACATCAAGTGCGCCATATTTGTATTATATTGGAGCCAAATGTAGAAAATCGGTCGTTTCAATGGAATCATGTAGATGGTATCGTGGTGAAAGTTTTGTTCCGAGGGGGTTCCTTCCTTTTACACTATCCACAAGATCAAGAGCCAAGACAAGAAAGAGAAAGATAGAATAAAGATAAACGAACCTGTCATGGTTCCAATTTTTCGCACTCCTTCCAAAACGCCGTAGTACAAATAAAAACAACCATTCCAACTCCGTGGGAAACATGGCCATGTCCCTGCGTGTTTGTACGTTTCCCAATCCCAAAAGAAAAATGCAAGTAATTAAAAAGAAGAAGAAGAAGAAAAGAAGTGAAGCCCTAATCATCATCCACCTCCATGCCAATCGAAGACATCTTGAGCTCAATCTCCGACTTGAGCTGCTTTATCTGACTCTCCAAACGCTGTCGGAGAATCTTGTTTTGCGTCTTGTCGAGGTCGGCCCGGCGGTGGGCGAGCTGTTTGCGGAGATCGTTGATAAAGTCCTTGACGCCCTGCGCCTCGTCGCGTGCCGCGCGCTGGTCCTCGTCGAGATCCTCGTCATCATCCTCGTCATCCTCGTCCTCGTCGGATTCCTCCGACTCGTCCAGTTCGATCGATGGGTGGGCAGCGGGCGTATTCGCCTGCGTTGTCATGACTGGCGTGCCGAAATCCATGCCCGTCGCCGGCGTGTCCGCCACACCCACGTCGTCGGCAAACGCCGCCTCCAGGTCCGCCTCCAGATCCAAATCACCCACGTCCTCGGCCCCGTCCTCGGCGCCAAAGTAGCCCATGCCATCATTCAGCTCGCCCTCGGCGTCCTCACCCTCCGCATCCTCCTCCTCTTCTTCGCCACCAGCAGCGCCACCCTCATTACTCTCATCCACCCACTCCCACGCGGTCCGATCCGCCATGGCGTCTTCTCCCAGAAGCCGCTCGACCTCCTGCTCCTTGTCCTCAATCTCCTTGCGCGAAATCGTCTTGGCGAAGCGGCGGTTGACGCAGTCGTGCATGGGCGGCGTCAGCCCGTGCGGCCACTTGTACGCCGCGTCCACCACGGCCGGCAGCGGCGCCTTTTTCGCCTCCTCCTCCGTTTGCACGGGCTGAAACGCGAGCAGCATCTGGCACACGTCGGCCGACTTAAGAAAGGACTTCTTGTCCCACGTCTTCATCGACTCGGTGATGGTCGGCAAGTCCACCATGACGGCCGCAAATAGCTGACCCTTGACTGTCACGACCGCGCGGTGCGACTCCTCGTCAAAAAATTTCAGTGACAAGCTGGCGCCGCCCTGCTGTCGGCCCAGGCCCACCTTGCCGGCCTCCATCATGGCCCGCACGTAGTCGCTATGCTCGCCCGGCGGCATCCGCAGGATGAACTGCTCCTCAATCGCCGGGTCCAGCTCCCGGTCGCTTGCCTCGGAGTCGTAGCCGTCGCCGGCTGGGTGCACCGGCGGCCGGCCGCGCGCCTTTAATACCAACTGAGTATGCGCGCCGCCGGCCGCGGCCGCGGCGGCCGCTGCCTTGGCCTGGCGAATCTTGATCTTGGTCGCGGGGGGGGCCGAGGCCGCGAGCGGCATGTCGTCATCGTCATCGTCGTCGCGCTGTCGCTTCTTGCTTTCCACGAGCTTCTGAGTCGGTTTCGGTTGCCGCCCTGCTTTGGTCTTGACGGGGGTCGACGGGTCGACGCCAGGGGTCGCAGGCGTCGAGGCGCTCAGCTTGAGCTTCACTTTGCGTGAGCCGCCACCCTCGCCAGGAGTCGCAGTACCGGCTGAGGGAGGGGTGTCGGTGACAAAGGAGGCTGTTCGATTCACGTTGATCTTGAGGCGCGGTTTGGGAGGCCCTGCGGGTGCGCCTGGTCCCGCCGCCGCCATATTTGTATGATATTGAAAGTATTGATGTTGGTGGAAGGATGAAAGACACACAGGCTGCGATGCAAATGGCAAGATTAAGTGGGGCACATCAAGTCGTCGCGCTTGCAATTATTTGGTGTAATTACCTGCCAGGCTAAAGTGCAACCACCTAGATATGTATCTAGTTGTAGGGCAAAATAGAGCACCTCGAATTGTGTGTGTGTCTGCATTTTTACTGTGATGAGCCCGCACATGCTCAGCTTCTCAGCGTTTGCATGTTATTAGGTGTTAGGTAGGTAGATAGATGGTGGTTGCACTTTTTGCCTGGCAGGTAATACAACAAATACTTTTCTATTATTGTACCTATGGGACTCGGAAGTTACGTGCAAACGCAAAGTTTTCCCAACAAGGCCGATGTGTCCCTTCTCTACATTTCTGCTATGTAAGGGCCATACATTCTCTCGGGTTCCAGGGCGTTCACATGCATCATTACGACACGATTGCTTGCTTGTGCGCCTACTGTATTCGTATTGTCACATCTTCCAGACGTTCCTTCAACGTTGCGACGATACAATTCCTTGCTTACAGACCTATATTACCACAAGAACATCCCTATTCTCGAATTCTGCCATATCCACAAGACTGCCGGCTTTCAGACCTAGATGCCCAGTATCACCATGAGCCAAGGCGATCGAGACAGCAACCCGCCCATGGCTAAGGTTAATTCGCCTTCGAAAGAAGACATCCTGCATAATCTACGAGCCGCCCAAGAAGCCAACCACCTCGAGAGCTTATACTGCGACAGTGGATGGTATGGCGCAGTTCATGGACCTGAGAAGCTAGTCAACCTGGACAGCCTGTCCGACCTGCACATCGAAAGGGCCAACAGCGCTGCAACCGCACTGCGCCCGTCTTCCTCGTGCCAGATTCGTGGATGCACTGGCTAAACTCAGCTATCTTACTCGAGGAGCTTCTGTGCTACACACACAAGCGCTGGTTTCGCCCCTACGAGAGCCACATAGACAGAGGCCAGTTCCTCACCAAGGTCTGCACCGTGTCGGAGTCGCAGGTCCCGCCCACTGAGGCCTGCTCACAGGAGATGGCCGACTGCATAAAGACGTGGAGTGCCAATCTGTGCGCGAGGGTTGCGTTCACGAAGTCGACCGACCTGTATTTCGAAGAGCGGATGGCGGGAGAGCGCCTTTATCACATGCGACCCCTCTTCCAGGCCGTGGCCGTGGCCCATCCGCTACTCCTCCTTCAAGGTCACCGTGACGTACATTTCCAAAATCCCCGTCCTCATCGTCCGCACCGGCGTGGAGGACGGCCTGAGCGCACCCGTTGACCTCGAACAGGTACCCGAAAGCGACAGACGGGCCGTCGTGGCGGATTCACAGGGGCACCTGCCCGTGGTGGAAGTGACCCTCGACGTTGCCTTCACGTTCCTGATGGTCCTTGAGAAGCGCGAGGAGGCAGATGGCCCCATTACCAGGGATGTGATCCCAAGTACGCGCGATTATGCGCGAAATGCAAGATAGAGTGGGCTGGGCGAGGTATCTTCGAGAAAACAGTGGCCGATGAGATGAACCGGAAGAACGAATTGGAAGAACGAACTGGACGAGACGGAAGAGATGAATTAGAAGATACGGAAGAGATGAACTAGAAGAGACAGACGAGACAAAGTCCCAGTACGACATACGGATAGCACCGCCGCAATGATGGCATCGCCGACCTGCAGCTCTTGTGCTACTACAGAGTGCTGCTACAGGTCAGCACGACCGCCGTGTACCGCTCGGCTGCGTTCCGCTACTTACCCATCGTCGACTTTGTCAGTTGCTGGCGGCGCAGCGCACCCAGGAGGAGCATCGATCAGGCGACGTACTGCCTTCTTGGGAAGCTTTGGATACTCGGGAGCGCAACGAGTATTCTCGTACCCAGCAGGCAGCCCAAGAAGAGGTTGGAAAGTAGTACCTCTCTCCTGAATTGCCTGTAACAAGTTAGCATGAAGATGACGACCTATCTGCTCACACCGTCCAAAAACCGCCATGGCGCCCGACATTGTGGATACAAAGCGAAAAAGGAAAAGCATTGGAAACCTCGGCAGTGACCAAGAAGGAAAATCGCATTAGAAGGGGGGAAGAGGTCGTGTTTGTCTTGAGCTTGGTGGGTCGAGGTGCAGAGGTACGTGATAGACGTATTGGCCGGGGAAAAGGATGCTACCACGGGGGATTTTAGAATAACAACTCTATGCCGCTGTCGCCTTAGACGGCTAAGTATATGCCGCTATAAATAGTAAAATATAGATTAGATAAATAGAGTATATAAGAGAGATAGGAAGGATAATAAAAATAAGGTAAATAAAGAATATAGTAGAAATAGGAAAAAATAAGAAAAATAAGAAAAATAAGAAAGGTAGGAAAAATAGGAAAAATAGAGAAAAGAATGGAAATATAGTACATTGAATAAATCATAAATACTCATAACATCTTTTAAAGTAGCCTTGAAATTTGCCTTTATCAGCAGCTGCGCTTCCTGCTTTATCAACACACCGCCGCAAACGCTTCTCTCAGGCTGCAGTGACTGGTCCAACACACATCTCTCGCCACAGCTGATTGTTTTCCTCTATTCTTCTCATCTTCCCTCTTCATTCCTGTTTGTTCTTCCCTCTCCTCTCCCACACCATTTGCACCCTCTTCTTCTTCCTCCTTTAACACACCACTGCCAAAGCACTCTCCGCCAGCCGTGACCCTCGCACTCCTTATTCCTCATTGCCCTCGATCCCTTTTCTGCATTAAATCTTTACTTTTTTTCTTCCTTCGTGTTCTTTGAGTTGTTCTCATTCTTCTTATCTTTCTCATCATTCTTATCCACGCACCCTCTCCGCTAAATCTTTCCCTGCCGGCTGCCGACGCCTGTCTTTTGTCTCTTCCACAAGAAACACAACCCGGCCAACGGATCTTCCTCCGCGGCACGCTTTTCCGGTTCAAACAGCCAGGGCCGCTTACCTAGTCGTTTCTTTCGAAGAACTCGCTACGTTTACCAAATCGAAGGCTGCCGAGATGCTGGAGAAAGAGGCTCCCAGCGCCGCGGCGACGCTCAAGGCCGAAGAGCCCGAGGCCGCCGCAGCCGCCGCAGCCGGCCGTGCCAGCACGAAGCCAAGGGCCAAGCAGACGGCCGCCGCGCCCAGCCGTTCTCGCAAGCCGGCAGCCAAGAACCGCGTGGCCAAGCCAGCCAGAGCTCGGCCCAAGACCTTTAGCCGAAAGATGAGCCTCATCGCCGAGGCGGAGAGCGAGACGGCCGCGTTCGCCGCCGACGGCGACGGCCTCGTCTGGACCGCCCCTATGCCCGACGGCCGTATCCCGGCGCCGCGCCCGTCCGAGGACGTCTTTCCGCGGCTACCCGACGACGCCAACCCCATTGACCGGGCCACGTTTGAGCGGCTGGCGCTCGTCTGGGCCGAAGAGGCCGGGCGGTGGACGGAAGATATGCAGCGGTCGCTGCTGCACAACCTGCCGCGGGCGCGCGTCACCAAGTCAACGGCCACGTTTTCCAACCACTACATTTCGCGCACCGTGCGGGTCAGCGGCGTGGTGCCGACCTGGGGTCAGTTTCTCGCGCTGCGCGTCATGTTTGGCCCTGCGGTGTGCTTCCGCGAGCAGTGGGCGGTCGAGTTTGCGCGTCGCTACCCGCTGGCGCTCGAGGACGCGTACGACGGCGTGGTGCCGGACACGGCGCACGAGGTCCGGAATATACTCGACGGCAAGATTGGCATGCCGGTGGTGAGCCGCCGCAAGATTACCATCAGGGAGCTCGCCAAGGACCGCAAGCGCACGCGCAAGCGTCGCCCAGCGGCGGCGGCAGCGGCGTCCCAGAGCCAGGCCGCTCCGGGCAAGAAAGACGATGACTGGGCCGAGGAGGAGGAGGCAGAGGTGGTGGTGGGCATGGTGGCTGGGCGGCAGCCGCCGAAGAAGGACGAGGTGGACGAGGTGGCCGAGGACGCGTGGAACGAGGCGGCGGCGAGCGCGGCGAGCATGGACCCCAACACCGTCATCGCCAAGCTGCGCAAGCGCTACTGTGACCAGATGGCCCAGATTCAGCGCCTGCGCAAGGACAATGACGAGATTCGCAAGTCTTTGGATGCTTTCAACAACATGGCGGCCAAGGTCAAGGACGAGTGAGCGCCGGGGGAGAGGGGTGGGTCGGGACCTCGTGACGATTTATTGATGGCACGAGAAGAAGTGCGTGAACTAAGGGCAAGGTGAAAGGGGAGGAGTTCAGATGTTTGGAGTTTTTCTGGGTTTCGAATTATTTGAGGGCAAACGAGGGTTGGTTTTGGCACGCCATCTTTGTTTTTCTTTGGCGTTGGTACTCCTCCTTGTTCTTCCAATCATGTTTGCTTCTCATTTCTTTTTGCTATATTTTGCTGCGGTTTTTTTTCTTCAACTTTTACCCGACAAGCATGAATTATCACGCGCCGGCACGCTGTTTCTCCTTTGGCTTGTATTCTTAGCTGGTATGGATTTCCTTTGGCTTGTATTCTTGGCTGAATTTGTAACACATGGCATGATTACTTGGTGGCTTATCTTTAACAATTAAGAGAAAAGTTGCAATATAAAAAAGGCTCTCTAGAGAAGACTTATGGTAAATAAAAATTCGCTTGATGGAATATGCAAGTGATTTGGTGGTACATGGGAAAGATGAGGGATGCAGTGTGTCGCGCCGTAGAAAAACATATTGGGGATTCCGAAAACCATTACCCATGGCTTCGATTCTTTCCTTTGTTGTCTTCTTCTTCACGTGAGTTTTATTTCCTGTTTTTTTTTTTTTTCACACACGCTTCCATTACTCCGGCTTTGCTGTTTCTTCCGCTTTGGCCGCCGATGCTGGCGGGCCCATCTCGCCCGAAAACAGCGTCTCCTGCCACTCACCGCACAACTGGCCAAAGGACAAGAACTCCTCGCCTTTGAAATCGGTAAAGGCGCCGCCGTACTCGGCGCCCGGCAGCGAGTTGCCCTCGGGGTACTGCAGTCTCGGCAGCCAGGCGCGGCCGTCCATCTCCGCGGTCGTGAGGTCGTCGCCGGCGCGCGAGGCGAGGGCGTTTGCGCGCAGCAGGCTGGCGACGAACGGGTAGAACCACAGGGCCTTGTACTCGTCGTCGATGGACTCCTTGCCGCCCGTGCAGTGCCAGAGGGCGTAGACGTGACGCGTCACGTAGTTGACACCCAGGTTCACGGACCGGATCCACTCGCTCGCGGGTAGCCGGCTGCGGCTGGGAATGGTGGCGCTCGCGGTGGCAGCAGCAGCAGCAGCAGCAGCAGCAGAAGAAGAAGCAGCAACAGCACCTGCACCTGCATCCCCCCCTCGGTGCTGTGCCGAGGATGCAGATCGACCAGACGACGATGGTTTGACGGCCGCCTCGTACACCCTCGTCAAGGCCGCGTACACCGCCGCCGGCATCGAGATGGAATAGGGCACAAACGAGGCGCCCTGGTCAAACATGTCCACCTCCATCCGTGCCGTGTAGCCGGGCTGGTCAAAGGTCATGTACCCAAAGAAGCGGTCGTAGCCCGCCTTGGTCTGGAACAGCGCCGACTCGTACTCAATCGCGACGTGGAACTCGGTCGGCTCGCCCTCGACCACGACCGGGTCTGGCAGCTCGTGCTCCTTGCTCGCCTCGAGCCACGCGCGCTCCGCCGCCGTGTCGTTGCTGTTGTCGCTGTTGGCCTCGCGCAGCGCCAGCGCCAGCCGCGAGCGGTGGTACTCCTGCCGGCCCCAGACGTTGGCCAGGTAGTACTGGTCCGACTCGCTGTTCTCAAACTGCGCGTTGTACGTCCGCGCAATCTCGGCCATGGTCACGTTGATGTACCTGCGCATGTCGCCCACCGGCCCGATGACGGTGCCCGAGTTGAGCCACTTGGGGTCGTTGCTCACCATGCCCGCCCGGTTCTGGTCCGGCCCGAACGTGTCGTTGGCCATGTGCGACGCCGGCACCGCCCAGCAGCGCGGCTTCTGCCACTCGACCGGCCAGCAGATCTTGTCGGGCCCCCAGAAGATGGTGTTGCGCAGGCCCTTTTCGTGCAGCTCGCCCACCGGCATCTGGAACCGCTCGGCCAGGTGCGCGTCCGAGTCGCGCTGGATCGTAAAGTAGCGCTCAATCATGATCTCCACGGGCAGCTGCAGGATGATGTCGTAGCCGTCCACGATGAGCACCAGGTCGTCGTCCTCTTCCGGCCCCAGGTCTTGGAGGTATATCTGGATCGCGCGCAGCTTGGCCAGGTGCGTCTCGGCCGCGTCCATCTCGCCCTCGCCCTTCCAGCCGAGGAGCAGCGGCGCCGGGTACCTGTTGACGGCGGCCGACACGACATTGTAGCACAGTTTGATGTTTGGAGAGCTGGCCGGCACCAGGTAGTGAAACGTCGACACCCGAGGCCTTGGTGTTGCGGCATCCGTGGTAGACGCTGGCTTGGTGGGAGCGACTGTGCTAAATCGGCCCTGGTACAGATTTGAGTTACGATTCCACGTCTGCTTATTGCTTGGGATAAAGTCAGAGCGACAAATCAAAGGGAAAAAAAGTCCGTACCGGTTTGAGGGACTCATCGAGCGTAAGGAGTGTCACGACGAAAAGTAATATGATTACCGGGAGCAGTAGTATACGCCGTTTCCCTGACAAGAATGCAGGTGCCATGATGGGCAAAGGACTTGGTTACTTATCGCAATGAGCAAAAAATATAAAAAAAAAACCCCCAAAATAGAAACCAGAGGGAAGAAACGAAAACGGACGTATTCTTAGTTGCGTTAAAGGAGTGAGATGAAAACCTTGAAGGAGCAGAATGGAACCGAAAAGCCCTTGTTCCGACACATGCGTAACCAGATGCAGACCAGTCATCGGCTGCTTAAGGGCGAGTCAATCGTCAATCTAGGGTGGAACTCGAGGACGTATGCGCGGCGTACTTGAGTCCCGAGCTTCTCGCACCAGTAGTTAGACCAGGTTAACAAGGAGGAAGTTTATTACAGCAGGGGCGGCGACTGACAGCTTTGACAGCGCCGAGGGCTTCATCCATCCATCCCTCTGGTTGCTTTCGGCGTCTATCAGTTGTCTTCTAGTGTACAAGATTACCGGGGCGCGAGGTGGTGTGGACCTAGAGGCAAGCCACAGAGGGCAACGGCGCCTCCCTGCGAACTAGGCAGTTAATAATACTCCCAGTCTCCATTTCCACATAGAAGGACTCGGAGCATAATAAAAAAGGCAGGTTTGCACAAGCCTCTATTGTTGGGGAAGCTGAAGAGTGGCGCATACCCACAATCTTGGGTTCTTGTACATAGCGTACATATCCCGCACAATAACTAGGCCTGCCACAGCTTCTGCGGTATTGGCTTGTTTTCAGGCATACGACTCTGTCAGTTTCAGCCAAGCATGATACATACTTGAGCGGTAACTTTGCCGGACCCCGTGCCCAGTTGACGCTGCTGGTTGTGACAAGCTGTGTTGTACCGCGCATCTAATGTCTATCGAGAGTTTAAAAAGGGTTCGACTACTGAGTCAGTCTTTTAAAGTTAGTATGAAGGTAGAGCTTTTCTTTGCGTCAGTTTCAAATGCTGCAACCGTGCGGGTTGCAAGGGCTTGAACACATGGAGACACTCCAATGTGAACCAACTGGCAGCCGCCATATTGGACAAGCGATTAGAGGTGGGTCTCGCATGGTCAACGAGAAACTGCCAAGATGCCAAGACAACCCGCGTCTATGATATATCAGTTGCAGAACTGGTGTCTACCCTTGCTTGTCCAATCGCAGCATTCCTGCATGGAAGAGCTCCCTCGCGGGCGGGAATAGCGGGATGAGCTGTGTGACTGAGGACCGCAAATACAGATGCGTGCCAAGAGCTCTTGGGCACGGGTCTGTTCCAGCCATAATAAGCTCCGGATACGTCAATTTGTCAACGTCGTCTTTGGAGTGGCCTTGGCGGCGACGGTGCATCCGGGACGTTGGCTGTCATACGGCCAGTGCGTCGGCCAAGTCTCAGGCCCGGCCTCTTGGCGAGGGATCTCATTTCGTATCCCCGGTGCAGTGCGGGAGTGCCATGGGAGTCGATCTTGCAAAAACGTGCAAAGTACAGATATGCATAATAATAAAGGGCAGAGCAGCGGCTTCAGCTCACGTGTGGCTTGTCTATCAAGAGACGTGCAAAGAGCCCGCTATGAGGGTCATTTTGTTAGTTATTAGAGATTTGTAGCGTGGCACGAGAGCAACGACCAAGACCGGGACGGAGCACGCGATAACGAGGCCACGGAGCGGATCCGTGGCTTGTTCCCATTCCCGACAACCCCGGACTGGCTGGCTGATGAATGTTAGCGTCAGCAAAAAGTACAAAAAGAGCAATGGTGAGACTGCTGGTCGGCACTCGGTGAAAGAGCACCATCAAAGGCGACCGTCAAAATCGAGCCTGCATTGTCTGAGAGTGTATGATCCTGGTACGAGTAACCCATACATGTGCCTGGATAGCAACATGTGCGGAAAGTCCCGCTGTGTTGGACTGCAACTTGGACAGAGCGCAGGTGGAGGTGAGTATTAGTGTTGGCCAACTGGTTTGCCTTGGCGGCAAACGGTTGGTGCCAGTTGGTGGCTTTGGCTTGATGTCATGAGGACCTATGTACCTGGTTAGTTCGTTAATAGTTGATAGGATGAGGGAAGGGGGGACCCAACAAAGGAGCCAGGTCGAGGCTCCGTTGTTAGCCCTCAATCACCATGGCATCATACCACTGAGGAAAAAAAAATCAATGCTCGAGTGTATTCGGTGCGGTGTCTCCCGGGTTCAGATGTGAAACGATGGACTGGATTTCAATGCTGCCGCCCCCGCGTGGTCTGCGTAGGCGAAGCTTAGCAGTAAGCATGATTGAGCCATTCCGATGCTACATACATTTGCATCAGAAGGAGTTGGCACAATGATAACTAGTTAGTTGCGGCGACCTTGTGGAGTTGCACCTTGTGGAGTTGCACCTTTGCAGCTTGGGCGTTCTTTTCTGGGTGACTTCTGAAGCTGTAAGGGAGACGATTGCCGAAAAGACAGGGTCTCGCGAATGCTGCCCTGGTCAAGGAACACATGGATCACGGGGGTTACGAATCGAGGTTGCAGTGGGGGCGGTTTTGATTGCTGGATATGAGGCGGGTATTGCCAGTGGTGAATCTGTTTTTGGGGTAAGATGGGGTCAATGTCCCCTTGATCAGTGAGTCTGGTGAGTCTGGTTGAATGAGTGACGGTGGTTAAGAAGCTTGAGGCCGAGCAGCTGAGAAGCTGAGGAGGAGCTGACGTACGCACCGGATATGGCTGCCGGATGTTGCGGTGGAGCTCAAAGAGGTTGACAAGAGCATAGACAGGGAATAACAAAGTTTTCTTTGGTTGACAGTGGGAACTTGGACGAGCTGATGTGAAGCTGTCAGCTACCGAGTTAACTACCTATGTATGTACCTAAGCATGGCCGGTGCCGTGTCGGCAGCCACAGGAGGGCGGGTGGGCAGGTGTGGCGCTTGAGGAGGGTTGACGTAGTGGACGGTTGCGTATGCCTCGGTGATGAGCGGGAGAAAGGGGGGGGGGGCGCTAAAGTTGGATATAGCCAAGAAAAGTCGTGGAATGCAATGATAGGTCACTAGTTGGCGCAATGAAAAGGTATTGGAAATAGTTGGAGGAAGAAGGGTTGCAGGGAAGAGACAACAGACGGCCGTTTGGATGTGGAGGCCAAGAAGCAAAGAGCCTCAGTCAGCCCAGGTGCCAGCCCAGGTACCTACCTACCTACCTAGGTAGGTAGGTAGCTAGGTACAGCAAACGGAGGTTTCTGAGGTTTCTGAGTGGCTGCAGTGGCAGTGGACGCGAGTCCGGATGGTGGCATCTGTCAACGGACACGCTAGGAAATAAACCTGCCAAGCTATAGTCAAGCAAATAGCCAAGAATATAGCCAAGGATTACAGTTTATTAAAGAAAGCTTGGTTACTTCTAGTTGAGAGATTACTACGAGCAAAGGGTTGCCAACAGAATAGAATGTTTGGCGGCACTACTCATGTCATACCAACACTGCCAGGAGTTTTTTATTAGCAGCCAAGCTGAGTAGCATGGTTGTGTTATGCTGGACTTGCCATGCAAAATGCAGAGCGAAAATGCAAATGCAGAGCGAAAAATGCAAAATGGGGTCAGACAAGGGATGTCTCCATGATAGTATGTCTTGGCAAAACCACGCCCGCCAAGGTCTTGGCTCTTGATACATTCCTAATTCCGAGATTTGTTGGTTACTTGGTACATAGGTAGGTAGGTAGGTACTTGATGACGAGGTGTTGCTTTGATGCAAAGTACGTACCCCCCTTAGAGGGGCGGCTGCCACGTTTAGCGGCTGGCTTACAGGCCGAGTACAGGCAGCCGGCCCCCTGCCAGGCCACACCCAACGGCCAAGGCATCCACTGTAAATGCAACCTCCAGGCCAAATTTACAATTTACACACACATTTACAGGCGCTACCCCGTCATTCCTGGCCTGCCTTCTCTGCCCAGTCAAAGGTCGTCTGGGCCTCTCGTGGCATACCCGTTGCAACGTATCCGTACCCCCGTACAAATTAGACACGGCCGTTTCTCTCATTGTTCCCCCCGCCCCTGGATTCCCTTTTTATGAATGCTATTTTCATTTTTATTTCTTTACTCTCATCGTCAACTCTTGGCAAGTTGGGCCATTCCTGGGCCAAGAAATCCCGTCACAGACCTCGATTTCCTCGATAATTATTTAATTATTATTGGCCCCTGCCTCCACACACAGCTCCCCACCACTGCCGCCGCACCAGTGCCACCACTGACCATGACCAGCGACGCGGACGCATCTTGTTGACGACGCTCACCGTCCCCAATTTTGCTCTTTTAATCATTGTTTCCTTGCTGCTTCAACTCGTCCTCGACAGGCACTCTGAACCCCTACCTGCTTTCCTATCACCTATTCCTACCAAGTTCCTGCATACCGAAACCACCTGTGCCACTTGCCAAGTCTTCCTACTACACAAAGCGTGGCCCGTTCACCCACCCCTCCCTCCTCCGCTTCTTGTTTCCAGCTTGACCATATCATCATCCAAACGCAACCATATTTCTGGCATTGATTTTGTGTCTTGTTGCCTTCAGACTCTTACCCATTCTATCGTCCTTCATTCTACATTCTACATTCTATCAACATCACTCTTTTGACCCAATCTATATGCACCACCGTCGCATCACACCACGTTCACTCCAGTCGACTACTTGCCCGTCCCACCAAGCAAGCTTCTCCTCCGCTGCATCTGAGGTCAATTGAGCTGCGCCACGATCCTTTGCGTCTGTAGATCGACAAGCTCATTAATATCATACGCGCCCCGGCTCTGCCGCCATCCCTCGCCCGCCCATCCCGCACCCGACTTACTCTTGCAGCAACGGCCCTTCTATATATCGCTGTTGATCTTATGCTCTGCACGCAGTACCACCGTTCGTCTACCCTGACGACCTTTCGCTCGTTTCTATTTCTGACTTGAGATACCAACAGCCAACTCGATATCCATCTTAGCCTTCTTCCATCATCTCGGCCCTCGATCCTCACCTCTCCCATCTCAACACTCCACACATGTCTTCACAAACTTCCCCGGAACCTTCGCCGCCCCTCCTCAAGGAAGGTCAGGGTTTTGCATCCCGAGACGATTCTCTCGTCGATATGGAAGCCAACGCAGGTCGCTCCGAGGCTGCTTCTCAGTCCAACCTCGACCATGAATATTCAATCCCATCAACAGTCAAGTTTACATGGCTAGGCACATACTTTGTGCTGTCATTGCTACTCACCATCTATAACAAGCTTGTTCTGGGCGTGGTATGCAGCGGCCGCCTTACCCTTCTACATACCATCACTAACCCCCGTTCTAGTTCAAATTCCCCTGGCTATTGACCTTTCTTCATACTTCCATTTCCGCCTTCGGTACCTACGGTATGCTACACATGGGCTACTTCAAACTCTCGCGATTGGGACTTCGTGAGAACCTCGCCCTCGTCGCCTTTAGCGCCCTCTTCACAGTCAACATTGCCCTGTCCAACCTGTCACTCGCCATGGTCTCGGTCCCTTTTTACCAGACTATGCGCATGCTTTGCCCCATCTTCACTCTTCTCATCTTCCGTGCTTGGTACGGCCGTACCTACAGCACCCTCACCTACTTGTCTCTGGTCCCGTTAATCTTTGGCGCCGCCATGACTACCGCGGGCGAGATGAAGTTCTCAGATGCTGGTTTCCTACTGACCATCCTCGGCGTCATTTTCGCCGCACTCAAGGTGCGTTTTGTCTTGTCGCATTGATGCATACTTACATACTGACTCGCGCTTAGACTATTGTGACGAATCGCTTCATGACGGGCTCCCTCGCCCTTCCCCCGGTCGAATTCCTCATCCGAATGGCCCCCATGGCTGCTGCGCAAGCATTGGTCTGCGCTTTTGCTACTGGCGAGGTGGATGGCTTCCGCGAGGCCCTTGCCAACTCGGAAATGTCAGGCCTTGCCACAGCTGCCTCTCTGCTGGGCAATGGATGTCTTGCTTTCCTGCTCAACATCTCGTCTTTTAATACCAACAAACTCGCCGGTGCCTTGACGATGACGGTGTGCGGTAACCTGAAGCAGTGCTTAACTGTTCTTCTCGGCATATTCATCTTTAACGTTGAGGTTGACCTTCTCAAGGGTACCGGTATGGCCATAACGATGCTCGGTGCCGCCATCTACAGCAAAGCAGAACTCGACAATAAGAAGAGGCAGCAGACGGCTTACAAGAAAATTCCTCAATAGAGGGAATCAAAAGGTGGCTCCGTTTTTTATTTCATATGCAAGGACTGCATCTCATTTGGATAGTACTTGGCATCCTGGACCCAATATCAATGATGTTGGCAACCAGATGAGTTTTATGATACCCGTTGGTCAGGGAGCAAACCTACATCCTTAGCGGGCCAAGAAGGCCAAGCTGGCCAAGCTGGCCAAGCTGGCCAAGCTGGCCAAGCTGGCCAAGCAAGGCCCTTGACATCAGCCAGGGCATTTGTTTATACATTGGCGTTGTAACATTGGGCACTGCATTATTTATTCATTTTTTGTCCCCACCTGCGGGCGGGGAAGGCATATACACCCACAGAGCATTCTGTTGTATTTTTCGTTTGGCACTGGGAATAAGTTCGATGGAGGCATTATGCATAGCATGCATGGGAAGATACCAGATATGGCCTTTAATACTACTCGGCTATTGTTCAATCCTTTTTCGCGGCGTCGTCTTGTGAAAGCAGCCAACAAGTCCGGAGGCTCTCGACAGAGTCGGCGCGTTGTGCCAAGAAACCAAATTCGGATGCGAAGAGAGAAGGACGTAAAAGTAATGTAGGTAAAATTGTATCCATGCTCCTATTTCTTTTCAGCGAAGAAGGATCGCTTAATAAAGGAGCCAGAATAGATACAATGATCAAACGAGGGATAAAGAGAAAAGAAAAACACCAGTCGCTATGCTAAAAATGGTTGTTTGCGTGTACAAAGTTGCAGTAGTGAGGAATGAAAGATACAAAGCCATCATGTCGCCTAATTCAGAACAGCAGCAGCGCAGATTCCAGTGAGAGCTTCGTGTTCAGACGGCTAACTTCCGGTCCTTGGCAGCGGTCTCACTTGAGCTCATCGACCTTGGCACCGCCACCACCCTCGGTGGCGGGCACGGGTAGCGCCGCCGCCTCGTCCTGCAGCGTGCGTATACTACTCTTGACGTCATCCAGCGTCGCATTCGCCTCGAGGCCGAGCGTTCGCGCGAGCTCCTCGAGCGGGCTGGACATGGACGGCCGCAGGCGGCCCGTGTGCCGCTCCCCTTCCGGCGCCATCGGTGGACCAACACGGAGCTGCGGCGGTGGTGGTAATAGTAGCGGCGTCGTCGCGGGCGCCGCCGTCACCTCGCCGGGCTGCTTGCTGCGCTCGAGCATGACGAAGCGCAGGCCGACCTCGGTGACGGTGACGAGGATGCTGACGAGGATGAGGATGATGACGATCCAGGTAATGGAGCTCATCTTGGCGTCGTTGACCGAGTCGGAGAGGATCTCGGCGAGGTCGAGGAAGACGCGGCAGCGCTCGTTGAGGACCTTGATGCGAGGGTCGATCTCGAGGTACTCACGGATAGCGGCGTAGAGCGGGTGCAGCGTGGGCTCCGAGTCCCAGAAGAAGTTGGGCACGTCGAGGATGTTGGACGCTAGGTAGGCAGTTAGTTTATATTTCTGCCTTTTTATTTTCGTTTTCTGTTCAAAGGAAGGGCAACATACAAAGATTAATGTCGACACGGCTCTTGAACAGCCGGCCCAGAATCTTGACAATCTCGGTCCGCGTCATGTTGAGCTCGCCCGTCAGCGCCAGCGTCTTGGGCACATCCTGCGCGTCGAGCATGGTCTCGCCGAGACGCTCCTCAAACAGACACAGCTTGGTGCTCTGCGCAATGGCGTGGCTGATGGTGAGCTTGATCATGTGGTCGGAGCGCGGCATGAGCGTAATCATGTCGTTGAAGATGCGCGGGCGCTTAACGTCGGCGCTATACTCGAAATGAAACTCTTCCGTCTCAAAGTCGTGCTGCTCAAGCGGCCGCGTGAGCAGGCTGATGCCGTCCTCGGCGTCGGCAAAGGTCAGGTCCGCGAGGATGTCCTTTTCCTGGTACTCGGAAAAGTTCCAAAAGACGACGACACCGTACGAGTAGACAAACATTTCGGCAAAGTTCTTGTTGGGGCCTCCGCCCAGGCGGTGGTGCAGCGGCGAGCCGCCGCCGCCGCCGCTGCGAGCGTCGTCGTCGTCGTGCGGGAGGTGGGAGCTGCTGTGGTGGTGGTACGCGCGGCGCGGCGCGGCGTCGGTGTCGTTGTCGGGCGACGGCTGGTGCGTTCCGGGACGCACATGGCTGGGCTGCTCGGGGCTATCGGGCCCGGTGTAGGCGTCATCGGCAAAGTAACCCTCGTGGCGGCCGCGCTGCTCGGTGCGCTCAATCTCGAGGTCGAGCACCGTCTTTCCGGTGCCGGGCGTCTTGAGAATGGGTCGGCCGCGGACGCGGTAGCCGTCGGTGCCGTTCATGAGCGGCAGCGCATAAATCACGTACAGGCAGTCGTCGTAGAGCTTCGTCTTGGCCTCGTGCTTGTCCTTCAGAAAGTCGGCCGTGGCCTTGATCTTGAACGCCTGCGCGGTGCAGTACGCCGTCAACCTACTGACTTTGTCCTTGCGCTGCATCTTAGGCAGCCGCTCGGCGTAGCTCTTGCCGCGGATGCCGCCGCGCTTGCGCAGCACGTCGAGCTCCTCGTCGCGCAGCGGCCCGGCGTTGTCGTCCTCGGCTTGGATCCGGCGGGCAAGCGCGGCGTCGCTCTCCAGCTCGTCCTCGGCGTCCGGCTCCTTGTCATCGGTCTCAGGCAGCAGCACCAGCTTCTCGCTTATTTTGGTCGTGCGCGAGGGCATCGGCTGGCCGGTGCGCGAGTGCACGTTGGGGAGACCGACGGAGACGACCCGGCGCGGCTGGATGGGACCACTGCCACCACTGCCGCCGCCGCTGCCGGGACCGGCCGAGGGCGTGGGCGGCCCGCGGGGCTGGCCGGAGGGAATCTGGGAGCTGAATTGCAGGACGTTGTCGACGGTCATGAAGCGCATCGGCACGCGGCCAGGGGAACGGGACATGGCGTCGGGACGCTGCGGGATGCGTCGCTGGTTGATTCTCTCGCGGGCTCGGGAGTCGGTGACCTGGTTTGGAACGTGTCAGCTTTTGGATCCGTGTAACTCGGATGACTGGACGGGCAGGCAGCCGCGTGCAGCAGGGTCGCATACCAACACCGACGGTGCCCGTGGTTTATTCCCAGAAGACATGTTGAAGAACTTTCTAAGCGTCGGGCAGCATGAATGATGGAGGAATCTCGACTTGGCGAGTTTACCGGTCGAGATGAAGCTGGAGGAAATTTCGGCAGTGTGTCGTTTTCGACAATGGTGGCGTTGACGGAAGAGGCAGATGGAGAGTTTCGATGAATATCAAGTTCACTAGCGCAAGCGAGATTCGAGCAGTCACGCCGTCAGCCAGCCCCGTGCGCTCCGCGCCGACCACCACCCCACTGCATACTTACTAGGTAGGTAGGTACCTGGTATATATCACGCTGAGAGGCTTAATAATCATTTAGATAATGTTAATTAACTAGAAAAGAGGCTATATAGCTAAGGACTACTAAAGACACCTTTATAAGGGGTCTTCTAAAAAAAGGGGCTAAATATATATAAAAAATACTTAAAAGTAAAACTAAGCCTTATAATAAGTTTAATATAATTACCTTATTTAATATACCTTTATAGCTTTTTTTTAAATAAATAAAGTAATAAAAATATATTATAATAATTAAAAATAAAATTTATAGTATTTTTTAAAGCCTTAAAGCTTATTAAAAAAAATAAAAAAAAAATATTATTATAAAAATTAAATCTTTATTTATAATTATTTATAAAAAACCTTTTATTATTATTAAATAATAAAAAAATAAAAACTTATATAATAATAATTTATTAAAAAACTAAATAAGTTTATTAATAACTAATACCTTTATATATTATTATTTTTTATTATTTTAATATTCTTTAATTAAGGTATTTAAGGTATTTATATATTATTTAATTTTTATAATAATAATAGTTTAATTTATTATATTATAAAAGTATATTTAAAAAACTTATAAAAAAAAATATTTATTTTTTTTAATAAGGAATTAAACTATACTAAGAATAATTAAAAAAGTATTTATAATTAGTTAAAGCTTTAAAAGGTTATAAAAGATTAATAAAGTATTACTTTTAACCTTAATATTTTTAAATAAGCTATAAAAAGTCTTTTTTTATTAATTAAGATAAAAGAAAATATATATAATACCTTAAGTAAAAAATTACTATTTTTAAACTATATATTTATTTTACTTTTAATAGTTTATTTATAATTAAATTAATTAGGTAGCTTTTAAAGGCTTAATTTAGTTATAAATAAGTTAAATTACTACTTTTTAAAAAACTTTATAAGGCTATTTATTATTATTTCTTTAGTTAAGATTTATTAAAGGTTAAAGCTTTTTACTTTTAATTCTTAATAAATCTAATAGTTATAAATATTAATATAATAAAGTTTTATAATTAGCTTAATAAGGTTTTTAGTAACTAATTAAATTATTTATTAGTTATTATAAAAAAAATTAATTTTTCTATTAAATATATATTTAATATTTAATACTAATTACTTAAAAGTTATAATCTCTTTAATAGCTTATAAAAAAGCTAATAGCTTAGCTTTTATAAATAATATAGTAACTATATTCTACTTACTTAATTAATAGTAAATTAGGCTATTAAATAGCTTTAATATATATTCTTATATACTCTTTTAATTATAAGTATTATTAGTAAAGCTAGTATTACTAAATATCTTAAGAACCTTAATATTTTTATTAAAGACTATATAAAGATTCTAAATATATTTAAAATACCTTATTATATTAAGCCTTTATATAATATAGTTAGGTAAAAGGTTAAAAAGAAATTAGGCTAGTTTTAAAAAGGTTAAAATATAGTTTATTTAAGTTATAATTAATAAATATTTAATTAAACTAATAATTAATTAGAACCTCTTAATTCTAATATTATTAATTATATTAAGCCTTTTAACTAGTAATTTTATTAATAATAATATATTAATTAGTTTTAAGTTATTATAATTAAACTTAGTTATAATCTTTTAAATATATAACTTTTAAAAAAGCTATACTTTTTATACCTTTTAATTATAAAGAATCTTAATTCTTAAGAACTAATAGAGTTTACTTAGTAATTTAATCTTATATTTATTAAAAAAGGCTTAATATACCTCTTTAAAGTCCTTTTTTTACTCTTTTAAATATAAAAAGACTAGGTTATTTATATAAAAGAAGATAATAATTCTTTTATAAGTTATTATATATAAGTCTTTTAAATAAGATATAAATCCCTTTTTAATAAAAAAGTTAATTATAGTTTAATATTAAAAAAAAGGTAATTTTTAAAGGCTATAAAGAGCCTTTTTAAGAAGCTATTAGTATTCTAGCTTCTTAAAGCCTAATAAAAGTATTATATATACTTTTTTATTAAGGTCTAAATTATAAAATATATTAATAAAATCTATTTAAACTAATTTTAAGCTAAAATATATTATAAAGGCTATTATTAAATAGAATATTTAAATAGCTAATATTATTATAGCCTTTATTAAAAGGCTAGCTAGCTATTAATTACTTTATATATATAGGTAAGCTTTATATTTAATTAATAAGTTATTAAAATTAAATTTATAAATATATACTTAATATAAGTTAAGAGGTTTTTTACTTTTTATAATTTTTTAAATATATATTTTCTAAACTATATTTTATATTATAATTTTTATTAATTTATTATTTATAGTTATAAACTAATAGTTTTAAAGTAGGTATTTTTTAGCTTAATAGTAGTTATTTAGAGTTAAGGAAAAAGTATTATAATATAGCTACTTTTTCCTCTTATTAATTATAATAGTAATTATAGCTTTTATAATATTATAGCCTAAGTTACTTATATTCCTTAGGGTAAAGTCCTTTATATTTAATAAAGTAGTTAATAAAGTTAAAAATAGATTATTTAAGGATTTTAAAGTATATATAATTAATTATAAGGCTTCTAAGGAACTTAGGGTTCTTATAAGGTTATTTTTATTATTTAAGGGTTTAAGGGGTTTACTTATATTATATAATAATATTAGCTTTTAATTAAAAGTAAAAGGTTTATTAATTTTAAAATAGATATACTATAAAGATATATTACTATATTAATTAGGTTAAATATACTTAGTACTTATAGCCTTTATAGCTTTCTATTCTAAGAAAGAAGAGAAAAAGGGTTTAAAGAGTTATATAATACTTAATAATAAAGAGAATAAGGCTATTATATACCTTCTACTTTCTAGGTTTAATAGTATATTAAGCTTAGCTTTAAGTAATAAAGTAATAGCCTAAGCTAAATACTATAAATTAGGCTTAATAATTAATTTATTAATACTTTCTTAGTAAAACTAAAAGTTAAAAGCCTTTACTTTTTAAAAAACCTTAAAATTAATAGCTTCTTCTTTCTTATAAAAAATAAACTTATTAAATTTAATATAACTTAAATTAATAACTCTTATACCTTTTAATAAAGGTATTTAAACTAAATATTAAGTTAATAAGGTAATTCCTATAAAATAGCTAATATAAGCTTATTACTTAAGCTTATTATTTAAGCTTTATATTCTTTTTAATATTAATATAAAGGCTTTATATTTAAAGGTCTTAATATACTTTAAATTAAGCCTTTAATTCTTAAAAAGATAATTCTATTCTTATTAATTCTTTTAAAGCTAGGTTTAAAGAAGCTTAAAAAGTAATTTCTAGTCTTTTAAATAGTAAGGCCTATAGTTAAGAAGGTAAATAACTATTTAATAGGCTAACCCCTATAAATTAAAAGGTATTCTAGCTTAAAGCTAGAAGTAAGTTATTAATTTCTTTACTACCCTTTTAAAATACTCTTAGTAGCTATTATAATATAAGTATTAAGACTAATAGGGTATAAATAGGGTAAGAGGTAAAGTTATTATATTATATAACTTCTATCTAGTTATATAGTATAGGTAAGTACTAAATATACTAGGTAATAGGAGATTGTTCTTCTAGCTTTAGAGCTGCCTATTATTAATAAGTAGTTAAATAAGCTAGAAAGGAATTTTACCTTTATTATCTTATAATACTTCTATTCTATAAAAAAGGCCTTATTATTTATTAAGATTATTTTAATATTAATTTTATATTATTTTTTAATTATATTAATAAGAATAGTTATTATATTATTAAAGCCTATTTTTTCTTTTATTATAACTATAATATAGTATTTTATAAACTAGTAGGTTATTAGCTATATATAATAGTCTTAATTAAAAGCTACTCTAAAAGTAAAGATATTAATAGAAATAGTTATAAATAGTATTATTAAAAAGGTTAGTTTTTTTTTCTTTTAAAATATATTTTTCTTAGCTTTAAAAATACTATAAACCTTATATTTTAATAATAAAGATTTTTTATTTATTTTAATATTAATAGTATAAAGTAAGGCTTATCTTATAATCTTAATATCTAGGTAGCTAAGGTAGTTATATTATAAATTAAAAAAGGTAGTAATTATAAGCTTTAAAGCCTAGGAAAAGCTTATAATAGTAATAATAATAACTTCTTTTTTAATATTATTAAATAGTAGTTACTTTCTATAGTAGTTAATAGTATAAATTACCTAGTAAGATAAGCCTATATACTTAAAAAGAGTATTATTCTTTAACTTCTAAAAAATACCTTTATTCTTTAATTAATACTTTAATACTAAATTTATTATAACTACTAGATAATATATTATATTACTAAGTATTAAAATATTATTATTAAATAATTTAATATATATATTTTTAATACTTTTAATTAGCTATTAATTATTAAAGACTTTATAAATAGTATAAGTCTTTTACTATATCTTAATAAACTAATTTAAATTATTAAAAATATAATTCTTAGCTTTTAAATCTAATATTACTTTATTTACTATATTTAATAAAGATTTAATAAATATTATAATAGTAAATACCTTAAAAAGTCTTTAAAGGCTTAGTTAATACCTTCCTTTTTTTAAAATTTCTTTAGCTTTATTATTTTTTAAAAGGCTATAATTTCTTTTTAAAATAACTTAGGCTATTTAGTAATAACCTTTTTAACTTATTTATTAATATCCTTATTTTAAGTAAAAGCTATTAAGTTTTAAAGGTATATTTAAAGAATATAGGTAAAATATAACTTTTATTAAATATTATTATTAATAATATAATATTACTTTTTATAAAAACTATAATTCTTTTTTTTTAATTTTAAATTACTTTTATTAGACTTTTTTAAGGTTTTATTATTAAATTAATAGTTTATAGCTATAATAACTTTAATAATAAGTATATCTAGATTCTTTTAATAAAGTCTATTTAAAATATTCTTTAGAGTTATATTATAGTCTTTAATAAGGTCTAATCTTATAATAACTATAAAAGTAGAATATTTTAAGTTAATATTAATAAAGACTTTCTTAATAGTTTAAATAAGGTTAGTATATTATTAGACCTTAAAGTAAGAATACTTTTTTATAGTTTTTTTAACCTTTTAAACCTATTTACTTAATATAGTATTTTTAAACTTTAAATTAGTTAAAAAAGTATTTATTTTTTAAATTAATAATTCTATAATTTCTTTATTAAAAAGCTTAATATATCTTTTAAGTTTATAATAGTATTCTTAAAGGCTATATTAATTAAAGATTATAATTAAATAATTTTTATAAATTAAGTTTATAATCTTAGCTTTTAGATTTTATAATATCTTTTTCTTTTTAAGATATATAGTTTAATTAACTAAATATAAAGTTATTTTAAAGAAAGCTATTTTAATTATATTATAATATTTAGTTATAATAATAGTATATTTAATAATAATAGCTTTTCTTTATAATATTATAATCTTTATAAAAGCTTTATTTTTTAAAGTAAAGAATAAAAAAGTTAAAATTAAATTTAAGGCTATAGTAAATTAAGATTTTTTCTTTCTTCTTTTTTTTCTTTTTTAATAATATCTTTTATTATTAAAAAAATAACTTTAAATATAAATAACTTTAAAAAATTAATAAACCTAATAAATATAATTAGTTTTTTAAATTAAATTAAATTAATTAAAAATTATAAATCTTTTTAATTTATAAGTTTTATTAACTTTTAACTTTATTTTAATTAGTTAAAAAGACTATTTAAATAAATAGTTATTTTAAGATTTAATAAGGTTATTATTAATAAGTTTTTTTTTTATAAATAAAAAAGAAAAAATATAAATTATTTTAAACTAATAAATAATAATATCTAATTAATAACTTTATATAATAATATAATAAAAGTAATTAATACTTTTAAATAATTAAAAAAAGCTAATTAATTACTAACTAGGCTTATAATTATTATATTAAAAAGCTTAATAATTATTTAAATAATATTAATTAACTAAAAAAGAGGCTATATAGCTAGGGATTACTAAAGATACCTTTATAAGGGGTTTCCTAGAAAAAGGGGCTAAATATATATAAAAAACACTTAAAAGCAGGACTAGGCCCCGTGATAGGTCTAACGCAGTCGCCCTGCTTGACAGTATATACCTAGATATACATGTACCAGGTTGTCCCACCGCCAAATTCATTCCTTTTCTTTCCATAGACGCGCGACATCATGTCAGCGCACGCGCTCGGTATGGCTACAGGCCCAGGCAAGTTCGCCTTCCAATTCATGAGCGTGGAATCCCTCCCTTACAGCCTATTCTGCTCTAGACAAACTCGACGCAGTGGCCAAACTGGTCGACAAGCTGACCAAGGATATGGGCAGCCTTTCCATGAGCCCTCAAGGTCGGCACGCATCGGCCAAGCCTGACTACATGGATCGCTTCTGATAATCGCAGAACGGAATACTACTCTTGAGGAGCTAAAGGTCTATGGCCGCGATCCTCGCTACGCAGACCCCATCTTCACAAAGGAGGTCTGATTCTCCTTCGCGTGGCAAAAGAAGACGCAACTAACATGGCAATAATACGTTGCGTAGGGTATATCTATGCTACTCACATTTGCCTTTCATGACAAGGCATCGAGCGACACCTCGCGCGGCGCTCTCAGGGTTCTTGCCAATTCCATGGTTCTCAAACCTGAAACGAGGCGATTTTTTGTCGACGGCGGATATGCAACCAAGGCATGCAAGCGACTCGATACCGAGAGCTGGGATGACGAATTTCTTCTTTCACGCATCCTCTTCCTCTCCACATATAGTGACCAAAAAATCAAGTTGACTCCCTTGATCAAAGAGCATGGTCTCGCCAGTAGCATCAACGCCAATCTCGGCCGACATGCAATGTCAAAATCGGCTACCAGCCGGCCGACGGCCGGGTCAATGGAGGAGATGGCTCTGCTCGAAACGCTCAAACTCCTCCACAATGTTACTCATTTTTGCCCACAGGAAGCCTCCGCATTCATTTCTTCGGTGCCGCATATTATCTCGCTTCTCTGTAGCCGCAGTCTACCGGGTACCAACGTTTTGGATGCCCCATTCGGCGCTCTTGTCAACTCCCTTCTCAATTTAGACCTGGCGAATAAGACTTGCAAGTCGGCCCTATTTCCCAGCGGCGAAGACGACAAACTCGGGTCCAGATTGCTCGAAATACTGGACAGAGCCATGAGGGAGTATTCTAGTTCCGACCTGGATGCTACTGTCACGCCACTTGTCAAATTCCTACTCGAGGTGTACGGCATCGGCCCGGAGTCTATTCAGAAGAAGCTCCGAGATGGTATTTTACCAAACTCGGAGGATCGTCAAAGCGTGCTGGGCAAAGGCTCATCGCTGTCTGCCCGCCTCCTCGAAACTTCCAAAGACCCCATGGCCCCCCACCTCGGCCCAGTCATCTCGCACCTTTTCTTTCTCATGTCAGAGAGCGATGCCTCCCAATTTGTGGAAAACGTTGGCTATGGATACGCCTCTGGGTACCTGTTCCAGAACAATGTGCCCTTGTCGGCAGTTGCAAAAGCAACATTTGATGCCGCAGACGAAACAGGAAGCCCGCGGCCTGTGAATCCTATCACGGGGCAATTTATCGATAGAGAGAAGCCTGATGTCCTACCGCCAATGACGGAAGAAGAAAAGGAGCGAGAAGCCGAGCGTCTTTTCGTTCTATTTGAGAGGTACGTTTTATAATTTACCAGCCTTACTTAACTGTCTAGTTCTCCAACACTAACGTTTTGTTTCGCAGACTCGAGAAGAACGGTGTCCTCAGTGTGCAGAACCCTGTGCGGCAGGCTATACGGGAGGGTAAGCTCCGAGAGATCACAGACGACGAAGTAGAGGAAATTGAATGAGCAGTCCACGGAGCATCATCATGAACGAGCAACACAGATTACGCTACAAGGCATTTTTATAATTTTCACCGCTAGCTCCTACACTTGAAACAATTAGACCCGCCATAGCATATGATTCGGCTTATACTATTACCTTAGCTTTCACGCGATTGCTTCACGCTGCACGCGCGGCTCTGTTTGTATGCCGTGCAATCACTGTTGGCGGCCCTGCCTAGGTACCTAGGTTATAGTAGACAAAACCCTGTACATCATGACTGCTTCATCTAGGTATATATCTTCAGCTTCAAGGGGCAGATGAGAAGAGATTTGCTACAGACGCCTTTTTCCTTCATCTACCAGCTGAATTCTTCTTCCGCTTATCCTGAACAATTTACAAATAGTGAGTATACAAATAGTGAGTATATAAATAGTGAGGCTGTTTTTTCCCTAGCTGATATTCTGCACCATTGTGACCATGCCGAGCACGCTAGAGATGAGGCACAGACAGCTGCGGGTTAGGTTGAGCAGATTCCAGCGCTGCAGCAGCTCGCGCAGGTTCCACGCCTTGGCCTCGTCGCGGCCCTCGGCGAGCTTGTGCAGGCAGGTGTTGGTGTAGCGCATCACGACGACGGTAAACGGCACGATGCTAACGACAAAGGCAGCGGCGGCGGCGTACCCGCCCCAGACGCCGCCGGCGCGGCGCGCATCGTAGGCCGCGTAGCCATAGGCCAGCGTGACGACGGCGGCGACCTTGGGCATTAGGTTGGCGCCCCGGCGATACAGCTCCCGCCACGAGCGCGCCGTCGTCTCGGGCACGTCGAGCGCGGCCGAGACGCCGAGAAAGGTGGCCGAGGCGATGGCGCCTAGGGGAATACTTTTGTCAGGAGGAGGGAGAGAACGAAGAAGGAGGTTTGGACGACTCACCAGAGGCCCAGGCTGAGCCTACTATGCCAGTGGCGACGGCGATGAGCGATGGTCCGGTGAGGTGCATCGTTTCAGTTGATGGTGGCGGAAAACGTGGGATGGGCTTAGCTGTGGACTGTATCTAGGGTACAGAGCATCACAATAATAATAGAGTTTGCAATTGAAGCTTGGCTATGGCGAGGGTTGCGAGGGTTGGGCGAATCAACGTGAAGTAAGGTTCAATTAACGGGTTTTGACGGAAGTTGATTGCGAGAAATGATGAGTCGGCATGGTAGGTTTTCCGATGTAGCCTGCTTTATTAAACCTTGTTTTTCTGACTGCAGGACAACTGCAGACGTCACGCCAACTCCGCAGGGCCAGTGGGGGTGTTTTCTGCAATGCCAACAGGTACCTAGTAGGTTCATTATAATGACCAGCTGCGTTTGCACAGAGCCCTCTACAATATCTTTATAATTAAAGGGCGCTAATATGCCAAAAAAACATAAATACTGCTCATGAGAAAACACCACTACGCCCCTATTAGCTCCTGCGGTACATGATGGCTGACCACTATGGCAAGCAATTTCGGGCTTCGGCAAAGATAACCGATGATACTTGGAAAATGACGCCATCAATATCTGCACGTGAATTTTCTCTCTATCCATTCTATTGCCCATTCTATTCCGGTCGCTCTAGAGAAAATGCAAAACACAAAGGGACCAACGGCGCATTCTCCGTATCGATCCACTTCTTGACCTGTTTGAAGCCCGTCTTGCGCAAGACATTCTGGCTCGCCACATTCAGATCGAGCGTCAGCGCCACAATCTGCTCCCTCACCTCCTCCGCACCCTCGCTGACCGTGCTCACATCCACGGCCAAGCCTCCGCGCGCCTCCTCCCGCGGCAGCGCCCAGTAGACCTCCAAGAACCCGGCCACCATCTCGGTCGCGTAGCCGCGGCCCCAGGCCTCGCGGCGGAGCATGTACCCGAGCGCGGGCCAGCCGAGCGCGTCGACGCGCAGGTGCGAGCCGACGGTGCCGATGAGCGTGCCCGTCGCGCGCTCCTCGACGCCCATCACGTAGATGCCGTCGCCGCCGGGCGACATAAACAGGTCGAGCTTGGCCTGCGTCTCGGCGAGGGAGGCGTCGGGCCGGCCCTGCGAGGTGAAGACCATGACCTCGGCCTGCGTACGGAGCTCATGGTAGTCGCCAAGGTCGGCGGACGTCAGGGACCGCAGGATGAGGCGCGCGGTTTGGTGCGGCCGGCGCGCCGTGACGGCGAGGTACGGCGCTGGCCGGGTCGTCTTGACCTTGACGAGGTTGATGAGCGTTTGTTCCATGGCGCGTCGGCCTTTTGTGGTTCCTGGCGTGCGTATTGTAGTTTCGGGTAGGCCCTTGTGGTTTTTTAATGACTTGTGGTGTAGGTGCACCGTATCAAGGCGGAAGTTATGATATAACTACGAGATTGGAGGCCTCGGGCCGAGTGACTCACGACTCGTCTTCATCGATAGAGCAGTTCGAACTATTTATTATTAATATCCTATGAGATGGGGTCTGCCCCACTGCGGCTGTCAAATTGGCGGCGTCTACATTCGTAGCATGGCAAGACTGAATATCGATCGTCAACAGCACAAGACATTGACATGAACGAGTGTACCTAGACCAATTGATTGGCCTAGGTCAGGCCGCATATTCATGCCTCACTCTATAACCGTCACGAGCATGAAAACGCCATGATACATAATTTTTTTGTTCAAAATTTTTGCTTCATTCCGATGCCCCGATTCTGGAGCAAATGCAGTTGATATTTTTTTCTCCGTAGTAAGCACCTGTAAAAACCTGCCAAACCCTGGTCCGCACCAAAAATACTCTAAGCGAAAGTGGAAGGTCGGTTCGCGCTGAAAATCTTGCTAGTAGCAGTCTTGGTGATGCGGTGGGGAAGAGGGAAGCTGAGACCCTTGGTGAGGAGCTGCTTGATGTAGGGACGCTTGACGTCTTCGCCCTTGGAGATCTCGACGACACGGAGGATCTGTCAAAAAACATGTTAACATTGTTTCCTCCTACCAGCGCAAAATTTCGGCCAAAACGTACGTGGATGGACCTGAAGCGGGCGCGGTGACGGGCGGCCATGTCCGAGTACAGAGCGTCGACGGCGTCGGTGCGGCTCATCTCGCGGTACTCCTTGTACATGTTGTGGGTGCCGGAGCGCGAGTCGTAGCGGATCCAGAGGCCAAAGTTCTTGACCTTATGGGGATGCTTCTCGGCAATCTTCTTGACCGAGACGATCTCGCCCGTCGCCTTCTTGACCTTGCGAAGACCGCGCAAGAAGTACCAGAAGCGGGACTTGGCAACCGTGGTGTTGGGGGCGAAGATGGTCATGCGGTACATGGCCGGGGCAGGGTTGGCCTCGGTGGGCAGATGGCGGCCGATGACCTCGTATTCCTGAAGACGACCTGTGCGCAGAGGCTGTTAGTATGGACGGGTTGGTGAGCGTGGTTGTGAAGCGGTTTGGTTTGGGCGTTGTGCGTTGTAGTCGGCGGATCGAAACAGCTGTGTTGTCGGGTTGGGGCGTATATCGAAAACTTGTTCCGGGAGTTGGCGAGCATAATTCCACGGTTTTAGTATAGTTGGGAGACATGGGTAGTCGTTGATAATCCAGTCGAGTCAATATCGCCTTCTCCCCCATCTATCAGAGTTCGTTTGTCGCCATTCTGCCCTGTCCAGAAGGTGCATCGCCAAATCGACAAATAAATTTCCGGCCTCGTACAATCGCGCAATTCGTAGAACCGAACAATCCGTAGAAAAAACAATGCAGTGCTTACCCATCTGTAATAACCGTTAGCAAATAAATTCACCACTTGTGGACCAAGTTTCCTTACATTGACGCTGGTACTTTCGCGATGGCTGAGATTTGAAGATGATCAGTGTGAGGTGGTCTCGTAGTGATAATTTTTGTGTGCGGAGAGTGGGGAGGGCTGGCCGTCGCTCAAAGCGTGCAGGGCTTTGTCGCGCCCAGCGATTGGCTGTAGACTAGAGGCCGGCTCCACGTAAGGGAAATAGTCAAAATAGTAGGTCACGTGCAGCAATTTGTTGAAAAGGCGAGACCCAAATTGATTTTCAAGGGTACGTGCTACCTCCAAACGGGTTGGTCGTTCCACTTCCGGTCCAGGATCCACCACCCCCCAGACAGACAACAACGGCGCCATCTCATGATCAACTTGCTGCTGCATTTTGGGATATATCGGGGAATGAGGCCAACTTGAAAGGCGGAATCCGAATTTCATCTACCGTCCAAAGCATACCCCTCGCAGCCATGAATGAGCTGCTTGAGGAGTTTGCTGAGGCTCATGCTGTCAGGCACGGCTACATTCTAGCTCAAACGCTGTCACCAGTGCCGCCACCTGGGCAGCGGAACAGACTCCGACAAGTATCCCAAAGCACCAACGCCCACAACATTAAAGGCGAGCTGAAACACTTCATCAAAACCAAGACGGCACGAAAAGTCAAGCTAGACCATGACGAGGTGAACGGCTGGGTCGATGTCTACGCCGCGTACTGGAAAGCCGTCGGTGAGATTGTCGCCGGCGAGGAGGGGAGGGTGGGGCATCAAGAACCTATTATCGGAGACCGTGTTGCTAATATATTGCACTAGTCAACATGGACGAAGGTGTACGAGGCGTGGAAAGAGTTGACGTCCATGCTCATTCGCGGCTACAACAGTCACGGCTTCGAAGCATGGACCATCCCGACCCTGTACATGGTTGGAAAGTACCTCCGACTCTTTGCCATCAAGTCGGATGCAGAACGCAGCAAGCAGTCGGAAGTAATGCCCACGGGGTCGGCCGCCCTTATGCAGGATGACTTTGACCCCGAGGCAGATAAACAGGCGCAGCTGCGCGACTGTGAGCAGCACTTGAAGAGAATATTCACACTTTGTCTCAATGATAGGTGCGCAAAGTTATCCGGTTCTAGCTTTCGTTATTCTGACAGTCATATAGGGCTCCATTGGAAGAATCAAGAAAGTGGGGGATATACTACATCATCAATTTGCTGTTCAAAACGTACTTCAAGCTCAACTCTGCCTCATTGTCTAGAACAATCCTCAAGACGCTAGCGGTGTATAACCAAAAGGGAGACATGCCGCCTCTGGAATCGTTTCCAAAGTCGCAGCGCGTCACATTCAAATACTACGAGGGTGTGCTTTTCTTCCTCGAAGAGAATTACGCAGAGGTGTGTACGTCGTCCTCGACGCCCAAGGCTGCGCTAACACTAGCTAGGCTGAAAAGTACCTCGTGGAAGCCTGGGATCTCTGTCACAAAGATGCCAAAACGAACTCTGAGTAAGCTTTACGACGTTTCATGACAAGCCCTGACTGACTCTTTTAGGCGTATTCTTACCTACCTCATCCCCTGCCGGCTCCTGACCAGCCACGTCCTCCCTACCAAGAAGCTCCTGGAGCCTTACCCTCGCCTGCAGGAGCTGTTCTTACCGCTTGCCAACTGCATCCGGAGCGGCGACCTACGCAACTTTGACTTGGCCCTACAACGCGGCGAGGATCGGTTCGTCAAGCGCCGCATCTACCTGACCCTTGAGCGCGGCCGCGATATTGCGCTGCGCAACCTGCTTCGCAAAGTATTCGTAGCGGGTGGCTTTGAAGAGCCCAAAGAGGGCGAGACGATACGCGTCCGTCGCACGCGCATTGCTGCCGCAGAATTCCAGGCTGCCATTAGTATGGGAAGTGGTGGCGATAGTATCGACACGGATGAGGTCGAGTGCTTATTGGCGAATATGATATACAAGGTGAGTATTCTCATTGAACAATCGCCTCACATGGTTTTTTCCACAACGGCCTCACGTGTGCTGCCGCGTTTCGGTGTACGACGCGTAATGGTGCGGCTGATGCGCCTAATGACGCCCGAGGCCAACACATCACCACCACGTCACGGCGTCAACACGTCTTTGAATTCGCGTCTCGCACGCACCCCCTGTGAGTCATCTGCTAACCTGTTACTCATTAGGACCTCATGAAGGGATACATCGCGCGGGACCGCGGCATTGTGGTGCTGTCCAAGAGGGGGGCTTTCCCGGGGACAGGGTTATAGGCTACACAAACGTTCACGAAAAAAGCCATGCTCGAAATAGACTAGCTCAAGGAGATATAACAGTTTTAGGCTCCGTCTGGGTGGTGGGCCCATCTGCCTTGCGTGAGCTTTTTGCGCTTCGGCCTGTATGCCTCACGGTATTGCCGCAAAGTTACTTACAGAGCGGAAAAAGCAGAACATGTGGTATATTGTTATTGCCTTCGACACGACGGCCACAAGTGTGTACTTACTTTGGCACAAGAATAAAGCTATTGCCCTCCACACCACCATGCGTCTACGGCCTGGAAGCCGCCGACGAGAGAGCCTGCCAGGCAACCATGCATGATACAGTCTATTATTCACCCTGTGACTCGAGGTCAATTTCACAAGGCGACGCTGCAGGATTGCCGATCCGGGCTATGCGTGAATTTGCGGCAGTGCTTGCTCTCGGCCCGCTGCGGTTTGTGGCTGACCGAGGTGTTGCTTCACTCTGATCCTGGATAGGCCGAGTCACTAAAACAGTCATATGGATGGAGTAATACAGTGATAAAATGTACTTTTGAGCTGGCGCCAGGCATCCAGTATTGCGTTGTGCCAGCTGTAAAGCTTTCACGCCCCCCTCCACATTCTGCGGCGACCTGTTCTTGCACTTACCTTGCCCTTCGAGCTCTTACAATTATACAATTCTTCTCCGCATGATTGAACCCGAGTTATTAAAATAGAATCATAATTGCCGTAATTGGTTGGCGCTGCAACGAGCGTAGAGAATATGATATAGAAAACTGGTACCCCGAGCTGGCTTTTCTCCACCCAGTGGTACTGTAATGTAGATGACGGAGACGAAGAGAGGGAGACAAAAGAAATCTAATACAAACACCAAACCTAGACTGTTCTTCCCTTTTCCTTTCTGGCCAAACAAGGCTCTTGATAAAATACAGAAAGTTGCCGGGGTTTTTTGGTCGTGAAACTTGTCTCTTCGTGTCGCGTGTGGGAAAATGATGTTCCAACGTGCGAAAAACAAAAACGGTTGCAGCGTACAATCCGTACCTGTACTGCAAGGCAAGATTTCGAAAGGGGGGTAGTAAAAAGGGCAGTGTGCCAAAGGCAATAATTGAGGCAGAGGGTAGTTGTACATGGGAGCCATACATACATGGGAAGAAAGGGCAAAATGTTATGGGAAACCTTGACAAAATAGAGGTAAACAAAAAAAAAAAAAGGCTCCAAAGAACACCAACGAGAAAGAAAACGTCGCAACGCGGTGAGAAAAATACCTCTTTGCGCGAGTGTTGATGCTTCCTGGTCAACCCGTGACAAGGCTGAGGCGAGGGAAGTGTCAACAGAGAAGTGGATGATGAGCAAAGATCAAAAGCCGAAGCGTTTCGATTTAGGCGTGTTTCTGTGAATTTGTCAGTCTGTCGGGTCCATAGAAAAGCAGGTGGAATGTACTCACTGTCCAGATGCCACGTCATCGACATGGTTGCAGAGAGCGACAAATAGATCAAAGAAGAGCGGCGTGCCGCCATTGTGCATCTCCAGCTGCATCGTCCCGCTGCGTTTGAACGTGTTGCGGGAGCGGATGATGAGGGCAAGATAGTGAGCCCGGAGCTTCGAGTCCGTGTCGGGCGTGTTTGCATAGGCATAGCGAGCCGACGCCAAGATGGTGCTGCACTGGATGCCAGATTCTGCCAAGCTCAAGTTAGCACCCACTGTACAAGACGAGTGTATGTTCAACCTACGCAGCCCCTGCTTACGTAGGGCAATTTTCTTGAGCTCCGCGAGCCCGTAGCGTTCCGCGGCGCAGTAAATGACCGTGTCCTTGAGCAGGTCGCCGTCAAAGCTGCGGTGGTACACGGTCTCGACCCGCGCCCGCTGCTCCTCCTCGGTCGTCTGTGTCTCCATCTCCCAGGAATCTCGGCGCTGGTTGTGCGCCAGCCGCGGAAAGTAGTCGCCCTTGTAGAGGTACTCGAGCACCGAGCTGAAGATTTCTGGCTCCTCGTCGGGCAGTGTGATGCGCTTGGCGCCCCCGGCCGGATCAGCGTAGCTCGCGCGGAGCGTCTGCGCGAAAAAGGGACTGGCGCAGAGAACGTCGTCGTGGGCGGCAAAGAGTCGCTGCTCGGCGCCGACGACGAGCGTGACGACGCTGGACGTGATGCCGCTAGGAAGGGTGTAAGTGGGATGAAGGAAGAGGGGGGGGGGGGGGTAGAAAGGAGAGAGACGTACTTGCTCATGGCGGTACCATCGGTGGAGGCCGTGGTTGGGCGACGGTGGTGGCAGGACGACTCGTGGCGCCTCTTGGAGACGCCGCTGCTTTCGCGAAAGAGGCTGCTCGACTTGGAGACTTTGTGGCCTTTGGAGAAGCTCTTGGTTGTCCGTTCGGCTCGCCTGGAGGAGAACATTTTGAGAGAGTGATGAGGGAATGAGAAGGGACGAAAAAGAGGATGAATTGAGTTTTGGAGGGAAGAATCGTATTGTTGCGTAATCGTGAGTCACACAGCAACCAAGATTGCAACAAGTCCAACCTGAGAAGGCCAGGATATGTCCGCGGCGGTGTTCTGTCGTTGCCGAGGCTTTTTTTTTCTGCGGCCGCTGTACTTTTCTCTTAATCGTTGAGGGTTTTCCGGTTGTCGACAAATTTCCCGTTCTGAAAAAGGACTAGAGACGCTTACAAGGTGAATAGACGGGGTAGCAACTGGGAACGAGAACAACAGCAATAATGTACGGGCGACCAGGTCATTTTTATAATGCCTCCTGAGCGGACGCCTTGATGAGGCCAACCAACCAGCATGTGAGCGTGTGTGTGGGCTGCCTGTGACTTATTAGCGGCCCCCCTTCCCCCCCCCAAGCAAGCAAGGAAAAGGTCGTGATGGCGCCGATGGAGCGACGCGCCCTGACCGCGTCGAGGGTCACTGCCCGCATCGGGATATTAACACGTAATCACGTGCAGCAACTTTACCAGGATTGGGGCGACGGCTGGGGGCAAACCGTGAGCGCGGGGTGAGAAGTCGAGTCAGAAAAAGAAAAAAGAAAATGGGGGTGTCATGATTTTTTTTCACTAATAACTAATAACTACTAATTCGTAGATTAATAGAAGTTGTCTCGTTGCCCACCCCCAACATGCAGCTACATAGCGGCGGCGCGCGCATATTCGCAAGGCACACTGCCCATCCTATTGGGTCGATGTAGTTATGCCCGTAATACCAAGATCGAAATCCCGCCATGTTGCGCATTTTTGGTGGAAATATTTTGCCCGCTCGATGGCGCTGGCCGGCTGCTGCGTGTGTGTTCTGCTGCCTAATAATAAAACTTATACATTCACGCCACACCCAACAGCCTACTAGCAACGCCGCCGTACAACTTCCTTGTCAAGTTCCAACCCCTGTTCCTATCGCAACTTACGACGCTCACGCCCCAACTTATTCACGCATTGTTGGATGTGTGGAGCCTTCTGGGTTTGGCCTTGGCTTGGCAGTCCCAAGAGCCATCGTGAGGCAGACATCCTCTAGTGATTAGGAAGGTCACTCGTGATAAACGCACGCAACGTGCCGGGCCTTTTGCCGGGTTTTCTGTAGGAAAGAGAACGAAAATAAATCAAGCTGCTAGTACTCGACTGCATCATGCTTTGAATTGGTTGTCTTTTCGGCAAAAACCCCCAGGTCTGTGTCGAGCAGCGCCTTTTCCGTCTCGCACCATTCACACACTCCGTTCGCAACCTCTCCGGAACATCAGTGTTCAGTGTTGCTTTGCTCGCGATTGTCGGGTCTATGCTTTTTTCTAGCGGTGGACCCATGGTAGATTAAAACGACTAATAAAACGCTATTGCTTTTTCCTCTTCGGGCGCCTCACGGCTGGGCCTGGCTGTGTGACTGCCTGTGTCAGCGTTTCGGTAAAAAGGTGCCAGAAGGAGTGATGTCGGGACTCAAGCAATGCTGGCAGGTAATCTCGAGCCCAGTAGGTCGGGCCTATAGTTATAATTATCGGCCTCTTTCTGCTGAATCAGCAGCGCTGTGTGCGCTCTGAGCGCTGCACCATCACCACCACCAATAGCCTGCTGTGCAAGCACCGATTGGCCTATTTTAAAGCCGCTAATAAGCCTCTCATAATAGATAAATTCGCATTAGTTCTGGCTAGAATCAGAACGTCTTGTTATACCTCTAGAAGTTCACGAGCCGCCGGATCGAGAGACGAGGCGGCGAGAATTTGTTAGACGGTACGATACATGCATGGTCTCTAGTATGGTGTCGCCAAATTCCAAAACCCGACCTGTAATTTCGGAATGCAATGATCCCTTTCATCATTGGCCGCCTGCTTCTCTAGCGTCACTGCCTATTGCCTTAGTACCTACTCCCTAACAGGTACCCGTACGTAGGTAAGAAATGCCCCGCCATTGTTATTATACCAGTAGGCAACCTCACGTTTCCAAAAAAAAAAAATATTAGAGCTGCCTCTTACACTCTTACCTCTACATCCCCCATATCAGCGTGCGAACCCAAAAACACATCATGTCGCCCAGGTCAACAAGCGAAGAGCAACCGCCCCCTGCGCGCGTGACCATCGCGGCAGACACCAAGGCGCATGATTATGCCGCCGCCCCCGAAGCCAGCGGCAGCCGGACCAACGCCAACGGCTGGGACGGCAAGCTGCGCATACCAAAGTCGGCCATCCTGACCAACGCCGAAGCCATCTCCGACCCAGAGTACTCAGACGACGAAAACGTGCTGCCTGGCGAGGAGATTGCCGCCGACGAGGGTGCGTCTCCTTCCCCGCCCCCGCCCCCCAGCGCCTCTCGCCACTCAACCAACACTGAAGCTTTTGTGCAGATTTACTAGAAAATGAAGACCCCGAGACGAAACAAATCAACGTGACCCATTCGCGCGTCGGGTCCATGGAGCGCCTACGCCTCGACCGCTTCCAAAAAGTCGTGCAAATCTGCCTGCGACAGAACAATATCCAGCGCATCGAGGGCCTCGACGCCCTCGGCGGCACCCTCGAGGACCTCGACCTCTACGACAACCTCATCGCCCACATCCGTGGTCTCGAGCACCTGACCAAGCTGACCAACCTCGACCTCAGCTTCAACAAAATCAAGCATATCAAAAATGTCAACCACCTCAAGGACCTCAAGACGCTGTACTTCGTCGCCAACAAGATCAAAGACATTGAAAACCTTGACGGGTTGAACAAGATCACGTCGCTCGAGCTTGGGTCCAACCGTATCCGCGAGATCAAAAATCTAGACACCCTCACCGGTATCGAGGAGCTGTGGCTCGCCAAGAATAAAATTACGACCCTCGCCAACCTCGGGGGCCTGCCGCGCCTGCGCCTCCTCAGCATCCAGTCCAACCGCATCCAGGATCTCAGCCCACTCAAGGAGGTTCCGCAGCTCGAGGAGCTCTACATTTCGCACAACCTGGTCACCTCGCTCGAAGGGCTCGAGGCCAACGTCAACCTTACCACCGTCGACGTCGGACACAACAAGATTGACAGCCTTGCCGGGCTCGGCCCGCTCGCTAAGTTGGAAGAGGTATGGGCCAGTTACAACCTCATCATGGACTTTGCCGATGTGGAGCGGGCGCTCAAGGACAAGGAGCAGCTGACGACAGTGTACTTTGAGGGGAACCCCCTGCAGCTCCGCGCCCCCGCGCTGTACCGGAACAAGGTCCGTCTGGCGCTCCCGCAGCTCAAACAGATAGATGCGGGTAAGTTTGAACGAAATCAGCTACCGTTGTTACTGTCAATTATTAACAGCTGGTAGCATATGTTAGGGTATGAGTCACAAAGGGCAGGTAGGAGGTAAAAACATGGCGTTAAAGGGGGTGTTTTTTTTTCTTGCATTTTATAGATATGATAATCCAACCCGCTATGGATTCTTACGGAACAAACTCGGAACTGTTCAGCGGGCAAGGGCCAGACCGACTTCAAGCGAATGAGGCACCATACACGTCCGGCTCAAGCACCAAGTGCAAGCGCAATAATTTTGCCTCATGGGTCAGTGATACATGACGTCCATGCGCTTGCATTCGTTTGAAGCCAGTCTAACCTCTTGCCTGCCAAATTCCTCCTTTGATAAAATACCCCCACAAGGAACAGCACTCTCTTCCTTTTTTGAATATCATGCCTTTTATTTCGCTACTCCCGTCTACCAATATGCGTCTTTCTTCCGTATACATTTTCTTTTCGCTCCCGTACATGCTTAAATGACAGTCCAGTATCCGCGAATGCTGATGCGCAGAGACAAACCCTCAGAAAAGGGAAACAGGAAAGCCCCATACGCCGTTGTTTATCCAGCGAAGCCGCCGCGCGCTATCTTCTTGGCATGGCCAGCCTTGCGGTTATGGTTCGCGCGCGAGCCCTTGTTTGCTTCCTTGCTCTTTCGCGCATTCGCCGTGCCCTTTTCCCCGATCGGTCCCGCCACGTTCCCGCCGCCTCGACCTCTTCCACCTCCTCCTCCTCCTCTGCCGCCACGCCTGCCGCCTGTTCCTCTGCCGCCTCGCCCCCCCGCACCACCGGCATCGCTGTCCTCGGCGCCCGAGTCACGCCACGCCGTGCGTCCGAGGTCCTGCTGCTGGCCGCTAAACGCAAACTTGGCCTCGAGGCGACGCATCTGACCCGGGTTGCGGGTGACCATGAGCGCCCAGCCCTCGAGCGCCTCGTCGGCCATGGTGTTCCCCGTGTCGGTGCGCAGCTGGCCGCGCGCGGCGGACCGGCGCGTCGCGGCGTCGCGGTCAAACACGCGCGGGTCCGTCTGAAAGGCCCGGAAGAGCACCTCCTCGTGGGCGTGGTGCGAGGCGACGGCCTCGTGGTCCGCCGAGGCGTCGACGGTGCCGCCCACGTCGTCGGCGTCGTACGTGTCATCGCGCTCGTCATCGTCGGAGTCAAACGCGGTGAGCGCCGAGAGGATGGCGGCCTTAGCCGGCGCGGAGGAGCGGTCTGCGAGCAGCTGGTCCGCGGTACGCGCGGGCCGCTTGCCGAAGGAGAGTTTGGCGGTGTTGACGACGAGACGGTCCAGCTCATCATCGTCGTAAATATTGCGACGGGTTCGGCCCTTTGGTGGTGTGGAGCGAGGAGCCATGTCAGGCAGTGGTTGATTGTGGGATGAGGATCTAGACATGTAAGTTGGCAGAGCAGGCGGTATGATTTTATCTGACACGTACAATAGTTCGCTACGGTCAGCGGTAGCAAGGTACGGTGGTAATGATTCACTGAGAAGATTGGCAACCACCTGCTCGACATCGTCGTTGTACTCATCCAGACACTTGGCAACAAAGCCAGCACCAAGCTCAGGAAACAAGTCCTGCACTTGCGTAAGCTGGTTCATGCGACAAACATGCACCTCGGCACCCGCATCGTCGTCCGTCTGCCTGCTCTTGCCCTTGTCCACCCTGCGCCGCACCATCCGCTTCGGCCGGAGAACGGCACCGCCCTTGCCCATCGCCTCGAGTGCCGCAATGCGCTTCTCCAAGTTGGGCATCGCCGTGCCGTCTGGCGCCGCCCGCGCCCTGAGCACCTTGCACAGCGGCGTGGACGCGACCAGTGCCGGCACCAGCGAGTCCTTGGCGTTGAGCGGCCCGCGCCGGTGCGCGTCCGTCGCCGCGGTCAGCGCGAACAGCACGTCGCTCAGCATAGACCACGACACGGGGCGGGCCTCGACGAGGCCGACGAGGCACAGGTACAGCGTCGCGACGAGGGCCCGGCGCAGGGGCGGGTTCGTGACCGTGTAGCCGGCGATGAGGGCGTCGACGAAGTCGTCGCCGGCGAGGAACAGCGTGCAGGCGTGCACCGAGGCGTGCAGCAGCGTGTTGAGCTGGGCGAGGCGCGCCTCGGCGAGCGCGAGGTCGCCGCGGATGCCGGCTTCGAGGTGCGCGATGAGGGTCTTTTTCAGCGCCGTGAGGGACGACTCGACAGCGGCTGCATGCGGCGACGTAAAAGCTTGCGCGAGCACGGGTGCAGCGAGCTTCTTGGGGTAGATTCTGGCCAGGTTGGCGAGATACTCAAACTTGTCCAGGTCAGAGACCAGTTTGAGGGACGTGGACACGGCTGTTAATTGTAAGACGGCTTTTAGCAGCGCTGGCGACGGCGGATGCGACGCGTCCGGCGAGGCTACTTCGTGCGCAAACGAGGTGAGAAAGCGCGTGAGAGACGAGTCATCCTCGGACAGCGCCTTGGCCAGATTCGACGCCGGCGCGCTCGTGTTCGCTTGTAGCAATGTCACCCAGGCTTTTTGCAATGATGCCCATTCTGCGGGTGAGAGCTTGTGACGCCATACGGCCGGGGGGTAAGCTGCCAGCGACGGCAACTTGGCCATGCTAGCGGGATGGAGGGGGTGGGTTATGTTGGCGGTGAGAGTCGTGAAGCGTCCAGTTTCAGTGCGGCCACTCTCCGCGGGCGTCGAAAAAAGAAAAGTGTCGGTTTGAGCCAAGGTTGAAGTCGCGTCTCCATGGCCGGTGTGCTGATTGCGCCAACTGATGCGAGGCTTTTTTGTTGAATCGCTGGATGATTCATACAAAGAGGGTCTGTCAAGCTTGAAGCTTCACAGCTGCTAGTAGGGTGGCCCGTGCTTTCCAGTGTTGGCGACGGTATGTAAGTTGTCAGCGAGGAATCGCATTGTTTCTGAGGCCCACGACGTATATATATCCCAGCAAGCCGTTACTCTAATGCAATTTTTATAATCAGGCTCTAAAGGAGTTGTAGACTACTTTCTTGTTGTAAATTTTAATTTTGCCATAATACAATGTCTTCTACGGAGTACCGTCTATTGCAACATTATGTGCTATTCCGGATTGACTGCTTGTGTGCAAGTACTTCCGTAGCAACGCGCTGCAAGTATTGGATATTCCAACCATCTTGCTTCTACTAAAAAAAGACCTTATTATCAATTCAGCTTTACTTTTTTCCTCTCATTTCATATAGCATGCTTATTCTCTCTGCGTCCATCCGAAACCTTGATGAACGTCGCTTGGAGATAAAGATGTGCGTACCGATTTTGCACCCCACCAGCTCCCCTTCCACCAACCATATCTCTCCAAACAAACTACCCTAACCGTTCCGAGCCTAGCCCATCGCACAACCAATTCTTCGCCCATCAGCCCACGCAAATCCTAGATCCCTTCTTTTTCTCTTCTTCAACCTTATCACTTTGCCGAAACGCTTGTTCTCAAACAACTTCAACAACGTTCGAGTCGTGAGGTGCATTTCTAAAAAAACATCATCCATTCAAAATGTCCTACAACAAGACTGACAAGGATGTCGGCGAGGGTCCCGTACGTGTTTTTTTTCTGGTTCTCGCTTCGCTCACGTGTTGGCGCAAGTATTGGAGGAAAAAAAAAAACGATCGGTGCTAACAACCAACACAGAAGAGCCACAAGATCCGCATCACTCTATCCTCCCGCAAGGTCCAGGTCCTCGAAAAGGTCTGCACGGAAATCATTGACCGCGCAAAGAACAAGGACCTCCGCGCCAAGGGCCCAGTCCGCCTGCCCACCAAGACGCTCAAGATCACCACCCGCAAGACCCCGTGCGGTGAGGGCTCCAAGACCTGGGACCGCTTCGAGATGCGTATCCACAAGCGTCTGATTGACCTCAACGCCCCCACCGAGGTCGTCAAGCAGATTATTGTCAACATTGACGCCGGCGTCGAGGTCGAGGTCACCATTGCCGCGTGAGCGGGTTTGCTGGCACCGCTGGTGTTGGGCAGAGTTGTGACGGACGACTGGCGTCTGGAATAGGGCATAGCCGTCTCGGCTCTTGACAAGGACACAATAAAAAATAACAAAACATTAACCACCCAAAAGACCAAATTTTTAATGTAAATGTGTCTGCCCAGATGATGTTGCGCAAAGTTGAACCTCCCATTGCTAGGGTACATACACGTAAAGGTATACATAGATGAAAGTCTCTTGTAACTGCCCAGATATACAAAGAAACACCAATCAGAAACACCCAATTCGAAAAGAAACGCCATGCAATATGCTAGTCATCTCTTCGTCGCCTCTAAAAGTCCCAAACAGTACACTCGCGCGGTGGAGGCAGCGACGGCATCAAGCCATTCACAAACTGACCCGTCTGCTCAAACTGCTGCCACTGCGTCTTAGACCTATCGTCATACATGCCCATGGGTAGCTCCGTGTCCTTGGAGTAGCCCGGCGCGCCTTCGGGGAACCATATGCGCGTCCATGTGCCATCAAAGGCGCGGATGCCGGGCTTGCCGTCGCTGTAGATGACGGCTTTTCCCTTGAATTCGGCCAGCGTCCCGTCCATGTTAAGGCTGATGTAGCTCGCGGGGGCGGGGTGCTGCTTAGCGCTGCCCGCCGGGTACGGCTTGCCGGCGGTGGCCGCCGCCGCTGCCGGCTGAGCTGATTTGGCCGGCGCAGCCGCAAAGGGGTTCGGGGGCCCCTGCGCATTGGACTGTACTGACACGAAGGGGTTGGGCGCCACGCCGCCACCAGTACCGACTTGGTGGCCGCCAGTCGCAAAGGGGTTCCCTGCCAACGTCGTCGACGGACCGCCGCTGGCAAAGGGGTTTGCGTTAGGCGTGCTGGGCGGTTGTTCAAAGGGCCTCGCGATCTTGTTTTGCGCCGGCGTTTGGCTCCCGAACGGATTCGCGGCAGCCGGGCTGGTCTGGTTGTTTGTGGCAGGGGCACCGAAAGGATTGGCCGGCGTATCATTCTTATTTGACGGCGCAGCAAAAGGGCTCGGGCCTGCATTACTGTTTCCTCCAAAGGGGTTTGCCGGCGTGCTGTTATTGTTCGGGGCAGCGGCAAAGGGACTTGGCCCTGCGTTGGCGTTTCCTCCAAAAGGATTCGGCTTCTGGCCCATTTGACTGGGTTGGCCAAAGGCGGAGGACTGGCCGCCAGTAGTGGCCTGTGCAGGTTGGCCAAAGGCAGGCGCACCAAACGGACTTGGCTTCGCCCCGAACGCCGAAGGTTGTCCAAACGCAGACGGTGTTGGTTGCGCCGGCTGGCCAAATCCCGAGGGCTGTGACGGTTGGCCAAAAGGGCCCGGATTTTGCGCCGGCTGCCCGAAGCCCGCGGCAGGCTGCGTGGGCTGTCCAAAGGCAGGCGCGCCAAATGAATTCGGCTTTTGGGCGAGCGCAGACGGCTGTCGAAAAGCGTTCGGCGTCGGCGCCGCGCTCCCACCGCCGACGTCCCCAAATGGGGAAGCCGTGGTGTTGGTCGTGGCGGCGAAGGGGTTGGCAGGCGCAGCAGCAGCCGCCGTGTTGCCGCTCGGATCAAAGGGGTTCGCGGCCGGCGGCGGCACTGGCGCCATCGACTTGGGCCGCTTCCCGACCAGGAACTCGTTAAAGGGCAGTCCCTGCGTGCCCTGCTGGCAGACGTCGAGGCGGTTCGGGTGTCGATGTTCCCCCTCTACGATGTACTTGGCAGCCTCGCCGACGTTGCGCACGGCTGTCTGCATCTGCGCCTGCGCGTTCTGGTACAGCTCCTGGGCCTGCGCGAGCTGCAAGTTTTCAAGTTAGCATCTCTAGAATTTTTAATCTGCGAGCAAAGAAACAAAAGGGCCCGGGGAAGAGCTACCGTACCGTCTGCTGTTCCATTCCCTCTGCTTTTCCCTTGACGTAGTGTAGCCGCATCTCCTCGAAGCTCTGCTCCCGTATGGCGCCGCCAAAGAGCTGGTCTGGGGCATCGCGGCCGGGAGCATAGGCGGACAGGACCCATATAGGGGCCTCGGTCGTCAGGTCAGCCTCTATGGCGTCGAGCTTGATGGAGTATTTATCTGAGAAGAAAAAGAAAAGGGGGGATCAGCTAAGACGCGGGACAGGCGAGGCCGTCGCGAGGGTCGTTCGTACCTAAGCTGCGTTGGAACTCGGACACATTGCCACTGCCCAGGGCGCCGAATCGGTTCGCTCCGCCGCCATTAGAATGTTCGAATCGGCAGGAATCTAGTCATTTGGTGAGCATCATTAGCGCTCTGCTTGCTTGTGACACAATGAATCCGTCGCGCCCCCGGACAAAAGGATACTCGGGGGGGGGGGGGGGGGATTGGAGCCAGGATGCGGCGGCCCGCGGGGACGCTACGGTGGAAGACTCGACATACTTCCAAATCTGCAATTGCCCTGCTGAAAGAATTTGCACAGCGCCATTGTGAAAGCGGCTGCGTTGTAGAGAAAGGGGCGAGTGGGAGATGTCGCATTCGGTCAGGAACAGGCGGGGGAGGAGGCTGCTATTTAGCAGGGCATGCTGCTCTCGAAAGCCCGGTTCGATGCGCGTGCATTCGTCGCGCAAAAGTTGCGCAAATCGTCTGGTTCCTCCCGGATTGGATGCACACACACTTTCTGCCACGGAAATAAATCCACTACGCGATTGGACGCTGGTCAATGAGCAAAAATGTGTAAGGTGCTTGGAGGGGAGGTCGGAAATTTGCAGGACACGGTTTGGAATTTGCAGGACAGCCTACGTAGTACCTAACTACCTCCTATGTATCCGTACGTACCTCTGACAAACCCCTCGCCCCCCCCCCCCTCCACCCTCCTTCTAGACACGCTCCTTATAGCATTTATAGAGGCACTTATAAGCAGCGCGCAAGAGGCTCACAAGAGGCACATAAGAGACACCCTTATTAGAGCCCTCAGAGCGTTAGTAATGACGCGCGCTTAAAAGCATCTTTTTTACGTGCGATTGTAGGTGGTCTTGATGTTAGGAGTTTGAGCAGAGATAGCTATATAGCTCTCTTAGTTCTGATTAGCTAATAGTGCCTACTGAATATTAGAATAGGACGTCCTGTGAATCCCGGGCCTCTTGTTAATAAAGTGCCACCGGATCGAGTTGACGCGAAAATGCTGGCTTGTAGGTGGTGGGGCGGTACGTTGGGTGGCACGCTTTACAGTATATCATTGGACTCGGTTCACGTTTAATAAGTTATTGCTGGAATTTCGACAAGTAGTTATTGATATGACTATTTTTCTCATTTTTTTTATACATTTCCATCTCATCTCGTGATAACGCGTCAAGTGTGGCAGCGAGCTCAACCTCCCAGAGCACCCTTGACAGTAGACCAAATTCCGTTCAACCCGTCATTATATCTGCCCCCTTCGCATTCATCCCCTAGTTAAAACTTTCATTCACCTGTTGAAACTCGACAAACGGGCCTTTCTTGGCACTCGTAAAGGTGTCGACGAGCTGAAACTCGCTCGGCCGGTGGCGGCCCCATTCGTTGCCGGCGCGGCCCTCGCTCGGGTCCTCGACGCCGACCGCTTTGCGCATGTCGTACGTGTAGATGGTGCGCGCCAGCGCCGTCGTCATCTCGACGTACGCGAGCGCCTTGCCGATGCACCCGCGGGGCCCGATGCTGAACGGGCAAAACGCCGACGCCGCCAGAGACACGTCGTCGGCCGTCGTCTCGCGGCCGACCGCGCTGTTCCCGCGGCCGGCCAGCCAGCGCTCCGGAACGTACGAGTAGGCTCTGGGGAAGTAGGCCTCGTTGTGATGCACCGTGTAGTGCGGGACGCCGACGACGGTGCCGGCCGGCAGCGCGTGGCCGTCAATCGTCATGCCGCCCGCCAGGATCTCGCGCGGCAGGATCCCGCCCACCGACGGCGACAGCCGCATCGCCTCGTCGATGCACGCCCGCAGGTACGTGCAGCCGCCCAGCGCTGGGCCGTGCACAATCTCCTCAACATTGCGAAACTTGCTGCGGATCTCCTCGGTGACTTGTTGCAGCGCGTGTGGGCTGCGTACGAGGTAGAAGAGCGTGGCCGCCATGGCCGTCGACGTCGTGTCGGAACCCGCAATGATGAGCAGGTTGGACTCGCCCCAGAGCTCGGGCGTGCTGAATCCCTGCCCGGTTTCGGGGTCCCGCGCCTTGAGCAGGTAGTAAAAGAAGTCGCGGCGGTCCGTCTCCTCGCCGAGCTTGGTACGCTCCGTCAGCTGGCCCTTGCTGTAGGCCATGTAGCGGGCGCGGCCGGCCGCCAGCTTGGGGAACAGGAAGCGGTCAATCTTGAGTTTGTCGACAATGGGCATGGTGCCGCACTACATGTATTGCGTTAGTGAGCTCATGTGACGTTTTACAAAATCTAGGCATCAAGACGTACGATGAGATGTCTAGTAGTGGCCGCCTCGACCAGTTCCAGAGCGAAGCGGTTGTCCGGACGCTCGAGCATGTGGAACGCCTTGCCGAAGCTCAGGTCGCCGAGAATATCCATGGCCAGGTAGTTGCACCAGTCGGCCATGTTGCGGGGAGGCGACCAGCCGCCGCCCTTGGCGTCCACCACGGCGCCGCCGTCGCGCAGGCCAATCTGCTCGCAAAAGGTGCGCACGTTGCCGAGGATGTAGCGCTGCATCTCCTTCATGGCGCCCTCGGAAAAGGCGTACGAGAGCACGCGGCGCTTGCGGGCGTGCACCTCCTTGTCGCGCGTGTTATGCGTGTTGGCGGCCGGGTGCACAAAGGCGTCGTAGAACTCGGCCTTGCGGACGTTGGAGCGGAAGCCGTAGATTTCCTTGAGTGCCGTGTTGGAGTTGAAGGAGATGCTGTTGGGGCCGAAGCGGACAACCTTGCCTAGTTCGGTGGTTTCTTTGTGTCAGTCTTTTGATGGTGGACGTGGTTGGCTTTTGGGTGCCAGCTGGCACATACCGTGCCTTTGGTGCATGCGCCAAAACTCGAGATGGCGATCACCCTTGTAGGCGTGGTAAAGCTGGTAGGCATCCGTAATCTTGGCCAGGAAAGGCCCGGGGTACTTGGCCAGAGGATGAAAAAACACTCGGTAGATGATGATGACAAAGGCCTATGTGTAGTCGGCGCGGGTTAGCGACAACCGTGATGAGACGAAGAACAAGACATGGCAGCGGTACATACGTAGAGGGCACCTCCGCCGACAAGGAGGCCCAGCCATATTTGAAGGTGGGCGAGATCGAGCGCCATGATGCGAGGGAGTTGTCGTGTGTCTTCCAACCAAGCTTCACTACGGTGGGCAAGATGATGAAGACAAGAAGAGAGGATGACAGGTTTGGGGTTGGAAATCAAAAGAGGAGGGCACGAGCACACTAAAAGGAAAAAATGACAGAAATGCAGACAAGTTCTTTACTACCTACCTAGACCTAAGTACCTACCTGCCCTAGGTCTAAAGGCCAATGGGCTGCACACCTACATGACGACGGGACGCCGGGGGCGGCTGAGGTGGAGGGGCGCGCGAGGCATTGATTACAGCCGACCCTCCAATCCAATGTCTTGCAATTACCGCCCCCCTTCATAATTAGGCTGTGAGCGACGCCGAACGGATGCTGGCTTGCGCCGGTTGCAGACGGCACAGTTGGTTTATCGATTGCGCGCGGCTAGATGCGGCCAAGATCGATACGAGCGAATTGCAGGCGGTGTCTTAGGCCGGTAACACACACACACACTCACAATTTATTTTATAGATCCTTCCAAGCCAAGCCAACAAGCGTCAATCTCTGCATCTATTCCTCTCAAAAGTACAGCGAGATTGCTTACACCATCACGTCGTCATCAGCAATCCTCTGTCACGCTAGTGGCTGGCCACACGCGCGCGTGACCGTTTTCAACCAATATACCAAGCAACCACACCAAACAACCATTCAACACCCGCTTGAAAGCGGGAGCAAAGAATATTGGGGTACCCTCCATCTGCCCTCTTTTCAGACCCCCGTCATGCGGGGAAGCGCTGAGTTAGCCACCACTAACTAACAAGCAAGCTGTCGCCCACATCATAGACCCGCCTCAGTCTTCTCCAAAATTATTTCCCCAAATCTCGCGGCTACCCAAGGACCAAACCCCCTTTGTTTATCTCCTTGGAACAAATTCCGCGGGCGGTTCCGCGGTATGGCTACCCAAGGGCTTGCGGCTGACATAGTTGGGAGATGGTTGCGAAATCGCTCGGGTGTCTTGGGTCCGCCGCGTTGGGACGCATCTGGGAGATCGGCATTTCGGTAGGTAGCTGGTCGATACCACACCCTCAGCATCTAAAGTACTACCTTATACTACAAGTCCCGAAAATCATTCTGTCCATGACCATGCTCAGTAAGTCTACCTGGCTTGAGCGGTTAGTTATTTCCTTTTCGTGGCATCATGCTCCTTCCACCGTAGTTCGCCTAGGTCAACGAAAGCATAATATTCACCGCGCTCGGTCGCTGTCATGCTGCATTCTCTTAGGCTCACGCGCTGGCACCGCCGACAAAACAAACTGCTTTCAATGTGTTCTATAGTACATTTCCATTTTATATCACGCCGCCCCAGGATGATAGTGCCAACCCGACCAGCACCGTACACCAGTGTTCCCCGTCCAGTCGTGCTTTGATCCTGTATCTTTTATACTACACTTGTCCAACCCTACCAGCCCCCCATTTTTTAGTTGTAGTATCTGGGCTCATCGAATACATGGTACCGGTGGTCGCGCACACCGTTGCCCCGGAACCTGGCTGGGAATCTCCATCCCGCCGGCACCGCGCTCTCCTCCGCCCGCCGGTTACGCTCCTCGTCGGAAATGTCCTCAATCTGGCGAATCTCTGACTCGGACTGCGGAATGACAAACTTGGCCACCTGCAATTCGGTATCGGTAATCGTGCTGCGGCTAACACGGGCGTACCCGACGCGCTTCAGGCGCTTGAACAGAATATACTCGCACCAGCGGTCCCAGTCAGACGGGTCGACGTCGTGCATGCCAGACGTTTTACTGACGTATGTGTTGTAGTTGCCCTGTAGAGGGTTGGTGACGAGGTAGCTGAGGAGAATCGCCGGGCGCGGCGTCGAGCCCATGAGCTTGGCAAGGTACTCAGACTGCAGGCGACGATCCTCAGGATCTTCCTCTTGTCCAGAGTGGAAAACAAAGACGTCCACAAGCTCGCCGTACACGTCAAGGGTGGCGTGGATGGCAGGCGCAAGCTCACCAACCGGACTGGGCAGCAGGTGATGCTTCGACTCGACAATGGGGAACTTGGACAGCAGAGCAGCGCCCCAGGTGTGCTTATTGGGGCCGGGCCCAAAGTCCACGTACATGCCCAGGTCCTCGGCCAAGAATTGGGTGGAATCGCGGTTGCCCATGATGATCCGCTGCAGATCAGACTCGAGTAGACCAACGACGTCAAGCTCCATATCCTTGATCAGATCGCGGATGCGGTACTCTGAGGACCACATGTCGTTGTCGAGGGAGAAATGGATGGTCCAGATACCGGCGGTAAGCACGCGGTCTTGGCCATGATATGGCTTGTAGTCATTGGTGGGGAAGCGCACAAAGGTGGCACAGAGGAAGAGAATGTTGATAATAACAGTAGACAGCACGTTGTACTTTCTGTGCTGCGAGGGAGAGGAACGGCGAGGAGCGGCACGCTTGGGCCTGGAGCTGTTGTAGTTGAGAACACCCGCTCCGACGAGAATCATCATCGTCAGCATGACCCAGTCGGTGTGCTCACGCACAAGGGGACCGCCGGGAACGAACGCATATGCGACGACCCAGACGTGGAAAAGAACCATGAAGTTATAGATGAGGAAACCAAGACCGAATGTAACGGCTGGACTCTTCTTGGAGGCAGAGGAGAGGAGCGGCACTGCTGCAGCCATGATGTAGACAGCCAGAGTAAGACCACCGTAGTAACCCGCCCAGTGGCTGTAGAGCGTCAAGAAATAGGCCCCAAGAGAGCCGATACCAAAGGTCAACCAGCTGCCAGCCAGGTTCGGGCGCGAAATCCCGATAAAAACACCGACTGACATGGCGCCTAGCGTAAACCACCCGTGAGTGGAAAAGTAAGGGCCACGGACAGGGAAGCCTTCCCAGACCCACAAAATCATGGTACTGGTGTCAGAGAGGAGGGAGTGCAGAGCAAAGAACACACCGCCAATACCGCAGGCAGATAGGAATACCGAGCCAGGCATCTTATCAGGGACCGAGCCGCTGGACAATGGAGCACGGCGAGTGAAGCGGAGTGCGGCCAAGAGACCGAGCACCAGACCAGTGCCGTTCCAGCCGCCGTTGGCGGCGTGCATAATCGGCCAGATGGGGTTGTTGGTCGACCATGCAAACTTGGCAGTCGCCGAGAGGATCAGACCAACTAGTAGACCGAGGACCTTAGACTCAAAGCGAGCCTCATGGATTGACTCGGAGGACAGGGTGCCGACCCAGCCGAGGCAGCTCATGGCAACGGCGAAGCCGACGGTGGAAAGGCGATAGACGGGGTCGACAACGAGGTAAGCACCCACACCCGAGAGCGACAGCAGGTGGACAATGCGTAAGTTGTTGACAACGAATGAGCGAAGGGGTCCGATGCACAGCAGGAAAGGAGAGATAGTGGACATGACAAAGGCTTCGTAGCCAGAGATGCCCATGTGCCAGAGAGGGAAGTCTGTTGTGGTCAGTACGACCCAAAATGGGTAATCAAGGCGGCTTACACCAAACGAGAAGACCAAGACTAGTAAGCATGGACCAGAAGATAAACTGGGATGTAGTCAGTAGGCCAATCTGGTGTTGCTAGGCTGTAGCAGCACTCACGCCGTGGTAAATATCAGCAGCCGTGTCCAGGGCCTCGGTCCAGGTGAGGTGTAGGGCAAATACACTATCAAGAGGCTGCTTCTGTCTGTACAGTGGTTAGCCAAGAATATGCACAGCTCGCGGACAAACTTACTCCTTTTCCAAAACGGCAGATGGGACAGAATGATTGTCACTGCGAGCACAATTTAGAACGTGGACTCACAAGAACGAGCATGCCAGTGCATTGCCGGCCAAGATGTCGGCGCTTAAATTGGCAGCCATTGCACATACCCCTTGCTTGCGCCCTGGACGTCGCGGACGACAATCTCAAACGTTTTGAAGTCAAGAGCAGTGACGGCGTCGAAGCCAACGTCGAAGAGGATCAGAGCCCATTCGAAGAAAGCATAGATGGTGTAAGCTGGTCCAGGAATTAGTACAGATACGCCTCGAACGCCTGAGAGGGAGAGGGCACGTACCTCCAGCAACACGGTGAACCTTGTGCTGAATAAAAAAGTAAACCAGAGGCACCAGGGTTCCGAAAAAGGCGGTGGCAAGGTACTTGCGATACTTGATCGCCGTAGGGTTGTTGGGGCTGAGAGCAACACAGCCAGTCGTCCAGGGCAAGGTGGCGACAATGTAAGAGATCATGAGAATGTCGTGCCAGTCGTGGTCATCGGTCGAGGTGATGTAAGTCCAGCCACCGCATGTCAGAGTGCGCAAGACACCCATGGTCGCGACGAAGCCTGGTAGCTTGGTGTCGGGCTTCCGGGTGAGGAGGTACCACAGGCCAACGAGGGCGAAACGAGGACCTGCGTCATGTCAATTAGCAGTGGACCTTGGCACATGGGCAAGAAGCTTGGTCGACGTCCGTACCAGAGGTGATGGCAATAAAGATCATGAAAAAAGATCGCTCAGGGTAGCGATCGCCAATGGTGGCGGAGACGGAGGGGAACCATTCGTCAGGGTAGCGGTAGAATTCATTTTCGACAATCTTGTGGTAGTGAAGCGCGACACCGACAATCAAGGCGCTGAGAAAGGCAGCTTAAAAGAAAAAGGGTCAGCAAATTCAGTCCATGACCTGAGAAAGCGAAGCGCATCCAGGACGCTTTTCAAACATACTATAGGCGATGACGGTGTGCGACCAACTGATCCACTGGCCATTAAAGGTCAGGACGACGCCGCCGTCCTTGTCCTTGTATTTGGGAGCCATTGCGGCGAACGAGTGAAATCCGCAGGTTTCTGTGCAGTCCGGAGGATCCGACGACGGCGCAGTGCGGGGAGGGGAAGCAGAGTGAAGCACGCGACGATGCCGCGGGTAGGAGAAAAGGAGGGAGTAAGGTGGTGGTGAGCGGCGCGCCCTAATTAATAATACTAATACCTATAGTACCTACCTACCTAGTACTAACCTACCGACTTCAGGAGCTTCGCCTCGCGATGGCGCATGTTTGGAGCTTGACACTTGGCCCCTGTGAAGGGTACTGTGGGGCAAGACAAGGGCGGGCGGCGCGATGGAGGATTGGTCGGCGGCAACCAGGCTGCAGACTAAGCGTGCATTATTATTGAAATTATTGAAGCTGGGTCTTTCTTCGTGACGTTATTACGATTAGTTACTCAGTACGGAGTACAAATTAGAGAATAAGTGGTCATGACGGTGTGTGGCGGGTGGGTGGTAAAGAGTGCGAAATTCGCTGCGTCTATTCAAATGAATTATAATCAAGTGGTCTCGGATTTTTTTCAATTACTGCATAGCGTAGCTTGAATAATAAAGAAACCCAGAGATTCTCGCTCAATGTTCTCTAGGAGCTATTCTCGCAAGATACCTGGGTAAGTTGTTGTTATTATTAAATGCTAACTAATGAGTCTTGCCCTTTCTGTGCTACTGCCTTCCAACGCCACAAATCACAGGTACTGCCGAAGTTGCCCCGCTAAAATTTCCAGATAACTACCAGGTACCTACCTATGTAGGCTCGTGGAAAAAATCCAAGCAACATCAAGCAACATCAAGCAACATTTCTTCTTCCGAGACTGGCCCCATACAGCGCAACATCAGTCAATTCTCTTCATTCTCTTCAAAATGGCGGGCGTCGCTGAAAAGGCGCGCTTCTTCCTTGAACGGTCCGTACCGCAGCTGCGGGAATGGGGCGAAAAGGAAATCTTTTCCAAGGTACATTGCGCACCCCCTCCCACATCTTCTCGACACCAGCCCAATCTAACCTCGACTCTTTTCTTGATTTTGCAGGACGAGATTCGTACAATTGTCCAGAAACGAAACCAGCACGAGCACAAGGTCCTCGCCCCCGGCAACACCGTCTACGAGTGGTCCGCCTATGCGCAGTGGGAGCAGTCCCTCGAGACGCTGCGCGCCAAGCGCTGTCGGCGCCTGCGTATCCGCCACCTGACGTCGGCGCACGCCGGCCAGGGCCGCGTGCTCGGAATCTACGAGCGCGCCGTTGGGCGGCACCCAGGAAGCAGCGCGCTGTGGCGCGAGTACCTCGCATACACGGCCGGCGTTAAGGCCTCGAAGCGCTGGCGCCGCACCGTCACCGCCGCACTGCGCATGCTGCCCGCCGACGCTGACCTCTGGGTCGCCGCCGGCCGCCGCGCCGCCCACAACGGTGACATGGCCGCCGCCCGGGGCTTCTTCATGCGCGGCTGCCGCTTCTGCACCGCCGACGACCGTCTATGGATCGAGTACGCCCGGTGCGAGATGGAGTGGCTCGCCAAGATGGAGGACAAGAAGAACAAGGAGGAGAGCAAGGGCCAGGGAGCGGCGGCGGCGGAACCTGTGCGTCGCGGGCCTGCGGACGATGACGAGCTGCGCCTCGAGGAGAGCGACGACGAGGGCAAGGAAGAAGACGGCGTCGTCTTGCCCGACCTCACCAAGGTGCAGGCCGAGGTCATTGACGAAACGGCCGCGCGGCAGCTCGCCAACCCGGCACTCGACGGCGCCATCCCAATGGCCATTTTCGACATTGCGCGCAAGCAGGGATTTTACACGCCAGACGTCGCTGAGCGCTTCTTCCTCGTATTCGCCGCGTTTCGCCCGCTGTCCGTGTACCCGCGCATCGCGCAGCATGTGCTGGACGCCCTCGCGGCCGACAGCCCCCGCCACCCGGCCGCGGCCAGCTGCCTCATCCGCCAGCCGGTGGCCGGCATCAGCCCGCTCACGGCCGAATTTCCCCGCGGCCTGCGCGAGGCGCTGCCGCGCCTCGCGGCGCAGCTGGCGGCGACGTCAGACCACGCCGCGCTGGTGCAAAAGACGGAGGCGTGGATCGACGAGTGCCTGGCGGTCGACGGTCTGCACGAGGGCATCAGGACGGTCCTGGAGAATGCAAGAAGCAGCCTCACGGAAGACGCTGAATGATTTAATTGACGAGCAAGTGAGGTTTCGGTTTCCGTGTCCGGTTTGTTGCCTTCCGCCATAGGCGGCCTTGTTTATATGCACATCATATTACTGTACTAAATGTATGAATGCAGGATATAAGAACAACCAACAATACGAAGTGACTTGCTCCCAACGACAAAAACAAAAACGCCGAAACTGTAATGATAGCTTCTTAGCCACACCATTCCCGTTACCCACCATGTCATAATAAAAAACGCCAACATGAGCCTCATCCTGTCATTTCTAGGTTTTCTTTTCTACATGGCCTCGCCGAAACGCCCAGCAACGTCCGACAGCATCCGCAGGCCGTAAAATCTGGCCACGCGGCGCATGACATCCAGCTTGCGGCCAATCTCCTCCCTCGACACCGTCTCCCTCCATTTCCCGCTGCAGGTGCAGTGCTCCATATACTCATTCATGCGCAGCGCGCCGCAGCGCGCGCACTTGAGGTCCTGCAGGGTCCACTCGACCGTCCAGCTCTCGACCATGGCCAGAAGTCGCTCCTCAATGGCCACGCGATCGTACTCGGCGCCGCAAAAGGGACAGTGCCATCCGGCGCCGGCACTGAGCAGTTCCTCGTCGCGGCAAAAGTCGAGGTCCCGCGCCATGGTGCAGCTGTCACACGAGAGCTGCGGCAGCTTCAGACTCTCGGATGGATTGGTAAAGGTACCCTCCTTGGAGAACTCGCGCACGTCAAAAAAGGCAAGAAGTTCTTTGCGCAACAGGCGCGCCTCGAGAGTAATGTTCTTGTCGAGCGAAAGAATTTGCATGAGGCATTTGACGAGTTCGAGGATGGCGTTACGCGGGTGTAAGTGAGTGCCTGGTAAGTCGGGGAACGAGAAATCTCCCGCAAGCTCTGGGTGCAGCAGCTCTCGCTTCTGCTGGGCGATTAGTCCCGATATGGCCTTCTTCAATGGCCTTTCAAAGCTTTTACCAAGGATGATCTGACCCTCTTCCTTTTCAATGTTGCGGTATGGCAGTTGTGTTAGTCGAGGTGTCGAGTCTGGATCATTCGTCACCTGGCGCTTTAGACCATGCATAAGTTGAATAAATTCAACAACCCATTGCTGGAAGCTGGGCTCCAAGCGCTTTGGCAGAAATGCGGCCATTTGCCAGTGCATGATTGTCTGCAAGGGTTGCTCATCAGCCTCGACAACCTCTTGGCATGCCTTGCCTCCAAAGTTGAACTCGTCGTACCATACCAGGTAGTCCCAGTATTCCTTAATCTCCAAGTCGATAAAGTGAAACAGTGGCTTGCTCTTGATGGACTTGATAATGTATTGACTGTACGCGAATGCATTCCCAACTTCGGCTCTGGTTGTCTGCAGAATGAGCCGGTTTGCACTAGCAAACACGACCTGGGAGCCGACGCGACGAAAATCTTCCATGAGTTGCTGGAATGCCTTTTTGGACATCATCTGCACGTAGTAGTGTAGAGCGCGGTCGTACATGAAGGAGTCCGGATTCTCGACCCAGCGGACCAAATGTTGGACCAGTATGTCTGCCATGGCACTACCTTGGCAGGCTTCAGTCCACCAGGCCTTGACCATTTCACGCAAAACCAGGACACCTGCATTGGAAAACGCATTGTCAGATGCGAAGCTGTCCGAACCACCCGCAGAAGGATTGAACGACACTGAATCAGTACCCTCGAGGTCATTGACCAACGATGAAGTCAAAATGGTATTGATTGTGAGGTTGCGAACATCCAAATCGATACACACGGACGAGTAAGTGCCGGGATTGTTGACGTTTGGCGTTTTGACTACCTCAAGAGGTCCAGTCAAATCATCATTTTCAAGACCTGCATGGTCGGGACGAGGACCAGGCGACCACCACAGCACGATCTTGTTCGCTTGTAGACGCCTGGCGTAGGCAATGTCAATCAAGTAGCGAGGATCATCGCGTTCCAAGTTGCAAAGCGGGACATCGCCATAGCGAGCGAGAGCCGTGAAATGCAGGATCCAAGAGCCAAGACAAAGGTAGTGTCCCACCAGACGTCTGGCGACGACAGCTTGCCAGCCCAGTGGAGGCAACGAGCTGTCCAACACATCGTACTTGAGAGGCAGAATGGGAAACTCCCCCATTACAGGAACGTCATGTACCAGCAAGTTGCGCTGCGAAGACTGAATGACTAGCATCTGCGGACGATGCTCATCCCTGCGCATCTGCTTAATGACGTCCCCAATTTCAAGATGAGCCTTGCGTCTCGTCGTCACCTGCGTAACCTTGAAAGTGACCTTTTCCTGGTATGCAAAGCAGTCCTGCCAGTTGGTGGTCGCAGCCTCTTCTGCTCGCCTCATGAGCATTTCGGAGTATATGCGCGTGATGTTGGGCAGGTCTTGTCCAGAGTCGCGATTCTTCTGCAGGATGACAACATTGGCCTTGTCCGAGGTACTCGAGAAAATGCCAAAGATCTGGCGATCGCCGGCAGCGATGTGAGAGACATAGATGTAGGCCAACGGTGATGAGTCAAGATATGTTTTCGCTTTGGCAGGTCGTTTGAGGCCCACAAGATCAAAGCCATGCTCCAGACCTTTTCCTAGAACTGCAATTTGCTCCTCATCAATCGTGCACATGTTGCCTAGACGAAGTACAGCGCGAATGTTGAGAGGAATTTGCTTCTCGTAGACACCGTCAACACTGGGGTGGTTAAACAAGAGAGAGAATTTAGCTGCCTCATTGTAGTATATGTCTTCAAGAACCGTAAGTTTGAGCAAATGAGTAGACGGGTGGCCGTTGGGCAAGGTGTGGTTGCATTTCTGAACCTCACATCCGTCGATCTCGAGGTCGGGAAGGTCCTTGCTGCGCAGGCTCAGGAAAACTTGTCGGGGAACGCGGACCTTGAGGGTATGAATCTTGGCATCGATCAGGACGAAAGCTGTCACGATACCAGGAATGTCTGTCGCGCGAAGCTGAAGCAGCTGCCATGTGTTCATGAAAGTCATGTGCGCTTGCTTCATAAAAGTCTGCTGAAGATTGCTTCCGGCATTCCCTCTTCTCTCGCCGAACAGCTGGCGACGACGGACGCGTGCTTGCCTCTGAAACTTCCATTTCTTCTTCTGGTAGTCCAGAAAACCGATGTAGTCCTCTGATGGGCCAGGCATAGTCTTTGGGAGGGCTGCCATCGGATCAGTACTCTCAACGGGTTCCAGTGACTTGCGCTTCTGTGAAGTGGGAGCTGGCTGCGAGGCAGCTATCGCCGCATTGACTGGTTCTGGCTTTAGCAATACGGCACCGTAGTCTTCCATGTCATCCATGCGAGAGCCGTTGAGGTTGGTGATGTCGCCAACTGGCTCTTTATGGACTAAATCCATGAGCTTCCTTTGCTTCAACTTGTCATTCTTGACGTTGATTCTTCGTTGAAGCCAGTCGGGGTGAGCCACACGCGGAACAGGATTGCGAATCTCTTGCAGCGCGGCCGGAATGGTGATGAGCTTCTGGATAACAGACCCCAGTCGCTCAAGGTAGTAATCCCAGTCCAAGAGGGCACGAGGATCTGTATCAGCGGGTTCCTCCTTTAGCCATTTCTTCAGATACGTCCGCTTGACAGATTCTTCCGCGGAAAAAATAGCGACCGGAATAGCTCTTTCAGTGACGGGAGCATTCCTGGGCCGGGAGCAGATAATGAATTTGCAGTTCAATCCCCTGTCCTTGACCATCTGCGGTCCCAGGAAATCGGCCAGACGCTTTGCAGTGGTGATACTTGTTGATTTTTGACTTCCATATTCCTCCAGGGTTTTTGACATGTTTCGATTCTCGGAAATCAGTTCCATCAGCTCTTCGTCAGCCAAAGTCGACCCTTTGCTGTGCAAAACATCCAGCCATCTGTTGGCCACCTTAGCCACTGCTGTGTAGCACTGTGTCAGATCTTCACCTTCGAGAAAGAACTTGAAGATTTGTTGCTGAAAAATCTTGATGAGCTTCAGCTCACCGCGTCTCTTGACCTCGAAACCTTTCAATTCAGCAAGGCTACCGTCGTCGTTGAAGACAGCATAACGCTTCTTCAAGTTCTTATCCTCCTCTTTCGAAGTGGGCAGAACCATGGCCCTGTAGGGACCATCGACTTCGAAAAAAATGGAGTTGTCGCTGTGAGTCTTGTACTTGAAAGTCTTCTCATCGGTAAGGGTTTGATATTGGTGATTGGTGAACTTGTCGTGTACCAAATGATTCAACATTACACAAGGGTATGAAATGTTAAGCTTCTTGCCATTCTTGAGCTTGAAGGCAAAGTTTTCAGGAAAGGTAGCGGGAAGCATGCACCAGATACCATCGGTATCCAGTTCCAGAGGTCGCCCGAGGCGCTCAACGAGTTTTCTGGCGAGTTGAATAATTGTGGCTCCAGTCAAACAAGTCACACCAGCCATTTCCAACGAGTACCAGCGAGAACCTTTTCTCATGACATAGCCATAAAATGAGTTCAAAATAACCTTGTGCGCAAGCTGTAGCGAGTCGTACACAATAGTCATCTTCTTTGCAGCTTCGATTTCACTCGCCGATGCGCCGGAAGCTTTCAGCGTATCAGTCTTTCCTTTCCACACCTTTGCCTTGCCCTTGTAGTCGTATCGTCGATCGCGGAAATCACGGACAGTGTTGATGTAGAACGGGTTCTCTCTCTGGCAAACGATAGCCTCTCGTACAGTTGTCGTAGAATCGTGGATCTTGTGGTAAACTTTTTGAGAGAATATCTGCAGTCGTTTTCTGACAAGGTTGGCCTGCTCATCTGCTGAAAGATCCAGGAATGTCCGCATTGGTGAATTAGGGTATAGCCCCGGAAATTTCTCATTCTCTAACGTATGCCTGATCATGTTGTACTCGTCGCGCTTGGCAGGCAGGTATTCTCCCCGCCATGCCCAAGGCAGTCGTCTGTCGCAAGTCTTACCGGGCCGATTAAAATCGCATGCAGCACAATCAGACTCCTTGACCATGGAGTCAGGTTGCAGACGATTCGTTGTCATGATGTTAGGATACATAGAAGCGACGTCGAGATGGTAGATGAGGGGCCGTTCGTGTCGATTGGGTGTCTCTTTGAAGAGATTGAGCTTTCCCAGAATTTGTGCTTTGACTTCATCGTAGTTTTCAACGTCATCAAGGGACTTCTTCTCTTCGACAGTAATGACAAATTCCAGAGCTGCATCAATATCCCTGATTAGCTCGTCAACTGCGCCCGTGTCAACAGTGAAATCGACAGGAATATCAGCACGGAAGACACCGGCCTCTATACTCTCAACGTGGCCGCCAACATATGTCTCCGAGTCAAGCAAGTGGCCATCCCAGAACGCTTCCCTGGGTGCGATATGTTTGTTCGGCAGTACAATCTCTCTCTGGTATGCTTGTACCATGAGAAGCATTTCGCAAAGCGTTCCGGTTCCTTTTCGCAGGGTATCATCGCCACCAAGAGGCAAAATGGTGCAAAGGGAGAAAATGAATGGGTGCACGTACTTCATGTACAGGTAGTATGTGGCCACGGCATCGGAGACTGAGTATTCGGCAAGTGTCTGGGGTCGTTCCCTAGCATATGGCGTCATAAGTTCGGGGTCAAGCTCATCAGGGTCGTAGCCAAGTTTTGCAACCGTGACTGCCTTCAAACCACGGGAACCCTGGGGGAGATAGGAGTCCCGGTTGACCCAGTGGAAGCAGTCCATGTGGACACCGTAACTGCACTTGTATTGGTCGTCAGTGCCCTTTTTCCAGCCAATTTCATGGTACATGTCAATGCCATTGACGCTAGCTCTGGCTTCGACAAATGGCCAATCGAAGAAGTCACCGTTGTAGGTTGCAATAACAGTGGGCCGGGCTTCCTTGATGTGAAGAAAGAACCGTTCCAGAGTCGCCTTTTCGTCGGGTTCGTTGAAAATCATAAACGGTCCAGGATATTCTGGCTTCGGAGTGTAGTCAAAGTCACCAATGTCTTCCGATATGATTTCGCGGTTTGTGATGAGAAATCCTTGGCCGTCAACTATGTATGAAATCATCATGACTTGATCAATCGTAGCGTCGGGGAACTTCAGCGGAAGTTTGGTCGTTTCGATATCGAAGGCAAGAACAACAGGGTCTGCGGGCAATGATCTCTCCTCGTTGGGAATGATCTTTGTGACGCCGTGCTTCACATCGACGAAATACCACTTTCCAACCCGAATATCTGTCAAAGTGTGAGTCTTGGCGAGCGCGCGGGTTGCGTCATGACATACCTAGATTTATCATTACTCGTACGTGATAGGGGACATCATACTCGCGCAAGTCGACTATGTAGTCGCTAGCGTCAGCGTGCGAGATATTCGTATGTCGTTTGTCTTCTTGAACATTGTCAAATAAGTCAAAATTGCCGTTTCCGTTGGTACTAGAAGCATCCAAGGTTAGCGAACGCATCAAGCTTGTACCCGGAGTCACTCACGTGGCAACTTCGGCGTAAGCGTCCATAGCACTCATGTTCTTCATGTTCTTCAAGGCTATGGGCATAATGTCTTTCCTCGCGGCCAACAAGTCGTTGACGTTGGCAAAGTTGAGCTGGATGTATGTGCGGCGATAGCCTAGCAAATGGTTGGCCATGCTTAAATCCTCCTTTTCAACCCTCCGCATCGACCTTACGACGCCGTCACCGGGGACTCTCTTGACCCATTCTTCGACTTCGGATTCGTAACCACGCTTGACAGCGATGAGGAAGTAGGGCTCGTATTCGATGGTTGCTTTGAAAGTTGAGCCATCTAGCTCAATGAAGTAGCAGTCGAGGGCAGCTCGTCCGGCAGGTGCCTTATCATCTTCTATAGCCGTGGGCTGAACGTTGACTAGCCAGCCCTCTTTTCTTTTGCCGCTCTCGTAGCGCCCGAAGCCCATATTCTCGTCAATGGTCTGCGCCAGCTTGGCGCGTTCCCATCTTTCGTCTACGGAAGTGCCCTCAGCTCTCGAGGAAGCGGCGAATGTTCGTGTTCGTGCGCCATGGTAGGCAGACTTGCCGCCTCGGCGGAAGCCCTTTTGCGGCCGCCGCAGGCTTGTGTTAGGCATTGTGAGGTGGCTTGCCTCATGGGCCGCTTGGGAAACTGAAGATGCAGAGGAGATGGATCAGACTAGGTCGAAATCGATGGTGAGAGAGTCGCGACTGGAAATTATGCGTGTTTCTGGATTTAGTATGACAGCCGTCTGCGTTATTGACAAATTTGGTTCATGGCACAAAATAATGGAGGCGTGGCCAATTCGAGGATCCTGTCAGAGGGAGAGACGCGTTTTGACGCGTAAAGCTACGTGGGCCAGTCCTTACCTACCTAGTACGTAGTATATTATACGCTAACTAGGCTATAAAGCCTATCTAGTACCTCTATAGTTATTAATCTATAAAGATATAGGAAAAAATTAAATAAATAAATAAAAAAACCTATACTATTACCTATATAATATAGCTTATTATAATTCCTAGTATCTTTATACACTTCTATCTTAAAGAATATACCTAAAAATACTACTTTTAGTAGAAAGTATCTTACTACCTAAGGCGCTACTATTATATAGTAAGATAATATAACTTAGTTCTTAGTATATAATACTCTAAGTATATAAATCTAAATTAAAGTCGATTTAATATCTATAATAGTAAAGAGCCTTAATATTTAGAGAACTATATACTATATACTATAGGCACTAGATATATAGTAGCTAAGGATTTATAATAAGTATAAATTATATAAAATAACTAATTAGCTATAAAGTAAAAAAAATAATTAAAGTTACTTTAAAGAAGAATTAATTATAAGACTAATAAGATTTATAAATAAGTTAAGTTAAAATTAAGACTTTAAGTAAACTTATAAGAATAAGACTATTTTATATAAGTTTTAATTAATATTTAAATAGTATTTAAACTTTAATTAAAAGGATAAATTATCTTTTTTTTTAATTATTATAAAATAAAAGGGATATTTCTTAAAAAGAAAAGGGGATAAGCTTTAGTCTTAATAAGTAATATAATCTATATTTTTTCTTCCTACCTTTTCTACCTAATCTAACCTAACTATTATATAGTGCTAATCCTATTACTATTAATATAGTAGATTATACCTTTACTAATATAAGGTAGACTATGCTACTATATTATAGTAGATATAGAAGGTAAACTCTCTAAATCCCTTTAAGAAAATATATAATAATAGGGTTAGATTAGGTAGAAAGATAGGAAGGTAAAAGGTAGGTTATATTACTTATTAAGACTAAAGCTTATCCCTTTTTTTCTTTTAAGAAATATCCCCTTTATTTTATAATAATTAAAAGGAGAATAACTTATCTTTTTAATTAAAGTTTAAATACTATTTAAATACTAATTAAAACTTATATAAATTAGTCTTATTCCTATAAGTCTATTTAAAGTCTTAATTTAAACTTAACTTACTTATAGGTTTTATTAATCTTATAATTAATTTTTCTTTAAAGTAACTCTAACCCCTCCTACTTTATAGTAAATTAGTTATTCTATATAATTTATACTTACTATAAATCTTTAGCTACTATATATTTAGTGCTTATAGTATACTATATATAGCTCTCTAAGTATTTAGACTCTTTGCCTTTATAGATACTAAATCGGCTTCGATTTGAATTGTATACTCGGAGTGTTATAAAATAAAAGGCATGCCGAGGCGTGTCTCCTATGCCTATATCCCCCCTTTTTAAAAAGGCGGTATTGATGTAGGAAGAGAGTTGGATATAGCAGAGTGGTTTACCGTTAATCCCAGGTACCTAGGTACGCAAGTAAGGCCTATTTTCAATTAAGTAATACTATTAGGAATAGTATTAGTATAAGACCTTTTTACTAGATATAAGCCTTATATAATAAGGAACTTATTATAAGGTACTATAATTAGTTAGTATAACCTTAAAAGATAACCTATATATATAAGGCTTATTTTCTAATAAGGTACTAGATTTATTTTCTACTTAATATATAATTTTTCTTTATTATAATAGTATTAGGCTACTATTATATATAAAAAACTCTCTATATTTTTTATAAGCTATATTAGAGATATTAATAGTGTTATAATAGGGGAAAATTATCTGTTAAAAAAGCGACCTGTCTAGTACCGTATCTAAAAATAGGCCTTACTCGCGTATGTAGGTACCTTGTAGGAGAGTGGGGCTTCAACTTCGAGCCGTCGCCAAACCTACGTCAAGATCTACCACTGCAACGCGCCAGATATTACACGAGCCGGCGTCGCTGCAGCCACGGAATCGATCAAGCAGCTCAGCTCACGTACAACACACAGCTGGACGGGCGGTTGATGCCCCGCGACGCTAGACATGGCCGGTGACGATGAATTACAGGCGCCGCAGGGCCTGACCCTCCCACAGTCGGTCAGCGGCAAGCCTGTCCAGGCCGCCTGGTCCACGCCGGTGGAAGATCCCGACGACAAGACGAGCCCGACCAAGCGGCCGACAATCGCACACGCGGTGGCGAGCATCAAAACGGAGGACTTTGCCAAAGTGGCTAATGCGCCCTGCTCCCGCAACGGGTTCATGACCGGCATCGTCACGGGCGCGGCGGCGGGCGGGCTGAAGCTCGTCGTACGATGTAAGGGGTTCTTGCACTACACGAAACAAACAAAAGGACATAGGGCTAATGAGGCGTCGACTGCGGTAGCAAACTGGGCTAAGGCCGCCAACTGGGCTGTGGGTATGTTTGTGCTGGGAGCCGCGGCGTCGTACGAATACTGCCAATATAGCAGACGGGTCGAAAAGAGAAACATGAAGCGCGCGGTCGAAGTGCACGCAGAAAACCAGCGCCTGCAAGCAGCGAAGTTGGCAGAGCGCAGGGAGCTGGCGCGGAAGCTCGAGGAGCGCAAAGCCGCGGAAAGGCGATGGTATAAATTTTGGTGATGGGAGGCTATGGCCGTTTTTTTCTTTTTCTTTTTTTTTTGGATCACAGAAACCATGTATTCTTATAGGTATATTGACAAGTACTAGCAGCGTTTCTGCGTGTTTAGCAATGGATGGCTGTTCAAAAACGAGCCATCTTGTTCGCTCGGGCAAGACTAAATCAACTCCGAATAGACTTGGACACAAGTAAGAAAAGAAGAATCGAACCAATAAAGCGCACCAAATTCCATAGTCGCTTCGAAGTAGCTACTAATAAAACAAACAAACAAACTCCGTTATCATAAATTGCTCCATATGAGGAGCAGGTGCGTACCCAAGAGAATCGAGCGTTGCTGAATTTCTCCAACAATTCACGCAAAAAAGATAGATCGTCCAGGTTGCCGTTATATAGTCACGACCATATTTCGAAGCTCCGAATCGCTGAAGCGGACCTTTCTAGGCGACGCCTTGCCGATGCCCGCCGGTGCTTCGCCTTCGCGGCGCCGCTGGTTTCTGCGCGCGCGCGCCTCGCTCTCCTCGCGCTTGCGGTACTCTGTGATTTGCTGCCTACGCCGGAGGGATCGCGCGTGCGCAATGGCCGGCGTGGGCCGGAAGCCGATGCCGTTGATGCCGACGCCGTCGTCATCCTTGTCGTCGGGGTCGTAGATAGTAATTTCGTCTTCGTGCCACGTCAGCGCGGCGCGGACCGGATCAACGATGTGCGGCTCCCCGCCGTCGTCACCGTCGCCGGCGCTATCGTGGGCGTCTTGCCGCGCGACATCCTGTAGGAGAGATGTCGTGCCAGCCGCCGTCTTCGTGGGCGACTCGGGTAACCTGCAGGCTGCCCCCAGCCGCTCGTCGTCTGCTATTGTTTCGGGGCCGGGGCCTCCAAACACCACGGCTGCGTCGGACACGTCGGTCATGGGATCGTTAGGCTTTTGGCGTTTGGGGAGCAGCTCATCGGCGACATCGGCGTCGTCGCCGGCGACCCCTCCACCCCCGCCACTCTGTAGATCCAGGCCCTTGAAGCGGTGAGCGACGGCGGTTCGGGGGCTATTTCCTCCATCCTCGACGGCATCTTCTTGGCTGAGGCTGAATGTGAACTTCAGGGGCGTGAGCGGCGTTTCCTGGCCACGTTTGCGCTTGCTGGGAGTCTGAAACGGAGGGGAGGACGACGCCATAATGATCGGGCTGTAGGATTCAATCAGGGCTAGCCTATACTGATCACATCACCATTTTCCGAGGCGAAGAAAGGGGGCGTAAAGGGGACCGGGAGAGCGTCTCGGCGCCCTTGATGCCCAAAAATGGCGGATATTTGAGAGACAGCAAGTATTGCTAAAAGGACGGTAATCGTGCTGGTCAGGAAAGATGGAAGACAACAAGCGCTATCTGGTGGTGGGGCATTGGCTTTGGGGTATTCAGGCGATGCCGCTTGACTGGTGAGATGCCGTCCACGTTTTAAATAACTGAAAATAGGTAGGTAGATAGGTACATAGTGGCAAGTGCCGACTGCTACTGTCGGTGCACTGATGGCGCTGGTTCCAGCCCAATGCCAGAGCTGAGTGAGCAAACTATATTTGCACAACGTTGAAAACGTCATGCAAGCCACAAGCATCCTGGTTAGTTGAACGGGTCGTATGCTGGCTGGTGTATTGGCCAAGACGAGTTTGCAAGGGAAATCTGGAGGGCTCGGCTCGTCCGCAATCCCGAGTTGCAGATCGAACTTGAAATGAAACTCGGTCGATCTAGTTATTGCCACCTGTCCTGAATATGGTGCCTCATGTTGGGGTTTTGCCTCTGGCTCGAGATGTATCACACGTCTAGGCTGCTCTAAAAGCTGCGAGGGTCATGCATAATGCGATTTGTTCCGGGCCAGTTCTAGGGCATTCGAAACTGTGGCCATGTTGACAAGATTTCCACAGGAGCAGTCCAGTCAGATGATGAAGCCATTGTGCGACGGAAACGTGGACCAGCCAGCCGCTGGTGTGGAAGCTACTCCGCACCATGATGGCAACTAGGCGCTCACTAACAAGATCCCATGGCTACAAGCCGCCCATCTTCCATCTAGCAAATTCACATCTTGGCGTTTCAAACCTGTGTCCACGTTTTCGTTTCGACGCCATACCGGCCGAAACCGCATATATTTGCGATACACACAGGCACCATGGGCGCAGACACACATTTTAGCTTTCTGCCGCTTGGCGCCATCATCCAGGCCTTCTACATCAACGGCATCAATATCGTACAAGGCTTCCCCACGCAGGAGCTCTACCAGACGCACAACAGTCCGCATTTCGGGGAAACCATTGGCCGCGTGGCGAACCGTATCAAGGGTGCCCGGCTCGACATCGTCAACGGCACGACGTACCCGCTGGCCGCCAACAACAGCGGCAACACGCTCCATGGCGGCATTGTCGGCTGGGGCAAGCGCGTCTGGCAGGGGCCGACGCCGATCGGCCTGCGCCCCATCCCCGGCGTCGACGGCCTGCGCGGCGGTGAGAGCATCCAGTTCACGCTGACGAGCGAGGATGGGGACGAGGGCTTCCCCGGCGCGCTCGACGTCAAAGTGGTGTACACGGCGGGCACACAGCCCCTAGACGGCAAGGAGGCGACCGTTCTGGGGATCGAGTACGAGGCGCAGCTGGTCGGCGGCGCGGATGAAACCGTCATCAATATGACGAACCACTCGTACTTTAATCTCGGCGGCGACGCGACCGTTGCCGGCACGCAGGTCACCCTCGGGTCCAACCAGTACCTCCCCGTCGACAGCACCGGCGTGCCCACCGGCGGACCGTCCACCTTTCCCGGCGTCGAGCCCAACCAGAAGATCCATCTCGGCGCCGACGCGCCCGCGTTTGACCACTGCTTCACCACGACGGCGGACCCCGCCGCCGTGCCCGTTGACACACGCGCGCAGCCGCTGCAGCTGCACCTGACCGCGGCGCACCCGGCCACGGACACCCACCTGCAGGTTCTGAGCACCGAGCCATCGTTTCAGTTTTACACGGGCGACTTTACCGATGTGCCGGCCGTTGCGGGGGCCCCGGCGCGCGGCGCGCGGTCGGCGTTTTGCTGCGAGCCGGGCCGCTGGGTGAATGCGCCCAACGTGCCGGCGTGGAGAAACATGACGCTTCTGAAAAGGGGCGAGATGTATGGAGCGCGCATCGTGTACAAGGCTTGGGCGTAGTAGAGATATTGAGATATTGAGAGATGAAGAGATGAAGAGATGAAGAGATGAAGAGATGAAGGGATGAAGAGATGAAGAGATGAAGGGATGAAGAGTTAAAGAGATTAAGAGATTAAGAGACTAAGAGATAGATTGATAGATAGATTGAGAGATATGGCATCTGGGTCCGGCATTTCAATGTGGCCGCCTAAAAATAACTTAATCAGAATCGCTGTCGTCGCCCAGGAAAGCCAGGTCCGCATGCGCTCTGCGGCGCCTCGCCGCAAAGCTCACGTCCTCCTCCTCCTCGGCGGGGCCGTGTCCATTCTGTGCGTCCTCCTCGCCGCCGTCTTCATTCTCCGCCTCGCTGGCGTCGCTCTCGGGCACCTGACCACCACGGCTGCCCTTTCTCCGGCTCGCCCGCCCGCCCGCCTCCATGCCCCAGAGGCGATTCATCTCCTGCGCCGCCTGCGCGTCGGCTATCAGCTCGCGCGTCTCCTTGATCTCTCGGGCCTTGGCCTCGGAGAAGCGGCCCTCGATGCCAATGTCGGCGAGCATCTTCTTGAGATGCCGAATTTTGGCCCGCGCATCGTCGCAGCCCTTAAATTCGTGGTGCCAGAGCTTGCGCACGCCGCACTTGCTCAGCTGGCCCTGCAGCTTCTTGACTTCGGCGTCCAACGGGTCCGACGGTTCTGCGGCGGCGGCGGACTTGGCAGACTTCGAGGCCTTGGGGGCCTTTTGGCTGGGCTCTTTCGTTGTCCTTTTGCGCTTCGATGTAGACCGCTCGTCAATAACATCAGAGTACTCTTCCTCTTCGTCGTCAACGGGATCCGGTAGCTCGGACTCGGACTTCACCTTTTTATTGGGTTCTTTTTCGACAGCTCCGTTGCCGTCGTTGGAGGGATTAGCTATTGTGCGCTTTCGCTTACGGTGCGGCGAGGCAGAGCCCGGTGCGTCGTCTTCAGAGTATTCGGGATTCGATTGATGGGTTGTAGACGCTTTCGGGTCCGCCTTTTTCTCTTCTGGTGTCCATCCGTCTAGCAATTTGCCCTGTCGCATGTAGTGTGAATTCTGGCAATTCTGTCAAGTTGTGGAAAATAAAGCTTCAAGACTTACCACATATTCTTTGATAATTTCCTTGCTTTTCCCCTTCCAGTCTTTGTCCGAGAAGAAATCTTCTCTCAGCCCCAATCTTTCCTCAACGTGGTGGCGGATTTTGTTGACGGACGTTGTATCGGGTTCCAGCTTGAAGACATCGCAGGTGCCCTCGATGAGGGCTTCCTTCAGCGCTTTGGCCGAGGGCGCCATTGTGCATTAATTCCAATATTCTGGGTGCGAACCGAGATTGCGAATTTGCACGGACTGCATGAAGCACGGGCGTGAGGATGTTGCTTGTTGAGTAAAGCTTGTAGCGCGGTGTGACGCGATTGAAGGAACATCGCAACTTGCGCTGCGCCGGATCAATAGCTGCATTATTATAGTACCTAGGTACTATTTGACCGGTCTTGGCGAGCGCCGGCGCGCCCTTGCAGTGCTTGTTTCCAGCGGCAAGTCTAAGCGACCAATCAGCGGCTCAACTTGCCCAGGGCCCGAAAGCGCCACAATGGATGCTGGGAAAAGGGAATGAGGAATTGTAAAAGTGCAGAGAGAGTTGATTCTGAAGGAAAAACACATGTATTATAGGGACGTGTCTTGAGCCCGGTGCTGCGGGCCATGGCGTGTTCGTTTGCAGATTGATTTTCGCCACCATGTCTCCGGCTTCAACTTTCTTAGCTCCAGCACATACACCACCACCATGTCCGCATCACTCGCCCCAGAATGCAATGAAATCAAAGAGTGGGTGCTCCTTGAACCAATTATTGAACCAGAGATGCTAACCCTGTCTAGGCGCTACGATACCTGCTTTTTAAAGTGGTATAGCGAAAGTGAGTTGCGCCTGACATGCGGACCGGCCAAGGAGAGTCTCGCTAACGGCGCACAGAGTACCTTCGCGGTGCCGAAAGAGACAACAAGGAGTGCGAGTCTCTTTTCAAGCAGTATCGAAAATGCTTAGGTGTATGATTCCGCAATTCCCAACGCTGGCTAGTCGCTGACCGGACACAGGTGGCGTTGAAGCAACGCGGCATCGACAAGCTGCTGAACGAAGCCCGGGAGGACAACAAAGAGAATGACGCGCGGCTCATACAGCCAAAGAGTATGTGAACCATCGGCGACTCATATACCACACTAGGTACTAATCAGTTAGTAACCACTCAGGATGATCTATTCGGATATACTAGGTAGCCTTTTACGGCGTTTTTGGATGTCGGACTCGGACTTCCCGGCCGATTTGACCCTACGAGTGTTCGACCATTTCTCTCCCCACTCATTGGATACAGGCCAATATGTTATCATGTAAAAATACAATGAATTGCACGTATAAAAAAGCACCTTGGTTGACCGTAGGTCAATTGTAGCCTCAAACATCCGTAGGTATTGCCCTTCTGGGTTTTACCACGTCGTTACATACCTGTACCTAGATGCCTACTACGCGCGTGAGGCCTGTTTTCTAACAGGGCACTAGACACGTTTTCCGCTCAATATATAATTTTCCCCTATCATAACGCTATTAACTATTAGGCTGTTATTATATATTAAAAAGCATTTATATTTTTATAAGCCGTGTTAGAGATATTAATAGTGTTATAATAGGGGAAAATTCTCTATTAAAAAAGCGACCTATCTATACCCTATCTAAAAACAGGCCTTACTTATGTATATAGGTAGGTACTAGGTAGCTACCTAGGTACCTATACGCGTAAGACCTATTTTTTAATAAGGCACTAGACGCGTTTTACGTTTAATATATAATTTTCCCTTATTATAATGCTATTAGGTATCTAATATAGCTTTAGAAAAATATAGATTTTTAACGCGTATAGAGTAGTAGTAGCCTAATAGCGTTATAATAGGGGAAAATTATATATTGGGTCAGAGACCTGCCTACGGAGTACCTAGTCGGCGATAGTAACGCACCGTCACCGCGAAGGCCAAGACGGAGCTGAATCTGATATTCTTTAATTTTGAGGGATCTTGCATGTTTTATTCAATCTCAGACAACCCTATGCGAACCCGGTCACGTATCACCCGGTGCATGTCCTTGGCTTCCAGCGCCGTAACATCTGAACAACTGACCCGCTTTTCGTTCGTAGCAGCATCGCCTTCTCTACTTCCTGGGCTAACGACATCTGGCTAATTTACCATTTTTACTGCCTGCAGATCAGATCAGATGGGCAGCGCAATTCTTGAAAACTCCTTTGCGCCTCATTGAGCCCCTTCGACACTGTCCCGGCTAGCCAGGACAACGGTGTATCACATCCTGCCGCGCAATTCTCGAACCAGCTTTCGACTGACGACGAACCGCCTCCCACCGCCACGAGACCCCTCCCCCCCTCGATCCCGCGCGCGACTCCTATCCCTTCTCAATTCTCGGCATGCAGTGAGCAGTAGCCAAGATAGAGCTCTATGCACCCATTCTCAATCCTCACCCTCGGCATCTTTGTAGCTGGCTACATAACAGCACGCTGGGACCTCGTGACTCGCTTATATGAGCTCGCTATTTTTGCGTGGGAATATCAAGTTGCCGTACGTTGCCCTGTGAGGTCGCTCTACCTTCCAGCCGCGCGCTGGTTGCAATTGTCAAATATCATTTTAAACTGACGTGGTTCGCTCTACGCAATAGGTCCGCGCTGCCAAAGGTGCCATTGCCTTGACTGCTCTTTTCTTTGTCGTTGTTCTACTAGTCCATCTACTAGCTCAGAAAGAGACGTTTCTTGTACACGTGGTCGTCCAATACACTCTCGACTACTAGCTAACAACCTCACAGCATCCAAGGCAACCAGGAATCGCCGTGTCAGCCCGCGAACAGTTACGACGCCGAGGCTCCTTTTGAACAGACCACGGGCCGATACTCAGCGACTCTATATAGACCAATAGCATCTTGGCCATGGTGGAACATGATGGTTTGATGCGCGTATTTTGGCCGACAGACATTCCCTCGTCCGATCGCCCGGGTGTAGTCGTTGGCTGGCGCAATTCAACCCTTGACGTTTTTGTTGTTGCCATCCTAGACGACGTGGATGTGAGTGACGAGCCTCCGAAACGAAAGTAGATGCCGCGTGACTGCAGCGTGACTAACCCTTTCTACTAGCCTCGCAACGTCGAAATCCACCTCAGATCCAACACATTCTTCCGTGGCAGCCCTCATTCTCCCAATCGCATTTATGAGCTATGTGGGCACTTCTCCATGCACGTACTAGGGGTGTCGAATACGACAAACTATGCCTTGGTTGATCCATCATGGGTCTGCGCTACGACCCGTACTTCCCGTGAACCTCGCATTAATTGTGCCAAGGCCTCGAGTATACAATTGATTCTATACGACCGACCACGACCGAAAGGCATGCAATATATCTCTCTCAACCCTATTTCACTCGCTCTGGGTGATAAGTGGTACGCCGTTGATGATAGTAGAGGTGATGGGTCAGAGGGTGAGGAAGAACATCGCGATAGGAAGCACAAGGAGGCCAAGCTTAAGTTGGTAAACAAGCTCAAGCAGCACTCGATTATCAATCGACCCGCTTCCGCACGAGACAAGGCACTCGAAAAGGTTGTCCACCAGGTCAACTGGTCGTGGGAGCTCGAGCAGACTTTGCAAAAGAACGTGAGCAGGCTTGGACCACGCCCGAAACGAGGTCTTAGTGTGTCGGAGAGGGTTGTCGAATCTACTACAGCGGTTCGGAACTACATTCTCATGCAGTTGTGGAATGCGTTCGTCGTTTATGTCTTTCCTTTTCTCCGAAAGGGCTTTGTGATGCTGTTATTCCTTCATCGCGCCATGGCAGAGATGCTCCTCACTGTACTTGAATTTCGCATCAAGCCAGGCTACGCGGCAGTGAAGGACGTATCTGCAACTGCGCAGCAGATCGAAATCCGCCTGCTGCAGTTTTGCTACTGGCCGATGCAGTACCTTACGCTTCGGCAGCGCAAGATGGACTGGGCAAGCGTAACCACGAGCCACCCGGATTACATTCGTTTCTACAACAGTCTCTGGCTTGTTGCCAATGACGTCATCATCGGAATTGCCATTGGGTCTTACATTATAGAAAATGCGGATTGGGTGTCGATGCAGATCAACGACTTGTTGCGCGTCTATACCGTTAACGCTTTGCAGAGTAGTATTTCCTGGCTCATGGGATGGCCCGCGGGGCTCAAGCTCAATGGCGAGCTGGCAAGCTTCTTGGGTGCTCTGTTTCTTTGGGTGATTACGTATTGGTCGAGTGAGTGTGTCTGCGAAAAGAAAAAACAGGTTCGCATCCTCTTACTAATCTTGTATTCCAGGCTGCATCGATGCCCTCGCACCAGCACTTCCCAAAGTGGTTTGGTTTATTGGCTTTTCTTCCTTTGCAGGCGCCAGTATGCCCCTGGCGCTGCTTTCAGATCTACTTTCAGCCCTCACAGTCCACATCTACTCTTTTTATCTTGCGTCAGCTCGTATATACCACTGGCAGCTGACGATATTGCAATCACTATTCCATCTCTTCCGCGGGAAGAAGCACAACGTCCTTCGCAACCGTATCGATTCCTGCGACTACGATCTCGATCAACTTCTCGTGGGCACGATTCTGTTCACGCTCCTCTCGTTCTTGCTACCAACCGTTGGCGTTTTTTACATCAATTTTGCCATTGCCCGCATGGTGATTATTTCAATGAAAGCGGGGTTCGATACGTTGCTCTCTTGTTTGAATCATTTTCCCTTATTCGCCCTAATGCTGAGAGTCAAAGACTCCCGGCGACTACCTGGTAAGACTGATCGGGCTTTACGGTGCGCAGTACAAGCTAATCGATCCAGGTGGCATCCGATTTGAACTACGTGACGCTTACGATAATAAAGCACTTACCCTTCATGTTCATGAACCTCCAACGTCGGTTATTCGCCTCAAGGTACGCTGAACACTCCATCTTCTTATACACATTTCTAATACGTCTATCGCAGTCGGTTCCTCTATCATTCAAGGCCATGTTCAATCAATACTTTCAGATGGCTGAGCGAATTCGAAAACACTATCTCTCACCGCGCGTCTTCCTGTGTCTGTTGACAGGACAGTTTGTGCCGCCTATCAACCGGCGCAACCTGTACAGCCTTCAATACAGCATGCTCCCAGCCCGACGAGCGACCATGTGGGAAATGTGGCAAGCGATGAATGCAGAGACGCAGCAAAATAAGCCGTTCCAGCTCCCGAACATACCACCATTAACAAACGGTGGCGGCCGGCGGGGCGGTGCGAATGGCCGACTTAGAGTGCCTAATTGATATCCGTAATGTAACTGATTAATGCAAAAGTATGAAGATGATGATGGAGGGTGCCACTTCCACGTATCCACGTAGATCGATATTGGTAGAACTGGGCTAGCTATAGTAGGATAGCAATCGCTCTCTATACATGATCCATGTGGATCATGCTGATGTTACCGCTCGTTCGTACAACGCTGCCCGATGCTAAATAAAGTTGCCTAACCGATGTCATCGAGACACGAGCCAGAGCTTGGACGGCGGGCAGCTTCAAAAGGCGGGGGCACGCCCAACCCAAAAGGTGGGGCTCTCTCTCGCGACCTCGACCACAGGCTTCAGCTTTCTTCTTTTGCCAAAGCTAATTACCTTGGCAATTCATCAGTTTCTTCTCATTTTTCATTATTAATTTACCATCACATAAGCAATCTCCGTGTCTTACTAGAAGGTTATCTATGACAGGCTGCGCGTGACTCCGCACCACTCTTGCCACCTCTTGCTAACACAAAGGAAGCCGGAGTTGTGGACTGATATTCAATATTTCACTCAGAGTCTTTTGCGGCACGTCTAGTCAAATCGGCCGTCTTAGTCATTGACCATATTCGTTGGTATGGATCCCAAACAGCGCTTTCGCAGGTCTTTCCTAGACCATGTCGCTGGTAAGTCGCCGTTGATCCCCAAAATTCTGTGTACGCTAACGGGGCATTGCTCCACGAAGTACTTCAGGACCAAATGGAGGAGTTAAAGTCTATCTCTACTGTGGCTGGAGAACGTCAAGAAGCCATTGACCACATTCTTGCGGGAATTTCAAAGCTTCAGAATGACGTCGCTGACGTCGCTGACAAGACACCGGCCTATGACCGGAAGCAATATTCAGAGGTAAAGAAGCATATGATGCCTGTTATAAAATGCGAAGCTGAAGACTGACACTTGTGGTATGATAGACGATAAAGGGGCTGCAAGAAAAGCTGAGCGATACTACTACTGCGCTCGCGCCCAAGTCTCGATTTCAGTTCAAGCGCACTGTAAAGCACGTCGACATGGGCGCGCCGGAGAATGATCCCCGTCTACTATCCGGAAGCTTCTCACGCAACCAGCACGAACCATCTGTGCCGCCAGGCGCGCTCAAGTCTCCCGATGAGGCCGACGATGAGCTGAAGGAGCTGCCGCGCTCGGAGAGGGATTACAACGCGGAGCTATCGAGACCCAGTGCGTCCTCGATCCGCAAGCCTAGTTTCTCTGCCGCCAGGACCATTGGCATCTCCAACCAGATTGGGCTGCACATCATCCTGCCCTCTTCTGCAGCCATGGCCACAGCGTCGGGCAGCCTGACGGACCTGGCGGGCTGTGTCGTGGACATGTCTATACCCACGTCGCAGGGCCACGCGTTCCCGGGGCTGGCCATGCGCGAGATCAAGAAGAGCCTGATTGTGGCCGGCAGGGTCGCGGGGCCGGTCCACATGACGGGCATCAGCGACAGCATCTTGGTGCTGGTGGCGCACCAGGTGCGTATCCACGACTGCAAGAATGTCGACATTTACCTGCACTGCACCAGCCATCCCATCATCGAGGACTGCTCGGGGATGCGCTTTGCCCCCCTCCCCGCATGCTATGTGAGTTTTAACCACGAGACACTACGCCTAGAGAAATGAGGCGGCTAACGACGTGTAGATGACGGACGCCGACAGGGCCGAAGAAAACCAATGGAACCAGGTCGATGACTTCAAGTGGCTCAAGGCTGGCCATAGTCCCAACTGGACAACCATGGGCGAGGCACAGGCTTTGAGCGACGAAATCTGGACAAAGGTGGTGCCAGGGCGGCCTGGCGCGAGTGTCGACGAGACCTTGGCTAAGGTTGGGATTTCGCCAAGATGAATCACTTCCTTGGGACAACATAAAATACTTGTAATTCAAAACTCCGTACCGAATTTTCCTAACCAGAGATTGTTCAGCCCTCTAAAAATCAAACTGTCCATATAGGGTTCCCTCTATAAACGCCATTGCCATGCAAATTGTACATATGACTTGATATACTAGATCCAAAACCATTTCCCATCGAATTTTGGTCACGTGTCCATCTTGTCGCCGTCCTTGCCGAAGCGCAAGCCGTCGTCTCGAAGGCGCTCGAGCAGGGCGCGCTGCGTGACGAGGCGCGTCTCGAGTTCGGCCATCTCGCGGCGCTGCTCCGCAACGGTGCGGTCCATGTCGGGCAGCGCGCGGACCTGGGCGCGGGCGTTCTGGAGCTGGTGCTTGAGCGCGTCGGTCGCTCCGGGGACGTCCTTGAAAGATAGCATCGGCTGGCCGCCGGCGGCGGTGGCGGCGGCGGTGCTGGGCGTCGCGCCGGTCGCGAGGCCCGCCGAGGACTGGATGCCAGTGCGCACCTTGGCGAGCACAATGGCGAGCTCGGAGAGGGCGTCGAGGCTGTCGGGGGACAGGGTCGAGGGCAGCGCCATGAGAGATTGCGGCTCGTCGGTGGCCATGGTTCTGCTCGGTTATGATGTCTGGTGTGTTTGATGATAGCTTCAATAGCTCGGGTAGGCGGCTTACCTGATGTATAGTGGTTTGTGGTAAAGACGGTTAGCTTCTTACCTAGTACTACCTACCTACGCGCGTGAGGCCTGTTTTCTAACAGGGCACTAGTCACGTTTTCCACTTAACATATAATTTTCCCTTATTACAACGCTATTAGACTACTACTATATATAGAAAAACCTCTATATTTTTTATAAACTAGTATTAAAGACATTAATAGTATTATAATAGGGGAAAATTACTTATTAAAAAAGCAACCTATTTAATACCCTATTTAAAAATAAGCCTTACTTGCATATATACCTAGTAGTACCTACCTCCTAGGTACCTAGGTATAGCCCCCTATATTAAGTTAGTTATTAAGAGTGTTTTTTATAATAGTTAGGTTAGATTAGGTAGAAAGATAGGAATAAAAAGGTAGGTTATATTGCTTATTAAGACTAAAGCTTATCCCTTTTCTTCTAATAGTAGATATCCACTCTATATATATATCTTAAATAAGTTATTTATATTTTCATTATATTTTTATATATAAAATTTACTTAATTATAGTAGGTAGAAGGTGTATAGTAATCTGGTGGTTTGTAAAAGCGGCAAGTTTTTTTGTCCCCCTCTTGATGGGAGGTAGGTACCCTTGGGCGGATCTTAGCACTCAAATCACGCAAGATACAGCAGTCAATAATTCCTTCACTTTCCCGATCTACTTCCCCCAAATAGCCTTCGCCTGCTACTATTTGGTACTTCTTACCTCTAGAATTACTCTATCTCTGCCGCTGTTCAACATGTCTGCCCCTATCAAGACAGAGCAAAAGGCTTGTCTGAGTACGTTTCCATCTCCCACCTCAAACTGCCCCTCCAATCCAACGGTTGCCCCGGCATCGTCATCGCGACGAACCAGCACCATCACTGCAAGCATTGAACGTGCGAGCGCTTTCAGGCCGCAACATGACTGTCTCCTCGCCTCCTCCTCCTCCTCCTCCTCCTCCTCCTCCTCCTCCTCCTCCTCCTCCTCCCCCACACTCCAAGTCTATGCCTGCCAGGGCTCGCTCGCCAATTAGGCCGCGCAGCGCCACCAAGCCGCGCCTGGATGCGGTGCTCTTCTGCTGCTACATTCTCATCTACGCTGAACTCGGCTGGCTAATCATGTTCCTTCTTCGCGGGCACAGTCGTCATTGACGGTTGGGGTATCCCGTCCGAGGAGAGCCCCAAGGACGGCGATGCCATCACCAACGCCAAGACCCCGGTCATGGACGAGCTGTACAAGAGCGCAACCGGCTACACCGAGCTCGAGGCCTCGTCGCTGGCCGTCGGCTTGCCTGAGGGCCTGATGGGCAACTCCGAGGTTGGCCATCTCAACATTGGCGCCGGCCGTGTTGTCTGGCAGGACGTTGTACGCATCGATCAAACAATCAAAAAGGACGAGCTGAAGGACAATGCCGTCATCAAGAAGACGTTTGAGAGCGCCGCCGAGAGCAACGGCCGTCTGCATCTTTGCGGTCTTGTTTCCCACGGTGGTGTTGTAAGTCAGCGACCCAGGGCCAGATATGATCTTGAATGCTGCATACTTACACAAAGCACCAGCATTCCAAGCAAACTCACCTTTACGCTCTCCTGAGAGCCGCCAAGAAGTACCATGTCAAGGAGGTGTTTATTCACTTTTTTGCTGATGGCCGTGATACTGACCCCAAGTCGGGCGCTGGCTATATGCAAGAGCTCGTCGATTACTTGAAGGAGGTCGGCATCGGTCAGATTGCCACTGTTGTTGGACGCTACTACGCCATGGATCGCGACAAGCGCTGGGAGCGTCTCGAGATCGCGCTGAAGGGCCTGTGCCTCGGTGAAGGCGAGAAGAGCGATGACCCCGTCGCTACCCTCAAGGCTCGCTACGAGAAGGGCGGCTCCAAGGACAAGGACGAGTTCCTTACCCCCATCATTGTTGGCGGCGATAATGGTCGTATCAAGGGTGTGTAAAAACGACGCTGTATTCATCGCACAGGCTAACCAGTTACAGATGACGACACCGTCTTCTTCTTCAACTACCGATCCGACAGAGTGCGCCAGATTACCCAGCTCCTGGGCGACGTTGACCGATCGGTGCTCCCCGACTTCCCGTACCCCGCGATCAAGGAGCTCGTCACCATGACCAAGTACAAGACCGACTACCCCTTCGAGGTCGCCTTCGAGCCCCAGCGCATGGACAATGTCTTGGCTGAGTGGCTTGGCAAGCAAAACGTCGAGCAGGTCCACATTGCAGAGACGGAAAAGTACGCTCACGTTACCTTTTTCTTCAACGGTGGTGTTGAAAAGGCCTTCCTTCTTGAGGAGCGCGACCAGAGCCAGGATCTGGTTCCCTCCAACAAGTTAGTTGCTACTTACGATCTCGCCCCCGAGATGTCTGCCGACGGCGTCGCCGACCAGGTCGTCAAGCGCCTGGGTGAGGACCGCTTCCCCTTTGTAATGAACAACTTTGCCCCCCCCGACATGGTCGGCCACACCGGTGACTACGATGCGGCCATCATTGGCTGCGAGGCCACCGACCAGGGCATTGGCAAGATCCTCGAGGGCTGCAGGAAACACAACTACATTCTCTTCATCACCGCCGATCACGGCAACGCTGAGGAGATGAAGTTTGCCGACGGCAAGCCCAAGACTAGCCACACCACCAACAAGGTGCCGCTTCTGATGGCCAACGCCCCCGAGGGTTGGAGTCTGCGCAAGAGCGGCGGCGTATTGGGTGACGTTGCCCCCACCATTCTCGCGGCCATGGGTCTTCCCCAACCCGAGGAAATGACTGGCGAGTCTCTTCTGGCTAAGGACCTAAAGCGCAGCGCCAATTAGATGTGATGACGACGGGATGAACTGTGATGATTTGTGATTATGCTTGTTGGGAGAGCCGGGAGTCGGGAGTGGTGTGGCGAATATGAAGAACAGATATGAGAAAGTTGACATGATAGAATGCATTGATAGACAAAGCTATGAACAAGGTGTGAACTATAGACCTGAAAGTGCAAAAATGAAAATACAGGGAGTGTGGACACCAGCAGTATGAATATCGACTGTTTATTCTTGAATATTTACGGCTGCATCGGCTTTTGCGGTGTAACTCTCTTGTCCGCCTCAAAGTGCTTGAGCTCGTCATCGTTTAGATACTTGGGCAGCTGATCTGCCTGCCACTGTTTCAAATTAAACCCTATCCCAGCATGCGTGAAGTCCTGTTCATTCGCCTGGTCCTTGTGGTACTTGATCCGAACAAAGCTTGACTCGGCCGTCTCTGGCTCCAGACTGAGCGAGATCATGGAGCAGATGGTGACCGTCTTGGGCATGACCGGCAGCGTCCACTTGTGGCAGCTCTTGAGCTGGATCAACGCCGGCTCGTCGCGCACCACCTGGTACGCGCCGCTGCCATTGCCGACGGACACCATCTTGGCGAGGCCGAACCACTGAGCCGCAATCTTGTAGCGGTTGTCGGCGTAGCCAAACTGGTCGTCGTAGACGGCGTCGGGCGTGTAACGCTCAATGCGGGCGATGGTTGGGCGGCAGTCGTAGAGGGCGAGGATGTCGTCGACGAGGCCCTGGCGCGTGGGGGAGAGCTGCAGGGAAACGGATGGGTTTGGGGTGAAGTCGGAAGAGGAAAAGTTTTGACGGTGCTCGAATTGAGCGCCGGGCGCGATACTGCTGCCGGCGGCGCTGGTTGACATGGTGAGGGCGGATCGGAGACGTACGAGGCGGGCGGCGGGAAGGACAGCGGCTCTAAAGGTGTTCATTTATGTGCGAGATGGGCGCGCCCGGGGTCTACAATTATTGAACACTGTTGAAATATATATATGATTGTTGTCTGGCTATAGGTCCTTGCATGTCGGAGTGCTTGGATGTAAGGATGACAGCACCATGATGCGTTGACAGGAGAGCACATGTGCATCAGGCAGGCGGACAGCCCCGCACAGTCATCGAGATCCAGATCGATCTAGAAGAGTTGGCGACCGGAAAAGACAGAATGACTGTTTTTCTTTGTAACGCCGGTGTATTTTACGCGCAACTGATTGTTGAATCAAAAAATTTGTCGGTCGAGAATAAAGGTGCTGGAGCGGATTTACCGCGGATGCAAGTGGATGCGGTGCAGCCGCTCCGTTCTCAGCACCGGCGCTGAACCGGCCTTTTTTTTTTTGTCCATTCGTTTCAACTCGTACAATAAATCTCTTCATGTTGAATGCAACGGTGGAGCCCCGTGCAGAAATACACGATGACAACGTGATACCCTGATCGACAGCTTTGGATGTGGGGGCTATGTCGTCAGAGGTCAGAGGTGCAACCTTGTTGAAATTTTGAAAATGGCACAGCGACCCAGCGAGTGTTGGTACATTGAAAAAGATAGGTACCTACCTAAAGCTAGCCCCTTTGATTAAAAAGCTTGATGCTAGGTAATCTAGCTTGGTTTCGCGTGATTCAAGGATATGGCGGTCAATAAGAAGGGAAATGTATCCGTACTCCGAAATGTACAATGCTCGAGGGGCAAATGCTCCAGTCTGACGGCAATCTCACTCACAGGCGCGATTTGCGTGATAGATGCAAAGCTTCAAGATCGAGTTATGGATTGAGGACCCCTTGGTGGGTTGGTGGGGCACCATATGCGGGACCTGTGATGGTGTGGCTTTATTTTTTATTTTAGCGTGGCTGTGCTTTTCATCGTACTTTGAATATCGGGCAAAATGAATTATATTATTAGCCGTAATATAAACGCCTTGTCAACGTGTCAGTCATTTCACAGACCGGGAGCCTGATCTCCCCTGGTGCGCGTCGCGAAAGAAAAAAAAAAAAAAAAAAACCAATCCATCTAGGCTTGGCTGCCAAAAGCCAACCGCGATGACTGGGCAAAAGCTCCGATCCAAGGTCTTGTTCTCCCTCCCTCGCTCGAGGAAGATATTGCCCGCCCGCGCGAGCCGCCGTAACTAACGACACAGTGGAAATTCAATCTTGGGATTTTGTTATTGCGACTAGTAGGCTCAAGGTCATCGAGATGTTGTTGGGAATGCCACTGCTTGGCAGCGGATACAAGCAGACGATGCAGCACGACTTGTGAAAAATAGCTAGCCGATAGCCCCTTGCGCAGCTACGAGGGTGCCTTTGTGTTATTGTCGTTCTCTTCAGTTGACATCTCATCTCTCTATAATATTACGACCTTTTCCTGCTCATCAACTCGAACAAAACACCAGAGCGCGCACAGTAACTTGATAGGCATCGGCACTGTACATCGACAAATCGCATCTTGCGAGGCGTTTGCACAGTGTCCTAGGTACTAAGGAAGCGGAGTTCGATCAAGCTGCTAGCCCAGGACGGCCATCAGCCGAACGACGCCCAAGGAATCTTCTAACTACCTCTAGTAGTATTCAAAGTACGCTGTAGCTATGTATGGGTAAGGTGGTTAGGATAAAGAAACGATTCTGGCAATTACTACGACTGAATTATCAAAGTACTGAGGTAGTTACATAGGTAGGTACCTTTTCGGCTCTCAACTGCCAGGGTCTGGCTCCAGTTACCGCACACTGAACACTGAACCACTAAACCCACCCCACAACGGCTCGTTCAGCTCTACCTGTTAATTGTACTCGTGCCTTGTTGACTCCTTCGTCCTGGTACTTGTATTTTGTATTTTAGGTACGCTACTCGATACACCCCATCCTGGTACCAACCGTTCCATCCGCCCCAGGCCTTTGAGGGTCTCGATTGCACTTTTGTTTGGGCACACGCCTATTGACCACTGTGGGGCGGAGCAGGCCTGTCCCTTGTCCTCTCGACGGCTTCTCTGACAGAGATCCTACAGATCCTACCTACTCTTTGATCCCACTCCCGTTTTCTACTACACAACTTTGTTTTTTCTTCAAAGACGACTCTATTAATCAACTATTTGGACTTAGCTTTTCGACCATTGGCGAGTTCCTTGGGTGCTATCAATACCTGGGCAGACGATCCCCATCCCGACGCCTACCTCTCACCGTCGGCCAACCAGCGCTCAACGAGCTCCCCAGCACCTGCTGCTGCGCCGATTAATCCACCACCGCAAATTATTCCACGATACCCTATTTATCGTCCATTTCCTTCGCCCAGGCCGAAGTAGTTCGACTCTCCAAGCCTTTCGTCGTGCCACCCTTACACACTCTTCACGAGAAAGACTACCTCTACTCTCAGTATAAATTCAATTACAAGGACGCAATCGGCTTTGATACCGACCAAATTCATCGACATCGGATTTTCCTACCTAGCCACGAAACATCCAATTCTCCAACCGACAACCTCATTCTCGCTTTACACTGTCGTATATGTTGGCCGCCAATCACCCTGGTCCCGGTGTATTTGCAGCATAAGCTGGTTTCGCTCGGTGAGTCAAATTTTCTACTGCACGCCTCGCCATAGTTACAAAGGCACCTCCCAGATAATACGGAGTAGTAGCGATCGCGATCCTTTCATCACCTATCCAATCACACCGGCCTTGACTTGGTCCACTTCATCCTAGCCGCATTCCCCCGTTACAACGATTGCGACCCCGCCAGCTAACGGGCATTTTCTCTTAGTACCCGGTGGCATTCTTCTAAAAGAACGGATTCAGCTCCGCCCTGACGACGCCGACGTCACTGCCAGTGCTCCCTTAGACCCCTGTTTGCCTCTGGTGCACTCCACCCCAGGGTTTCCATCACGATCCATGGCGAAATCGAACCATGTTTGAACCCTCTTCGACTTTTTCTCCTCGTTAAGTCATCTTCGGATGCCAGAGCTAATAATGCAAAATTCAACCATGGACAGGGCGTTTGCAACGCCTTGTAGTGCAAATCCTCGCAGGGTCTCGCCTGGCAACTCCCTCACGCTCCAGAATCACGGCCTCACCCGCGATGCCTCACTCCGCGCTAGTCCGGGCTCAGCACCTTCCAACCTGAACGCTATCACTTCCTCCCCACGCCGACAGTCGTCGGGCAATAGCCACGAGACTGGCCAGAGCGATCCCAAGAAATGGTTTGACCGCTCAAATCAAAATGCAACTGCAACATTTGATTCCAACGGCATGGATGGTACGTTCACTTGCCTGCTGCATGAAAAGGAATTGGGTTTTGAAATCCTTCGCTAACTTGACCGTGACCGCAGTCGATCCTCCCTTCTTCCAAAAAAGTTCGGGATCATCTACCGAAGACCGAGTCGGCTACAATAATCTAGCTATTCCTTCACACCTTCAACCACAACAACAAGAAACACAAAGTAGCAGCGCCGACGACTACCGCAGCGTCATCGACGACTTGACAGTCGAGATCCAGAAACTCAAGGATGAGCTGAAACGCTATAAGCAACGTGGACCGAATACACTACGCAAAGACCAGCTCTTTGAAATCAAATTTCATGGCCTGCCCAAGCGCAAGAAGCGCGAACTCGAGACGACTCTTCGAGAATTCGCTGCTAATCTGGAAAACTCTCCTCCAGTCTCATCACAGCTGAAAAAGTCGCCAAACGAAAAGATGCATTTTGGTTCCGGCTCCAAGCATGCCTCGTCCTCTTCTGGCTCTAACATGCGCCCAATGGACTCGGCGTATGCCTCCATGTCAACCGGTGCGAACTCTGTAGGCGTGTCTCTTGGCCGTCATGCCAGCATCCAGAACGGCATCAGATCCTCGGAACAAAAGGTAGAAAGCTACCTTCGAGACATTCCTGAAGGCCTATACCCAAAACATGTTGCCATGACAGACAAGGACAGAAAAAAGGTCGTTGTTCGTCGACTCGAGCACCTCTTTACCGGAAAGATTAATGCCAGTCAGGCTCGCAAGCAGCTGCCCCTGCACACAATACCTCAACAATTCCAATCAGCCGCTTCACTGGCTACGCCCTCTATCCCTTCACTTACTTTGGAGGCTGCGCAGACTGCTTCCGTGCAACCACAATATACAGTAGATGGCAAATTTGAGCCTTCTCGAGAGGCGCGCATACTTCCACCCGGAAGCTCAAAGAAGAAGAACCGATCCCGGGACAATGGTTCAGCCTCACACTCCAACGGAGATCAGACAGAATCCACCGGTAATAGTAACGGAAGCGCCAATAATGGCTCTCCGCCAGACGCATCACCCCCGGAACAGCGACCAACTCGGCCAAACGACCTCGACCCTGACCGGGCCCAAATACCCGCTGACAATATCGAATATATTCGACATCTGGGATTGGTTCCTCCCGAACTTCTCCCTGATGCCACTCAGGAAGCTCCGGATGTTTCACCTGATGCCGAGGGCTGGGTGTATTTGAACTTGCTCTGCAACCTGGCGCAGCTGCACATGATCAATGTCACTCCTGACTTTGTTCGTGCTGCCGTGTCTGAGATTAGCACAAAGTTCCAACTGTCGCCTGACGGTCGCAAGATTCGGTGGCGCGGCGGCTCAGAAGGCACCAGGCTCACGAGCGACAGCTCTGCTGAAAGCTCTCAGAAAAGCGCGCGACTAAGTAGTGGCGGTTTCAAGGGATCGAGGAAGTCGAAGAGCAAACGGCAGAAGACTGGCCACTCAATGGGTGACTCTGGCAGCTCCAGCAAGGACGCTTCCAAGTTTGGTCCGCAGGCCTCCTTCTCGTCGGACAGTTTTCACTACAAGCCGCTCTTTGTTCGCCAGGACTCTCCAAACGGTGTTGCCTCTTTCGACGACACCTTGTCGTCTTTTGGCCCAGTTGAAGACAGCAACTTGGGCGAGTCGAGATACAATTTGAGTGGCTCAAGCTCATGGAACCGAAAGAAGCGTCGCCATGATGGCGCCATCATTTATTACAGTGGCGCGCCTTTCTGCACTGACCTTTCTGGTGACCCCGGTGATGCTTCACCAGCGACGTACATGATGTCAAGCGTACAAGTCGCAACGGAAAGCTTAACACGAGCACATCGGCCATTGTATAGATCTCCATCGGGATCGAACATAGGCATTCGACCACTCAGTCACCCGATTCTCCTAGCTACGGCAGATGTAGCCCTGAAGACAGACGAGGAGGAAGACCCACCCGGCTTTGCCACGGACTCGGGCGACGAAACCAGCGAGGCGGATATGGAGCTTTCTTGGTCTGATGAAGCTCAGTATCTCGAGCTCCATCCTCTGGAGCCTTGTGGATTGGGTGGTGTACTACCAGAGGATCACTTCATGGTGGTGGTGACAACGAAGCGGCCCAAAGTGGATGCAGCAAAGGCCATTACCAAGCACGGTGAGGGAGGCTGGGTTGCAACCACGGACAATATTATACTTAGATTGGCGGTCATGTCAACATCATCGCCAGCGCCTCAGCAATTACCGCCATCGCAATGCAGCTCCCCCGAGGTGGAAATTGAATACACGTCGGGGCGGATCAAGAGACTGGCACCGGTGCCACTACCACCACCAGTTATCTTCTTCCCGCCGTTCAGTAGCGACGACGAGTACGATTACGACGAGTTATCGGATTCGGAGCAACAGTCAAATTCGATGCCATTGATCTCGGAGGGACTTGCAAGCCGCCGATGCTTGGAGCAATCGGACGACTATCCGGACGGTGTTGATCTGAGCAGCGGCGACGAGGAGGGCGATGACCCCGACGATGAATCTGGAGCGGAGAGGATGTATGACCGGCCCGTGGGTGATGAGGTGGCGGTCATGATACCCCTAGATGGAACGGCGCGCCACTCGATTGGCAGCTCGGTGGCTGCTGCGGGGACGCCGAGGGGTCGGACCAAGAGCCCTTCTAGCAGCGACGATGAGGAAGAGGAATGAAGAGACGGGGTGATGTACAAGGTGTAATTTGAAGCGATGACATGCGCAATTTGGATCAGGGCTTGATCTCGGAACGTTGAAGACGACGGCGATGGGGTCTTGTGTGTTCTCCCGTCTATTGTCAAGTTGTTCTTGGACCTTTTTTTTTTCCCTTTTTTCATTCAGAACTAGCAAGGAGTCTGCTGGGCGCATTTGATGATTGTTTTTTATTTCATGGGCCGGATTGTAGGTCCTTTATTTTTACGGATGATTCCCCCGATGGCGGCCTTGGGCAAGGCAGCCAGCCTAGCAAATGCGCTGAGTGTATGTTAGTATAAATAAGATAGGAGATAGCACGCGCTCGCAAGTATATCAATGCCATTGACGAGCAGATCGCGCATCTCTACGCCCGCGGACTTGGATATGCTGCAGTGAATGCGCGTGCTTAGCTACATAGGTATGGTGGAAACCTAGAAACGGGTCGGATTGTAGGAGGCGAGGGCTGCCAGATATATGCCAGTCTAGAATACGAGGCCGTCAACATTCAGACGACCTGCGACTCTAATTTTAAGGAGCAATTTGCCAAGACACCAGAATTACACGAAGTAGGCCGAGACCACGGGAAAATCCGTATAAACTGCCGTACTAGTCTGTCTTGCTAGTCGCCGAGGGACGACGACGTTTACGCGCGCTGCCTCTCAGCAAACTCAAAGAGCATGTGCCAACTTCTGCACTCGTGTACAGTGCCCCATCCATCGATCTCGGCCTTGAATTTCCCATCGTCGTCTATAATGACCTTTTCAAGAGTTGTATCTCCTGTGCACATGATGGCTTGTCGAAGGTAGTCGAGGCAGTGGTCGAGATGCTGGTCATTAAACGTGCGAGTTCGAATAGCAGTCCTGATTGTCACCTTGAAGGAAACAGCGTCAGGGGATTATCATGGGCAAAAATGATAGAGTCAACTTACAAGGCAATGAATTTGATGGAACATGGAGATGCCATATCCTTCACGCAGCCTCTCCTCCTTCGCCTCCTTCCCCAGAGGAAGTCCGCCGACAAGGCCAAGCTTTCTGGGATCAGACACTGCAATAAGCCCTCCACCACCTGCACTCAATTCAACGTTAGCTGCTTCCGGGCTCGGAACATTCCAGCGGCGGCGTGGGAGAAAAAAAATTACACGCAACAGGAAATCACGTACGTGGCTGTAAAGCGTCCCAGAGCGTTGCATTTTTTAGATTCGACGATGCAGAGCCTGGGAATATATCGCTGTAGGACTGGTCTGGGGTGAACAGGACTCTTTCTCTCGGGATTGTTCCATGTGTAAGCTTTCGTCAGAACACCATGAATAACCGTTCCTTACTGTGACCAAAGACGACATCTGACGGTAAAGCCCATTCAACTCCAATCTTATTCTTTGCGTCAAGAAAGTAGACTGCAACAAGGCAAAGCGTAGTGATAACGTAGACGGCAGTCATTGCCTGAAATCGGGGCTTCCATTTGTAGTCGGACCTGTCCCCTGCGAGTTTCTCATTGACGGCAAGTTTTTGGTATTCAGGAGCTTCGTTGCTGCTTGCAACGAAAAACCACGACTTGCGCATATTGTGGCTGATTCGATAATCTGGGGGACCGTTTGCACTCCTAAGGAGAGGTAGCGAGAGTGAGGTAGAGAATCGTGGATCGCAGCTTAACTAATCCAAGCGAAAGCCATGTCTTCTTATATTTTTCCTTCCGTCTTCCCAGTTGCGCTACTGTGTCAAAGCTGTATTTGCTTCGTCTTCTTTCGCCGAGCAAGGAAGGGTTGGGTCTTGTTTGTTAGTTGTGCAAACTGGAAAAGACGGCTTGGCTGATGCACCAACATCAACGCCACCTACACATTTTTATTTCAAAGAAACAAATTACGCCATGCAGAATATTGATTTTTTTACGCCACAGTCACTGAGATTCTGGCCCATGCATTTACATGGGCATGATTTATCCGGTAGAGGTCCATGTGCGACATTTCGGGTTTCTTTTGCACTTGTTTGTGAGCGTCCAATGACAAGCTCGGCCCTGGATCTGTAAAATATGACTTTTTGGACACTGGAAAGCCTTCGCTATTTTTCGACTACAGCAACGGCTACAATTTTCTATCTAAGTTTAAAACTATTCAGAATGATTTCCTCAGAATATCTCTGGGAGGTCGACTCATAGCAACGGCTACACTTTACTATCTAAGTTTAAAACTATTCTAATAATGATTTCTTCCTCAGAATATCTCTGGGAGGTCTTTCTCCCCATGCTTGTACACTGCTTGGCTGACTATTATTTGGTTCGTTTTCATCCAAGACAAGATGGCTTCCGGGTTACGACAGGTGTGCTGAGACAGATGCAAATTTAGCTGCGGACTTACAACATGTGCGGTGTTTAGTTTGGGGAGCGTACCATGGTGCTAAAATCGGGAACTGGATCATTGTAGCCATCGACCCAATGATAGACAATTAGACTTGTATCTCCGTGACACATGATAGCTTCGCGAATCATATCGACGCAGTGATCTTGAAACAGAACTTCACGTTAGACTGCAATTAAGATTTGAAAGGTGTGGCATTGAGCTACCTGCATGTCCTCGCAGATATGGCTGTGAGAACCAATCAGGGGTATTTTCTTTGTAATAGTCGAGGTAGATAAACTTTCGGAGCATGTTCTGCGGCAATTAACTTATTAAAAACGCAATTCCTGGCAAGGCATTGATTGGGTATTAGCTTACCACACAGTGAATTTGGTGAAATAAACCAAGGCTCGCCATGTAACCAATGTTCTGCGTTTCCTCGAGATGAACAGCCGTCTCAAGCGAATAGCTTGTCGATGCTCGCGCATCGTCTGTTGAAATGTTCAGTATAGGCGGGTAATCCGGCATTGATTCTGCGACCAACAGCTGATTAGAAAGGCGCGAAAGAAAGGAGTTGCGAACCTTTGTCAATCTTGACCAACATACTGCTTCCCATTTCCGTATAACGGCCCCAAGTATTGTCCATCTCGGGGCTTGGAGGACCGCTGTATGGGCTTCTCTTGAATAAGGAGCCATTAAAGCGTTGTTGAATAGGCGGGAAATCAATTCCGTCGTCTAACAAATTAGTTTTCATAATTGATAACTCTCAGATGATTGGTAACGTACAAATTTTGAGATGGGACGTGTCCGCAAACGTGAGGCCCCTACCACCTGTAAATGGTCTTAAATGGTAGCCAATTGCACCTCCGACGAGGACCAATGTAAAAGATAAAGCGGCATACAGTATCCAAGACACCTTGGCTCGATATTCTGGCTTCTCACGGCGTCGGGAACCATTACCAAGAAAGGCAGTATGCTCTTCTTCGTCAATAATATCCGAGTAACTGTTCTGCTTTGAATCGGACATTGTCAAGCGATTTTGCCAAAACAAGGGGTATTGTGTGTAATGGATGAGATGGTTTCCGACGACAACGATTCAGAAAAAGCAAATGGATTGTAAATAGTTTTGGTAGTTGACGTAGTCTAGAAGATAATAAACAAAACGCAACACGGCATTCAGGGCGTGCTTGAAGTGGTTGGCATAGGCAGCCATGTTAATTGAATTACACCATTAAACTTGTACAACAATACTGAGGCGTAAGTTCCAGCCTACTGGTACAACAATACTGAGGCGTAAGTTCCAGCCTACTGGTACAACAATACTGAGGCGTAAGTTCCAGCCTACTGGTACAACAATACTGAGGCGTAAGTTCCAGCTTACTTGTACAACAATACTGAGGCGTAAGTTCCTGCCTCTTTGTACAAAGCCTGCATCAAGCTTCCCTTTGACGGCAAGGCAGGGCATACATGGCAAACATTGCTTCGAGCCCCATTGCCGCTGCAAGACTATTACTATAAGCCCTGTGCTGTCAATATTATCACTAGTTCAAACTTCAATTATGGGTAACGCCTAAGCAAACTATTGTTGCATTGTTTGATGATCATTTTCAAGATTACAGTTCTCAAAGAACTCTGCACATGATCTCGGCGCTTTTGCAAGGCGCGTTCTGGATCCTGGACTTCACTTGCGGTAGAGGTCATGTGTTGGAGGACTGTAAGTATTCACTCGAATCAATAGACGTATCGTCGCTACTGCCGGCGCTGAGCATAAAAAGCAGTCATTCCCACCCTCACTTCATAACCATTCCACATAGAACTCAACAATCAGTCTCATTTCGCCAACATTTTCTCCCTCTTCAAGTATCTGAAGTGATTGCCCTTTTTACAACATGCTGTTCAACAACATCATCGCCAGCGCGCTCCTCATTACCGGCAGCCTTGCTGCTCCTGCTCAGGCTACTGCCGTCGAGGTAAGTAATCTCTAGTCGCTTGAAGTGCTAGAGGAAAATGAGTTGCTAAGATGACATAGGATGCCGATCACGCCAAAATGACGCCTCGCGAATACTGGGCATTCGCTTTTAAGCTGCGTAATGATGAGATGCAGCAAGCCAAACGCAACGAGGACCCGAATCTCGTTGCTCGCGAATACTGGGCCTTTGCTTTCAAGCTACGCTCCGGCGTCTCAGCTAAACGCTCTACTCTCGACTCCCAGTGCGAGATTGCCACTGAAGGAATCTACTGCAAATACTCCGGTGCAGACCTCGAAGCCTACGGTACGGCTAGCCACCTCGAGGAGGGCTGCCTCACCGTTGACACTGGCGTGTCTTGCTTCTACCCTGGTTCTTTCAAGCTCGATGGTGTAAGTTCTGGTGACACTATATGGCAGCTTATCCTAATACTAATTTTGCACAGTAAACTCCGACGAGAAGCTCTGTAGTTATCGTAGGAAGGGTTCAAGCGTCAATTCATGTACCTTTAGTATAGCTACTCTGTTGAGCAAGGTTGGATAAACAAACAATAGCTTCATTTTTGGTTGCGCTTAGATAGTCAATTAAACTTGCTTCTATAAATTCTGGAATAAGTCAATCTATAAATGGAACAAACAGGAAAACCGTGCGCACACACATGGCTAGTTTGTGGCGCTTTTATATGCAAACATTGCATACACGCCCTGAAAGGGTTTCCGCATTTCTCCTGTGAATATATATTTAAGTCATACGCACCCTTGACATGCCTTGCCTCTTTCACTCATCAACCAAGGTCAAAATTGACTGCCAACAAACAAGCCAAGGTTTACCATTCCTCTCACATTACGATGACGTCTGAAAAGACCATGCTTGGAAGTGTACTCGCCGTAGGGTGCACCGAAGAGTCGCAAACTAGGTAGGTAGTATTTCTTTTCTTGTTGCAGCTTTTAATCGTGGAAAGCTAATTCGGCCATCAGTGGCTTGCGGGCCGACAAAAGGGCAACAGCTTCTCTGAATGTAACGGCAGCCGTTCTTTCGACCGGTTCAGCGACCCCCAAGAGTGAAGCCAACGAACAAACGGTTGTCCACACCACACTTGAGGCACTGCAAAGCCAGCTCAGTGCTGTGACTGAGACCAGGAAGTATGCAGTGGTGAAAATTGGTCTGTACCGTACCTCTTTTTTTTTATCGCATTACCTGTCCACCATCTCTCTCTTATACCCTTTTCCCGGTTGGTAGCTAACATTAAACGTTAACTACCCCGCAGGCGCCTTATTCTACCCGGAATCAGTCAAGCTGGTGTCCAACCTCGTGCAGCAAGATGAAGCAAAACTCGTTCTGGATATGGAGCCTTTGTTCAAAACAGGGCCGCCTCCCCAGGAGGAAGTACTTACTGCCCTCAGAGACGACATACTTCCCTCGACCACGGTGCTTTGCGCGACAGTGCGTGAGGCCAAGGCACTGCTCGACATTGCAGGCATTCACATAGACTATCCACAGAGTATACAAGATGTCCAGAGCATGGGGCAGGCCGTGCAAACACTAGGCCCTGACTATGTTGTCATGAAGCGAGAGATATTGGGAGAAAATGACGGCACGACAACGCTTCACTATGTTCTCTGCGGGGGTGCAGAGCCGCAAGTGGTCATATCCCGCTTCAAAAATCCGAAAGGATTTTTTGGTGTGAGCTACTCCATCCCACGTACGTACCGCTCTTCCATCTACCATGACTTGCGCAAAGGAATCTAATCGTCTCGTTTTTAGCTCTGATCGCTGCGAAGCTCGCGGGCGGTTCTGATGCAGCTGGGGCAGTGGCTGAGGCTTTTCAGTTTGCAGGTGAATTACTTGAGGTGGGCTTATATTTCAGTTAGATCAGCCATTATTAGGAGCTTTTTATTATTATTCACTAGTTATTACATGGCTTCCCATTTTTTTAGAACCCGTTGCCGGCCCGGCCCAGCGCCTACCGCACAACCTGACAAATACCTGTACCTAACTACCTACCCTACAGTGGGCTTTGTAGGTACACCCACTGTATGTTTCTATGGATGGATATCTCGATATGCCGGTGGTAAACAATCGCAATCTTACGAGGCATCTTTGCATTATTGGTTACCATGTGGCTGTAACCTTGAGCAGTCTTACAACTCAGCAGTAAACTACCTACCTACCTACCAGGTAGGCAGCTTTGGGTGCATTTGCGGCGGCCTTTTTTTTTTTTTCAGGCTGCAAACGAAACCTTATTCGGCCCTAAACACATGGTGCGCAGGGGGTCTGGACGTCTGGACCGCGTAATGACAAAACATCTCGGCCGATTATCCCTCTGAGACATGGATCCTTTTTCTTTTCCATCTCTTTGCATACTTTAGTTATCCCTCTCGCCATGCTACGGCCGTCTCTCGCCTTGATTCTCCAACAAAAACTTGGCTCTCCCGTCTTTCCTTCTCCTTGTTCATATCCTTCAGTATCCCGCGTCGTCATCAATCATCATGGTCGCTACAGCGGCTTACTGCCTCGTCGTCGTCGCCGGCCTCGCGGGCGCGCTCGGGGCCGCGCCGCCACCTAGAGAGCAAGACGCCAAACCTGTACGAAATGTGGCCATTATCGGTATGTCGAACAACGTCACTTGACGCCCGAATCTACCTAGCACCAATGCATCTACGCACGAGTCGTCGATATCGTGTCGCCTGGCATGTGACACTGACATCCTTCCCCATGGGCTATTCCACCTCAACATTGCTGACCTTGACTTTCCATCACAGGAGCCGGTGCCGCAGGCGCCTCAGCCGCCTACCACCTCAGCCAGTATGCCCGCGCCGAGAACCTCGACATCAATATCACCGTCTTTGAAAAGACGCCGCGCATCGGCGGCCGCACCCTGACCGTCGACGCCTACGACGACCCCTCCTCCGGCACACAACCCATCGAGCTGGGCGCCTCCATCTTCGTCACAGCCAACCGCATCATGTACGACGCCGCCCTCGCCTTTAACCTGACCCTCGAGGACCCCATGCCGTCCGGCGCTGGCGACCTGACGATTATCTGGGATGGCACGCGCGTCGTGCTCGAGAGCACCGCCGGCGGCTCCTGGTGGTGGGACGCCACGCGCCTGTGGTGGCGCTACGGCATGAGCCCGTACCGCGCCGTCAACCTCGTCAAGACGGTCGTGGGCACGTTTCTCAAGCTCTACGACGCGCCGTTTTTCCCGTTTCGCTCGCTCACGCAGCGCGCGTACGAGCTCGGGCTCGAGCGTGTCACCGGCGTCACCGGCGCGCAGTTTCTCGCCGACGCCGGGATCAACGACGAGTTTTGCCGCCATGTGCTGCAGCCGGCGACACGCGTCAACTACGCGTCCAACCTGGCGCACATCCACGGGCTGGAAACCATGGTCTCGTTTGCCACGGACGGGGCTGTTGCTGTCCGCGGCGGCAACTGGCAGCTCTTTGACCGCATGCTGGCCGCCAGCGGTGCCGCGCTGCTCCGCAACACATCCGTCGCCGCGATTGACTTCCAGCCCGCCGACGGCCCCGACAGCGTGGCGCGCGCGCTGAAAAAGTACGCCCTCTCCGTGGCTGGCAGCGACGCCCCGGTGCCCACGGCGTTTGACGACGTCATCATCGCTACGCCCTGGCAGTACAGCGATATATCCCCCGGCCGCGGCATCATTACCCACAAGATTGACGAGATACCGTACAAGGAGCTCCACGTGGTGCTCTTCACATCGCCGTACCGCTTGCGCACCGACCTCTTTGGCCTGGCCGACGGCGGCACCCCGCCGAGCAACGTCTACACGACGCTGCAGCCGGGCGTCGCCGCCGACCCGGACCACGTCGTCGGCGCCACGGGCTTCTTCTCGCTGAGCACGCTGCGCACTGTCGTGCACCCGGCGTCGGGGCGGACCGAGTACCTCTACAAGCTCTTTGCGCCCGCGGCCGTGCCTCCCGCGCACCTGGACCGCTTCTTTGACCGTGACTGGCAGGAGAAGGCTAACGGGACGGCGACGACGGAGCCGAGCAAGGTGACGTGGTATCGCATGCAAATGTTCCATCCGTACCCTGTGGAGCTCCCTCGCGTCACGTTTCAGGACCCGATTGTGGGCAACGGTGTGTATTACACGTCGGGCATGGAGAGCTTCATATCGACCATGGAGACGAGCGCGCTCATGGGGAAAAATGTTGCGAGGCTGCTGGCGGATGATGTGGCGGGACGGGCGGGGACCGGTGGTGCCCATGGTGCGCCACCGCCACCGCGGTATGGGGGAGGCGAGGCGAAGGAGGCGATGCAGAAGCACATGCAGGATTTCTTTGAGACCATGGGGAATGACATGGAAGACTTGTTGACCGTGGATGAGTTGTAAGTGGTGGATTACATGGTTAGAATGGGTGAGGAAAAGAGACGGCTGTATGAGATTGAAGTATCGCGGGCTTTTGTTTCTCAGCGTTCCCCTTTTTAGTCGATTTAGCGATAGTTATTCCCCGCATAGACTGCAAAACGGACAATTGATAGATTGTCAAGCGAACTCCCATTCTCAACTTACACATAACCACTGCTACACCTATAAAATTACCAAATGAGCCTGGTAAGCGTGGCACAAGGTACCAGTTGTTAAGCAGCCGAAACAGAAGAGAGCACCCAGAGGACGACTTGTTTGCTCCTTACCTTCTGACTGCAATGGAACCCGAGGAGGCGTACGCGTGTACCTGCAGGTCGTCCGTCAACTACCTACATACCTAGGTAGTTACCAGACTGAGGTCGTCAGTGTAGTATCAGTCGAGCAATTACGTCATTTTAGTTCATAGCGCTACCTACCTACCTACCTACCTACCTACCTACTAAGGTACAGACAACGGCAACAAGTAACAAGTCCTGAGTACCTAGGTAGGTAGGCAACAGAGCTAGGCAACAGAGGCGAAGAGATTGTCTGCTTTTGATTCGCCTATAATCGAGTTCAAAAGGACTTGCAAGGCTCACAATTCAATCCGTGTCAGTGACTGGGAAGGGTTGTTTTCTCAGTTGTCACAAGCCAATCTTGCCACTCAACGTATGGTATAACTAACTGATGTTTGGCTGAGACCGTTGCTAGGGCGGGTGGCAAATACACTCTTTTCCTTGGAACGCCTGAGACGGTACAACGACGGGTAATTTGTATTCTCTTCGAATTAACTATGAAAGCCTTATTAATAACGATATTTACCTCATTTTCTACACATTCTCTCCTTCTGCTTTTGAGGGTTCTCATCGGCTGGCCGGCCACAGACCCTTGCCCCGCTTCCAGGCCAAACCACCACTAAATAGTAACTGACTTGGCCTTGTTTGTTCTACTTTTTTTCTTCCTTCCTACTCCTTCTTCATACTTTGCGCCAGACATCTGCGCATCGTTGCAAGGCAAGACAATCCCGACGCCATTCTTCTCGACACGGCTAAGACGCGCTCTCTTCCCGAAATAACCCGCGTCGACGCAAAAGTCCTCTTCCCGACTCTCTGCGCCTAGTGACTAAGATCAAAACAAACGAGCAGGAGCTTCACCCCACCTCGGCGGACAAAATGTTTGTCCTGCGAAATGGTAAGTAAGGCCACCATTCATACCCTGTGTTGCTCCTTCTAGATCCTCTCCCTTTCCTTTTACTTTTATTTTTATTGCCCAAGAAGTGAGCATGCCACTTGTTAGGTAGTTGCCTGTTAGGCCGCATAAGTACTCGTTATGGCGTGCGTACGTGTGCAGTACCTCCCATGTCAGGAAGGAGGGGTCGTTTGCTGCAGGTCCCCTTCATCAATGCCACTACCTCGAACCCCCCTTTCCTTCTCACATGCATCAGCCAACACCTCTTCTCGCTCCCTGTTAGCGACAACTACTAACTTGCCCTAGTCGGAAAGCTGATTTTCGGCTCTGGCGTCCAGGAGTCCCTCATTGAGCTACCCCAGGGTCAGCTCTACCTAGTCCGCCCCCTCTCCCCCAAGGGCTACTCGGAGCTCATCTTCAAAGACGCCGCCATCCGCATCCGCCGCACGAACCAAGATTTCCACTTCCAGCTTGTTGTCCAGCGCGCTTTTGAAGAGGGCGAGGAAGAGCTTCTCGCTGAGGAAGAAGGCGACGACGCTGAGATTGACGCTCTTGCCAGCGAGCGCGACGAAAAGACCTTTTTGCTCGACGAGGCCCTGCACTTTCGCGTCGAGACCCGCGACGGTGGCGACAGCGTCATTGCTTGGCGCGATCTGAGCGGTGACACGGGCGACGTCTACGAGTTTGTCTGCGACGCCGCCGTCCCCCCGAACCAGCTACAGCTCTTCCTCCGCGCTGCCCAGAAATGCCAGTACGAGCGCAAGTACCGCAAGTCCAACACCACCGCTTCCGAAGAGGACCTGCGGCAGTTTGAGTTTCACCAAGAGCTCCCCATACCACCCGCCAGCCCTATAAATAGTCCCTCCCTCACCCGCTCCATCGACTCCACCGAGTTCATGGCACCAACTACCCCGAGCAAGCAGCGTGCTGCTGCTTCTCCCACTACTATCCCCGAGGATAGCAAGCCGTCCGGCCCCATCTACGATGTCAGTAACCCGCCCAAGCCCAAGGAGATTTACGCCAGTATTACGGCCGAGCTGCATGTCTATGACCCCCAGCCCGGTCACTTTGCCTTGGTTGACGACTCAGTAGTCGCCACCGTCTCCGAGGTCGGCAAGTGGGAATACTGGCTACAGATTGAGGGCAAAAAGCCTTGGCTAGGAACCGCCGTCGTTTCCGATTTTAGCCCTGTCTTTGACTTTCAGTTCTTTTCCTTCGTCTTCAACCACTTTAGCCCCGATGGCGCTGCCCGTTCCTGGCTATTGCGATTCAAGGACCAGCCCACGCTGGAAAGGTTCCAGGAAGCTATTATGCAGGCCATCTGGGAGAGGCTCAACGAGACTAAATGGGCCAAGATTCAAGAAAAGGAACGTGATTACGTTCTCGACTCCATGGGTGCTCTCACCATGGAAGACGCTCCCCTGGAAGAGGAAGAGGATGAGGAGGAGGAGGAGGAGGAAGAGGCTGAAGATGAGGGTATTCGAAGCGACGTCTACGACAGCGAGGAAGACGAAGAGGAAGAGCAAGAAAAGGACGATCACGAGATCAACTCACAACTTGCTGTCGGCTACAAGCACGACCGCTCCTTTGTCGTCCGCGGCTCCAAGATTGGCGTATTCTCCCACACTTACGACAACCGCCTCAAGTTTGCCACCAACATCTCCAAGGTTACTACGCCCAAGGGCAAGCTCATGAATCCCAAAAAGGTCATGCTTCACGGCGAAGATCGCGATCTCATCATCCAGAACAATGTCGATCCCAACAAGTTGTATCGCATGGACATCGAATACGGCAAGGTTGTCGACGAGTGGAATGTCCACGACGATATTCCCGTTATCAACTTTGCTCCCGAGAATAAGTTTGCCCAGATGACTTCAGAGCAAACTTTTCTAGGTGTCTCCAATAATGCTCTGTTCCGTGTTGATCCCCGTCTCGCCGGCAACAAGCTTGTTGACTCGGACATGAAGCAATACGCCTCCAAGAATGATTTTTCCTCTCTCGCCACCACCGAAAAGGGTTATATTGCCGTCGCCAGCAACAAGGGTGACATCCGCCTCTTTGATCGCCTCGGCATCCGCGCGAAGACACAGCTGCCCGCCCTTGGCGACCCCATCACCGGTATGGATGTTTCGGCAGACGGTCGCTGGATTCTCGGTACAACCCAGAATTACATCCTGCTGGTCGACGCCATGCAGAAGGATGGCAAAAACGAAGGTAAGCTGGGTTTCGAAAAGGGCTTCTCGGCCGATACTAAGCCGCGGCCCCGCCGTCTGGCTCTCACGCCCGAGCATGTGGCGCAGTTCTACCACGAGACGGGTAAGCCCATCAGCTTCACCGCAGCCAAGTTCAACACGGGCGAAGGTGTCGAGGAGACGAGTATCATTACAGCCACCGGTCCCTACATTATCGAGTGGAACCTCAAGCGTGTCCTGCGCGGCACGAAGGCGCCATACAAGATTAAGCGCTACGAGGACGAGGTCAAGGCCGATGATTTCAAGTTTGGCTCCGACAAGAATGTCATTGTCGCCTTGCCCAACGAGGTCAACATGGTGGCCAAGCAGAGCTTCCGCAAGCCTACCCGCGAAAGCATCATCGGCAATGTCCGCATCTCCTCTGGCGGCCATAGGAGCTCTTTGGCGAATAAGATTGGCACGCCCCTGAGTGGCCGGTACAAGCTAGGCCGTGACGATATTGTGAATTCGCCATATTAGCTTTTTCCTTGTTCCATGTTGTTTCCGTTACTTTTCTTCTAATACTGTCGGCCTATCAGGTCTTGACTATTTATACAGCCTTTTTAACAAGCCCCTTTTCTTTCTTGGTTTTGAGAGGAGGATATATGTGGACATGAATCATACGAAGCAGAGAAGTATGAATGGATGGATGAGCAAAAATTGGGGAATTATCTTTGAAACCCAGATACCACGATTTACTGATTCAATTTACCGGTCATGAGTGTAATTTTGTTTGTGTGTTTTTTTACGCGTTGCTAATACAGAGGACGTGACGTAGCTTTAGATGGAAATATAGAAGACGACAAGAAAGTCTTCAACATGCATCATGGCCTCGTGCTGGCAGTCAATGTGAATGAGGGATGGGTATTTACAGGAACAGCAACCTCACTCAGACCAACACAAGTTCTCGGTCATTCACCCCCAAGGCCTCGCCATTCATGACACCATCGCAGTACGCCTCGCCCACCACCGTCCACTCTTGCTGCACTCCCTCGACAGGTCTCACGACTAGCGGCGTCGTCAGGCCGTACAGGACTACAATATCATCGCCCGGCTCCATCTCGCGTGGTCCCATGCCGACGTGTCCCTCGGCAGTCCTCAACACCCTTCTCCCGACATTCCGCTGCAAATTCGCCAAGAAGGCAGTCATGTCCTCGCCCTTGGCCACGTCCGGATCGAGTCCCACGCTCCGCATCTGCTCATTGGTGACCTTGAGCATGCGGCGGCCGAAGCGTTGCCGTAGGGCGATGCACAAGCTCGCATACTGCACGCGGGCGGACGCGACGCACAGCCCGATGACATCCTCCACCAGGTCGGCCAGCGCAAGGATAAATATGCCCGCGAGCGGGATGGGTCCGCGGGCGAGGCGGTGCAAGACGGTTGTGGCGCGGTAGTAGTCGAAGTACCACGGGGTGATGCCAATCGTGGCATAGATATTGAATATCGAATACGACCGCGCGGTCGTGGTAGCACGGAGCAGTCTCGCGCCGAGATCCGCTATCGACGATTGTAGTGCGAGGAGACGGGCTGCGCCAGCTTCTGGAGAGGCTAGTTTAGATTGGAAGTGGCGAAAGCTGAGGCCCGAGTCGTACACGCGTAGACATGTGTTGGTGAGAGTCTCCGAGGAGGGGGGCTCGGTGGCTCTGCTGGCCAGGGCTGCATGAACAAACTGGTCAACTTCGTCGAAAACGAGCTTGGCGTCGGTGTATTTGACTTGGCTCAGATCTGATATACTTTCGGTCGTGTACGTCATCTGGCCAACGGCAGTGACACGGCCGATGTGTCCGCCTTTGAGAAGAAGCCTGCCTGTTGACGCATCCGCATGGACCTCTGCTGCGTCTTGTAACCCTCCCGCGGTGAAGGCTGGTTCATGCAACGCCGCCCATGCCACGGGAAGTGCCAAATCCATGGCCCAGTCCGGTACCCATGAAGGTAGGCCCTCTGTTATTTTCGGCATCTGGTTAAAGAGCAGCATGTCCAGGTGGCCCTGCTCCAAGATCAAGCCCGCTGTTTCCGTGTATGCGCGTACCTGCGCCGCCAACTGATTCTCTATATTGTAGTAAATGCCCAGTTGCATCTTGACGGGATCATCAGGCGCCGTCAGGCCGAGGAGACCATACACTCGGTCCTGCGCGAGCGACACGGAGACTTTCCACCGCGACGAGTTACTTAAGCTGTAGTTGATGAGAATTTTGTGCAGCGGTGCGCGATTGCCACGCTCGTGAATAGCCTTCCGCTCGCTGTAGATCCGACGGAACGTCTCCGTGGCATCAAACACGGCATCGCGCATGTACAGCTCCTTGCGGGATACGGAACCTGTCAAATGGAATAGCCACCAGCTGTTTTGAACATTGTAAAAGAACATGCCCGCACGGAAGCAGTCAAAGCAGAGAAGCTCGTCACCGCAGACTACCACTATCTTTGGAGCGAGACAGGCCTCTTGGATCGTCCACAGGCGGCTAAAGTATGATCGCCGCAGCACGTCCAAATACGCCGCGATGGGATACTTGTCAGCAAAGTGTTTGGTCAGAGCAAGAAGGTCTTTGTGGTCTTGTATCTCCACGGGGTCGGTCAGGACGATGGTGGCATCGGTGAGAGCGTCAAAGATGCGCATGATGGTGGCGACGCGTGGGCCCATGAGCTCGGTGAGGACGCCTTCCGCGCAGATGGCTCGGACGTAGGTATACCAAGTGTCAGAGGCCGCGGTACCGGGGCCCAACCAGACAATAGCACGGCGAGAATGGCTGTAAATGACCTGCATGAGGCGCACCTGCTGCGCTTTCTCGTCGTTGTCGTCTTGGTTGATGCAAATCTGGTCGATGAAGATGGGGAGCTCATGCTTGGAGCCCTTGTCCCGGGCATTGGCGGCGGAAAACCGCAACAGCGCGAGCTCCAGCGGACGATAGATGAGCAGGGTGGACGCGTGCTCGCCGCCGCCGCCGCCGCTGTCCACAATGATGCGCCGGTTCGGGCCCTTGACGGACGGCGGCACATCCCAGGCGTACGAGAGCGCATCGTACTCGACGGATGCGGCGGCACCTTGGTCGCTGCCTGCTTCGCATGTCTGGATGGAAATTCGGATCGTGGGCTCGACGCCCGGGATCCAGGAGGGCTCGGGCGGCAGGAGCTTAGCGAGCCGAAAGGTACGCGCGCCGGCCGGTATCGGTGTGTACGTGTACTTGGGCAGCTTGTCGCCCAACAGCAACGGGAAAGGTGACATGGCCTACCAGATTTCTCCGAGGAGCAGGAAGGTGGAAGGAGAGGCATACGAACGACTTATCCCGACCAGTTATTTCTGCCCAAGGACAACGAGAAGAGGCCGTGGCAACTTGATAGCACGGCCAGACCACTTCAGCCGCAATCAATAGCACCGTGGTGGCGGCCCGGCCCTAGTTATCAAGCATAAATAAATAAATAAATTCATAGCTCTCATAGTACTTGTTTGAGTTAGCGTTGTGGATAAGTATGTATTGAAATGAGCCAGTTAAATCGCTAGAAATTCAACAACACCAAAAACTCCTGCTAGAATATGTAGTTGAGACTACATTGGTTCTTATTCCATTCTCCCATACGTTGTATTTGCTGTCATCTCTTGATATGTAGTCTCATCGTCGTGTCACAACTGTCGCTGCTCAGTCCGCTTGCGCCACTTCTGGTTCTTTGGTCTCGGACTCGTCCGTCAGCACCTTCTGGCCCACCACAGCACCCGAGACATTGCGAAGCGTCTTGGCCTGCGTCTCCTCGTTGCTGAGGCGCGTCATCTCGGCCACAAACGTAGCACCCCACCAGGCGCTAGTGTACTTGAAGACGTAGCGCTCGAGCTTGCTGTAGTTGGTGGCGCGCTGCTCGGGGCTCATGGTCACGGCGTCGTGGATGGCGTTGGCCAGCTCTTCCGTGTTCCAGGGGTTGACGATGAGGCTCCCGTTCAGCGACTGCGCGGCGCCGGTGAACTCACTGAGAATCATGACGCCGTGCTTCTCGCGCTGCGTCGCAATGTACTCGTACGAAACGAGGTTCATGCCGTCGCGCGTCGACGACACCAGACACACGTCCGACACGGCGTAGAGCGCCGTCAGTTCCTCGAACGAGACGGACTGGTGCAGGAAGTGGATGGGCATAAACTCAATGGTACCAAACTTGCCGTTGATGCGCCCGACAAGCTCGTTGACGACGGCGCGGAGGTTCTGGTACTCTTCGACATCCTGGCGCGAGGGCACGGCAACTTGCACGAGAACGATCTTTCCAATCCATTCGGGATGTTCTGTAAGGAAAACCTCGAGTGCGTGGAGTTTTTGCGGCACACCCTTGATGTAGTCGAGACGGTCGACGCCGACAATGAGCTTCACTCCTTCAAATTTGCGCTTCAAGGCTGCGATACGCTCCTGGACCTTGGGTTGCTGCAGCCCCTCGACAAACTTTTCGGGATCAATGCCGATGGGAAATGCCCCGACGGTGACGAAGCGCCCGTTCCAGTCGACACCGTTGGGTGTGGTGGGGGTGCCGAGAATGCGCGAGCAGCTGCTGAGGAAGTGGCGCGCGTAGTCATATGTGTGGAAACCAATTAAATCGCAGTCGAGAAGGCCCGTGAGAAGGGGCTCGCGGACGGGCAGGATGCGGTAGATTTCGCTGCTGGGGAAGGGTGTGTGGAGGAAGAACCCGATCTTGACGTTCTTCTTGGAGTTGCCAATTTCCTCGCGCAGCATCTGGGGGAGAAGCATCAGGTGGTAGTCGTGGACCCAAATAAGATCGCCGTCTTGAACGTCCTTGATGACAGTCTGGGCAAAGAGACGGTTGACTTCCTGGTAAGCGACCCATGCGGATTCGTCAAAGGTGATTTCGCCGGGGTGGTAGTGGAACAACGGCCAGAGGATGGAGTCTGCAGCTGTTAGCGCAAGGTAATGAATAAAAGGACCATAATGGAACAAACGTACTAGCAAATCCGTTGTAGTGGCGGTCAGCGAGCTCATCGTCAATAAAGACAGGATGCGCGCCGTATTCTGACTTGAGGCGCTTCTTCATGCCCTCGACCTCGTTGTCAGGGACCTCGAGGCCCGGCCATCCATACCACTGAAAGCTGGTGGTCTTTCCCAGGCCACTCAGTCCAGTGACGAGACCTCCAGAGGACATGGAGAATGAGTAGCTGCCATCTTCGGAGCGCTTAATGGTGATGGGCAGACGGTTTGAGAGCAACAAGAGACGGCCAGGCGCGGCGGGTTCCTGCTGTGTCTCTGCCGGAGTAGACATGGCGTCGACAGTGCGAAAGTTCAATTCGACGATAGGTCTGGTGAGAGAGGATGGTATCGAAGAGCCTGGGTTGCCAGACAACAACGTTGGGGTGGGAAGCTGGAGGAGTGACAGCGTTTGTGGTGGGCTGGGCTTATGTGGGGTGAGGGGGGAACGTTTGTTTGGTGGTGGCGGCGCGATTGGTGGTGATGTCAAGGTGGGCGGATGGATGTTGGACGCAGGGCTACCTGCAGGGAATGAGAAACTGGAGAATGCAAAGAGTGCATGTAAAAGCTCCGTCAGAGACGAGTCTGCGGCAATTTATCATGCGGCGGCGTCCAATGGCAATGATGTCGCGCAGCACGAGTGGTTTGAGGGCGGGCAGTGAGGGGCAGACTACCTGGTAAGGAAAGGTACTAGGTAGGTAGGTAGGTAGGTAGGTAGGACTCTGGTTACCTCAGGTTTGTTAATTGTTGCAGCAAAACAAGGCGCTGGTGGTGGGGGACTGGCAGCCTAACCTGGCTAACAACAAATTCGTGGGTACATGTTTCGTTCTTTGATACCTTAGTACCTAGCTGTGCGGATTGGCTTGTTCCATCTTTTGCTTTATTACATCACGGTGACGCCTCGTTGTGGCTTGCGCATGCCTACATACGTGCCATGGTTTCTCATACTACAGTGGCTGCAGCTGGCGCGAGCGTTATTTTCTTGAGACACAAAAGAGAAAAAAACATTACTCTCACAATATGTTTAACTGAGATGTCAAAGGAGCTATACTCTCTTGAACCTGACTTGACTCCGTATCAGAGGTCGTCTTCACCACCCAAACCACCATGACTAATCGAATATTGCTGTATGCCAATCAGAGAACTAGCCCAGCGAAGGGGAAGGCTGAATAATCGTAAACACCAGCTAGGTCAGTCAGGGTTCGCATACTTGCCGAAAAGTCGTTTAATGGCCGCGAAAACAATTAGAGGAGGTGGATTCAATGCTGGAATGATGACTTATGGCAGCTACATTACAACTAGTTGTTCAGTCTTTATTACATCCTTGCCAGGTTTGCTTAGCTTTTCGTTCAAGTCATCGATCGTCACCAAGTGCGTGTCAAGGTGACAGCGCGAACCTATGACGAATAAAACAAAGAGGCGATGAGGCAAAAGTGCAACCAAGAGGGCTATCAATTCCTTATTAATTCTTAAAAAAGCTCATATACCTGAGTCTTATATTTCATAAAACCAACCACTTACAGTGTCCCCCGGCTCCAGCGCTTGTTCTCGCGCCGCGCTTATCGATAACGTCTAGGAATTTTTGCCCTTCAAATTGCCTTACCAGGAACCCATCATCATCGCCATCAACATTACTCAATACCTCACCACTCTCACAATGGCGGCGCCTCAGGACTTCAAGTCGCTGCAGGACGGAGTCCAAAAGTCACTGGTCTCCACCGTTAAATACGCCAACCGCATCGCCGCTGAGGATCTCGGTTTCCAGCGCACCGTCAATCCCGACGCCGCCGAGCAGCTCGACGAAAAGTCGGCACGCCTACTCGACCTCACCGCGCGCTTGTTGCAGTCAGCCGCACGTGCCTGTGGCGTTACCACCCCGGCTCTCGACGATGCCGAGGACATCGATCTGAATTGGCAGGGTGTTGTCGACGTCGTCGATTCCGTTCTCGAGAAGGCCGACACAGCCTTGGATGAATACACCGGGCTCATCAAGCGCAAAGAACCGCCCTTGGACGCTGTACGTATTTTGCCTTTCGCTCGCAACTAGAAGCATAGCTGACACGCCACAGTCCTCCAAACCAAAGCGAACGAAACCCACCGGCAAAGTCATCCGAAATGCAAATGTTGGCAAGCCACAAATCCTCTTCGAGGTACAGCCCGACAATTTCCCCACTGGTCCTTGGAAACCCATCATCACAAAGAAGCCTCATGCCACCGTACCGTTAAAGGACAGTCTCGTCACGTTCATTGACGAAGACGGCTCGACACAGTGCGCTCATATTTCACCATGTAAACGTTCTCCTCCTAACTTCGTGTCTAGATACAAGCACCCGTACGAACCTGAAATTCTGCAAGGGACGTACCCCGATAGCGTTTTCAAAGTAGCTGATCCCATCCCGTGGCAGCCCACAGAGACAACTACGGCAAAATGGGTGGATACGTACGAAGACGTACTCGAAATGCTGAAAGACTTGAAAAGGGCAGATGAGATTGCCATCGATCTCGAGCATCATGATTTCCGAACATACACAGGTTTAGTTTCCCTTATGCAGATCAGCACCCGGCAGCAGGACTGGATTGTCGACACTCTTCAGCCCTGGCGCCATAAACTCGAGGTGCTCAATGAGGTCTTCGCAGACCCATCCATTGTCAAGGTCTTCCACGGCGCCTACATGGATATGATCTGGCTTCAGCGTGATTTGGGACTGTACGTTAATGGTCTATTCGACACTTACTTTGCTTGCCAGCAACTGGGCTACTCAGGCCGTAGCCTTGCCTTTCTGCTCTCCAAATTTGCCGACTTTGACGCTGATAAGCAGTATCAGCTGGCCGACTGGCGCATTCGACCAATCCCTGAAGAGATGCTCTACTACGCTCGATCCGACACCCATTACCTACTCCACATCTATGACCAGGTCCGCAATGATCTTGTGTCTTCGTCAAATCGAAGCGTGCCAGAGCAGGACCTCATAAGTCGTGCCCTGGAAAAATCGAGAGAACTATCTCTGTCTCGGCATGTGCATTCAGGCTATAACGAGGAAACTGGGGAGGGTTCCCGAGGATGGTACAACTACGTACTGAAGCACTCTCACTTGGCATACGATGCAGCACAGTTTACATTGTTCAAGACTATTTGGAAATGGCGGGACGATACGGCTAGGAAGGAAGATGAAAGTCCCAACTTTGTTCTGGGAACAAACCATCTGGCCGATGTCTGCCGTGCCAGTCCCCCAGACGCCAAGGCTCTTCACAGCCTGATGCCCCTCACGGCGCCTATGGCCAGGTCAAGAATTGACGAAATCTGGGTGCGAGTTTTGGAAGCCAGTCACAATCCAGGACTTAGTCTGCTGCAGTTCTTTGCAAGCATTGCCCCTGATGCGGCGACGAGAAATGCGCTGCCCAAGCCAAGCCGTGACTTCACCAAGTTGCCCGAGATTGGTGGTTCAATTACCTACAGAAGTTTGTCTCGCTCACGATTGTTTGGCGACATAGCCATCAGCTCCCGATGGGACGGCTCTCAAGACGTGGATGAAGGTCTGAAGATCGAAGTCCCGTTCCCTTGGCAGAGGTTTGTTGCCTCTGTTCAAGAGGGTGCAGAAGTAGATGATGAGACGTCGCCCGTTGAGCTAGAAGCTCCTCCACCTGCTCCACCTGCCCTTGTAGAGGAAGATGAAGAGTTTACGTTGAAACGCGGCACGAAACGCAAGTCGGACTCTACGCTTGATGAAGACTCGGAGACGAGCGAAGAGTCCGACTCCGGGGAGGATGAAGAAGGTGACAAGCAAATGGAGCTGGCGCCGATGCCGGCCGATGGCATCATTGATATCGACGAGCAGCCAAAGAAGCAGAGCAAGGCTGCCAAGAAGCAAGCTGCGCTGGAAATAAAGCAGAAGCGTGGAGCCAGGAGGGCATTGAAGGCACAGCGACAGGCGGAGAAGGAGCAGAAGAAGATGGCTGCAGAGAAGACGTACAACGCGGTGCCCTTTGATTACAGCAGCGCGGCATCCGTCATGCACGCCAAACGTGATGGTACTGCGGCGATGGCTAGTCGCCCAGCAAAGCCGCAGAAGGTATTTGATCCATACTCCAAGACGGGTGACGACCCATTGAAAGGTGCAAGAAAGGCGCCGCCAATTAGGGGGGAGAGGAGTGCTACGTTTAGAAACTGATTGTATATGGCATTATTTAGACGGCGTTTTTGGGTCGGGAGAAATCCGGATATATGAAACCGTTGATATGTGCACTTCACTTTGCCATCTCTAGGGCAGTACTTACAATGTAGCATGTAGCAACCTACAGTGCCTGTTGTCGTAGAGAGGCAGAGAGTGGATTTATGTATATATAAGAAAGTGACAGCAGCTACTCAAATCCTTTCTTTTGCATGCAACGGTTGATATTGCAGCTGTGCATAACGCAGGCTTGTTGCCCGCACCGGCCCGGTAAGCCGGAAAAACATGGCCCGGCGCGGTGCAGGCACCGTCGCGACGTGAGGGGAAGGTGCAGCACAGATTCGGTCTTGAGCGTCTAACCTCCAACCATGATCAAACTTCGCTCCAGGAACCATTTTTTACAAATTTACATCTCAATTGCAATGATACCATGATTGGTATTGAAATCGACAGAACGTTGCCGCAATTGCCAAGCCGCACGTACGCCATGGTGCCCCAGCACAGACACTCCGGTTTGGGGGCTCGGTCGAGGCTGCGATAATGCGGCCCGTAACTATCCCAGGAACAACGATACCATCAATGATAAAGAAGCAAAATCAGAGTCAATCTACAAGCTTCGTTTTCTCGATGAAGACCGACAGCGCGAGACCCTGTTTGAGCCGGCAGCGTTTATTTCTGGAGCCTCTCTCTTATCGCTCATGGAAACGTGACGCTACTCGCCTCGAAATCAAGACGCAGAAGCTCACAAGTTGAGAGATCGGCAATCGACGTAGCAATTGTTGGCAATTATCCTCAGATGAACTACAGGGCTCACCGTCGGAGCATCGCTATTGTACGGTCCGCGACGATCGCCGCATTCGAGGTGGCAGTCCCAGGGAAGCTTCATGAGCTAACCGCGATGCATCTCAAGCACCAGCTACTGGACTTGCGTCTTTACACATTTGTAGACAGTGACTAATCAACGGGACTTTCTACTGTCGATGTAGGGCGAGCTGAGCGGGAGCTTCTGCTATGAAACTTTACGCGCTCGCGTGAAACTCCTCGCCGATATGCCGAGATGATGCAGTTCCCGAGGCCAAAATGCCATGATTTCCCATGACTGCAAAGGTCTTCCAGCATTTCCGATAGTCACAGTTGCCAATAGTCCCAGTGGAGAAAAGGTTGTTTTGAACAAGTATCGATTGTTGTCGACGAAGAAAAATTTAATGATCGAGATGATTGACCTTTTTATTTTACAGGGTAGTTCCGAATAGGAACTTGTGTGTGGGCTTCCCAAATCTATCACGACCATGTGCTCTTGACATGTCCGCCTCTCGAGTCTCAACCCGTCTATAATGCAATTCCGATTTTTAAACATAGGTAAGTGCCGGTAAAAGAGCTCCTTCTTGAGACCTTCATACCGCGCACCGACGTCGCTGATCGTCCCCGGATATTAGAGACCCCATCAATCAAGAGGGGCCGACTTAATTGAATGAGAGATTGTTTACGTCTGAAAGCCAGTTAGCCGACTGCTATGAGGGAATATTGAATTTTTTGGGGAATACGTACGAACTTGGCCATGAGGGCAACCATGAGATCGAAAAGACCGATGGCCTCGACGAAGGCGAAACCCAGAATGGCGTAGGAGAAAAGCTGGCCACGGAGAGCAGGGTTGCGGGCAACACCGTTGATGAGGGCAGCGAAGACGAGACCAATACCAATACCGGCACCAGTCAGACCAATGGCGGCAGAGCCCATACCAATGTTCTTGGACACCTCAACCAGAGCGTTGGCCATCTCGGAAGAGTAGGCACGGCGCTGGACCTGGAAAGCGTTGCGGGTGACGACCTGAGTGCGCTTAGCGGCACCTGGGGAGATACGTTAGCCAGTTGGCTCGGTGGACTACTTGTCGATGCGATCGAGGTCGAATTGATGCCATTGGCAACCAGCATGGTCGATTGGAGGTGGTTTCAATGGTTCAATCGCCATCCGATGCACGCGAAAAGCTTTCATCCCAGAGCTACATACCAGACATGGAGCGCTTGGAAGCGGCAGCAACATTGATGCGGGTGGCAGAGGCCAGGCGGGAGGCGACGAAGCGGGAGGCCATTGTGAAGGTTGGCGAGGGGAGATTGAGATTTGGCTGAAGGCGAGGTACTGAAAATGTGCTGAAGACTGGGAGGGAGCAAAAGGGTGGGAAAGAAGGAGTAAAAAGTTTGTGGAGGAAAAGGGAGGAAGAGAGAGGACGGGAGTCAGGTGAGAGATCCACTGGGGTTGGGTCTACAAGTATGTATGCTACGGGACTTTGAGGATTGTGTGTGTACAAATTACGGATTAACTAGTTATGGCCAGAGAGCGAAGGGGGCCGACGCGGCCGGGCAGAGAGGGATATTCTGACAAGAGGCAGGTACAACGGGGGGCAGCAGGGTGTACGGTGATGGCCTCACGAACCAGGCGCTCAGGTGGATCGGGCAAAGTCGGGTGGATGTGGGAGGGTGTGAGAGTGAAAGGAGACCAGAGTGTGAGACGTTTGCGTGCTTGGCGGGTGGGCCATGAATTATGAGCACAAAGAACAAGAACGGCAAAGGATGATGGGGGGTGTGCAGATAAGATGGACGACCAAAGACCAAAGCTTCAACCTTGCTGGTGGCCAATACGGAGGCTGATCGCACATCAGCCATATCTCCAATCATGCAAGGCACTACTCCGTACACGATACCACACTGCGGCTTTACGATGCCCTCTGCCGAGCTCATTGCGGTTTACGCTCGACACCAGGAACGGAGGAGAAGGAAACTGCTGAGACGGTTTTTTATTCTAAGAGCAGACAAATGAGCAGCGCCACAGATTTGTGAACTGCGCTCCTGGTCTTATTAGCTAGTGGGGAGAAAACTTTTCTCAGCTCTGTTGATGCCGTTCAAGTAAGGAAACGACTTTTTTTTACACGAAAAGTCTATCCGATATGCCGCATTGGGACTTATCGGCGGAAGCGCGGCGCAGATGGGCCGCAGAAAGGGTCGCCGTATCGGGTTAAGCGCGCCAATGATACGGCTACTAGGCCAACAGGTTTGGCCTGAGGAAGCGTTTGCCAGTTTTTTTCGGGAATTACCGATGCGCTGGCGGCTTACGACCCCTGAACGCTAGGCTGAGAAATGATTACGGCGCGCTGGGGCAGAATGAGCCTAGGTATACGGAGTAGTTACTCAGTGTCAGCGACAAGGGGTTGCTGCTGGAAAAAAATAAAGAAAGAAAAGACATGGGGGTGTTCTTGGAAGCCAGTTTTACACGTGGACACCAACAGCAAATAGAAATTCGTGCTGGTCGCAAAGGGGGTGCCAATAGCACAGAAAGTTGGGCCTCATATCCAGGCCACTGTAGCGGGCCTCTGGGGCCTCAGCGCAAGAAAAGCTCAATGCAGGGGGTGTGCGGCTCTTTATTGCTCCTGTTGAGCCTGTTTCGAAGCTCCAGCTTCTGACAATGTGTGTCGACGTGAGCAAAGAGCGAAAGACTGGATACGACGTGATTTGGCAGTGGGACAATCCAGGAACGGACAGCAGAGACTGAAGGTATAAAGGTGGTGGTTTGCCCGTTTACTTTGACGCTCCCTGATGGTAAACTTTGATCGATCGTTCTGCCGCAAGTCTCTCTCTGCCCAACAAGGGAACCGAATCCATGCACAACTAGCATATATTAGCATGCACGCCTACACCCGAGGTCGCCGGCTACCGACCGGAACACTGCCATGTTCCGAAGCCCTAAGTTACAGGGAAACGACGCTACAGTACGAATTATAAAAAGAAGGACTGTTTTGTCCGGTTTCTTGGATATGGCAAGACAACCAATACTTTATTATCATTCCCGACGTCTCTCGACTCGCCCCTATCATTGAACCGGCGTTGTGCAACTCAGATCTCGAGTCGGCTGCACGCCACACACAGGACGCCCAGCCGAAGACGCCATTTGGCAATCTCGCAGTGGATCTAGCACAAGCATAATAAGGAAGGCCTGAGGCTCTGCTCGCCTAGCTCAGCCTCGGAAACTTGGCTACAGCCCTTGACCACGCTAGCTAGTAAGGTAGGTTAGTACGCAGTGTGGTTGCATGCCGCGGCTGGCAGAAAAATTTTCTACCTGTCATTCTAGCGCGTGGTCCCATTCGTTCATCGATGCCCTTTTGGGCTCCTTCTGTTCAAAAATTCCGAGGCACTGATGACTCTACGCGTGCATGTGGCGCAACAACGGACCAGGAAAGCGGCAGCTTACGAGTGAGCTTATTTGTTGGTTCATGCCTGTCATGCCTGGGAAAACCACTTTGCTCGATTTTCTGAGGGTTTTTCATAGTTAATATGGGAGAATTGGAAACAGGTTCTCCCAATCCCAAGCCATGGCAGTGGAGATCGTGGGCCTGTGTACGTCCAAGCACGAAACAAAAATGCTCGCGGCCAACGGGAAGATGATAAAAATGGTGGTGCTTGAATACGCAAGCTCCAGCGTCTTTGCATAATGATTTAACTACTTTGTACAGACTTGTGCCATGTCCAAAAGGACACGGTTTGTCTCCTTTTTTCCTTTTTTTTTTTGGCACTGAGACAACGGTAATAATTAGCCAGGGGCAATATCGGCCGGCACACCTCACACCGGCCTCGTGTATTTTGTATTTTGACTACGAGACGTGGATACGGCACCCTTCTTCACACGCCCCCCCCTTGATAAAGTTCCATCTCGGCCCGGAGCTCGAAAGCTCGGCTTTTTGCTTGGTCGATGCGCTTTCCGACCGGGGAGCTTCAGAGCTTGCAAGCTTACAAAAGCTTTTTGTAAGCTACCCTACATTATATACATGGGTGTTGAGAGCTGCTTTATCTCGGCCACGGTTAGCTCTGAGTGTGTGGCAGACACATGTTTTGCATGACAAGACGCTTTGTACCCGCAATGTTGGCTAATGGCCGCAATATTGGCTAATGGCCGCAATGTTGGCTAATGGCTGGCGGCGCGGCGTGTCGTCACAGAACACACACATGGTTATACAGGCATATCCCACGACACTAAACCGTACTATCCGAACAAGAGCTTCGACACGCCACGGATATGGGGAACAAGACAAGCGTAATATACAGGCCATACTGCCACCCTAACATGTATGCGACTATATACAAGACGCAACCACTAGAAGACACAAATTACGACGGCGGTGCTCTTACACCACGCAGCCGCTGCGTGTCCGGTGCCGCTTCCGCCCCCTCCGGCTCGTCCGGCGCGTCATACCGGCGCGGGCGGTAACGATACGTCACGTTCTCTCTGTCCCGGACAAACGAGTCGATTCGCTCCTCGCGGGAGCGCCCGGCGGCGGCGCCCGTGGTGCGCTGCATGGCACGTGCGATATCCGCGTTGCGGTCCTCGACAAACTCGACGTACTGCTCGCCGACGGCCATGGCGCGATTCTTTTGCGCCAGGGCGCCGACCATGCACATGGCGACGACGAGGGCCGCAAACAAGCCGTTGCTCGTGTACACGGGCTTTGGCGGGGCGCCGCCGCCGCCGTACTGCTGCCGGCGCTGCTCCTGGTGCCACGCCTCCCAATCCTCCCAGGTGGCGTTGTGCGCGGGGCTGCCAGGCTGGTACCGCCAGTCGCGGTCGCGTCGGCGCAGCTGCTCGGTGTCGTACTCGGTGTCGGACCAGCCGGCGCCGTGGAGGTCGTAGAGTTGCCGCCGGGACGGGTCGCTGAGGAGGTCATTGGCGGCGACGACGAGCCGGTAGCGCTCGGTGCGGGCGGCGGGCGTGAGAGGTGGTGGTGGTGGCGGCGGCGAGGACAAGGAGGGCGGCGGGGGTGGTGTCATGTCGGGATGGTAGAGCTTGACGAGCTGGTGGAAGCGCCGCTTCGTGTATGGGTCGCGACGGGCCATGCCGAAGATCTCGTAGGGTGACGGATGTGCCGAGTCGGGCCATGCCGGCGGCGGCGGCAGCGGCGTGGTGGTGTCGCTAGAGGACGAGGCCGTGGTTGCGTAGGTTCGATGGCGGCTGGTGGTTACTGGACGTAGAGAGGGGAGACGGCGACGGCTCGTTTGGTGCACGTACCGTGCCGACCTATGTAGTGAAGACGACAGCGGGAAGCAGGCCGAGCACACGGCCGTGGCGGACGTCTTGCTCGCCATTGTCGAGTTCGGCTGCGCGCGTGCCCAGCCCGCCGGAAGTGGTCGGTGTTGGGTCTTGGTCGATTGCGGACAAGCTGTGCTTCACCGGCGGCCGTGAATTCTGGCTGTGTTATGGGGGTTCGGTATCAAAGGATCGGCGCGCAGATGAAGGGTATGTAGACAGGCAGCCAGTAGGGGCGGGGTGTGTGGCAGCGAGCAATGGGATGATGGCACACGAGCGAGGCTATTCTCGCTTTCTCCACTCGGCCGTCGGGAACTGGTGGAGCCGGCCGAGCCATGTCATGGACCCGATCGCCGCGGCTTAAGATGGCTGGCGAAGATTGTCTATTTTCTGGTTGTCTGGGAATGAATTTGTGCAGTAATGTCTCGAGCCTGGAGTTTCTCATAGGATTTCTTCTCCGTCTTCACTAGATGGAACTTGAGCTTCTGAGGTGACTGCACATGCTACACGTACATATCCAAGTTCAAACCGTAACTCGGGCGCAGTGGTTCTTTAGCCAGGCGTACCGAGCAGAGTAAGCTCAAAAGGGTTGACAACACAAAGGAACATGTATTATGAAATAGCGATGGAAAGAAAATATATCGGTCAACGGGTCGATACACTGCAACATGGCAATAATTTGGCATCGTACGCCGCTTCTCGTAGCTGTGGCGAATCGCCGACTTTGCCGAAGCCCGTCAGATGCGCCTCCCTCTTTGGACAAACGAACAATCTCACTGAGAAACCTGACAAAAAGTCTGATTCATGCGATACATACTGCACCCTTACAGATAAACCCATCTACCCCGCATGGGGCAAGACCACTAATGCCCGACGTGGCTGTGATTATGACGCGGACGACCGGTCGGCCAATGCAAATCCTCCTGGACAAAGCATATGAGACAAAAAAAAGGAAGGTCAGCTGCTAAGCGGGGGATTTTGTTTCTGTCTGTTCTTCTTCTCCAATATTCCGGTTTCTCCTTGTTCTCAATTCTGTTTTATCGAGAGCTCGTCATCATTCATTCATACCTGAGTCTTTGCCTGGAGCAAAAACCCCCATGATGATTCCCATCACTCGCCGCATCAGCGCCCCCGCCTTTCATATGTATACCAGGTTCCTTTTGTAAGAGTAATCTCGCATCACGAGCTTGCAACGAGTGAGACAGACAGTGGCCGCCCCTTTTGGGTGCATACAAGCTCTTGAGCTGAACTCTTTCCAAAAAGAGTACAAAGCAGACGGGGGGGGGGGCAATGTAGAAGCGATGGAGAAGGACTCTGAATTTTCCGACTATATATTCATGTTTGTTGGGGACGGCGCAAACACGATTTATACGCCTTGTGCTGTGTGCGCATCGGTTCTCTTGCGGATATATATAACCATGAGTGCCGAGGCGACGCGGCTTCTCACGCACCGAAGGACCCGGTTCCGCAGCAACACCAGCAGCGAGCGCGGCGACGTCGCCGACGTGCTCGATCTGGCCCAGCACGTGTATCCGACGGCGGCCACACGACCGGCGGCGGCGATGCCGTGCACTGCCGACAAGACCGAGGAGAGGGAGCTGCACCCCGCCGGGCTCGTTGCGCTCGGGTTCGCTTTGCTGTTTTTGGGCTTACACCATTGGCTTTGCACGTACGTCTTATACTCTCCCGGAGGCCGGAGAGGGGGGGGGCGGGGGTGTTCTTCCTACACTTTTGCACGCAATCACATGTTCTGACCCTCTCTTGCTCGCCCCAGGCCACACAACACATTATCGTCGTGCACTAGCAGCGCGAGCGGGATCCTCTTGTCCTCGACGGTCTGCGGTGTAGCGGCGGCGCAACTCATCGCCAGTGCGCGCGGCAGCGCGTTTGCGCGCGCCTTTCACGGCGCGCACAGTCTCGTCTGGACAGCCACGGTGCTGCTGCAGCTTGCGCAGCGCGGCAGCGGCAGCGGCAGCGACAGGGGCAGGAACCTGTCCGTGGTGGCGAGCATGCTCCTCATGGCCGCCGCCCTGGCCTGTGGAGCTGCCGCCGTCGCCATTCTCGTCGTCCGACCGCTGCTGGCCGCCGTCAGCCTCGGTCTGCTGTGTCTGAGCCGCGCCGCATTTCAGCGGCCGCACGAGGCGGCGGCGGCGGCCACCATGGAGGGCTATGGCGGCGTGCTACTCGTGCTCGCGAGCGGGCTGGCGTTTCGCGCCGCATGGTGGGCGCGGAGGCGGCCTTCACGAGTTGCTTGTGTCAGGCAGCCGTTGTGATGTCTCTGTGATGATATTGTGGCAAATATTATGTACTAGTATAGTCGTTTAATAAAAGTCCCCCACATGTGGGTGCCTTTTGTCAACAGGCCATGTTCGTTTACAAGCTCTTCTTGATGTCCTTGGCAGCAGCCTTGGCCTTGCCCTTGGCCTCTTCGGCAGCACCCTTGGCTTTGCCCTTGAGCTCCTCCGTCTTGGCAGCCGCCGACTTGTTGCCCATAGCATTCTCAGACGCCTGCTTGACTTTTTCGCCGGCCGACTCTGTTTCCGTGCCCATTAACAGCAGTCTTCATCAGTGGGAGGGGGGGTCCTTACCAGCAGCGTCGATGCCGTCGACTATCTTGCCGCTCACGGCCTGGTCCACCGTCTTGATGCCATCCTTGAGCGTCTCGGTGGCCGTCTTTTGGTAGACGACGGTGGAGGAGAATGCGCGGCTGGCGCGGGGGACGGCGCGAGTCGCAGATCGGAGTGCGAACGACATAAGGGCTGTTTGTGTGTTGTGGCTTGACGGGATTTGTTCAATGGGTGTTTGAATGGGCGGGTCAATTCATGAACAGGATGATGAAGGGAGTAAACCAAATTGTTTGGGTGGTAGCGACAGATATAGGACCGTTGGACCCTGCTTGCCTGTTCGCACACTGCTATCCCATCGTTGACGTCACGCAGGCATCACCACGCTCAATGTCCCACCACTCTGGTAGGGCCAAGCGGTTATGCCCGTTTAATAAGTTAGGCGCAGTTGCTTTCATTATCGCCCAATCAGAATCATCTCACTAGTTGGATTGATTTTTCCACTAGTTTTCCAGTACGGACTTGCATGTTTTGGCTGTTCCACAGACAGTAATCTACTCGGCGCGATCCCGCGCTATCTGGGCCTATTTTTTACAAAATGGCGACTACATATACAGCAGATCAATAACATTACACGCCTACTTGGCATAGAGGCCATCAACCTTGGCGCGCATGACGCTCTCCGCCGTTGACGGGTCTATCCTCTCCGTCGGACCCAGGCGCATCATTTTGCCCACCAGGAACATGAGCTTGCCCTGCGGAAACTTGTCATAGCGGATAAACTCCTGCAGGACCTTGTCCTCACCCTGCATCGCCTCCTCGGCCATTGCGACGTACTCGTCCTTTGACAACTCGCGGAACCACAAATTGTTGATATCAATGGCCGACGTCACGTCACCGTCGCCCATCTCTCCGAGATGGATGGCGACGAGGAGCTCTTTGGCCACCTTGCCGGTGATTTGCTTCTGGTAGAGGTGGTACAGGAGCTGCGCGAGATGGCTCGCGGGCACTTGCGCGCACTCGCCCTCCTGTGAAAAGGTGAGCTCGGCCGACGCAAGCGGCCCGGCCTTGTACGTCGTGAGGCGGCCGAGCTCGTGAATGACCCAATTGCCGACAAGGGTCGCGTAGTTCTTGAACTCTGCACCCGAGTTTTGGAAACTTTCGCCGATAATATCGAGAACACGATAGAAATATTGAACTCGAGCACCGTTGTCAAGTGTAATGAGAGAGAGCGCGTCTTTGGCCGTGAGACCGTAGTCGGCCACCATACTGTCGAGCTCCTTATCAGGAAGTACTGCAAGCGACTCTTGCAAATGCTGGACTAGGTCGTTGCCAATGATGAGCGGCTCGATATCGGGATCCGGCATGTAGCGGTAGTCGACCTCACCCTCCTTGCCACGTAGTCTACGGGTCTCTGTCGAGCCAACAGCCCAACCGCGCGTTTCACTAGCAATGACGCCGCCCGCTTCGAGCTCGCGGATTTGTCGGTCTCTCTCGGCGATGATGGAATCTTCGACGGACTTGACGGTACTTAGGTTCTTGATCTCCGTTCGGGTGCCAAGCGGGGTATTGGGGTCACCCGTTCTGCGCACCGAGACGTTGACATCGGCACGCAAGCCACCAGCTTCCATGCCTGATACGCAAGCATCCACCGTATTCAAGAGAAGCTGGATTTTTCGAACAAACACAGCAGCTGTTCTGGGATAGTGCATCTCGGGTTCCGTAATGATTTCGACCAGGGGCACACCAACACGGTTGAAATCCAGCCACTGTGTGTTGCCCACTTGAGCTAGTGTTTTGGCCGTATCTTGCTCGAGCTGCACTTGCTTGATGCGGACAGTGACGCTCTCGCCGTCCTCGGCCGCAATACCGTCCCTAGCCAGCAGGGTGATGTGGCCATTTTTGGCGAATGGCTGATAGTACTGCGTAATCTGGTAGCCGGCGGGTTGGTCCCACCAAAAGTAGTGTTTTCGATCGAAGCGGCTGCGGTTCTGGATCGCGCAGTGGAGGGCGAGGGCGGCGCGGAGGGCGGGAATCAGCGTCTCTTTTTGGAAACTTGGCTGACTTCCGGGCATGGCGACGTCGAAGAGCGTGACATGGCTATTGGGGTTGTCGTTGAACGAGGTGGCGGCGGACGAGAAGAGCTTGCGCGCAGTGTTGAGCTGTGCATGAATCTCGATGCCGACGGTGAGCTCCCAGCCGTCGACGGTCTGATTGTCCGACTTGAGCTTCTTCTTGCCCCCCCATTGCTTCTTCTTGGCGAGCCTGGCCTCGTCCTTGAGCTTTTTGCGAAAGTTGGGGGGTTGCGGCGCGAGAGGGGGTGTAGGTGTCGCGGCAGCCTGCGGTGCGTCATGGAGGTGTCTGACTCGATGCGCTGTTGTGGCGGTGGAGGTGGCGATGATGGTACAGGATCGGGCGAGAATCCGCCGTGCTACTGGACGGCGCGCAATCAAGCAACCGTGTGGCGAGAGGCGGCCGGCGAGCAAATACCTGCTGAGGTCTGTGACTGTCTGGCCCGGCATCGTGACCAGAGGCAGCGGACTGCGGCCGAGGGTGACGTGTTTTTGTCGAGTCCGACGTCGGCAGCGGGGCGTGGTAGGGGACAAGTATGATTCACAGCGACCGGCCGACGGGGATTGGACGGGACGGGACGGGCTGAGGACCCAAGGCCTTGGGTTGGGTTGCCGTTTCTGGCCCCTCAAAGAGGTGGGCGGCGTGCTGACTTGCAGACGCTGGGCGGCTGCCTTGAAGTTCCGAAACACGAGGGGTAGCTGAGGCTTGCAGAAAGGAGTGCCGAGCACCAATGGAAGCGGTGGCGAGGAGGGAATGAAGAGTGAATGTGTGTTAAAGAAATTGGCGGTGGTGGTGGTGTTGCAGGAGAAGCGGTTGTGGGTGGGCCTGGGTCGCGATGCAAATCCGACTGGTAACGTTAGTCATAGTGTTACTTAGGGTGTCGCGCGCTGTCAAACGGTCTTGATCAACTGCATCATCGCAAACATTAATACAGGCGCCCTGCAAATTCCCCGAAACACAAATCTGCAAAATCTTTCGTCACTCTTTTACCCCTGACGTGATACGGTATTTCTTTTTATAGTTGGGCACCAACAAGGCACACGGCGTCTGCCCTGGCCAAGACCATGACGACTCTCCCAGCGATAGCGATTCCACGTGAGCCTCGCAGCCTGACCCAACCAGCCATGACTCCGGCTGAAGAGGCACACACAACACAAGAGTGCAACCTGCATATATATAGTAACACACTATATCGTCGCTTTATTTCGCTCGACACAACAGAGAAAAAAAAAACACCTTGTTGCCGCTGCCGTTGCCGCTTACCCCTCCATTTCCAATAAAAACCACGGCCAATCTCTCCCCGTCTCGCATCTCGCACCAACCCGCAAAGCAATGCAATACCAGACATCATTCCTGCTCATGCCGAAACAGACTGCACGACTCCCCACAACAGCTCTTTCTCAGACACATAGTCACATTCACTGCCCTGCGCCATATGCGCCCCCCGTGAAGCTGCACCCCACGTGAGCCGCCATTAGTAGGCATAGTGGTTGCAGAAGCTCGTGCTACGGCCAACTGACAAACTTGTTCCTTGTTGCGCTGCCAGTTTCCAGGTCAAAAGGAGCCTTTATCCTTCCTTTTCTTCTTCTTTCTTCATTCACCGGTATTGGCCCCAGGCTTGGAAGACCTTTTCTTTCATCTCTCGTGGAATTCCCCTGCCCTCCAGATCCTTGCCCGTGATCCCGCGGAAAGCCCGGTTATAGGACCCTTTTTGGCCTCACAAGGCTGTCAGAGCGGTTTGGATCCATTTGCCACCGATGAAATTTGACCAGGTGCCGGAATCTATGGCACCCAAGGGCGGACCATCCAGCGGGAAAAGAAGTGCGCTCAGCCGAGTATCCTCGTCACGCCGAAGGCACGGCCGCGCCGTCACCATCGAGGACGTAATGGACGCCGAGGACCACCTCCACCGGATCTCGCAGGCCTCCACCCCTGGCATGGGCTCGGCGGCCGGAGAAGTCTCTCCGGAATGGTACATCAACCTGGCAGCTGAGCCCCGTGCTTTGATCGAAGCCGACGGCACTGAGGCGGCAACGGCGCCAGCCCAGGTGACGGGCGAGGAACGAGACGCCCCAAAGAAATTGGCTCCCGGACGTCCAGCCACGGACGAGACACCAAAAGCTGCACCTAATAACGCCCCAGGGGAAGGTCAGCAAGGTCGAAAGACTGACGGGGCCGCGACTCCCGCCGCCCCGACCAGGAATCCATCGCCCATGCCCCGCGCGGCGGAGCAAAAGGTCGATGAGGATACCCACACCTCCGAGGCAGGCAGACCGCCGGTGATGCGCTTCGCGGAGAATTCCCAACCCCCTCCCCATCCGTTTCAGAGTCCGATGGGCTCGTGGGCGCATCCCTACCCCCACGGCCAAGCACCCGGCCCGCCGCACTACCGGCCGGTCTATCCGCCGTTTCTCCTGCAGCCACCGCCGCCGCTGCCCCCCATGTCCCCCCCGCTCTTCGGGATGCCTCACCCACCAATGATCGTCCCCGAGGGTCAAGTCGCCCGCCTCGAGCCGCGCCTCACGAGCGGCTACGAGCTTTTGGCGTCGCGCCTGGCTGGTGGCTCCGAGTCAGAGCTACCCGTGCCGCCCATCTACAGGCGTTTCAAGGACCTCCACCACCGCATCCTGCTCGACCTGCACGACGAGCTCTGCGTGCTGGAGGAGCGGCTGCAGCACCTCGACGACATGGAGGCCGGCAACCGTAGGTACAGGGACCGTTTCCTCCCAGCCTCGCGCCGGCTCGACGAGTCGGACCCCAGCGACCTAACCGCTGCCCGGAAGCAGCTCAAGGACCATATTTCCTACAAGATGTTTCAGTACTGTAAGCCGAATGAAAAGACTAACTGTTTGTTGACACAGGTTTCTCTCTCTCTCTTCCCACACATCCACTAACACTTTCCCCCTCTCTCTTGCAGTTACCCAGTTTGACATGTTGAAGAAAGTATGCAAGATTCGCGACGCGCTGCCCGAAGAGATCCACGACTACCGGTCCTTTTTGGCGGCCCACGCGCCCGTTGTCCCCCAGGAAATGCGCTTCCTAGATAGAACGGGCGACCTGATGTGCCTCGCCGACCCGCCCTACTACCTCGACGAGGAGAGCGTCAGCGACCACCACCAACCCCATCACCCGACGACGCCCGCGGCCCCGCACACGCCGCGCCTGCTCGAGGCCCCGACGGCACCCAACCCTATGAGCGTGGGGGAACCAATGGACCACGCGCGCGAGTTCACGGCGGGGGCGCGGAGCGGCAGCAGCAGCGGTGGTAGCAACGGCCGAGGTAGGCGTCCACGGCCAGCAGCGGCGGCGGCGGCGGCTCCAAGCCAGGTCGCGCTGCGCCACATGATGGTAGGCATCTGCATGGCTGTCATCCTCCCGATCCTGAGCTTCCCCGTCATTCCCGGTTTCGTGAGCCGCATGACGGTGGTGGCGCTCGTCGGGCTGGGCTTGGCCGTGGTTGGCGCGCAGGCAGGCGCGTACGACATGCTCGCGGGGCGGGCGAGTCCTGTCGACGGCGCCATGGCGTTGGGGATTTACGTGGCATTCATGACGGTGGTGGCCGTCACATTTGGGTGACGTGAGGAGACCTGGTAAATTTGATTCTGTCATGAAAAGTTCATATTTGCGTTTTTTTGGCTTCGATACATTACTTGCTTCTCAATATACCCCGACGTTTGATTTTGCACGGGGCCGTTGTCCCATATTTTCTACAATCATATCATCCATCGCCGTACTCATAATCCTCTGACGACAAACGAATAGATTATAATCTCTTTTTGTCATGCAAGGCTCCCTCGATTCTATTAACACCGGGCGAAGTAAGACGCCGCCCACCGAACAACAATCCGTTTCCCCACCAAACCGAACCCTAGCCCTGCACCACCCGTAAATGAACTAATAACGAGGCCGGCTCCCACAACCAATGGGCGAATGGTTTAGTGGTATAATACTCCCTTAGCATTCGATCCCCTTGTCTCCTTCGAGATTTGGGCGATTTATTCACTGGGAGTGGTCCGGGGTTCGATTCCCCGTTTGTCCAGCCGAAACTTGTCTGTCGTAATTCGAGGGCGAATGGTTTAGTGGTATAATACTCCCTTAGCATCTTGAGAGATTGGGAGTGGTCCGGGGTTCGATTCCCCGTTTGTCCAAAAATCAGGAGCAAGTTTCTTTTTTTTACTTTTCTAGTAACTCTTTACTGTACTTGTACTACCCGTCTCTTACAAACTTGCGCGTTTCAGTTTCATGGCGCGACAGCTATGTGTGACCAAGGTATGACTGCCTCGATCCTAACATGATTGATAATTATTACAAGTTCCTTTATCGTGGCAGCATTTGCCTAAAATGAAAGTAATAGAAGACCTATTAGTTACTGAAGCGGCTGAAACATTTGAACTCCGTTGTGGCCAGTTCTGCTATGTGATGCGCCGCCTCTTTTACGTCACCCACTTACACACGAAAGCAAACTCACCTCCATCCTCTCTCCCTTGGGGTCGCACCTCGCATCTACGCTCCATCACCTTATCCGAGACCAAGCAATGCCGACAACTACCCCCCCTTTGCAGCTGGCAACAAGCCACAACTTGGCAGCAAACGGACGCGCGACGCGAGCGAGCTGAAGGCGAATGCGGCAAACAGTCTTGTTTATTATTGATCTGACGAAGCGAGGCTAAATGGCTTGTGCGCCAGGACCGTAGTGACTGATTGTTGCCCCTGCTGCATGCTGTGAAAAAAGAAAAAAGCTGAAAGTGAACGGCTGGTGAATGTGAACACGGCACACCTCCCAACCTCCTCTCCCTCCCTCACCACTCTTGCCAACGTTTTGTCTTGCACACCGTGTTCCTCCATCATCAAGAAGAACTTGCCTTCAATACAAGGTCAATAGAATTTCACAAGACCTCTTTGGTGAGTCGGTGCCTCTTGTCCTGTGTAGCTTCGCCTCACTAACCACACAAAAGCAAGATCATCAACAGTTCATCATGATGCCTCGTCTTGCCAAGATCGCTGCTCTGTTCGCGGCTCTTGCGCCTGCTATTGCTTCCCTGAGTAAGGCAAAGAAAACCACACACCAGGATTCAATCACTGCTCGTCCTCTACTAACAACATTCACAGCCGATGGCCAGTATACCGAGACCATTGGTGCCCAGGAAGTCGGCAGCACCACCATTGACGGTACGATAGGGCCCTCCATCTCTTACTGCATTATCTTCTCCCCTTACTAACACAGACCCTGCCTAGGCACCATGGTTTACTCCATGAACCACTGCTCCATCGTCCACAGCACCCAGTGCTACACCTCGCTCTCCACCGGCGGCCCTGCTGCTCCCAGCTACTCCTCCTCCTCGGCCTCGCCTCCTACTCCTCCCGCCCCGACCTACGGCAGCAGCAGTAGCAGCGGCGGCGGTTCGGTCCCCGTCCCGACTGCCAGCAGCACCGTCGAGCACCCGCTACCGTCGACCACCACCGTCGTCGGCAGCACGAGCGTCCCCAGCAGCGAGGCTACCACCAGCATCGGCCACAGCAGCTCAACCACGCAGACGCCCGATGTGCCCACCGGTGCCGCCGCCATGGGTGCCTCCGCCGTCATTGGCAACGTCTTTGCGGCTGCTCTTGCGGCTCTGGTCGTCTAAGAAACAGAGTTACTTCGATGTTTGACTCTTTTTTGGTTTGCAAGACGAGAACTGACAGGCAGGGACTCATGAGAGGTGGTGTTGGAGCTTTCAGACCCTTGGACAGTCTCGCTTGTAATTAAAGTCTTGCTTGCGCTAATGGTTGCTGGCCTCGGAAATGACATGGAGCAATGTGCTTAGGAATAGCAGAAAAAGTAGAATGTAGTCAACTGAATTGAGAGATGACCGGAACTTGATCACACCAGCATGGATGGATAGTTGGCTATTGGGAATTCATATTGACGCTAAAAATCGAATGGTATCTATGTGCTAGTTAGTATACAGCGGCTGTCAGCCCAATAATTGAAGAAAAAAAAGAACCAAGACCATACTTGTCGCCACAAGATATGTTATGCAAAGAATGCGAGACTCACGTCTCGATCGTCTCGTTTGGAAACATAACGTCTCACTTGGCTAGATGACAGAGAGGGCAGCCTCCCCGTACCTTGTCGCGCAGTAACCTCGCCTTCATGACCTTCATACCCACCAGATACCGGCCACTTTCTTGGCCATCGCTGCCAATGTCAATATCCACGTTCCCACCGCTCTTGAGCATCTCCATCAGGTGGCTCAAGTGGTAGACGTGGCCGCACGCGTAACCCACCAGCGTTTCCATCTCGTACTCGGTGAATGCGTCCCCACAACCGACGCAATGGCCGGGTTTGGGCGCTCTAGCCGCCTTTTCGCCTTGGACAACCTCCGCCTTCTTCTCCACGTCACCCGGTTTCTGGTCTGCCTTGGGCTTCTTGGCGGGCACCGCGGCCGGCTCAAATTTGACGCCGCGGCGCTGTCCAGCGCGCAGCTCTCGTTGCTTCAGTCCCACTTCGCTGCGCATGACTGTTGCTGCGCCAGAGCTGATGCTGTGTTGAAGTTCGTGCTCCTTCATCATGTGCGTGAGGCCTTCTCTGAGACCTTCAACCTCGAGACCCTCGGGAATGCGCTCTACGAGAGCAATGGGGTTGATCGCGGTACCCACTTGCTCAAGAAGTGCCCGGATGAAGCTTGGTTTGTCCATACTATAATCAAGCAAGTCATTCCACAGGTCCGGATCGTCTTGCTCCTTGACAAATTCAATTGCTTTTTCTACGTCGCGTAGTCGATCAATGATCAGGTATAGTGCGCGCTTCATTTGACCTGTTTTCGAGTACAGAAAAACGAGCTCGTCGTAGTATTTATGTTGTTCGCATTCCTCGACAGCCTACTGTCCGTTAGCCACCTGCTTCTTGGTAATGAACCCAATTACCTACCTTGTCAAATGTGTACGCCGTTGATGTTTTCAAGAAGTCCATCAAAAGTGTTCTTTCGTAGGTGGCGAAGAGTGTGACAACCAGATCTGCAAAGTCGTCTACTAACGCTCGGCTTTCCAGGACCAAGTGGTCGCGGTTCCCCCCAGCATGTTCCTTCACGCCGTCGCCGTGCCATAGACCACGGAGATAGAAGAAAAGATACAGCCGGAGTTTCTTTGCTTGCAGCTGCTCTACCACTTGCTTAGGTCCAACCAAACCATGTTGTGCCTCGTCGACGAGCAGTGTAATTGCATCAGAGGTCGCATTGGCCAGATCCTTTTTCGTCATTTGGTCAATACCGCCAGCAGGAACGCGCAGGCTGATAAAGTCTGGAATGTCGTCGGCCACTGCTTCGGCGAGATGATTATCTCTAATGAGACGAAACGCAGAATCGGCGTCTTGAAGTTTGATGTAGAATCTGAGAGCCTCGCGCTGGCGCCCTCCGGTTTCATATAACCTGGCAAGACTTTGATTAACGATACGCCAATCTCTGCCCTTTTCGCCGTCGTCAATGCTATCTTGGCGCACATCGCGGAACTTGAGCTGGTTTTCAAGTGTTGTCGTAACAGTCTTGATGTCAAATAACTCTGGCGACCACAGGTCCAGTAGATCCCGAAACCGGGGTTTGTCGTTGTGAATATAATGGCCAAGGACGACTTCGTACACTGTAGTTGGTATGGGCGGCCTCATCGGAGCTGAAGGAATATAGTTTGTAATCTCGTCGAACTTCCTTGCCCCTGCAAAAGTCCACACCCACTTCTCCCAGCGATCGGGAGAATGCAAGACCCTGCTGCAGACTTCCGCTGCCACAGCCCATTGGCCGTCGTCAATCAGCTCTTTAATCCAAAGCTCGCCTATCCGCTGCTTCTCCTTCTCCACTGCAGTTTGAGCGCTTCTGGTCATGGAGTCTGCGACAGATTCGTCCTCGAACGCGTCGGTAGCACCCTGCCCCGGTGCAGCCGCTGGCAGAAAATCACCAGACTTGTCTGCCAATATGTCTGGATTCTCATCTAAGAGATCCCATGCTCTACTAAATTGCTCGTGTTCTAACAACCAGGCAAGGTGATCACCCAAGTCTCTCTTGGTTGCCAGTATGCAGTCATAAGGGCTCTGAACAAAGATTTTGGCGCCAGGCTTGCTCAAGCTGGGATGTACAGGGAGCGACACTGACCTGGCTGGCCCGCCGCGGATTGTTCCACTGGCACTGGTTGTTCTAGAGCCGGTTGCAACATCGTCTCCGCTATCTCTGCTTCGAATACTGGCCCCCGAGCTAAAGAGAGCTCTGGGGTTAATAGCGGCATTCCACATCTCGCTACCGAGCCCGGCGATGGTCTCTAATGCCCCCTTGGATGCTACCACGCTTGCTGCGCTGCGAGCAGGTAATACGCTGAGGTGATAGTCGGCAGAAAAAAGGCGCTCATAGCGGCTCATTACGAGTTCCTCTTTGTCAACCTCGGCTTGCGATACAAGGTCAATGAGACGGAGCTCCGGGGGCATGTTATTTTGACGCTTCCTGACGCCACCCGACGGCTCACTCTTCGCAGAGCTTGTGGACCCTTGATGACGATGGCGCTGGGCGGCTTTGCTGCTCTGTCCCTCCTCTTCACCGTCTTCCGGCGGGGCAAATGCGAGAACAAGAAGAAGATTCGACGTATAAAGAGAGATTCCAGAAATGATACAATCAATGCGCAAGCTGTATCCATTAGTAAATATGTGGCGGCAACGTTTGAAACAATGCGTACATTTTGGCAATCTCAGCGCGACCAAGGGCTTTGTTTCCGCTGTCCTTTGCAGGAGAGCCGTCACGATGAACATTGATAATCCATATCATGGACCCCCAACCAACCAGTAGACGCTCCATCCCATGTTTTTGTAGCCCGGATTGACCCTTCAACCTGTCTGCAGCTGCCGAAGCCGACACGCTGCCCTGCTGAGGATCGATGGCCTCGTCGCTTTCAATTGCTTTTTCGTCGATCCATTCGGCCCGGCCTTTCCACACGCTAGCCATAGTATCCCATTCCTCGGTCTGTGGCCTATCGATGTGCCCAACACGCTTCCAGACGTCGTCATGGTCCGCATTTTCGTGGTGCAGTTTGGAGCGCATGATTTTGATACCTTGCTCATTCAGCCAGACAACGTACTTTCCTGATAACGACCATTTTATGGTGTTGATTGTGCCCTCTCCCGTGTGCAAGACTGTGTCCTTGCCAGTATTGGATCCCAAGCCCATGCTTCCGAGCCAGCCGGATGCAGTTGCAGCTGCTGTTCCAATCGTGGTGGAAGTACTTCGGCCTGGCAGACCTCCCGAGGTGAGAATAAGCTGACCAGCTAAACCACCTGAGATGTAAGAACGATCTGATTTGAACTCTGGTGATAATGCCACGCTCTGGACGGGACGACCGAAACTCCGCAGTTGAACATCTTTCATATCAATCAAAGATTGTACACAGACATTGCCATCCATGGAAGAGGTTGCTATGTGTATGTCGTTGGATGGAGTTTTTGGGATTTGTGTGGGCTCCCTAAGTCGTTTTGAGGAAGCGGCTGGAGAATTATCCTGGGGTCTTGGCTGGCTAGGCAGGTTCGCAGGCGGTACGGGGCTGGACGCTTGATCCGTCGGTAGTGGCGGAGGGTATGGCGAGATCGAGATGGATGTGACGGAGGCAGAATGAGCATGATATACTCGAAGCGCTTGAAAGGTGGGTAGTTGAAGAACGTGCTGGATCAATTAGATAGTGTACGCTGGACATGGGATGAGCAACTCACAATATTGCCATTATGTGTACCGATTATCTGGCCTCGTTAGCTGTGATTTGCAGAGATGTTGGGCGGGAATCTGACCATCTTATCGCCTGCGACAAGAAACGCGCTGGCTGCGTCACCGTTACGGTATACAGCATTCAAATGGGGCGTGAGCCTCGAGATCTTCAGAGATGGCTCATAATCTTCGTCTTCTTCGTCGTCTGATCCATCGTCATCATCATCATCTTCTTCTTCGTCCTCTTCGTCTTCATCGTTCTCTTCCTCAGTGCCTCCTTCGTCTTCCTGGGCATCGTCTCCAGCAACAGAATCAGAACTCGTCTTGCCGGCGGCTTCAGCTGTGCCACTCATATCATTGTGTTTGAGTTGTAGAGACCCTGACACTACCTGGGTATTAGCCGCCGTATCTGTCGCGCTTGACGGATTCGTGTCGTGACCGGGTTGTTGACGAGTATCAACATGGTCTGGCTGATTGTCGCCACCAGGCTCCTGGGCTTGGTCTGTCATTTTGTCGCTACACTGGGACCATAATTGGGAGCTAGAGGAAAGAATTCGGAGGCGAATGTATAATCGAGGAGATGGTGTTGGGAAATGGAGGCTATTGGGAAGCTTAATTAGCTCGACTGACTAACTACAGCGTTACGAGCTGGCGCTGGAGCTGGCCCAAGGTCGCGCCATTGAGCCACAGCCAACGGAAACAGCCTCGACGAGCCACAGCGCCACAAAGCCACTGTGAAGTTCCCCGCCTGCCCGCCAAAACGCTGTACTGCTCTGGAGCTTCACCAACAATCGCGTCTTCTACGCGACTCGTTTGGAATATCCAAAACACGACGTCACACAATTTCCGATCCATCGCAGCGAGCACGACCGGGCATGTCGAACTCATGATAAAGGACTTTCGACACAATTTGAACCAGGAGATCGGGCCTGAGCTGCCACCGCATATGGCGAGTACGCAATATGGCTTCTGTCAAGTCTCTTGGGCTTCACCAGCCCTCGGGCCTGCACTATGCTATTGACGAGCAGTTGTTGGCGCCAAACCCGCCGCCGAATTCCTATAAATGGGATATTATTTCTGGAAAGAGCAAACATACAGATATAATTGAGGATGAGCTGCTCATCACCAAAAATGCCGTTCTGTGGTGCCGTGGTGGTATTCTTCGCAAGATATTCAAATTCGACCTCGAAAAGGAGTCCGTGACGAAAGCCCTTCTCGCATATTTCCCCGCCTCTGATGACGATAAAGCAGCCCCACAGGCGCACTCACAAACGACGAAACCGAGCATCGCGAACCGACGACGACCTCGTATGGAACAGGCGCTGGTCGTCTTCCTGAGTACCCAAGCACACATTTACTTCTTGTCCGGCGCCAGCCATGTCGTCCATATGCCCTTTGAGGTCGAGACAGCCTTTGCTGGCCCTTCAGGTGTCTTGATTCAAAGAAAGCAAAGAAGCGAAAACATCCACTCGTCCACTCTCCGATTTCCGCGAGTAATTCCGAATTCGTTCCTGTCATCTCAGTTGACCGAAGTCAATAGCTCGCAGGCGCAAGACTTTTCGGTACAGAGCCTAGGAAACCCCAAAGCCTTGAACTTGGGTCTGAGTAATACTTTGGAAAGTATGTTCGATGGCCCCATGGGCCAAGTTGACTCTCACTGGCCACGCCTTGTCTCGCTGTCCGACCCGTTACTGGACATTGGCCTTGTTGTCACTGAACCAGACCCGCAAAGTACTAAAGGACCTACCGCTGGTGCCCGGAATGAAGCTTTCCTCGATCCTGCGGAAGAGATCCTCTATATCGAACAGGTCGAATTGACCGGGAGGGCTTTTCAGCAAATCGATGAAACCCTGACTATTGCTGTTACCCTCAATCGCTCAACAAATTCTTACAACGTTTGGCGTCTTAAATACCTTGAGTACCAAGACCCTTTCATAAAACCGCGCAAGTCGAAGCTCACAACCACAAGCTTTGCTGCTCGTCGACGAAGCTCCATGGCACCTTCATTCGCAGAATCTAATACGCCGGCAAAGCCCAACACAAGGGACAGCTTTGGCGCGCCGCTACCCGGCAAACGCCACCGCAAAAGTGAAAAGATCGAGAAGCCAGTGGATTTTGTATCGTCTCTCGAGAAACAGGATAAAGATGGCTCGGCTATTACCAGGCGAAGCTCACGCCGACTGAGCTCTATGCTTGCACGCGCAGACTTGTCAGCATCTCAAGAACGATCCATCTTTTCCGAACAGCCATCAGCTATCGGTAGCAAACCCGCACGGAAGCAAGAATCCCGCGCAGCGCCGCATAACCGTTCCAGCTCTAGCTTCAGTCAGCAGATTCGCCCAAGCTTAAGTAGTCTGTTGGAGGCGCCGCTTGATATGGGTCTTAATGAAGGATTCCTCAATATGGGCTTAGATGATCATGAACTTGACGGCCTTCAACATGATGTTCGATTTACCAAGATTTTTGATATTCCGTCAGCAAAATCCAATGTGCACTACACAGTGCCAGCCGGTGATGCACCGCAGCATAGCAAAGTGTTCATACTGGCTGCCCCGGCATATGCTCGCGATGGACATGACCGAAGCCAACTGCTTATTGGCATTCAGAACATACACGAAAAGCGTCTGGACATAATTACTATACAGATCGTTCTGCAATCAACTGAGCGGCTGAACACTAGGGCCTCTTTTCCTAGCTCTGCCCCGAGCAGCTTGTCGATTGCGACTGGCGAGATTCGAAGAGCTCAAAACGTAGTCGACTCCTGTAAATTGGTCGATGGCGAGCAGTCAGTCATTCTCATATTGTCGGAGTCAATGGATGGACAGCTTGAACTTTCGACACAGGCTCCTTGGAGTGACCGCACTAGAATCTCGCCAAATCTCGTCTTTGTTGACGATACCAGACACTTGCAATACCGTGGCCGAGTTGTTGATCGTGACATGAAGCAGCGAAAGTCGGAAATATTTGACTTGACAAATGGCAGCATCATTGGCTTGCGCCATCCCAGGCAACGCGGCGTTGTTGATGCCGTGGATGCCGGCGGTCGGCTTCATCAACTCAAAATACAACTGGAACCGACATGCCCCCAGGTGCGCCATGTCCTTAGCGTCTGCCGAAATGTTTTACAGGACGCTCTCGGAGAGCGACTCCACGGCGGTTGGCTGCATATTATACAATGGCTGAGAGACCAAGACGAGACCTTTGCCAATATCGAATGGTCTGCTGCTACACTATTGCTCTTTTCGCTGGTATTGAACCTCGGCCCCGTTAAAGGCAAGCCCATGCAGACGACTCGTCTGCCAGTTCGAAAACGCCGACCTGCATCTGGCTCATTTGGATCTATTCGAGAATCTGATGATTGGAAGGCCCTCGAGATTGGTGAGACAGCTAGCTCCCTTGGATGTCCTGTGTGGATGATGAACCGGGGCTGGCAATGGGCACTGGATTCGAACTCGGAGAGCTGGAGCGCAAATGCGTATCAAGTATCCAGTCCCAGATTCACCGCGAAACATATTGTTCTCGCACGAGAATACATGGCGTCACCCTTGGGAATCATTGCTTTTGGGCCATCCGGGTACATGCCAACTTCCCTACACCATGAAGACGGGAGTCGAAGGAAAGCAGTGGCTGACATCTTCATGGCACTGCATCTTCTTCTCGAGGAAAAGCGACTGGACATCATGACTGCAGAGTATGTTTCTCCCGGGCGAGCAGACCTGCGTGTTGTATTGTGCCAAATTGCTCGCTGGTTGAAATGGTACAGCTTCTCGGCCGTTTACGAACTGGGAATCCAAGAGGTCGTGGATGAAAAGTTCGACTCAGAGTTGAATTTGACGCCTTCGATTCCCGAGCCTACGATGAAGCCCAACATTCTGGAATGGGTTCAAAACAGGCTTGTTACACAGCAAGGCAACTATCCTAGTCCTGTCGATATCTATGCCCAAAATTTCAACATGTCTAGGCAGGACAATGAATATGACGACAGGTGGGATGTGATATTGCCTCGCACGATGATGCTGAGAAGGTTCTTCAAAGCATTGGAAGTCAATCCAACAGCTGCGGAAATGGTCGAGACCATGCAAGCACAAGGTTTGACCAACGCGATTCTCGAGAGTCTCCCCGAAGCTATCTTGGTCCCGCTACGAGACGCGATTTCACTTTGCCAGCCTCGACCACCCAAAGGCTGGCCCGACGACCTGCTGAAGTTGATCAAAAGGAGTGACATGAGTAGCCTATTGTCTCCCGAAAAGGCCACTGCACGAACGCCGCCTAGCCTCTTGGTAAGCATTTGAAGAGGCCACCACTGAAATTTAGCTGACAATTATGCAGACTCCTACCCATACTGCGTCATGGGATTATCGACTTCTGTCTCAGAGTGTTGAGGACGACGAACCGGCTGGTTACGACGAAAGCAACGGGATAGAGAGGCAAGCAGTAATCCGGGCATTATTCAAAGAGGACAGACGTCTGAATGAGGCTCAGGATCTGCTTTCAACACACAAGTCTCGACACGTTCGACTGAACCCGGACTCAGATTGGCCAGAAAGTGAATACCTGGAGAAGCAAAAGCAGCTCGTCTCTAGAATCGCGACTGGTACACTTGCTATTCCAGCTGGAAGAGGATTGCTCTATTACAGCCTCCGATTTCCGCTGATAACACAACGACTTCACATTGGAGGATTCAATCTCAACTGTATTGTGAGGCCAGCTAATGTCACGGTTGGTGTTGAAAAGTCCCTTTTTACAGAGGAGAAGGTTTGCTGGGGCTTCTTTCATCAGGGAGTTGCTGCTGGCTTGGCTATATCTCCCGACGCCAAGGGTATTGACACATCTTGGATTCTCTATAACAAGCCTGGCCAAGAGCTGAGTAATCGACATGCTGGGTTCTTGCTCGCACTCGGACTCAACGGTCATCTCAAAGATGTCGCAAAGTGGGTTGCCTTCAAGTATTTGACACCCAAGCATACCATGACTTCGATTGGATTGCTCTTGGGCCTTGCTGCGTCGTACATTGGAACAATGGACTCGCTGATTACTCGGTTGTTGTCGGTACATGCTACACGCATGCTGCCACGTGGTGCTGCTGAGCTCAACCTGTCCCCCCTTACCCAGACGACTGGTATCATGGGCATTGGATTAGTATACTGCAATAGTCAGCATCGCCGCATGAGTGAGATCATGCTCTCAGAGATTGAACATGCAGAGGATGAGGAAGAAGACGAGCCGTTGCGAAGCGAATGCTATCGCCTTGCGGCAGGTTACGCACTGGGATTCATCAACCTTGGAAAAGGTAATGACTTGAAAGGGCTGCATGACATGAAGCTCACCGAGAAACTCATCACGCATGCAACATCGACTAAGATGGTTGAAATTGTCCATGTGCTTGACCGTGCTGCCGCAGGTGCTGTCATTGCCCTCACCCTTATCTTTATGAAGACGGAAGATCAAATCGTTGCTCGCAAAATTGATGTCCCAAGCTCCGTGCTCCAGTTTGACTACGTCCGACCTGATATTCTGCTGTTGCGAACTGTTGCCAAGAATCTGATTCTCTGGTCCAAGATTGAGCCAACGTTTACGTGGATTCAACGTAGCCTACCAGCGCCATATCGAGCCAGGCACAAGCTCCACGGCACCATGAAGTTGCGATCGACAGATTTACCATTCTTTAGCATCATGGCGGGAATATGCTTCTCCATTGCACTGCGGTATTCTGGCAGTGCCTCCACGCATGTCCGAGATCTCCTCCTGCATTATCTTGACGAGTTTATGCGCATCTCCTCGATCCTTGGGACGCCTAGAGAGCACCCGGATGCCGCGCCGCTGTATGACGAGGAACTTGCTAGAGCCAATGCACGCATGTGTCAAGACGTCTTGGCTGTGTCGTGCGCCATCGTCATGGCGGGCACAGGCGACATTCCCGTACTACGCAGGCTTCGTGCCCTCCACGGCCGAACTGACCCGGATACGCCGTACGGATCCCACCTCGCGGCTCATCTTGCCATAGGAGCCCTGTTCCTGGGCTGTGGCACCGTGACCTTTGGCACGAGCAACATGGCAATTGCCGCGCTCCTAGTCGCCTTCTACCCGATATTCCCGACCAATGTCATGGATAACAGATCTCATCTGCAAGCATTCCGTCACTTTTGGGTTTTGGCGACGGAGCAGCGCTGTCTTGTGGCTAAGGACATTCTGACCGGCCAGCCGGTGTCCGTGGCTGTGCAAATCAAAATGCGCCAGGACGTGTCCACGGAGGCGTTCCTGCACCGCTCCACGCCATGCCTGCTGCCACCGCTGGACCAAATCTCGAGCCTGTCGACCCACTGCGGTCCGCAGTTTTGGGACATTGAGCTCGACTTATCTGACGAGACGGTGCGCGCGGCCTTTGCAAAAACGCAGAGCCTGCACCTCCGCCGGCGCCCGCCGCGTGAGGGGACATTCCCGTCGACCCTGCGCGCCCTGGGCCGCGACGGTGACGGTCAGAACCCGATAGAGTGGCTATTTGACCTCGAGGGGCTCAAGGGCGTCAGCTACGCCGAGAAGGCGGCCCTGCTCGAGAGCGGTGAAGAGGACCCGGAGACGGGCGCCGCCGTGGACGCGCGCCTGGAGTTTGAAAAGGGTATTTGCGAGGGCGGCGATCTGGAGCGCCTCGAGGGCGCCCGGCTGCTGTTCGAATGGGGCTCCGCGCGCGACCGCCTGCGGCAGAACGACGGCAGGCCAGCTGTTGCGGACCCGAGCACCTCGCACGATAGCCAGGAGACGATTACCATGCGCTCGAGGCGGCGACGGAGTCTGGCCGAGGAGAGCGAGAACGAGCAGGACGACGAGGGCAACAAGGCGGTGTGGTGGATGCGAGACAGCGATCTTGAAGCGCTCAAGGGCAAGGTTTGGCTCGCCGCCAGAGAGGCCGAGCAGTAGAGACTGCGTGGAATCGCCTGATACGGGTCGAGAGTTGGGTTGTATGGAGGAGTTGTTGGGCTGACATCGGAAATGAGGCTACGATTACTTTCAAGATGTAGACAAACTACATCGGTACTATACATATATATAAATACAACTAGAACAACGCCACGCGCATCAGACGGCCACGATAAGTGCATGTATCAAACTTTTTATTGTGTATATATCTTGTGCTATACTGAGGGGACGGCAACTCGTAGATAAAATAAAACAACCTTTTCCCGGTGTGGCAGAATATCTCTTTCTCTATCAAGGCGCCGCCTACTCTGGTGCAGCTGGCGGTACCAAAATAAAACCCCGGCTTCCTCCTCCCCTCGTTTTTAATTTCTCTTTTCCCAAATAAACGCCATGCAATGCAAGACCGCATCATCATGGGGACACACAAAAAAAAGACATGATGGAATAGAACCATCCGCAAGTGAGGAGGCAGCACAAAGAAACAGCACACGAACGGGGCGAGTACTAAGAGAGGCGGGGGAAACCACCTTATCCTCTGGCTCTCGCGCTCTGTTGCGTGGTTTCTATGATTGCCCACCCTTGAATCTCCATTTTGGCCTGCTGCTTTATATTGCGGTAATGCCCCAACTCGTCGAGTTCTCTCGTCGCCTAGTGACAAGTACCAAGTCCCCATAGAACAAGGGCTCTTCTTCTTTGTCTTCCTCTTTTTCGTGTGCGAGACGAGTCAGAGTGTCTGGTGTGAGAACGTAGTTATGCGATGATACTTATAACTTCTTTCAAACAACGGAAACGAAAAAGAAAAGAATCAACAGCCAAATCACAAACACACGCCTCCCGTCTTCTTATTTCGACACGGCGGCGTTCAGGACCTGCGTGCGGAAGAAGCCACCCTTTGTCTTCTCAATGACCTGCTGGTAGACATTGTTGGGGGGGTGGTTCATGATGACGGTGCCGTCCTTAGAGTCAATCTTGGCGTCGAGGCGCGTCTCGCGAATGAGGTTGACGATCCACTTTTCGCCGTCGTCCGGGTCGAGGCCGAGCTTGGCCGAGAGATCGCGAATGTTCATGCGGGAAAAGATTTTGCAGTAGCTCTCGCAGATGAGGTGGCGGGCGGCGTCGACAAAGGCGTCGGCCGACGAAGCGAGGAAGAAGTCGGCGCGGCAGACGTTCTCGGCGCGGCGGAGCGCGTCGCGGGCGGCGTCAAAGTCGTGCGCAAAGTAGAGCGCGGCGACGAACTGCGTGACGGGGTCGGCGTACTCGTAGGCCTCCTGGCGCACGTAGCGGACCACGTCCTTGAGCTGCTTCTGCTGGGTGGCGGACGCGGAGCGGTTGCCGGGCGCCGATGAGACGCTGGCGGCGCGGCCGCGGCCGGTGATGACGGCGGCGATGAGGTAGCGCAGGATCCAGGGGCAGGCCGTCTGGATCGTGTTTATGTAGGGGGCGGAGAAGAACATGTCGAGGACGGGCTCGCGGGCGGCGTCGTGGTTGAAGAGGGGGAAGAGGGCCCAGTGGGCGAGCATGGCACGGTGGTCGAGCTGGGCGCGCGGGTTGCTAAAGAGGCGCGTGTCGATGCTCTCGCGCACGTTTTTGAGCTCGTCGACGGCCGAGTCCCAGTTGGCCGACAGGATCTCGCAGGCGAGCTTGCCCCACGTAGAGGCCGCCACCTTGTCGTTGTCCGTCGACAGCACGCGGAACTGGTACAGCATGTCGGCCGCCGGACCGTACTGGCCGCAGCGGAACTGGAACTGGCCAAAGTCGTACAGGGCGTCGACCATTTCAGCGGTGACCTGGGGGAAGACGCCGGGTGTTAGCAAAGCCAAATCTGCGTTTGTGTTGTGTATATTGAGCGAGCGCCGTTTCCCCGTGCCCCAAATCCCATCTCGTGTTCTATATCCGCCCACTTACGCCGTGCTGGGTCTTGAGAAATTCCAAGTTGGCCACCTTGTCGCTGCGGAGCCCGTTGACGACATCGTCCTGCGTCAGCAGGTCGGCAATCGTGGCCGTGGCCTGTTCGTATTTTTGCAGCTGGGCCACGACGGCCTCGCGCTTGCGCAAATACTGGGCCGGCGGCTCCGCGACCTCGTGCAGCTCACAGTACATGTTGGCCACGTAGTCGGTCATGTTTGTGTCTTCCAGCAGCGCAATCTTGCCTGCCAGGATCGTCCGAAAGGCCTCCGTGTCGCCGCGCTCGTCGGCCTGGTCGCCCTCGAACTGGATAAGAGGAAACAGCAGGTGTCGGCTTAGGTGGGGCGCCAGCTTGGGCATGATGGACGTGCTGTCGACCGCGACTGCGTTAAGTACGTCCTCCATGATGGGCTGTGATGATGTTTATGAAAACCTTCGAGGGGCGGTGATGATTCCCTGAGGTGGTGTCGGGGGGGAATGGTCGGGTGGGGGTTTGTCGGAGAGGTGGTCGCGAAAAATAATGCAAGGGCTTCGCAACGCACACACGCAGAAAGACAGCACTTCTCTGTGGGTCGTTTTTGGAGGGGCACTTTTTGGGCGGCCGCTCGTTTTTTCGCTAATCCACAAAAAAGTGCCAACGTGGGGATAGATGGCCGACATTTAGCCGTCGTCAGGATAAGCCAAGTCATGTGACCTTTTCACCTTTTCCTGGAGCTGTAACTACCTAGGAAGCATTGACGACGGATTACTGGTTTCTGGCGTCTTGAAAGGAGACCTCACGTTGATTCGACGAATTGACATTTCAACGCGACGTAAAGATTTGTACTATCAGGCTATTCCATCCGCCATTTTCGTCCATCTCGACCGTTGGGACCCTCCAACACCGACCACGATGAACGCCCGTCTACCACACTCTCTCGCCTGCGTCCGCGCTGCCCTCGCCGCTCCCCGACCGCCGACCTCTCTCCTCCTCCGCCTTCCTCCATCGCACAGCTACGCGACCGCCGCCACAGCCGCCGCCGCCACCCGCACCGCCGAGCAGCGCCGCTCGCCCCGGTCCTTCGCCCGGCCACCCACACCGGCCCCGACAAGCACTGCCGACGAGCAGCAGCGCGCGCGCGGGTACCTGGTGCCACGCACGGCGTCGGCGCAGCTGCCCGTGTACCGCGCCATCAAGTCGGGCGGCACACGCGAGATTATCCTGATCAAAAAGGTGCAGGGCGACCGCAAAAAACTTGTCCAGGACATGCAGGCCACGCTGGCCGTCACAGCGGACAGGATTCGCATCAACCCGACTACGCTCCATATTGAGATCCAGGTGAGATTCGCCCTTCTTGCTACTTGCAATGGTGGCTGACGTTTGATTCATAGGGCAACTACCTGAGCCAAGCCCAGAAATGGCTGCTCGACAATGGTTTCTAAGTCAACAGTGCCAGGAAACAAAAGAGACCCGTTGTACAATGTATCATATATACCATTTGCTTTTACAAACAAGGCAGCATCAGCGTAAACCGCTTAGCAAATTGTAGAATTACATTCAATTTTGATTCTTTTCTTCTTTTATTCTTTAATGACATGTCCACAAGACGTGTGGTATCGATATATATCTCGCGCCTGCTACTCCTTTGTACGATGCCATCCAATCCCAGGCTCCTCTACCCAGCCTCAAGTTTCTCCGTCGCTTGCCTTTGTCAAAGTCGCTTCTTCCTAGCCGGCCGCAAAATCATAACCATGCCGTACTTGCAACGTGACGTGGCCTGCAAAAGTGAATGACGACAATAAGAAATGAAGCAAAAAAATGAGGGGGAAACAATTGACACAAGAATGAAACGCAAATGCAAAAAGTCAAACTCCGCGGCTACCAGAATCCCATGGCGCGTGCGCGCGCCTCCAAACTCCCGGCTGGTGAAGTATTCCAGCGGCAAAAACCGTCTTTCGCTTTTGGGCATTGCGGCTATTAAAGGCAAGTAATGATACAACCAGGCGCGATCAGCTTACCGAGCCATGTTAACGAGTGACGATAGCTGCTGCAGCATGCCGTCCCTCGTCCACTCTGCCGACGTATATGATAGCGCTTCCATGAGCACCCGCGCTGACGGCAAAACGCTTTTGGGCAGCGACAGGCTCGGTTGGCTGGGGTCTCGAGCCTTCTCCGCTAACCGTCTTAATAATGTTACAGCCAAAACAACAATATACACAAGCTCGAGATCTCTTCCCCGAGGGCCACGCGACGCTTGGCGTTCAAACAAATGACTCAACTCGCGCACAAGCTTTGTCAGATTTTGCGCGAGACCTTCACCGGATGAAAGCCAAGCCTTGGCGACGCCGCTCTCGAAGCCAGGAGCAAGGGATGCCAGAATTTCCGCAGCCAAGAGACCCTGCATCAGGAATGGCTTGCGCACTTCGATAAGAGACGGATAGTTGGGCTGTCGAATACTCTCCACCGACTTGCCTGGCAGTGGCGAAATGGCGAGGGCAAACGCTCGAGTCAGGGTCTCGTTGCTCGAGCTTTGTCCAACGTCGAGACCAAATATAGCCTTGTAAAATCCGCGGTTCGGCTCATCACGCGCAAGCAACTTTGCAAGGGAGTCTACAGCGTGCGGCAGGTAGGGCTGTACACTCGGCTCATAGGGCGCAAAGAAGAGCGAACCAGCGACGACGGTCGGGGCCGGCGAAGGTGCAAATGCAAGCAGGAAGCTGAGTAGACAGAGCGCTTGTTCGCGACTGGGCAATTCAATGGCGGCGGCAATGTTGGACAATAGAACCACAACATCTTTCATAAAATCCAGCGTGTTGGTATGAGACCGCAGTAGCATGGTTCGAGTTCCAAGGTACCGGATCACGGAGCAGATAAACTTGATGACCATCTCATCCGCAAGCACAGCGTGGTTCTCGTTCTGCTCGCCTGGGAACGAGACGTTGCGAAGAATGGTGGTGACGCAAATAAGTTTATCAACAGCACGGTCAAGATCGTACTCCACAGTGCCGTATGCCGGACAATCTCGCACAGCAAGCCTATCTATGCGACAGGCGCGGACTACATCCTCGTATGACGTCAGGGAGATCTCGTCAGCAACCTCCACTGTATGTTCGACAAGCATATCGAGTTGCTCCTCGGCGCAATCAATGAGGGCATCCACCAAGTCGTCGCAATAGCGAAGCTGCAAGAAGTGCAGCTGGTTGGGTGAGTTGGACAATGTGGCCATGGTGTCCAAAGCAAGGCGTACTTCGCTGTGTATGCCACATTGCAGGCTGCGGGTGAGAGCGGCGATATCGATATTTCCGAGTTCGTTAATCATGGGTGCTGTGGGCATCCAGCGTTCCAGCTCAGTACCCAAAATATTGGCAGCGTGTAGGTCAACACCACCAAAAGTGGCCAACTCGCGGGCACAGGGGCTGTAGTCGTCGGACTTTTGCATCATGGGCGGAGCGCGTACTTCAGTGGCAGGCGGCGCAGGACGGCCCTCGGGGTGACCCGTGTGTATGCTTCCTTGGCGGTGGTGAGCAGGCGATAGCAGAGATGGATCAGCAATGCTTGGGTCAACACTCTTGGAAAGGCTGTTACGTTGGTGGCTCATCATTATGCCTGGCTGTGGTTGAGGCGTCGCAAATCCATTCACGGGCGCTTGGCCAGGTTTTACTAGAGGTTGCTGGGCTTGGGGCAGCATTTGTTGTTGTTGTTGCTGCTGCTGCTGCTGCTGCTGCTGCTGCTGTTGCTGCTGCTGTTGCTGTTGCTGCTGCTGCTGCTGTTGCTGCTGCTGCTGCTGCTGCTGCTGCTGCTGCTGCTGCTGTTGCTGTTGCTG